GTAGTACGACGAAAAAAAAAAAAAAAAAAAAAAAACAAAAAAATCATAGAGTTCTGTTGTGTGATCATTGATGCATTCATGAAAGCGACTTTTTATTCTTTGTTCTTATATTAACTTACTAAAAGAGAAAAGAAATGTCAATGTTTAGATTATCTAGATCCGCCCTTTTGGGTTCACAAATGATCAAGTCAACTGTAGGTTATATAGTACAGAGAACAATAAAGAAAAGATAAGAAATGAAAATAAAAGAATACAGCAACAACAAAAAAGATCACCATTGCTATAAAGATGATCATAGATTATAGATAGACATAGATATTATCTATTAGATATATAGGTGTAGGATATAAATGTATACGATAGATATGTTTACTCATACTTTTTAAACATATATTTGTTCTAGAGATCATATTCTACTGCCACTACTGAAGCTGAATTCTTGGCTCAAGTTACTGCCTCAAAGAACAGCAACGTTATTAAGCAAACCAAGGAATTCCTTGCCAGACCAGATATTGCTCCATGGGCTGCTCGTTTCAACGTTCAATTCAAGGAAAAGTGTATGTATATTTCATATGATAGTAGACTCTGCTAGAGATTGATTGTTGCTACGATATTAATACTTTAATTTGTATTTAGCCCAAGAAGAACAAATTAAGGAACTCAAGGTTATTGACGCAAAGATTGATAAGGCTGGTGTTGATGCTTTCAATACCGTTGTTTCAAAGCTCAACGTTCAAGATATCATTGATGGAAAGATCTAAACACGTTATTATACTTTTTTAAATAGACGATAATGATATCTTTATCGATAAAGGAGATGATCATTACAACAGTAATAACCAATATATAATATAAATAATAATAAACCAACCAATAGATATTGTAAAGTACAAGAATGGGTGAACACAAAGAACATACATATATCATTTGACAATTGTCGTTTATTACAATTTCCAATGGTTATCGTAGATTTTCTGATCTTGCTAGTTCATTTAAATCATTAATCTCTCGTAGTAGGTCATTAATTTTCCTATCTCGGTCACAGAGTAGTTTAATTAATGTAGACTTGTCCATGCTATTGTAATCAATGGTTGGATGAGGACAATGAATTTCTTTTGAGTTGCAAAGTGTCGGCGTTGTTAGTAGTGATGGTGATGGTGATGGTGGTGTCGTTCTCTGTTGGGCTAATATATTTGGTAAATAAAGTTTGATTAATTGTTCGGCTGATGGTCTTTCATTTGGATCTATATTCATCATCTTTAAAATCAATTCACTTTCATATTTGAATTTAATTTTAAATGATTCTGGTAATATCCCTTTTCTATAAATAAATAAAAAATAGATATTAGAACAACGTATATCTTGGTTTTTTTTTTTTGTTTTAGTACATACTTTAAATTTTTAATACATTCAGATCTTTCAGACATTGTATTGAATGGATATAAGAGTTCAAAGAAAATGATTGCCAAACTATAGATATCGACCTTGTTGGAATATGGTCTACCTGATATAATTTCAGGACTACTGTAAGAGAATGTTCCAACTCCAACCGATGCATTGGTCAACATGATAACATTTGAACTCTTTTCGAGGAATGAATCATTATAGTTTTGATTTTCATTTGGCTTTCCATTTTCAGGTCGTGATTCATCTACTATTGTTAAATCCTTTACAAGTCCAAAATCTCCAATAATAACTTTTAAATCTTCTTTTTCTTTTTGTCTCATTAAATAAATATTTGCTGGTTTTAAATCCCTAAAAATTAAAACCAAAAGATTAATAAATGAATTGATAATTGATTATTTTCTATCTATTTTATATTATTTACCTATGAATCATATTTGTATGAATATGAGCAAGACCAGTTACAATTTGTTTAAATATTGAATAAATAGTATCGATTGAAATATTTGAATCCCTTGTATCTATCCATTCTCTTAATGTTTTACCTTCACAGTATTGTGTTTGAATGTATAGAATATATCTAATCTTACTATTATTATTTTGATTGTTATTTAATTTGTTGATATGAGGATTATAAATGGTTGGAGCAAGATTATTTAAAGTTGGAATATATTGTTGTGATACATCTAATCGATGAGGATTAAAAGGAACTATTTGTCCTTTTGGAGAATTGGGTTTCTTGAAATTTATAAAACTTGTATCTTCTTCTGATTCATCACTATCATCTGCAGAAGAATCTTCCAAAGATGATGACGATTCATCGGTTTGATCACTTTCATCTGAATTGTCAAGATAACCATTTGTTGATGATTGATCATTGTTTGAAATTGATATATTTGAATTTGATGATCTAAAACTAAATATATCATTGACAATTGAACTATGACTTGAACTATCTTCAAACAATAGATCACTATTTTCATCATCAAAATCTTCTACCTTTCCAAGACTTGACTCTTCATCATCTGTTGCATTGGTCTCTAAACTTCCCTCAACCGATGACAGATTACTACTACCACTATGGTCTGGTGTTGTATTAAATTCAATCCAAGCGTTATAGTATCGTAGTATATTCTTATGATCAAGTTTTGCCAAAGCTTTCACTTCTCTTAGAATCTTTTCAACTTTACCTTGTCCTGTTGAAGTCATAAAATTAATTGTAAAGTTTACTTTTTTAATTGCATAATTTTGATTATCTAAACCTAAAGAGAGAGAATAATAATAAAATAAGTAATTGGTAATTAAAAAAGAAATTAAAAGAGGATCATATGACTTACAATTTCTTGCCAAATAAACTGATCCAAATCCACCACTACCAAGTTTATTCAATTCAATAAATTCCTTTTGATATCTTGCTGTATTTAATTTGTTACTAATAAATTATAAATGTATGAATAGGTCAATATCTTTGGTTCATGTTTGTCTATCTATCTCTTTTTTTTTAAAATTTACAATAAAGGGTTTTCAGGAGAATTTAATAAATATTGTTGTTGTTGTTGGTTTATAAACAAGGATGAATTGTAGATTGAAAGTAAATTGGATGGTAATAAAAGTTCATCATAGTTTGATGCTTTGAGTGCCTGTTTAAATATTCTATAGTAATGATCGATGAATATTTGTTTGAATTGTTTGGATTGAGTAATGGCAGGTGACAAACCTTCCAATTCAAGGGACATGACATGTCTAATAAATGATGAGAATCTATTTGCATCAAGTTGAGTACCATTATTCATAATATGATCAGTCAATATCATCTTTAACATTATTTTCTTTTCTGATAATATATCCTCTAAAAAAAATAAAAGTATATGTGTTAATGACCAAGATATTCTTTTAATTGTTGTTTGTTATAACAAACATACTTGCAGAATCAATCAAAGTGTAAATAGATTCATAGTTTTCACCTCCTCCACCTCCACGAAGATGTTGTTGTGAAGATATAAGTTCATTTCTATTTCGATTGGTTTCATCATTGGCTGTGTTGGTATCTCTACTGTTTGAATCATCGTCGTCTTCGTCTGCAGTAGTTTCGGTGAGTGAAGGTTCGGTTTCAATCTCATCATCTTCACTTCCACTACTCAGTGATGTGATTCTAGAGGTCAATGGTTGACGTTGTTGTTGTTGTTGTTTATGGCTCACTATATCATCATCAACCTCCTCTTGACCAGTATAATACATCATAACATAAGATATGAAGATATGTTGTGGTTGTGTATTTATATATATATAATAATATTAATCGTTAATTGTACAAAGAGGGAAGAAGAAGAAGAAGAAGAAGGTATATTTTAAAACATTGATCGATCTATCTTTCGTTTCTTCCTGATTTCTTCTTTCTCTTGTTTCGTAGTACTAGTAGTTGTATAAAGTTTATTAAAATGAACTGACGAAGTAAACCATTTAATTAATAAAACGTGGGCAAAGTCGAGTAATTTTCAAACAAATTCCAAGCTGTCACACACAGTCATAACTATTGTGAGGTGACGATGTTTTTCAAGAAAGTCAAACTTTATTCAAAATCTTTGTAATAATATCTATCTATATATATCTATCTAATTATTATTATTTGTAAATTGTCTTAATTTTGATTGCATTTTCTTTTGTTGTAATTTTGAATATTGTATCTTTTTGAATAACATGACAGAGCCAACACCTACTGCCACCAAACCAACACCGACAACTACTACACCGACCACTATTCTCCATGTCTTGCTAGGTTCAGTGCATTCAGTAGCCTTGTCAATAAGTAAAGGTGTAAAATCTGGGTCAAGAAGACATGATTGACATTGAGGTAGACTAATACCAATGATGGCAATTGATTGTAGTTGGTCTGTATTATCTGTATTATTATTATTTAATGGTTCCAATGATAATAGTTTAGTTTGAGAATAAGATTTCCTTCCATTGTCACTAACTATATAATCTAAAAATCTACCAAAGAATTGAATATTGTCTTTGACAACTCTTAGATATTCAATAGATGAATTATCATTGGTATTGGTGAATGTTGGGATATCTAGTGTTTGGTCAGTATTACAAGAATCGAGTGTTTGAGATTGTTGATCATTGATCAACACTGAGAATAATACACGGAGTGTTGCAAGGTTTGATGAGAATGGCCAAGACTCTATACCAAGTGACATTTTAATAGAGTTTGGATAAATCGTAATGGCATTGTCACCAAAATCAACTATTCTCTCCAGAGGTGAAAATGAAATAGTTGATGTTATATTGGTGAGTGAGTAAGCTCCAATATCCTTGGTTGTAGTATTAATTAGATTCGATGTTGAATTGGATTCATAGATAATATCAGTTGTGATATTTAGGTGATAATTGACTGTTGTTGTATTGGTTAATGGGTCAGTATCTAAAACAACATTCCAAGATTGATTGGTTGGATTAACTTGTCTCAATACATTATCATTAAAATCAATCTCTTGAATTGACACTAAATTGAAATAAAATATAATTCCATCAATTGATATAATTGTATTTGGATAATTTTCATCTGGTATAATTGTTGAATTACTTGTTGTACTATTACTAACTAAATATATAAAAATAGGAATTGGTGAGTTTTAAATATATATATTTTGTTTTTTGGGGCTATCTTACATTTAGTTCTACAATTATCAATTGGGAAATATCCAGTATCGCAATCACATTTACCCTTATCATTACATGTTCCATGACCATAACAATAATGTTGTTGTTGACATTTTGATTGAGGTGTTTCTCCAGATGATGATTGACTTGATTCATCTGATGATGAGGTACTGGATGAGCCATCAATTTTCAATTGGGTATTTGATTTAAAAACTAGATTATCAATAATAATATAAACAGTTGGGAATCCAGGGAATGGCATTTTATCCAATGTACATATTAATAATGTTTGATTGATTGATACAACATTACAAGTAATATTATTGTTGTTGTTTTGTGGTTGTTCCAAGTAAACTTGAGGATTGGCCTCTCCATATGGTCCAAAATCACCATAAAATTTAATTTCTAATATATCTTTTGTAAATGTTGTTGATATTGACTTTGGGTAATCTATTTTGTTTAAATTGGTTGGTTAGATAATAATTATTTAAGTTTTTGTTTTTTTTGGCATTACTTACTTTTACTACAATTTTGATAGAAATTTAATGTATTACAAATACAAGTTGAATTGGCAATAAGAGGACAATAACCATTTCCAAAACAATTATAGGTTTGTATTAAACATTCTTGTTGATTTGTTTTAAAATCGATGGTATTGTAAATGGTAATGGTATAGGAGAATCCATCTTGAATGACTGTAATGGGTTGATACCCAAAATGTGGCATACTATCAAGTTGACAAATAATATTCGTCTCACTTAAACTATTGATAGTACATCCAGTCCCATTAATCCAAACTGAATTATTGTCTGCTAAACTATTAAATGTTCCAAATATTTCAATCGTTGAATTGGTATCAAATTTTATATTAACTGATGATGCTCCTGTAATTAATGGAATTCTATAAAAAATTATTAAATTAAAAAATAAATTATTAATATTTTTTTTTTACCTTTTTTTTCAATGTAATAATAAAATGTTTACCTTGAGTAATTGAAATTGAAGTAACAATTGAATAATAGCCATTGGTGGTTTCAAGATCATATGTTCCAGTTGTTAAATTATAACAATCGATTGTGACAACTGACAATTCTTGTGGATCTGTTGTATTCATGAAAAGGGTACATTCTTTAGTTCCATTTTCAAGATAGAATCGATGATCTAGATAATAATTGTAATAATCATAAAGAATAGATATACGATAAATGTTGCCTGGTTCTTGAGTGGCCAACTTTTCAGAATCATCCAATACTCTAATACCAGCTGGTACAATTCTGAATCCATCAATTTGTTCTCTTGGAAACATAATTGTTCTATTTTCTTCAATTGGTCCTATATTTTTAAAATACAAATAACTAATAATAAAAAAAGAATTTTATAAATTTAATAAGTATTTGTTGAATATGAATAGTTTTAATTTAACATACGAAAATATTTCATTTGGAATGATTGAATTTAAATCCATTGAATATGCCCAACCCATATTCTTTCCATAAATTCTACCTTCTCCGAATAGGACAATGATTGTTTTGTTATAGATTTGGAAATCACAAACAAAATTAGATGGAGCTACCAAGTCTGTTGTAATGGCAAGTGTATCATTTATAGAACAATAAAAACAGTCTGGCAGAGGACCAATCACTGCTGTATCTAAAATGAAAAGGTGATATTTACACCAACTGTCTGGTATAGTTCCTGATAAATCAGGGTTACTAGATAGATCGATATGAGAATTGGCAGGAAGATTGGAAAATACTTGTGTAGGTATAGTACCTTGTAATGATGATGATGACATTTTACTTTTAAAAAAAAAAATAAAAGAAACCATATTTATAGTTAGAAGATTGATAATTGGAAAATATCTTATTATGATTATTACTTACAAAAATTTCAATGTGGATGGTAGAGGTATGAGAGGTATTGATATATCGATCAAAGACTCTATTGTGAATGATTCTAATTTTGGTGGCCATTTTGAAAATGGATATGTATTTAATTTTTTACTTGCTGTAATTTCTCTAGAGAATATTATAATAATAGAGTGAGTGAGTGAGTATTTGGGATTTAATAGATATATATATATATAAAACTACTTCTACTACTACTTACAAATTAAGTAAATTATAATATAATCCTAGATCAGATGGTGACCAAGTAATATTTCCATCAAATGTTCTAATATTTAAATATGTAAAAGTGGTTAGTTATAATTAATTGATTATAGATATATTTATATTTTATACATACATAGAACTCATATTTGAAGGATCTTGAATTGAAAAATGCATATGGGATGATTCTAGAGCAGATAGATATGCCCTGTAAAGAGTGGTGCAATTAACAGAATAGGTCCATGAACTATTACCTTCAGATGAACATTCTAAATCACCAAGTTTTGGGAATGAAGATGGAGTAAATACCAGTTGTTTGTTATTAACATTATTTGAGAATATAGTTAATTTCTTTAATAATGGAAGGTACAATGTTTCATTGACAGAGACACTAGTTAATTTAGATCCATAAGATCCAAGTTTAAGTTCTTGAACAATAGAACCATTAAAAAAATTATTGGCATTCCATTCATATTTATCATTTGACATTGATCTAAAAAGATAAATAAAATTAATTAATTACTCTCTATTAAATTGATTCTAATCTATTCTAATATGGTTTGTTTTTTACATTTTGGATAATTTTGTAAAGTTTGTAGGCATGATTGGAACTTGTAATAATGTTGAATCATTTTCATCACTGTGTTTTTAAAAAAGATATAACATAAGTTGGTTGGTTGGCAAAGGTTGAATAGTGTATTCTATAAATTAACAACACTTACGTAAGTGACAAAAGAATAGGAGATCTATTCAACATTGTAAGAATATTAAGAGATGGATTTGAAACTTGATTGATTCCTCGGATAAATATATCTATCAAAGATGGGAAATCAAGATTTTTCTTTTGATCATCTGGTGCTCCCATTTCGACATATGGGTGTAATCCAATCCTTCTACATAATTTTTTCAAAAAATATAATATTTAGTATAAATATATGAGAGTGATAAATATATGTATGTGTATGTATAATGATAGATAGACATACATTGTTGAAATAGTTTTACCAGCACCTCCAGTGGTACAAGTAAAAGTTGAATACTGGTTACATATTGTTTGGTTGGCTACCAAGAAGCCAAGTCCATATTGTGATATTAACCATTGAACTGAATCCACTGAGAAACATATAAATAAAGGTTAGATAAATACTTTATCTGCTGTAATATTATTATTTTCTCTAAATCTTACATTCACTTTGGGCAATTGTTTGTGATGACGATGGTCCAATCAAAAAAACAATGGCTAATATTAAACTGAATAAGGATACTACCGCTGCTGATGCTGTAGTTGTATCTTTTTTTAATCTTATCATTACTTTTGTTGTTTTTATAGAATCTATCAAACAATGACAATGATCATTGTTGTTTTGTAGGTCATCTAATAACCTCGTTGAAACTCAAAGATGCTCAACACAATCGAAACTAAAATAAAAATAAATAAAAATCTGTTTCGGCTTTCGAAAACCGATGCTTTGCAATGATCGGGCATTTAAAAATCGATACTAGGGTCTATTTACTATAGTATTATAACCAACAAATACCCTATTATTAACTATAGTCATGCATAATCTTTGTTGAGAAGATAATAATAATAATAATCAAAATGAAGATGCTATCTAGATCAAGATGACGAAGATGGGTTAGCAAACAGTAATTAAGAAATTCTACTTTTACGTACACCATTTAACATGTATCAATTCACTAAAACAGATCATGTATATGTTGGTGGATGGATGTATGGATCAAGTGTCACTTCACACCCACCAATTAATCGTACAACATGAACAACAATTGTTGTTGGAATGTTTGATCATTTGACCATGATGGATGGATGGATTGGTGGATGAATTGATTGATTGATTGATGATGACGATTTATCTTAATTCTTTTATATCAATGTAGTGGAGGGGTGCATTGGTCGTCATGCACCTACATACACCACTACCCCCTATTGATTCCATCTTTTGTACAAAAAGTTTGATTGTGGTGGTAAGTGGTTTTGTGCAGTATATACATCTTTTCACAATCCCCCACTCACACAGAGACACTTCAAACAAACAAACAACCAACAAGAATATGGAAATTTTTATAACATTAATCACCTGCAAGATAGTTTCAAAAGAGCAATGGGGTTGTTCCCTTTTCAACACTTTTTTTCTCAATGGTGGTAAGAGTGAGTGGTGGGTGTTGTTTAAATTATTATTAATTAGTACGGACCCTAACCTAGCAGCTAGTTATTATTGAATTTATTTATAACTGTTGGTGACATATTAGTATTATTATTATTATTATTATTCCAGACAGAATTATTTATTTTATTCATAATAATACGCCTGCTATTCTCGTTAACAAATTGTTATTATAGATAAACGGTTTTGGTAACAGATTATATTAGAAATTATATTGTACACATCATCAAACAAGCCAACCAACTATCCAACCATCATCATAATCATAATCATTAATAATAACGACCATTTCCAGCAGCAATCAAACACATACACAAACAACAAGACGCAAAGCTGTTTTTAGAATCCATAATATTTTATTTTATTATTATTATCCAGAAAAAAAAAACAAAAATCATTATTTTTTAATTAATCTAGTGATTGTATAAACTATAGAGTATCCATTATTACAAAAACTTAAATATTAAAAACCCTATAGTAAATAGTAATTATAATAATGGGTGCACTTGGAAGAGCAAGGTAAATAATATTTATAAACAAATATTATTATTATTTTGGATCATTATTCAATTCTCTAACTTTTCTTTTTTTTTTTAATATTTTTTTTTAAAGAGTATTCCTATGGTTGTCGACTATAGTAATCATATTGGCAGGTAGTTTGGGAGCTATTATATATAACAAACCATTAGGATTAAAAGGATTGGGAGCCGCTGAAACATTACCTGGACAAGTATGGTACAACGCGGTTATAGCTTTTCATGCAGTCACCTTGATTGGTGCTGGTTTCGAAATTATCAGTCGTGCATATCTAATGATGGTTGGTTCAACATGTAGTGAACAAAAAAGAGTCTTTTTATGTTGTTTCCTTTATTCAATGGTAAATATAATCTAGATACATACATAAATATATAAGAATGATTTATTTATTAATTTATTTATTTTATTTATTTTTTTGGGTTTAGACAAAATGGTGGAAATTAATGATGATTATTGAAGTTATTACAACTATTGTATTGGGTGGTTTAACAGGTTTGGTAATGGTTCTTGGAAAGGGAACTGCCAAGAATCCAATTGATTTGGTTCGTATGGCTGCCACCGATGGTATCTCTGTTGTACAAGTACTTTTCACAGCTTTGAGTTTTGTTCAAGCTCGCAAGATCCAAAAACTTCAAGATGAAGAAGAGGAAAGACAAATGGCAAAGAAACCAATCCATGCTCACGTTGGAAGTAGCAGTTCTGCCTCTGAACCACCATGCACCATCCTCCAAAAAGAAAAGGAACAATCTAAAAGTGTTGAATCCTCTCCCTCATCAGCTGCCATTATGCCAGCTTAATAATAATAACAATAATATTCAAAATATTTAATAATAATAATAATAATAATATCAAATTAATTTAATTTATTACTTTTAAAAACCAAAGAACAATAACATATAATATTAAACAACAACAAATCTGAAACATTACTCATATCCCCCTCCATATCTCTCTATCTCATATATTCAATATTATTATAAATAATAATAATAATAATATTTATTATACCCTACCACCTACTATTACAAGTAATTATAAATTCAATTTATTCGATTTTAATATATTAAATCAAATAAAACTATATTAGTATCTTTTTTTCTAAAAACCTATAAAAAAGTCTATCCAAAATCAAACCACCAAACCAACTTTATCCATTTCTTTTCTTTTGAGATTTTCAAAGAGTTATTCATTTATTTATTAAATCTTGATAAAATAATAATGATTTTCTTCTTTTCCCATCTAATCTATCTAATTATAATAATGTTGTTAATTGTTGTTATTGACTTTGTTGCTTTGGTTGGTCCATTTTTCTAAAAGGGAATCTTCTCTCTCAATAAATAATTTCATTCGACTTGAGTTGTTATTATTGTAGTTGTAGTTATTATTATAATTATTATTGTATGATTGATATGTATGTTTTGTTGTTGATTGACTGACTTTTTGGTTAAATAAATAAAATTTCTTTTCCATTTATAATTAATTAATATTGGTTGGTTGGTTGGTATTGGTTATTTGATATTGGTTTGTTGGTTGGTTGGAATTGGGAATGAAAATAAATAATAATAATTTCTTTTCTTTTTACATCTTTTATAAACTATTTTGATTTGATTTGTGTTTGTGTTTGTGTGATATATATATAAATATAAATAGATACTATTTATATTTTTATAAATCATCATTCATAATAAATCTATTTCCTTCTGATTGTTTTCCATAGTAGACATAGTTTGAAACAGAAAATCCAGCCTTTCCTTTACCTTCTTGTGTCAATTCCTGTGATAATCCATTGAAATGTTCTTCCTCTTCTTCGGGAAGAGCATCTTGTGAAACTGGTCTTGCAACCAATGAATAAAGACCTTGTCTTTGTGCCTCTTTGACTTCATCTGCCATGACTGGTGAAATATCCAAAAACTTTAAGTTCTTTAAATGGAAAAGTACATAATATCTAAAATAAAAAATAAAGATCATAAATACACATTCCTTCTACCATGTGTATTGTCTTTTTCTTTCTTTCTTACCTATATTTTTGATAATCACTATAATCAGTACCTGATACATAATAACTTGGACAAGCTGGATTTTTCAAAAGGGATAAATGTGTAAGGTTTGGGAATTTATCTTTGATCGAGTCAATAAACACTTTCAAATCATCAATCTAAATGTTTAATTAATTAATTTGTTGTTAGATAATCTATGTGATCCAAATCGTTCGTTTTCTTCTTCTTCTTTCTATCTTGTTGCTTCATTCACATACATTATTATTATTAACAGATAGAATATTTAAAGATGGTAAACTTGGGAAATCATTCTTGCTTCCTAGTTGATTATTATCTAGTACCAATGTTGATAACTTTGTTAAATTACCTATATTTTCTACTTTTCTATAGAATAGATAGTCGATCAATGTTAGTGTTTGGTTATATATCGCTATCTACTATCTATCGGCTGACAATACAAACTTGATATTATTATAACTGAGATCCAGTGATGTGATGTGTGCTTTTGTTTGCAAGACATCAACAGGGATACGCTCAAAGTCTTGTCCGGGTAATGCTAATGTATCCATCGTCATTTTTTACTCTTTCTCTATTCTATTTTCTACTCTTTACGACTACGTCGGTCTTTTCTCTCTCTAACTAGTGCTCGATGATTGATCCAATTGTTTTGACTTTTATTCAAACTACTGTACAAGATCTGAATAAAAGTTATATTTATATCTACACAAACTAACTACACTACTGTTGCTGATGGATGTTTTGATTGGTAAGAGAGAGTAAGTAATTAGTGTGGTGGGTGATATTAAGCGGAGCGAAGGGTAACTCATAAAACGGTGTTGTGTGAAAAAACAATTAAAATTCGAAAAAAAAGGTTTTGAAAATTCGATAGAGTTGGTTGAAATCAATCAGCTTCCATTGGAATCGAGAATTCCCTTTTTATTGTGAACTGTTGTTGATATTTAAATATCCCGATGCCTTGCCTCAATATATCTATTTTTATTATATCATTCCAGGGACATCCGATTCAACGAGTACACCTCCAACACTGCGTTGCTGATCGTCATCATCATTGTTGTGGTGATTGGATGTAAAGTCAACATCATTTGGGTCGCTGGAAAGTGCCTCTAAACATCTTTGAATAAACAATAATGATGGTTTATCATTTGGATAAATATCATTACAATACTAGAAAATCACAATTGAGATTAGTAAATAGGAATAGGAATTGAATACAATATGTTGGTATTTTTTGTTTTTGTTATTGTTTTTTAGAAACATACACGGAAATAATTTAAAGCTTCTTCAAATCGATGACTTTTAAAATATTCAATGCCAGTGGTATAGGGTTCTAGAATAGAAAGTTTTAAACACCGAATATTTTCTTTTTCTCCATCGATTACTTCATAAATATCGACTGCTTCACTCTTTCCTTTTACTTTGACACTATCTACTAGACGAATATTGAATTCATCAATCGAAGTTCCAATAGCTTCCACTGTAAACTGAGTGACCAATATTCTTGATCCGTATTCTTTACAGAGTGGTTCTGTTCTAGATGCAAGGTTTACAGCGTCTCCAAGAGCAGTTGGCTCCATTCTAGTTTCAGTTCCAACAATGCCAATAATAGTTCTTCCAGTATTGATTCCAATACCAGTTTCGACATAATTAAATCTAAAACCACTCTCTGACATGAAATCCAATGATTTCATCATTCCAATAGCCGCTTTTACAGCTGATATGGCTTGTTCTTGTACATCTGTATGTGGGAAAATTGCCATAATAGCATCACCTATAAATCTAAAATAAAAAATAAAAAAGGTTAATTTTGATGGATATATGAACTATGATTGTTTTTCTATATATATATATTTACTTGTCAATAAAACCACCTTTTTCAGTGATGGCAGGAATTGCAAAGGCTAAATAGGTGTTTAGAAAATCAATGATATCATCTACCAACATTTTTTCAGTGGTAGAGGTAAAATCTCTAATGTCAGAGAAAAAGATGGTGATTGTTTTAGATATACAATCACCTAGATATACATTTTCCATACCAAGTGGAGCAATCAATTGTTGGAATTCTATTGGAACAAATCGACTGATAACATTTTCCAAATCTTGTAGTCTCTTTTGACTTCTTCCTTTTGGTGTTTTTAAAATGTTTAGGTTTGTAGTTCCACCTCCTCCCATTTTTACACCAATAATCTTTGAATTGAGTGTTGTACCACTTAGATGTAGACCATCCAAAAGACTTAGATCTTGTTCACACGGTTCATGACCCAATGATCCCTTTCTTGTAATCGAAGATGAAGATGAAGTTGTCGAAGAGGTTGATGATACTAACATCTTTTTGTTTGATTGTTGTTGTGGTGTTGATGATGAAGTTTGATTGTCTTGTTGTTCCTGTTGTTGTTGTTGATCTTGTTTATCAGATGAACCACTACCAATCAACATTGAATCAATATTGGTTGGTGGTGTTGATGATAGTTGTAATTTTGGTATTATATTATTTACAACATTATTATTTTGATTATTTTGATTATTATTATTATTTACATCATTATTAGAATTTACATTATTATTTTGATTATTATTATTTTGATTAATATTATCTTTCTTTTCTTGAAAAGATAAAAGAGGAGAAAATATTTTTTGAGGAGAATACATATCCTTTTTCTTTTTCAAACCTAGATCCAATAAAAAGTTTGTAATAAAGTCTGACATGCTCTCTACATTGACACAAGAGGTAAGACCGGCACTTTTAGACTTGACCAACAAATCATTGGTAATTGGTTTGGTCGATATACCAATGATGGGGATATTTTCGACAAGCTTTGACGTTACGTATTGTGACATGTTGCCAAGTGAATCTCTTCTCTTTGATATTCTAGATTCATTCGTGTCACCAATCGTTCTTTCTTTTCTTTCTTGTTGACGAATGTTTTTAGCCACTTCGAATCCAGTGAGACCTGGTAAATCCAAGTTGACTAGAATAACATCATAATAGTTCTTTTGTGCCAATGACACTACATTGGATCCCTCACCTGCAATTGTATATATATGATTGAAAGGTTTGATGATGGATTGGACTTGATTCTGTATTTCTTGGTTGGATTCGCCCATTAAAATTCTAATGGCCGACCTAGACGTATCGATAAATGGGTATTTGGAGGGCTTTCTCGCTGATGGAAGCATTGGTGACTGTATAGAGATGATATTGTATGCCTGTGATATTCCTTCCAACAGTTTGTTTGGTGTCAATGGTTTGGTAATACAAGTAAACTTGTACGATTTAAAATTTTGTAACAATAAATCAGATGGTGACAATAATAATATTAATTTTAATTCATCAAATATTGGATTATCTCTTAACATTTGAATTGTTTCTAGTCCGTCTAAATAAATAAATAAATAAATAAAATAAATAAATAAATAAATAAATATAAATAAAAATGAAGATTATCTTTTTCTTTTTTTTCTTTCATGACTTACCACAACCAGACATATGATAATCAACCAAAACTACTTTAAATGGTTTTAAAAGAGTAATTGCCAATTTTAATTCACGAATAGCCTCGACTGTACTTGATACGCAATGAATATCAGATTGAAATTGACGAAGTATGATTTCGGTAGAAGATTTAACAACGGTATTATCATCAATTAAAAGTATGTTTAGACCAGTCATGATTGTTTTTTGTTCATCGGTCATTCTAAATGGATTGTTAATCTTGTCATCACCGGTAACCACAGTTCTATCTTGTTGTAGTGTCAATTTTGAAGAGAATACCATTCCTCCTCCAAAGTTGTGCTTTGCTTCAAATGAACCTCCCATGATCTTTACAATCTTGTTACAAATAAACAAACCGAGACCTGTTCCACTTTCATTCGTGTCTACACCATTATTTGGCTTTAGATTATTATTGAGTGGAAATGGTTGAAACTCATTACATTTGGCAAGTTGTTGATCAGTCATACCAACACCAGTATCAAATACCGATATCTCCAAATTGATATGATCGTCATCTGGTGAATCCAATAATATTGGTTGTTTTGATACCATTACTCCAATCTCTCCAAATTCAGTATATTTAATTGCATTATTTAATAATTGTAATATCATTTGTAATATTGGTGATGGATCCTAAAAAAACAAAAAGAAAAAGAAAAAGAAATTATATAAATAAAATGATGATTCTTATGTTTCAACCCTATTCTATTACATACACCAATAATATTTAAAGGAACATTTTCTTCAACTTTAAAAACCAATTCTATTTCATTATTTTTTAATTCTTTAGAGATTACATCAAATACCTCTTCCAGTAAAAAATAAATATTAAATGATATATCTTCTCTCATCATTATATCACCTGATTCAATCTAAAATAAATAAAATAATTATAAATATTAATATTCTCCTTTTATACATATATAAATATCAACTTACAGCTAAAACCAATTTAATATCATCTAATAAATTTAAAGTTTTGTTTGAATGAAATTGAATTGAATTTGAATAATGTCTTGCTAATTTATCCAAATCAATACTTGATAATCTCATACTCAAATTTGATACTAAATTAAATTAAATATGGATGTATTAATATATAGATTGATAGATATTATATATATATATTTGTTTTGTTTTTTACCTTGAGTAGTAGAAATTAATAAATTATTTACAAATTTTTGAGTAAAATCTAATCTTTCCATCATTTGTTGAGTTCCATTTTGATAGACACGTTTAACAAAGTCTGATTGTTGATTGAGTTCAATTGAAAGTCGACGATGTAACTTTTCACCTTCAGCTCTCCATCTTGTATACTTTTCACTACTGGCAATGAGTACGTCGATCGATAGCCCACAAAAGAAGGCGACGGTAGAGACGACATTCAAAATGTAGAATATTCCCCCTCCATAGGGGTTGGTGTAGTATTCCTCGGGTGTCTTTCGAATGTCACCCGACAATGATCTCTCAAAAGTGTAGAGAGCAATGGCAATCTGGCCGACCAAACTTGCAACAGCCATAATAGTGTATGGCTTTCTTACCTGGAGATGGTAGAGTAATGAAAGTACAGACAGATAGAGAATGGCAAATAGTCGTACCATTGATTCATTGATATGAAATATTTCATTGGGTGTGTCAAATATAAAGTCTCGTACTGTAATCCAAATATAATGTATGAGAGTGTGTTTGTGGTGGTCTGCAGTTGCTCGACTCGTCCCAACAATCAGTGTCGTCAGACCAAAGATAATCATAAATCCAATCAATACGAAAAAGAGTGATATCAAGACACCCTTCATTGTGTCACGTGTTCTCTTACTCTTTACAAACTGTCTTGTCCATACTACTATTCTTTGGATTGCATATCTTGGTGAAAGTAATATATTGGTAACTCCTATTGTATTGTCACCATAGTTGCTGTTGTTGTTGCCATTGACATCACTATTATCAAATGACTGTGATGGTGTGATGGATGGCGAGTCTATTGGTGTAGGTGTTTTGAGTCGAGCCGAATCACCTCTTTGAAAGATGGGTGGTTGGTTTTGTGTCTGTCCACTACCACCACCACCACTCCTGGTACTTGGCACAAACAAGAGTAATGCCACTACACATATGGTCACACAGTTGGTATAGTTGATGCTATATGGTTCGAGGAACGGGTGATCATGTATCAAAGTGTGAGCCAAAAAGCAAACAGACATGAGCAACGGAAATAGATCGCGTCGGATGGTATAATGAAACAATGATGAAATAGTCATCATAAAGCTAATAATAATCTCCAATCCAATCACATTGCACCATCCACACCCCGAGTTCTTTGCTATCGGTGTAAACATCAACGGACCAACAGAAAAACTACAAAACAATAATATTAAAAAAAATAATATTTGTACCAGCCTAAAACAAATAAATAATGTTAGATATATAAACTATTTGTATTCTTTTTCTTTTCTTTTTCTTACCATTTATAAACTTCAACAGTAAAAAAAGCAAATGTAAAGTATTGAATAGAGGTTGATTGTCTTTCGGTTGTATTTATATTGGTAATGTTGTCATTTCTAAAGAGGTTGTTGAAGCTATCGATTGTCTTGTGTAAATGTTTCCTCGATATAAAAGAGTCACTGGGAAGATGAACAGGTGGTTGTCGCGTCCGTCTGTAGATCTCTTCGATTTCATCCTCGTAGTCTTGTTCGTCGTCGGGCACGAATTCGTCACGTCCCGGATAAGTAGATTTCCTAAAAGACAACGACGACGTTGCCGGGTCACTTGAATTCAATCCAAAATTGAATCGAGACGACGGCGGTGTTGTTGTACTAATAGGAGATGTTGGAGAGGAATGTGAAGTGGTGAATTCATTGAGAAGGTTGTTTACCTTTCTATGTCTAATCCCTCCTCCACCTCCTACTCGTTCTCCTCCTCCTCCTCCTCCTCCTCCTCCAGCATTCGATGAAGAAGAGGATGATGAAGGTGATTGATTACGGTTTTCCATTAAATTCAAACCAATGAGCTATCTCTCTATCTCTCTATCTCTCTCTATCTATCTCTATCTCTCTCTCACTATCTATCTCTCTCGACTCTGTCTCTCTCTCTCTCACTCTCTTTTTGTAGTACTCTTCTTGTCTATCTGATGGTGGCAACTACATAAATGAATAAAACGATAAGGTTGGTTGGTTGGTTGGTTGATTGTACTAACAATATTTAAAATGATGTGATATATTGTTATTTTATATTGTTATTATTGCTCAGATGCAGCAGTGACTATTGGGTGTTGGTATTTATGATTAATACAATATGTTGTATGGGACAAGATGGATAGATGTGTACAATAACAACAACAACGAAATGTATGGGACAAGATGGATAGATGTGATAACAATAACAACAACTACTACAAAGGTCAGATGTGATTTGATTGGATAATAATAAAAATAAACACGCCAATTAATAATGCAAAATACTAATTTCACCCAATATTTAAATTAAAATATTTTTAATAAAAAGAAATTAGTATTTTGGAAGCAAAGCTTTATTTACTACCCGCCCACACACATACACATACACTCGATATCCAATCCAATACGTGTATCTACACATCCTAGAGGATATATGCGTGTGTGTGTGTGTGTGTTTGTTTGGTGTGTTCTGCATGCGGAAACGAGTAGTGGGGGTGTGATTGATTGCTAGCCAGACATCTTGGGAACCCAAATTAGTATTAATATTCGTTGTGGTATAACATCAATGAAAAATAATAGTAAATCATGATCATCAAATACATAATACATATGAATAATAATTATTATTCTTTTACTTTTGATTTAGATGGGGGGGTGACAAACTTTCATTGAGCTCAATGAATGTACCTACTCATACATCGAATGACTTATGTCTCGTTCCATACCTACCACGCTACCCAGCCTGGTATGAGATACCATGGTAGAGTAGAGTACCCTAGGGAAATTGAAAGCGCAATTGTTATGGAACTTCATTTTGATTGTTGCTTTGTGTATCATTAGATTCAATAATTATGTTGAACTGTATCTTTCTATATCTACTTTCTAGACAAGTCTTGTCTATGTACAGATAAACATGTTTCAAAGATAAATACAATGTTATTAAAAAAAAAATTAAAAAATTAAAAAAAGTTGAACATCATCACCCATTTAATTTGTTCTTTTTTGATGATTATTGATTTTCATTATTATTGTTTGTTGTACATATACATATATATATATATTAGAAATATAAAAGAGAGATAGAATAGAATAGAATGGATTCAGATTACTCTTTTTCATTAACTACTTTTGCACCATCAGGAAAGTTGGTACAAATCGAACATGCTTTACATGCTGCAAGTGCTGGTGGTTCAGCTATTGGTATTAAAGGTAGGAGTTTATATATATATATATGTTATGATAGATAGAATATAGATACCACCGATAGATAGATCGATAAACACAGATACACAATAAGTATAGAACTGGTTTAGCTAATTATATACTTTCTTTCATTCTTCTTTAATCTTTCTCATGATCTCTCTCTAATTAGCTAAAAATGGTGTTGTTATTGTAACTGAAAAGAAATTGCATTCATTGGTTGATGGATCATCGGTTCAAAAGATATCAACCATCACAGAGAATATTGGTTTGGTCTACGCAGGTATGGGACCAGACTCTCGTGTATTGATCAAAAAGGCACGTAAAGAGGCAGAGAAATACTTTAAATTGTACAGAGAAAAGATTCCAGTTCTTCAATTGGTTAGAGAGATGGCTAGTATCATGCAAGAATATACTCAATCGGGTGGTGTACGTCCATTTGGTGTTTCATTATTGGTTGCTGGTTTCGATGACAAGGGTCCACAATTGTATCAAGTCGATCCTTCTGGTTCTTATTTTGCTTGGAAGGCTACTGCTATTGGGTAATCGTCATATAACAACAACAACAACTAAACACAATACAATATATACTAACATTTGTCTATTTTTAAAACCTATTTACAGTAAGAATATGCCAAACTCAAAGACATTCTTGGAGAAACGTTACAATGATGATTTGGAATTGGAAGATGCTGTCCAAACAGCTCTTATTACATTAAAAGAAGGATTTGAAACTCAAATGACAGAATCAAATATGGAACTTGCTATGATTGGTGCTGATAAGAAATTCAAAATTCTTACTTCATCTCAAATTGGTGATTACCTTCAAAACTTGTAATAACTTTTTTTCAATATTCCTTTTTTTTTAAATCATAATAATCAAAAATAATAATTATATATAATAATAATAATAACCTTCGGTAAGGTCGAACCTTTCAAAAGTAAATAATAAACCGTAACTCAAAAAAACAAACAAAACAATATAATCATAATTATAATAATAATGAATGATCCTGTCAATAGTTCCAAAAAATATATTCTCTTTCTTTCCTACTGATTAGGTCGATCCCTCCTCCGAATAAATATGAATGAATAATAACCTCATTTATGTAATTATCTAAAATTGCTATTTTTGTGATTTTTTGGTGTTGATCTTCAAGTTTGGGCTTCACTGACATCATCATTAAATATCACACATCTGAAATATATAAATAGATAGATAATGTCAACTCCAAAGAAGAAGTCTTCTTTGTCTTCCTCTACATCGAGTAGTAGTAGTGGTAGTTCATCACAAAACAAACAAGGAGGAGGAATCATTTCCAAGATTATTAGTGTTGTAACAAATCAAAACAATGTATTACCTATTGCATTGATTCTATTCCTTGGTGAAATAGCATTAAACTATTTAATCGTTACAAAGAGAGCTTGTTTGTATCTAAAATGAAAAGGAGGGTTATATATCATCATTTACTAACTAAAAGATCATTTGTTCTAAATCTAGATACCAATATTGATTGGGAAGCATATATGGAACAAATCGATTTGTTTGTCAATGGTGAACGTAATTATATGAAGTTGGAAGGTGGAACAGGACCTGTTGTATACCCAGCAGGTTATATCTATGTCTATACTGCTTTATATTGGTTGACCAATCTAGGTCAAGATATTAGAGTGGCTCAATGGATATTTGTTGCATTATATCTTACATTGACTCTTGTTGTATTCTTTATTTATAATAGATCAAAATCGGTATGAAATAATCAATAATAATAATAATAATGATGAAACAGTTTTAGATTAACTCAACTCTACTATCTATCTATCTATCTCCACTTCTATTAAGGTACCAGCATATGCATTAACATTTTTATGTATTTCTATTAGAGTTCATTCAATCTTTTCATTGAGATTATTCAATGATGGTATTGCAATGTTATTATTCTATGTAGCATTGTTGTTGATCATCAACTATCGATGGTCGTTTGGATGTCTATTTTTCAGTTTGGCAGTATCCATTAAAATGAATGTATTGTTGTATGCCCCTGCACTCCTCCTACTACTCGTACAAACATTTGGTTTCTTGGGTGCTATTCCAAAGTTGGTCTTGTGCGCAGTCGTACAGGTCGTCCTAGCCGCCCCCTTTTTACTCTACAATCCAGAGAGCTACTTGAACCGTGCTTTTGAATTCTCACGTCAATTCCTCTTCAAATGGACTGTAAACTGGAGATTCATCCCCGAGGATATCTTCCTTTCCAAACCATTTGCTCTTGGACTCTTAACAATTCACCTTTTATTATTAGTTATCTTTTTACTCTTTAAATGGACTAGGTATGAAAAAATATAAAATAGAAATTGAATAGATTGATTGAATAATGTATCTTGTATCTAACCATTTCTTTTTTTAGACCAGAAGGATTATTTAAATCAATTAGATTTGGAGAATGGAGAAATGTTGGTGAAAGAAAATTAAATGTTAGATATATGTTGTTGGTCATGTTTACAAGTAACTTGATTGGTGTCACATTTGCAAGATCACTTCACTACCAATTCTATGTATGGTACTATCACACCATTCCATTCCTTCTCTGGCAAACCCGTCTCCCAGTAGTTGTTCGTGTTGCCATCATCGGTGCCATTGAATATTGTTGGTACAAATATCCATCTACCAATCTAAGCAGTGGATTATTATTGGTTTGCAACCTCGTAATTATCTTTTCATTATTATTCCTATCATCAATCAATGAAAAGTTTGTAGTAGATCAAAAAAAGAAACAAAAATAAAATAGACTATACCATGCAAAATATATTATTATTGTAGATGGATGGATGGATGGATGGATGGATGGATGGATGGATTCGTTATTTATTCTATTCTTGATTTAATTCTTTTTCATATCAACCTCCCAATCTGCGTGCCAATCGTGAAGAAGGTCATTGATCAATTCTCCTACGGTAGTCTTAAACATATAAGATTTTTGTGCATTTTGTTTGTTGGTTGTCATCACTTGAATTGAAAATGATGAAGATGTATTATCCCAACAAATAATATCTTTATAATTATGTGATACAATTTTCTATAAATATAAAATAAAACAATCATTATTAGAATATATATATATCAATTAATTGATTTTCATCTTCTTTTCTTACCATAACTTTTGGATCAATAATATGGAAACCATAACTATTAATACCAATTCTAACACGACCTTCAAAATCTTGAGTAAAGAATGAAGTATTGACAGGAACAAACTTGGCATTGAAAAAGGTGGATTGATAATAGATCCAACGTTGACAAGACTCGAGATAAGCCTTTTTTAGTTGTGAAATATTGGATCCACGCAAGAGCACGTGTTGTGGAAGAACGATATTCTCCCACTCGGCAGCTGTATGCTTGGAAACAAGATGTTGGGGTATGTAACGATTGAGTGACTCGCGTAAATGCATAGTATGTTCCTGTTTGTTGTCTCCTACGTTGACTTGGAGTTGAATCGATGCCAATTTTACGGCAATATCCTCTTCGCAGGGATAGTTGCTTTGTACGACATGATGTACGGCTTGAATATACAATAGATGAATTGCTTCGGGTGATGATACATTTTTCTCGAGTTGAAGTGGTAGTACCGATGTGGCACGATACACCAATCTAAACATGCCAACCTCACCCAACGTTGGAAACGATGCATGTACCTTGTTGGACTTGTGTTCAATAGCAACGGCAGTCGACATGGACTTGCTTTGCTCCTTTTCCTTTTTACTGCCACGCAAACTTTCCAACAACGACGATGATTTTCTTCCAAGTGTTGGTGTCAATTTCTTCAGTGTCGCTCCAGGTGACAATGGAGGTGAATCTGCTCCATTTGGATTATCTATATATCTACTCTTGATAGCATTCCAATTATTAATTACATCTGATATCTTTTGATGATTATATAATAACCATTCTAGAAAATAGAAAAAGAAGAAAGGAAATGTTAGGTGGATATTGATTGACCAACTACTATGTAGATCTATCGATGCACATACCAATTTCATCACTTTGAGCCCAAACAAAGAAACATTCGGCATCTCTATTATTGATTCCAACCTTTTCAGAAACCATATCCCAAAGTTGTTCACCATTGATGGTGTTTGGATCGATGGATAGAGTCTTGTGCGTATCATCTATAAAATAGATACGCAATATCACTTGATTTGGTTTCATTGCCACATTTGGAGATGACGATGATGGAGATGAAGTCTTTGACGATCCATCATCATGATGAATTGGGTTCACTTGATTAGATGAAGATGATGATTCTGATTCTGCATCTATCATTTCTTGATGATTCATTTAACTATCTATCTATATTACACTTTGTTTTTGTCTATTATTACACTGCTTGTTTGCTATCTATTTTAAAATATACAATATATATTCAGTATTGTATTGTATTGACTTGTATCCTCTTTATATGACTTTAGTATAGAAGAAGAAAGGTGTTCACATGTGTGTTTATATAAGAGAGACGAAAGAAAGGAGTTGGTTAGGGACAACTAAACTATGTTTTGTTTGTTATTTCTGCTGCTTGTTGTTATGTTTTGTGACAACAACAAGTTATATTTAAAGATTTAACTTGATAGATATATATAGAGGTAGGTAGAACTCTATGCATGTGTGCAAATAGAAGAAGTGAAAAGATAGATAGAGGAGGAGGAGGAGGATGGCTGTGGGTGCTGATTTAAAAATAAACTTCCCTTTTCTCCTCTCCCTCTGTCACCACACCACCACCACTCGTACACACTACCCTAGATACATACAAAGAAAGAAGCCCAATTAGGTTTGATTGTGACTTTTGTTGTTGTTGTTGGAGGATGACTATTACAATTTGATTTGACTGGTTGGTTGATTGATTGATTCCTTTTCTTTCTCTCTCTCTTTCTCTTTCTATCACGATGAAATTATAAGAATAATCAATGCAAAGCCAAAGAGCGGATTATTTCACTGTGTCAGTTGATTTTGGAATGTTTATAAATATTTTTCGATCGAGATTAGCCTTTACAACCGAGATTTTTTACTCAGACTTTTTAAGCTTGGTACAATGAATACACGAAAAACAAAGAACTAGTTTAATATTATTATTATTTATTATTATTTTTAATTTTTTAAAGGGGATATTTATATCATTCCACAACAATATAGGTGTTATTATTATCATTATTAATTAATTTAAAAAGTTTCTTCATCTTCACCGTCGAGTGGAATATCTTCTTCGTCATCCAAATCCAATGGAATTGATCTGCTTGGAGTTGGTGGTTGTGGCTGCAATGGTTGTAATTTGCTTGGTGAGGATGCAGGTGATGGAGTTTCAACTTGGACAAATGATGATGGTGAACTAGAGTTTGATTTTGGTGATGATACAAATGTTGGTTGTTGTTGTTGTGGTTGCAAAGGAGTAGTAGGTTGTTGTTGTTGTTGAATAGGACCAAGATTTAATAAACTTTCCAATGAATCATCCTTGGCTGGAGTTGGAGTAGAATTGAAATCAATCAATAGATCGTTTTGAGTGTTGTTGTTACCATTGACAACTGGTGATGATGATGCTTGTGGATTCAAATTTAATCCACTTAGGAGATCCATGACAGATGCTGCTGTGGTTGTGGTGGTGGCTGGTTTGAGACTACCACGTTCTTGAGAGACAGCTTTTTCCTTTTCCAAAGCGGTATCGTAGCCTGGGAATAGATTTGGATATTCACGTGGATTGGCGATGGATTCGGCGACACGAGCGCTGACCGACTTGAGGCTCTCTCTCCACTTTTCGACAATCTCGGGTAATTGCGAGGGGAGGTAGGTGCGACTCATAAAAGCAGCCTCTGAATAGGCACCATTGTTGATGAGAATGTTGAGACACTCGTTGAGTTGGCCGGGCAACAAGAGGTTGCAGAGGAAGCTGATGTGTGTCTGTCCGCGCTTGTCGGCCAGACCAGCCAACTCTTGCACGCCCTGGTGGCTGCCAATCGAGATGTAGAGCAAGAGGAGACCGGGTAAATCGTCGGCCTTTTTGAGACAGCTCTCGGCCAAGGCAATGTCACCACGGATGAGGGCAAGGTCACCGAGTTGACGACTCTTTTGCTCGGAATCAGACTTGATGGCAATCTGGTGGGCAACCTCGAGGTTCTCCAACTGGATGGCCAACTCAAACTTGTGGTCGAGGTCGAGCGACATGTCCAACGCCATCTCCTTGTGTCCTTGCGACTCTAAAAAGTGTGCAATGCTATTACGTTGTTCCTGTGGCAAAGTTGATTGTAATTTTTCAGCAGTCTCAAAATCTTCTCTTAAAATGGCAGTTTGATAATTAATAACATTTAAATGTAATGTATAACTAACAATATTCATATTCTAAAAATTGAAATAGAAAATAAAGAGTAAGTGATTTGTTGTTATTTTGTTGATTTGTTTGTTTGTTTGTTTGTTTGTTTGATACAATACTCTATCAGATAAATATAATCTACCAGTTTCAGAGAGATAACCAAGCAAGTACATATGAGCATCGAGATGAGCAATAGTGACGACTTCAGTACCAACACAATAGTTTAACTTTCTATTTTTGTTGGTGTAGATAAAGCAATCACCAACCCAACAGGCAGTTCCAACTCGTTCTTCAATTTCGTGAACCATTTCAAAGGCATCTTCAATACCTTCGACTTGGATTGGTTGTCCACTTTCAAGATACTTTGTAACAGCATCCTTGTTATATCTTAAAATAAAAGTAGATGATTCTGTAGTAATAGCTAATTGTTCTCCATCTTCAGACCAGAAAATCTAAAATTAAAGGGTAAAGATGTCAATATAAATATAACTCTTGTCTTTCAATCTTTTTACTCTTCTTTTCTTCTTCTACTTACATTTTTTGGACAAATTTCAATTCTACGAATAACATCACAAGTTTCCCAATCATAGAAACAAACAAAGCTATTTGATCTAACTGCCAATAAACTACCACCAAAAATACCTTCAGCTGAAAATGCTGGTTTAAGACTATGAGTTTCCTTGAAATTTTTGAAAATCTTTACTCTTGATGAACTTTCTCTAACACCATATCTAAATAATAATAAGAAAAGGAAAGGGTTAATACAAATGATCATTATATCATTATTGTTGTCGACTTACTGTCCAGAATCATCAGACCAAACAAATTCAAGAGCTTGACCAAAACTCTTATTTCTCCAAGCAAGAGCAGTGTAAATGATAAATTCACCATCACCACAGACGGCAACAAAACGTCCATTACTATTGTGAGATAACTTTTGTGGTAAGATTTCACAGTTACCCAAATCCTTGACTTGAACAGAGTTTAATCTTTCACCATCTTGTCCTCCTTGTTCAAAGGTTGTCTTTAGATTGGAAATTTGAACTTCTTGATTCTTGGCCCAAATAATCTTACCACCCTTATCCATACTAATTGGTGGTCTATTTTTACCAAGCTAAATAAAAAGTAGTTGATCATTAATATATATTATTATTTGATATTAAATTTCACTTTCTTTTCTTTTCATTTGCATACCTTTAATACAACAGTACCATCATCATAACCAAGACCAACAAAGTTTGAACCACGTAAGAAGCTCATAGCCCAAACATGACCCATACCATAATTCAAAGTCTTTTCAAGACGATAAGTGGCAGAGTTCCATATTTTAACAGTACCATCTTCAGAACCACTGAGAATTAATGGTAGTTCGGGATGGAAACAAACAGTTGAAACATTATTACTATGTCCTTCAAGTGATTGAACACATGTCTTTGATTGATAATCCCAAATCTTTACAAGTCTAAAAAATAAATAGAAAAAGAAAGGGATTAATATGTATATTTAATATTTAGTATGATTATTTGTTAGTTATTTACCTATCATCAGAACTTGAAATTAAATAAGGTTTCTCACCACCAGAAAAGTATTCAACACAATTGACACCCTTTTCATGACCTTCAAGGGTGAAATGTGGCATTGGAGTGGTGAGACCCCAAACCTTGATGGACTTGTCGAGAGATGCAGAGGCAAAAACATTTGTGTCCTTTGGGTTGATTGCAATCGACATGACATAGTGAGAGTGACCTTCAAAAGTCATAATGTTGTTCCATCCCTTCTCCCAGTCCCACAACTTGATCGACATGTCATCCGACGACGACAAGATGTATGGTTGTGTTGGATGAACGACGATGCATCTAATGTAATCGGCATGTGCTTCAAATGATTTGATCTTTTCCATCGTATTGTAGTTGTATACACGGATGTTGGTGTCATCGCTACCAGTGACGACCCACTGCTTACGTGGAATAAACTTGGCGGTACGAACGGGATTGTCTGGTGACACCTCGAATGACTTTACCATGTTTTGTGTCTCATAGTTCCAAATGTATACATTGCCATTGTACAAACTAGCCAATATCCATGGTTCAGTTGGATGAATATCTACAGACTTTACACGATCTGATCTAGTTGATAATTTCTTTTTAATATCAAGTCTAATTGGCTAAAAGAAAAGAAAAGAAAAGAAAAGTAATGTAATATATAGAAGAAGGAAGAAGAAGAAGAAGTAAAGGTAATGTATAACAAACACATATGTGATATCAGTATACTAATCGATAATAATAATATGTCTTTTTAAAAAGTCTAATCATCACTTACCATGGTTTATCTATATCCTCTTCTTATCTATTACTACTACTACCTACTACTTCTATACTTTTTATTTATTTATATATTGTGTAATTGAATACAATGAGAGAGTGAGCGATGTGTAATATAGATAAGTAATGAATGAATGCTTGGTTTAGATTGTATTAATAAATGATGACAAGCTTGTTGATTTTAATAGTGCTTGCTCAGAGTTGCAAGTTCATCACCAATTTTTTTTTTTCAAAAGACTTTTTTTTTTCTCCCTCTTGAGTCACTGACTGTTTTTGTTAAAGAGGGTCATTTTTGAGACAAAGTTTGTGGAAATAGACCTGGAACCTAAAGAAATAGGTAGTACAGGTACAAAATCTTTGGTATTGTCTCTTTTTATGGCATTTCCAACTTAAACTCTTGGTATTATTCCATATTGTACCAAGTATTTAGATGAGTCATGATGTTGACCGAATAATTTCCACCCTCTTCCAAGGATTGATGAATCATATGATTATCTCATTCTCTTCCTACTCTGTTTCTTATTTGGTATAATTTATATGATTTATTTGGAAGCAGCAGCTTTTTTGGCGGCAGGTTTTGTCTTTTTGGCAGCTGGTTTTGATGGTTTCTTTATCAAAGCAACTGATAGATCATCGTCTGATCCAACTTCTATTGCTTCTGTCTTTGTAGTAGTCGCTGTGGTGTTATTACTATTATTATTATTATTATTAGAAGTTGATAAAACAACAGTATCTTCTTCTTCACTGTCACTATCGCTATCGATTTGAATTTTCTCTTTACTTTGATTCTTTACAACTGCTGCTGCTGCTGCTGTTGGAGCAACAACAACAACTGGTGCTGCTACTGCTACTGGTTTGGTAGTAGTAGTGGTAGTAGTAGTATCATCCTTCATTAAAATATCTGTATCCTTCTTTTCCTCTTTTACCTTTTGTTTTTCAACTACAACCTCTTGTTGTTTCTTTGGTTGTGTAGTTGTCTTTTTAATAGTAGTTGTAGTTGGTTTGTTTGGTGTTGTAGTTGTAGTAGTATTAATATTTGATTGTTTGTTGTCTTTTTCCTCCTCTTCTTTAATTGGTACTGTATATTCAACCATTTCCATTGGTTTCTTTCTTGTTTTCCTATAATTAATGTATACAAAATTAATATTGATTGATTGACAATATATTCTTATGTTATTGGGGACATACATTGATGAATTCTTATCTTTTATACTTTCATGTAATGCTATTCTAATCTTGTTTGTAATATCAAATGCTCTGTTGATTGCCATCTTTGAACACTTGATAACTTGATCGATCGATGTAGACATTCCACCCGACTTGCTAACACCACAAATCTCCTTGTGAACATTGACAAGGAAACTCAATTTGCCATCAATCACCATCTCCTCCTTTGCGTCGGGATCGACAATCATCAAACTGTCTGGGAAGAATCCAAATGTCACAGATACTGGGTAATGATGAATACTCAATGGTACAGGTTCTCTTTCTTCTAATGTATGCTAAAACAAACAAACCAAACATAAATAGGTCGAGTTGTTAATATATAATATATAATACTCTATATTATTGTGTAATATAAAATATTGGGATTACATACAATAGTTGCTTCATTACCAACTAGGGTAACATCAGGTTTTCTAAAATGTAGGAGGGCAGTGATAACAGATATACTAGCACAATCCAATAGATTACCGCAATCGTCTAGTATATGAATATTGGTGACGATACGCCACACCTTTTGTCCAGCTACAATACACAAAGCCTCTGTATCGATAGCACGACTCTCCTTTAATCCACGTTCAACCAATCTGCCCAACTCTAGTTCAGCAGGATTACTTCTACCAATGTCTACCTCTACGTTTGACATTTGTGATATATTGGTGTTGAATACAAAGAATCCTTCATTTGGTCTTTCTGGTCTTGGTTCTGCAACTTCACATGAAACTGATGTATATACTCTTTAGAAGATGATCGTTGTTAGACAATGACATGAAGTAGCTATCTTGGATTGTTATACTTATACTACTACATACCTTGTTCTTCCCAATTGAACCTCTACCATACCATACTCCTTACCAAAAGAAATCTTTACATCACGCATATCATCAAGTCGTCTACCATCGATACGTAGACCTTGTTGAATACTAGACAACATAAACTCTTTTTCATTCTTTGATAATACTTCTTTCATCTTTCTTTTGTATTTATATATATATTTATAAGTAACTTAAAGATCTAAAGTTATATATGTAGGTAGAGAGAGAGACGAACGTAATCACAAAACCCAAAAACGAATGAGCCGAATGAATCAAAGTATTTAATTTCCAAGCCAAAGCGAGAAATAAAGAATAGATAGATAGAATTATTTATTTATTATCATCAAGCTATATATATATATATATAGACGTATTTTTGAAATACACAAGATGAGTATGATTGAACTATCTCTCTCGGTCTCTGTCACAAGTCGAATGTCGTCATTGGTTCATTTGCAACAAACTTAAGTTAGCACTGGATCAGTTACTAATAGATATCTATGGCTTTGCTGTCATAATCAAAGAAAGATTATGTATTATATATATCATTGGCATTAATATAATTATAAATCATTGGATGGAATCATTATTTGTTGGTCATAGCAATGAAAAAAAAAGAATTAAAAAAAATTAAAATTCTCAAACGAAGGTGATCATAGCAAAGAGGTTGTTTTTGAAGCATTATTACATAATCAAGTAGTAGCTAATTGTACAATGTCGATTTCAAAGAGTAATATGTGATAGTAGATAGATAGAATTGATGTTTATTGGATGTTATGATCGTATTACTTTGTGCTGCAAGAAAAATATCTGATTGGTCATCATCATCATCAATCAACTTTGTCATATTAAAGGAACACAAAGAAACCAACCAACAACTAAAAGACAACAACAAAACAACAAGAGATAGTGATGATGATGATGATGATCAGATATACTACTCTTCCTGCTGATTGACTGATCAATCAAAGAAGAAGAAGAAGAAGAAAGAAAGAATAGTCTTTGCATGCAAAAAGAATAGTCTGATCAGACGACAATATAACTATCAGTCAATCAATCTGTGTCAATCACCATCTTTTCAATTTTTGTTGGTGTCTGACAGATCATCATCATCACACAACTATATAGATAGATAGATATAATCTTCTTTAAATGACAAGTTATCATTAACCACATTCTCTTTCATTCATTATATCAATATATATATATTAGATCATATTATATAGAAAAATGTTCTCAAGAGCTATCAGATCAGCATTCACCTCATACACTCCATCAATGATGGCCAGAACCTCTGCCCAAACCACATTCAGATACTACTCTGCTGGTGGTGCTCTCTCTGAAGGCGAAGTCTCTGAACGTGTCTTGGACGTTGTCTCAAAGTACGACAAGTGTGTTGGCAAGAAGGTCACCCCAGCCTCCACCTTTTCCGAACTCGGTCTCGACTCTTTAGACTCTGCTGATGTCCTCGTTGCCATCGAAGAAGAATTCAATATCGAAATCCCAGATGATGAAGCCGACAAGATCAACTCTTGCAAGGAAACTATCTCTTACATTAGAAGAACCCCAACCGCCAAATAAACACACAAATCATCCCATCAATCGTTTGGCATAATAATAAAATAATAAAAGTAGTATAGAATAATAATAATATAAAATCATATCATGTTATAATAGTGAGTCTGGATGGTGATTACCACATACTTCCAGCTCTCTTTTCATCCTTGGTACGATGATCATTACAAAAAATTTAAAGAAGAAAAAAAAATACAAAAAAAAGAGAGGGAAGTTCAAAGTGCTCATGCAGTTTAATATCTTAATAACACAAAAGATAAAGTTGTAAATATATATATAGGAAGAATGGGAGATTTATTATTACCATGGGTTGAGAAATATAGACCATCACAAATTAAAGATATTGTTGGTAATGAAGAGACTGTTTCAAGATTACAAAGTATAGCAATCGATGGTAATCTACCAAATATAATTATATCTGTATGTATACATATTATTTATTGTACACATTGCACAATCTATATATTGACACTATAGTTACACTTCCTATTCGATTTAGGGACCACCAGGAACAGGTAAAACAACATCAATATTATGTTTAGCACAAGCTTTACTTGGACCAGCTTATAAAGAAGCAGTATATGAATTGAATGCATCAGATGAACGTAAATTAGAGGTTGTTAGAGACAAGATTAAGAAATTTGCAGCTAAAAAGGTGACACTACCACCTGGACGTCACAAGATTATCATTTTGGATGAGGCAGACAGTATGACTGCCGGTGCACAACAAGCACTTCGTCGTATTATGGAAATCAACTCTGCCACTACTAGATTTGCATTGGCATGCAATCAATCGACAAAGATTATCGAACCCATTCAATCACGTTGTGCAGTACTTCGATACACTCGTCTGTCGGACGAACAGATTCTCAAACGTCTCAAAGAAGTGATGACCATTGAGAATGTACCATACCACGAGAATGGACTTGAAGCATTGCTTCATACTGCCGATGGAGATATGCGTCAAGCACTCAACAATCTACAAGCCACCCATAGTGGTTTTGGATTGGTCAATAACGATAATGTATTCAAGGTGTGCGAACAACCTCATCCAGCCATTGTCACTATGATGTTGTCTGCCTGTGCAGAATGCAAATACAAAGAGGCGTATGCACAGATGGATGTTCTCTGGTCAAAGGGTTACGCATCAACAGATATCCTCACCACCATGTTTAGAGTGTGTAAAACCATCTATGCCATACCAGAATACCAACGATTAGAATTTATCAAGGAAATCGGTATTAGTAATATGAGAGCTTCTGCTGGTATGAATACTTTGGTTCAACTTACAGGTTTATTAGCTCGTTTATGTGATGTTTCAAGAGTTATGATGAAAAAATAGAAGGAAATAATTAATAATTAATACAAAACAAATAAAAGAGAATTTAAATATGTCTTTTTTAATAGTAATAATAATAATAATAATTAAATGTTTGTAAAGTTTAATGTTTCTTTTTAAAGAGTAAATAATGTATTACCATTAATTAATGATTTCCAAGCATGATGAGTTTCTTCAATGACTTTAATGGTTTGATTATGATCGATTGGTTGTCCATTGAGAGCATATTCATTCTCACCTTTACCTTCTGCCACTTTATAAACTTTATACCAAGTTCTAATTTTATCAACTGTTCCAGGTAATACCTTTTCCAATTCATTTAAATCTAAACAACAAACAAAAATAAATTAGAATACAGATTTATGATTATATAACATTTGTCGACATACTATTAATTTTTGAAGCATTTTCATCATTTATATTGATTGCAATTACTTTCCAATCAGTTTCACCTTCATCAATAAGTGCCAAAGCACCCAATACTTTGACGGGAGTGATTTCACCTCGAGCCAAAACACTAGATCCAACCTCTACGACATCCAATGGATCATTGTCACCTGGCATATTGGTAAGAGTATCATTGGTATTTGGATTCTCCCATGTTTGTGGTAGACATCCATAATTAAATAAAAGATTACCATGTTTGATGTATCGTAGTTGTTGTTTCTTGATATCTTGTTTGATTGGGTTGTATTGTTCCTTTGTATTAACTTCCATCTTTGCATTACTATTCTTTGGCATTTCATTGATAAAGTTGAATAATAATGGTGATGATGATGATGAAAGAGACGAGATTGAGCTTGTTGAATGCAAAGGTACTTCATGCCATGGTGATATTTGTTTAGAGTCTTTAAAGAATTTAACTCTATATTCAAATGTACCAACTGTACCTTCTTCCTTTGCAACGATACCAGTACTATTACTCTTTGTTGAATAATATCTTAAAAAAGTATTATTAACATTATTAGTATTAAGAGGTAATACCTTTGATAATCTATTTAATATCATCTTTTTTGAAAAGTAACAAATAAAATGAAACGACACTGACAATCATCGTTTATCGCTTTGGCAAAGATGGTTTTAAAAAAAATAACATCAAGCTATAATATGAATCTTATCCACATGTGTAGATTCTATATATGATTGATTGGTTTATTCTAAAGTTTGGGTTTATACATTTGTGTTTTGTTGTTGGGTGTTTTGAAATTGATGATCGTCGTCGTACTTGTCTATTATTATTCGTTTGTTTGTTATTCTATTCTATTCTATTATTATTTTGTATTCTTATTGTGATTGAGATTTAACATTCTTATTAATTTCACTTAGAGGGATTGATGGACGTTTCTCTTTAAACATTGATTCTGGAACATGGTATGGGACGACTCCAAATGCCTTGAGATGAGCATTCTTCTTTGTGATTCCCTTCTTTGTTGATCTCTTTGACTTGTAAAAGTTGTCGTAAGAGTATTCGAATGGCATGGCCATGATCTTTGTCTTTGAAGCCTTGATGGTGGCTTCAATATCAATGTCTTGGTGCACCTTGATACCAAACAGCTTGTTAATGTCGCTCTTTGATGGTTGTGGAATCTTTGGCTTGGCTTCATATACAATCTCTTCTTCTTCTTGTTGTTCATCTACATCCTCTGATTGATCGTATTCATCTTCATCTTCTTCTTGTTCTCTTTGATTGTATCTTCTAAATGTGCTGTACATTGATTTTTGACTGCTGCTGTTCAAAGCACTCAAAGTTGTGGTTCCTCTTTGTGAACACTTTGTTATTGATGATCTAAGGTGTGATAATAACATATTGACTTTGATCTATCTATAATATATATATATATAAACTTATACTATTGTCTTCGTCGCAAACAATGAATGTCAGAGTACAGTCTTTTGAGCAGAGCAATGATCATTCGAAAAACGAAACTTTGGGTTGTGCAATAAAAAAAAACTATCCAATTTAGCTTTCTTGCACTTTATATCATTCTTGTATTTATAATATTAAATATAAAGAACAAAGAAGAAGTAGAGAGAGATGTTAAAAGACTTTGAATATTTATCAATTAGATATAAAGATGAAAAGTTAGAGATATTGGATCAAAGAAGATTACCAGATATTGAAGAATGGATGGAGAGCAAGACACCAGAGGACATGATTACATATATTAAGCAGTTGTCGGTACGTGGTGCACCGTTGATTGGTGTTGCGGCATCGGTTGCTTTATTTGTATATGTTCGCGATCATCCTGACGCGGATCGCAAGACGATTGTAGAGGTGAGCGATCAGTTGCGTAATGCAAGACCGACCGCTGTCAACCTCATGAACAACATTGACACGATGATTCAACTATCGCAACCCGATCAAGACAAGAGAGATTATAGTGCCGAGAAGATGGCCGAGTTGGCATACTCGATCGTAGAGGCAGAGGTTGAGATGTGTCGTCGCATGTCAGAGTTTGGTGCAGAGTTGGTTCAACAAGGCGAGGGTATCTTGACACACTGCAACACTGGTGGTGTAGCAACACCGGGTATGGGAACGGCATTGGGTGTCATCAGAGCTGCCCATCGTGCCGGTAAACAAATTCATGTCTATGTAGACGAGACACGTCCACTACTTCAAGGTGGTCGATTGACCACCTATGAACTCGAAAGAGAGCAGATCCCATACACACTCATCTGCGATAATATGGCAGCTACATTGATGGCTGCTGGAAAGATCCAACGTGTGTTGGTAGGTGCCGATCGTATCGCTAGAAACGGTGATTTTGCCAACAAGATTGGTACCTATAGTGTTGCCGTACTCGCCAAATACCATAATATCCCATTCCACGGTGTCGCACCGTGGTCGACGGTCGATCCTGCCTGTCCATCGGGCAAACACATACCCATCGAACAAAGAGCACCTCAAGAGGTCCAAGGTGCATCTGGCGCATTTGGAAGTGTCAGATGGGCTCCAAAAGATTCTCAAACTTTTAATCCCGCTTTTGATGTTACTCCCAACTCCCTCATCACCAGTTTAATCCTCGATACCGGTGTCTACGATTGTCAATCTTTTGAAAAATATGTTGAACAAATAAAAGGAAACTTGTCCTAAATCTAAAAATGTCAATTTAAACCTATTGCTGTATCCAACAATACATTGATTTGGTTTGACACCCCTCAGGCACTTTCTTGGACTTGATCAATTGAATCAATTAATCTATGAATTTGATTTATTTTAATAAAAGAAGATCTTGAACATTATAGATATCAGTTCTCTTTTGTTTGTAGACTGGGATGCTGTCACGCATTTCCTTGACCTTTGCAAAATCAATGTCTGCATAGATGATGGAGGGGTCGTGTTCGGTGGTGCTGATAACCTCACCCCATGGGTTGACGACGGAGCTGTGTCCCCATGCAGAGTAGGATGACTTGGGGTTGCGGGCTGGTGACACCATTGACACAAACATTTGATTGTCAACTGCACGCGATCTCATCAATAACTCCCAGTGCGCTGGACCGGTGGTCATGTTGAAAGCACCTGGATAGACGAGCATACTGCATCCGCGTTGTCCGTATAATAATGCCAATTCTGGGAATCGAACATCATAACAAATACCAATACCAATCTTGACGCCATTGACATCAATGACAGTGGGTGTGTCACCACGTGTAAGAGAATCACTCTCACAAAACTTGATACGACCCGGTACGTTAATATCAAAGAGATGTACCTTTCTATGTGTTGCTACCAACTCTCCAGATGGATTGAATACAGTGCAAGTATTGTATATGTTGTCAAGGTCACCTTGTGCCGAACGTTCGGGGATCGAACCACCAATAATCCATACACCAAACTCTTTAGCAGCATGACTCAACATTGTCGTTGTGTCTCCCAGATTGTTGGCATCAACAATCTCTGAATACTCTTTAAAAACAGCAGTTGAATAGGGACAATTAAAACACTCTGGCAAACAGATCAATTGTGCACCATTACTCGATGCTTCCTTGATTGCTTTGTATGCATTTTCTATATTCTCCTTTTTACTATCACCAACCAATAATTGTAATCCTGCAAACTTTAATTTATCCATCTTTGTAAAGGAAGAAGAAGAAGAAGAAGAAGAGTATTGTCTAATAAAACTATTAATTAGAGGATATGTTGTAATAGTTGAAGCTGAAGAAAAAGAAGAAGAGGATTTGTTATAATTGTAATAGTTTTTGTTGTTGATGTATGTCGTAGCTGTTGCTTGTAATCTATTACTATTACTATTACTACCTGATTTGATTGTTGTTAGAAGTGCTGATGATGATGATAGTCTTTTAAATGATTGCATCAATATATTATATTTAATTAAAAAAAAGTAAGTATAATAATAATTGGTTTCAAATTTGTGATCTTCAATATATTAATGACAATTATAATTAATTAATTATAATAATAAATGAATGAATAATAATCGCACAATAACTTGTCTGTTTGGATATCACATGATATTATTATCTTTTTTAAAATTAATTAAATTCTCTTTCATAACCATCCAACTTTACTTGTCTGTCTGGTGTTTGTTGTTGCTGTGTTTATAAACATCTATATATAAATTTAGATTTATTGTACAATAACTATAATTTTGTTATTCGATATGGTAACAACATATGTTTGATCGTTGAAAATAACTATAGATATATAATAAAAGTAGATGATGATAATGTGTTGTTAGAATACTCGATAACTATAAATATCTATTTAATCGTTTCATTTGTGTCGACATACTTGAAAGTCTCTTGAAATCTTGCTTGTTGGTAGTAGTGATATAGTTGACGTCTTGTAACATTGATAAAATGGTGCTAGCAAAGTCCTTTGATTCTGATTTTAATACTCCTTCGCTCTGTGTATATATCATTGTTATTGTGAGGGAGTTAGTATGGTATGGTTCTTGTCTAATATCATTTTCATTATCATTCCTCCTTCCCTTCCCTTCTTCTTCATTCTCCTTTATCCATTCATGTACACTGTATCTTTTGTGTTTGAGGATGAAGAAGGAAGGAGGGAGGGAACTGATAGACTATCTAGATATCTATATAACTAGTCGTCAAAAGATGATTTGATTCATACAGTTAAGATATTTCCTTCTGTGTCAATGGTCATTGAACCCTTGAAATCTTTGATTGCTTCTAATTCGCTCATTCTATATATATGTATCTGTAGTATGTATGTATACAAAATAAATACTTGTTCTAAAACCTTTTCTATCGAAGCGTGGAATGAGTCGACAAAAATATTCAATAAAAAAATTTATCGATTTTGAGCTAGTTTCCTGGACTATTAATACAATATTAATATATTAATATATAATATATATATGTACGGGGATACAGAGAAATGGGAATTTATTATTTATTTAAATTCTTCTTTAATATCATCTAAAAATGATTGAATTTTAGAGGTTGGTAATACTATAATCAAACCTTTACGATGAAGGTTTCCTCCCATTGTCCATTTACTAGTTTCATCTTCATCTTTATATTCATATGGTATATCAAATGTACTCCACATTGATGAATACTATCGTTTTTAAAAAAGGGAACAATTAGTTAAAGTACTGAAAAATATTAAATATTATATGTATATATATTTATATATATTATTTATACAAACCTTTTTGAAAAATTCATCTTCAGCTTTAAAGTAGTCACATTGACCAACTTGATTACGTTCCAATTTTTGTTGTTCTTCTTCTTCTTCTTCTTCTTGTTCCTCCTTTTTAGTTTTCTTTTTTGGTTGTTGTTTAGAGGTCTTTAAAGATGTTTTAGTTTCCAATTGTTGGTCTTGTTTAGTGTTGGCAGTGACACCATAAGAAGTTAAAATTAAATAATTATCAAATTTAAAATCATTTGTTATTCCTTGTTCCTAATTATTTTAAAAAAATCAAACAATTAATAAACTAACACTAAAATATACAATAATATTAATATTATTGATATACAAACATTTAATAATTCAATATCCCATTGAAGATATTGATGTAATGGATGAATAAGTTGATATGGAATATTTAAGAATCTTTCACTAAATACAATACCAACACTACTATCCTTTTTAGAAGTCTTTGATAGAGATTCTTTTAATAATCCATTGACAATATCAACAACTGATTGTTGTTTCTTGTGAATCTTGGTATCAATGTGTTGAGATTCAGATGTCTTTAACTTTTCCAAAATGTATTGAACAAAACCCTTTACAGCATCGTTGGTACTGTACTTTTTGTAAGAAAGAACCGATGCGAATCCATAGGGATCGTCATTGTGTTCGATACGAATAGCACGTCCAAACTTTGTCTTGTTGCATTGATCAATGATGAGATCGGTAATCTCTCCAGCATTAAACTTTGTTTCAGATTTCCATGGAATCAAACGAGCAAGCATTGCCTTGATCGAATGATAATCCTTTTCATTGACAGTTCCAATATCAAATCCAGCATTGAATTCTTCAAAATCAGAGTTATCTTGGTCGTCAGAGTCGCTATCTTGTTCATCACTATCAACACTATCATCATCATCGTCACTATCATCTTGTTCATCTTCACTATAGACTATACCATAAATATTCTCTTCTTCCTCTTCTTCCTCTTCTTGTTGTTTCTTTTTCTTTTTCAAATCAACCTTTTTCTTATTGTCTTGTTCTTGTTTTCTTTTCTTATTTACATCTTCTTTTACTACTACTGTCTTTGTTGTTGTCTTGTTATTATTATTGTTATTATTATTATTAGTTGTCTTTTTAGCAACGTTATTAGTTTGAGTTTGTTGTTTTACATTTGCATTTCCTTTTGTTGTTGTTTTAGCAACAGGTTTTGGTGGTTGTTGTTGTTTGGTAGTCGTAACCTTTTTTGTAGACATCTCCTTATTTAGTATAGTAACAGTTGATGATCTCGCGCGTTGTATGATGTTAGCAAGCAGTGAAAACGAATCGTTTTGTCATGACGAAGGTTGAAAAATTATAAATAAAAATAAAAATAAATAAATTACTCCCCAAAATTGGTGCTTTTGTGAACAGGCAAACAATAGTTTTCTTTTTTTTTCATTAACAGATATAGAGATAGAATAATACTAACCAATAATAATAATAAAATAATTCGAATGAAATAATAATAATAATAACAATAACAACAACAACAACAATAATAATAACTTTATTTATTTATTTATTTATATAGTAGTTAGTAGATAGATAGATAGATAGATAGATAATGATAGTTTATATTTTATATAGTTGTTTATTTTTGGTGTCGGTTGGATACACTGTCAAGAAACAATATGTTAATTGCACATCTATGAAATTGTTAATGGTCGAGATTGCAAGATTGTCCATATCATTTGCATTTCATTGTTATGTCAATACTGCGATACGAAATGACTCGACAACAGAAACAAAATTAATAGAAGCATCAGTCACACAACATTTGTATATAATGGTTTCATACTTGCACTTTGTGCTGTTGATTGCACAACTGTGTGTTATTGCGGGACTGCGATATCCAGAGTCGGTGCTGCTCAACAGCGAGGTTGGCTCGGCGCCCAGCGTCCTCAGAGCATGGTTTCAAAGCGGAACAAAGAGGGTTATAGCCGCCGAACTCATCATTCTACTGTGGATACATAGCGTGCAGTTGTTGGTCAGTCCTCTGGCACTCGACGACTCGAGTTGGTGGAGTACACTCATTTCGACGCGTCAGATGCCGCTCAAACGACAGCTCTGCTACTCGGGACTGACCGCTGTGGCAATTGGATACTTTTCGTTGAACGTGAGACAGCGCACATGGGGACTTGGCACCAACGGCTCGGGCATCGACACGGTTTCGGCGTCACGCATCATTGTCGAGATTAACCAGCAGTCGTTTGTCTCGGTCATGATGTACTTTCTGTACACGGTGTTGTTGCTGGTGACAGCCAATGCAGAGATGGCGGCCATGCTGCCATTCGAGATGACGCCGGCCATCTCGAGCGGACTGATCACCCTGTTTGACTGCGTGTCGGTGCTCAGCTTCACCTTTACCACTCTGCGACTCGTCACCTATTTCTCTACCTACACAAGCTCGACCACTCAAACTCGGTCGGGTATCCCACGACGAAACAGTATCAATCCAATCACAACCTCTCCACTTCCCCAATGTTTCCTGTCTCCTAGTATGAGACAACCCACCAGCATTGGCACGCATTCACCCCAACTTCATAGTAGTGGTGGAAAGATTCCCACGACGACAACTACAACCACTTCAACAATTAGACGTCACTCGGTCAGTAGTATAGCTACGACTATACCCAACAATCCTACCGTTACCACCACATCAGTGGCACACCACCATGTACATAGCAGTAACACTACTACTACAACACTCGACAATAGCAGTGTCGATACAACACAACCACCATTCCTCAAAAAGCGATTAAACACTAGCAACAGGTCACTGGGCTCCCTTTCACCCGTCTCCCTTTCACCCATTCTCCTTGGCAGAAGCACAGGCTCTGCCTCTGACCATTCCCCGGCTCTACCATCAGTATCCGAGTCTGCCGATGAAGATGACGACACCTTCATGAAAGAGTATAGAATGACAAAATCAAAATAAATAAATTAATTTCAAAAAAGACCATACCAAAAAGAAGATGGAGGTACCATTTAGAGATCTTGGTGTATCAAGGTTCATTGGAAAATTATCATTCTACTAGTACTATTATTATTATTTGTGAGTTCACATGTGAGACACACTATAATTTATCACGGGTGATCATTTTTCAAAGCATTTATCACTCATCCTGTTCCTATTCCCTATAAAGTCAGATCCTAGATCAACCAACGACCTCGAGTTACACTCCTTTATCTGGTTTCTGTTTTTGCACAAAAAAATCTTCAATTACGTAGATCAAGGTGGGGGGTACTATGGGCTGATCCCTGTTTTTGGATGTCCCATCTGTGTTTTTGGAAAAAGAATCTTGTCAAAATATCTAGGGTTAGATGCTTATTTATTTTTGTCTCAGAGTGGGTGTCGGTATTGAATGGATGGCCAATGCGAGATGCAATGTTTGATATTGTCGAACCCATTATTCGATTTTAGTTTAAATTCCTCCTCAAACCAAAACTGATGTGACTTTGTTGTTGGTCATTGTGCATTTGAACTTGAATCAATTCTCTCTCTTCTCTTTGAAGATTATTTATTTATTTATTTATTTATAGAAAAAATGGTCAAAAATAGTAGTAGTATTAGATTAAAGACAATATCATTGATATTAGTTTTAATCTTTACATTTTTAGTTTCTATTATTCGATCAGATGGAATAGTTGATATAGGAGCTACTTGTGAACCATTCAATTCATCGTTGGGTGTTTGTGTTGGAATCATACCCAATGATACAATCATTTATGTTCCTTTTAACAGTTCACAATCTACAATGGCACAAAATGCAACTGAAATATTTAATTTCCTTTCTCTAACCAATGAAGAATGTCAGTCTGCTGCATCAGTAATAGTTTGTGGCATGGTAAGACAAAGTACCAAATCAAGAAAAAAAACAATCAAACAAAAACTAACCTCTTTATATCTAGTTTTTTAAACCTTGTACAATAGTAAACACACCAACCAATAATATATCTTTACCTTCTCTAACATGTCAATCAAAGTGCAGTATGTATACATAATATAATATTATTTATTTGATGTAAAATTAATCAACTGTTAATTCATTAAATTTAGTGGAAGCATTTCAACCATGTCAAATATACCTTTCACAATTCCCAGCACTTTCATGTAGCTCTGTTGTCAATGGTGAGCCTGAATATCCAAATATTTCAACCTCTTTTAATCTAACTCAATATGGAGGATCATCAAATCAATCCATTAATTGTAATTCTATTTATACTCCACTTGGTATGTTAAATATAAATATAAATTTAATATTCTAAATTCACTTGAAATCTAATATACATACTTTTTTGTAGCAAGAAATAGTTGTCCAGAACCATTAGTATATATGACATTGGAAATGTATGATACACCAAATTATTTTAATATTACACCGACTTGTGCCATTCCATGTCCATTTGAGGCATGGGGAAACAATCAAAAAACGTTAAATGCAACTTCGAGAGCATTGACATCGATTGGATTCATTTGTTCGTTTATCATATTGATATTGTATGCAGTGCTGCCAAACAAGATAACACACAAGATGGAATGTATCTTGTCGTTTGCAGTGTCGACCATGATTGTCAGTATATCCTATTTCATCGAGATGGCAAACACCAGGTTTCCATGTGGTGGAGGAGAAGGTGATCGATATGCAGTACAAGACGACGCCAAATGTGGATTCAATGGATGGTTATTTCAACTCGGAGCATTATCAAATATAGTTTGGTGGACAATCATTTGTTTTGATTACTTTTTGTCGATTCGAATGAGTACCTATCTCAAAGACAACTTTAAGTATTTTAGAATCGGTATTTGGTCAATGTTGATATTCTTTTCATTCCTTCCACTCTATAAAAAACACTATGAAGCTACACCATTGACTAGTGGCTGTTGGATAGACTCTGATGACAACAGTGCATGGCAATACGCTAGTTTCTATGTACCAGCTTGGATCTGTCTATTCTTTATATTTTGTTTTACAATCTATTCAACTATTAAAATTTATTCTGTAAGATGAAGAAACTAAATAATATAATAATAATATAATGTCCCAATTATTAATTAATTAACCATACCTTTTTCTTTTTTAGATTTATAAAGTATTAAAAAACAAAAAAGTGATTATATTTACAATCAAACAAAGTTTGGTGATGTTGGTCATTTTGTTCAATTTTATATTCATTTGTTTCTTCAAGTTCTATGTCGATGCAAGAGAGGATGTCTACTATGACAAGATTAGAGAATGGGTGGCTTGTATCAGTACAAGTTCAAAAGAAGATTGTCCACTGGAACTTCCCGATTTCCAATTCCGTTTGTTGCAGCTGATTTGCACTACCGACTCTGGATTGGTCGGATTCTTTTTGTTTGCTATCGATCCATATCTCTGGGTGGAAGTTATCACAAAATCCAACTCGTTGGCAGCTGTCATGAGTTATCTAGGCTTCAAACCATTTACCTCGGGATCACTGTCAGCTGAATCTACAGATGCCGCTGCACCTCCACATGTTGCTGTTAAAATGACAAGAGGTACAACTCTTTCTACTCGTGGTACTACTTTTAGTAGTAGTAGTAATAGTAGTATGAGTACTACTAGTGACCAATTATAAATTAATAAATCACCAAACCAAAAATAGATAGATATATATCTTGCATTGTAATGTAGTTGTTATTGCTGTTGTTGTTATTGTTTGTGTGTTATTATTTTGTACAAGGTGTTATTTATTGCGCAAGTGGATTGGCATGAATGGTAACATTCTTTAATATAATATCATTGATTGGTGTATCATTTGCGTCGACCGGTACACGTTCCATTAAATCCAATACTTCCATTCCATCTATTACTCTAAAAATAAATAAATAAATATTTGTTAATCAATCATTGTCTGTTGTTTAAATATGTCATTTTACATACTTTCCAAATACAGTATAAACCTTATTTAAATGTCTTTGTTTTGCATATGTAAAGAAGAATTGAGAGTTATTTGTATCTGGGCCACTGTTTGCCATTGACAAGATACCACGACCATTGTGTTTGAGATGTGAAACAAATTCATCTTTAAATGGTTTCTTCCAAATCGATTGTCCTCCTCTTCCAGTATTGGTAGGATCACCACCTTGTATCATAAATGCTTTTATATTTCTATGAAAGATGGTACCATCGTAATAGTTTGATGCACAAAGTGCTAGAAAGTTCTATACAATCAATCAATCATATTAGTGTTACATGCTTTCATTGGCTATTTCTTATATGTATGTACATACCTCTGATGCCAATGGAACAGAATCACAGAATATTTCAACTTTGATATCTCCTAAATTGGTATGTAATGTTACTGACTATTTTAATCAATATTGTTAGAAATGTTATTCAATGTCATAGAGATATCTCTGTATGTATAGTTACCATTATTTTGTTATATTTTGTTGATATGTAAAGTATTAATGTGTATGTACAAAAAAATGGATAGATTGAATGATGTTTGAAAGTTATGAGAGAGGATGTAAATACTATCGAAAAGTAATCAATAGTTGAGAGAGAATATATGAATAATAATGTTATCTTTGAGTATATTCTTATCTAATCGAATGAATGAAGTAATAATAATTAAATTGCTTGATTAATGCAAAAAATTTCGAAGGTGATCATTCGCTTTGTTTGAATAGTTTTGTTTTATCTTCATCAATCAATCATCAAGATAGATATATATATATCAAGAGTTAGATTACATTTATCAAGATCAATACATAGAATAGATAGATAGATAGAGAAAATGACTTGGATTGAAGTTATTCCAGTTGGTATGATTATGAGTGCTGGTGTACTCGTTATGGCTTATGGTCTCGATATTACTCATAGACTTGCTCATTACGGAAAGGTAAGAAGAAGAAGAAGAAGAGACATACATACATAGATAGATTGATAGATAGACAATTGGACTGGACAGCGATAACAACAACGACAATGAAGATATACACAAGAGAGGATTTCATTCATTTTTGCTCATCAATATTCGTTTAACATTAAAATATATATTATTAGCCACATAGACTAGTTAGAGATCACGTAGACTATGCTTTAGATAAAAGAGATAGCGCCATCCATGAAGTTAGATCGGTGAGAGACAATAACAGTCAAGACAGATTTGCAAAGTTCTTGGCTCAAAAGACTGGTAGAATTTAAATCACAACCTAATAATATAATATAACACGAACATATCTAATAATAAATAATACATGTATCAACAACCAAATTCTTTGTAGATAGCTTGCACAATCCTTTTTATCATATCAATATGCCCAGACAGATCTATCTATCAAGGTGACTCACGGCAATACGAATTATTTTTAAAAATTATATTACCATTCAATACCCTCGTTTCAAAAGATTCATTATCATTTTGAAATCCAATTTTTTGTATATATCTATCTATCTATATATCTATCTATCTATCTATCTTTTATCTATCTTGTATCTTATATTAATATATTAAGTAAACAGAATGAATTCATCAACACGTTGGTTAGTGATTCTAGCTTTGTTTGCTATGTTGTTCATTAGTACATCTAATGTTGTATTTGCAGATGATAAAACAACAGCGATTGCAGGAGGAGAACCATCAAAGCTACCAGACTCGTCAGAAGGATCTAGTTCCTCATCGGACTCTAGTTCTTCATCTGACTCGAGTTCTTCATCTGACTCGAGTTCTTCATCGGACTCTAGTTCCTCATCTGACTCGAGTTCTTCATCTGACTCTAGTTCTTCATCGGACTCTAGTTCTTCATCTGACTTGAGTTCTTCTGGTTCAACAAACTCTTCTTCCTCAAAAAATTCTTCTGATTCAAGTTCAACCATTCCTCCTTCATCTTCAAGCTCTAAATCCGACTCTGGATCTAAAAGCAACCAGAAATCATCTGAAGCATCTGAATCTGAAGCAGATGATGTTAGCAAAGATGAAGACCCATATAAAATTACAACAGAATGTAAGATAGATATGATCATATGAACTTTATCTCAACCTATAACATTACTAATCTAATCGAAATTATCTTGGGGATTGTGAAATTATATAGTTATCAGCTCAACAACCATCATTTATGGAATTGGATTTGCTTGTTTAATATTTATCGTTTATCTCTACACCAAACGTATGAGAAGAAACCGTGCAAACACCACAAACAACAATCATGGACATCAATATTTCAATCTTCAAGATATGCGTGATTAGGCCATCATAATAATTATAATAACAATAATATTTTCATACTTTGGTAAACGAAGAGGATATAATTAATAATTATCTTTTTAAATTATAAATTTTGTATAGATTCACAATAATTAATTATTATTAATTCAATAGTGAATAAAGCATTCCATTTTATTCTATTTTTTATACATTTATACACCTATGGTAATGGTAGTTTTGGTCAGTCAGGTACATCGATCTCGAGATTGATATTATTAACTATTTTTGATGATATTTAAAAGTAGATAAATTAGAAGCATCATGTTCCTTTAAATAATCGTAACCATATTCTTGATATTCCTTTCTAGATATTGAAACTGTATTCCAATCTCCAACATTTAAATGATCCGTTGTCCATTTCTTGGCACCCATCCAACTATCCAATATATTATCACCACCAACAATATTAAATTTAGTTCCAGGTTCTCTTATTTGTCTCATTTCATACATTAATCTTTCCTTGAAATTACATATTAAACTATTTCCACCTGTTACAAAAATATTCTAAATTAAAAAAAGATAATTAAAATATTGGTTAGTCACTAAACGAACCAAAATAAATGTATGTTACTTCCTTACTCTTGAAACTTTTGATTGAATATCAATTGGTTGAATTTGAGAAAGTATCATTGCAATAGATTCCATTAAACCCATAGAGTCTAAGCCGATGATAGCCTTTGGTTGATAGAGAATCTCTGCAACACGAATTCTATCAATACCCAAATGTATTTGATGGTCTTGAGCTGTTTCATAATGTTGGGCAGGATCATCTTCTGGCGATGCATTCCAACCTGGTTCGAATTTATCTAATAGTTTTTCGACTTGTGCCAATGCAGCATTGTCTTGATCCTCTTCTTCATCAACCTCATCCTCTCCACGTTTCTCAGTGATGACCACAGTTCTGAGTTTGGCCTGTCTTCGAATGACCTTTGTTTTTGATTTCTCTCTTTGCTCCTTTCGTTCGACTATTTTGTTTCTTCGTTCATACAATTGTTTCATATACACTTCTGGATCCTTGTCATACTCTTCCTCTTCTTTTCTAGTGATTGCATCTTCCTTTTCCTTTTCCTCGTCTCTCTTTCTCTTTGCACTTAGTTTTGCATCTTTTGCACCTTTTAGCATCTTTTGTTTTCTCTTTTCTTTGATTTGTTCAGGTGACAATAAATCATCTGTAACAAATAATAATGGAAATTCTTCTTCGTTTGTCTAAACATATAAATCAAATCAAAATTAATAAAATGTTGTATATATATCTTTCTTTGTTTAAATATTTTTAGTTTACCATTTCAGGAATTGGATCTCTCTTTCTTCCTAATTTTTCTCTTAGTTCATCGATTGCTTTTAATAAATCACGTTCTGACATTTCTTGACCCTCTAGACTATTATTAAATTCCTCCAAGTTTGTTGATTTTAATGCTTGAATCGCTTCATATGAATTGAGTTGCTCTATATATTCTACTGATTTTTCTTTTCTCTTGATTTCCATCTTTTCTCTTTGTTTCTGTCCCAACTCTTTTCTTTGTTGTATTTTTCTTTGTTTGTCTTCTTCCAATTTCTCCAAATCTACCTCTTGGAATGGTAATTGAATAATATGAGTCAATGTTGGTGTCGTTGTTGTCGTATTACTTTGATCTTCAATACCAAATTCCTCAATCTTTTCAACATATGATTGATTTGAAAATAATAAATGTTTTTCTTTTACTTCCTAAAAAAAAGAAATAAAAGGTAAATATAATAAATAAATAATATATAAATAATTTGATTTGTATATGTACATTTGTATAATTTGGAGTGAAATAAGATTTATGATTTGGATACTTTAGATGAATTAATTTTCTTAGATAATCACTACCTGTTCCACCACCGACATTGATCCTTTTAGTTTGGTATTGATCGACTCTACCACCTTTAACATTATAGATATGAGTTGTACAATGACCCGATGATACTATCAAAGCTTCCTTTCCATTGTCTTCAAATTGATGTTTTTGTCCATAATATGCAAACAATGAATCTATTCCATATACTACCGATGGTGCTTGATAACATTCAAATAATAATTCACTTGTATCTAAATGTTAAATGTAAATGATTAATATATATATAAACTATTCTCTCCTATCTAGATCTAATACATTACATTTCCTACAATAAGATGGATTTGCAGTTGGTTCAGTAAACAATATAGGATTATCAATTTGTTTGTTTACTCCTAATTTCTCGAAAATATAATCTAATATACATTCCTTTAGGAACAAAAAAGTTAATATCATCTTCCATACATATGTATCTATTTGTTTGCTACACTAACTAACATACTTGTGATGGTGGATGAACAAGAATATTTGAATCAAATGGACTTCTTATTGTTAATCTTGATATCTCTGATTCTTTGATAGCATTACCAACAACTGGTGCTGCAGTTGATTTAACTTTACCAACCAATGATTTAAATATCACTAAGTGATTCAGGAATAGTTAGATTATAGTAATAGTAATACATGTAAAATGATGATATATAGCATACATCTTGGTTTATCTTCTTTTGCATAACCAGCTCTACATTGGTATGACCCATTGTCAATGATGATTGGTATACCACCAAAACTACTATAGTCATTATACACTGGATCATCTGCTGGTGATTCTATTTCTTTATAATCAAATATAGGCATATCTATTTATCATATATACAATATAAAGAGAGAGATAGATAGAAATGTGAATGTAGACAAACTAATTAAATAAATTAATTTGGTTGATCTTCACCAATCTTTGAAAACCACCTCAAATTCATTTATAAAATTAGATTCTTGCAGTTGGTTGCATGTAGAAGAGAGATAATTAAAAACAAAGAGATAGATAAATATCTATTTAAATAGAAGATAGATAGATAGATAGATAGATATGGTATATCGTATTAGAAACTATGATAGAATACCATCTGTATTAAATGTTATTATAGCTGGAAAGGAAGGTGTAGGCAAGTCATCATTGGTTCGATCTCTAACATCTCATCCCATCTCAAAAGAGACACCAGCTGACTTTACAGCAGATGAAATAACATTTGATGGTTTCAGTGGTATAAAGTATAGATTGGTATGTTTGGTAGTAGAAAGTTGAAGTAGTAGTAGTAGTTTTTATTATTATTATTATTAACTTATTTGTTATGTTTTTTTAGTGTTTATCAGATGATGTGTATGATAAAGATACATATACAGCTGATATGGTGGTAGCAATATACGATGTAACAGATAGATCTACTTTGGATCACTTTTCAAGGTTTCATTTCCCATCTTATAGTGGTCGACAAAGAGCATTTATATTGGTTGGCAACTTTGATGATAAAGAGGGACGAGAAGTGTCATACGAAGATGGTATGAAACAATCTAGTGAATGGGGATGTAGTCTATTCTTTGAGATTGGATCATCATCTAAAAATGAATTTGTATCGGTCATGGAGAAATCATTCTTTCATCTACTCAACCAAATGTATATTAAATTAAGAATCACAGCTCCATCAACACCATGTAATACTATAGCCAAAAGATTTATAATTGATGAAGATCCTCCTCATCTAAATAATCTAAATAATCCAAATAATAATAACAAAAAAAAGAATCAATTACAATTGAAAAATAATATTATAAATAATATAAGTAATATTAATAATAATAAGGACACTAATGTAATAATAATGAATGATATAATAGAAAAGAATAGTATTAGAAATAATAATAGTAAAGATGATATAACAAGATTATTTAAATCAATCATTAGAAACAAGTATGTTGGATCTATAGTTTGGAGACAAGTTGCGAATATTCATAGACAGTTGGATGTACAAGCAAGGAGATTTAGAGATATGACATTACTATGGATCATACATAACAAATATTTTGATTTGTTTGATGCAAGATTTAGAAAGGATATGCCATGGCAGCTGGATCAAATTGAATTTATTTGTTTCCTAAGATCAAATACCAATTATGCTAGATATTGCTTGGTGACAGACGAGTATCCTCTACTCTTACAAGAATACAAATTCAGTGCACTCAACGATTGTTTTGTCAACATATACCCAAACATTGATATACTCCAACACATCTACCAATACGGTAACAATACATTCCTGTCAAGGTTTATCGATGACTATACCGCCATTATTCAAGCCATCCAAAATGAAAATATCGAACTGGTTCGATTCTATGTAGAAAAACTGTGTCGTGGTTCATTGCCAAGTATCACCTACAACCTATGTAAAGCAGAAGCCAAAGCTCTCAAATCAAAAGAAATACTCACCTATCTAAAAGATAAATCAAGAGATAAGAAATCTAAAAATACTCTTTTATCTCTTTTAAAATTAAAAAAGTAAAGAATATAAAGTAGAATAATATAAAGTAGAATAGATAATATTTAATATCTTTCTTTCTTTCTTTCAATTCTTTGTAATAAAATCTAAATTTGTAAATATCCCTTTTTAAATAATATATTGCCGAACAAAGTTCTTGATGATGACGGTGATGGTTGGTTGGTTGGTGATGTTCATCATCTGGAATTGTTTGTATTGTTGCTAATATTTATTTATTTTTAGATGTAGAAAATGCATTCAAGATATTATGGAGTGGTAAAGAAGATAGAAATGAGAACGGAATCATATTATGTAGTTGTAAATCCAGAATCTAAAGAGGAGTGGGTAAAGGAGATTAGAGACTCTGCTAATAATTTAAAGCGTGCTCAAATTGCAACACTGCTAAAGTCACATGCTCATAAAGTATGAATCCAAGAGTTGAATAAATGCTATTTATTTATTTTTATTTATCTGTTAATCAATCGATTACACTAGAATATCCATTCCATAATTCAATAACCATAATTATTATTGTATTATCTGAAATCATTTTTATTTTATTATTATTATTCTTATGATTTCAAACTCGACTTGCACAGATATGAACATCTCGGACACAGAACACTATTGGTCAGAGCATTTGATGTAGAGGATGGCGATTAGAATTATATTTATATTTATTTAATTTTTAGTACTTGAAATTTAATTTTTAATCATCTTCATCTTCATCTTCATCTTCATCTTCATCTTTATCGTCATCATCTTTGGCGACAAATGTTTGGAGGATATTAAAGTTTTGAGGAGTAAAGAGATCCATGAGAGATCGATCCGTCAAGATGTAGATTTTGCAGTTTTATAATCTTGGCAAATGGACCAACCATCTCTGTCTGGGGTGCCATTGATACTCGGGTCTCGTATGAGAGCAACTACTATGATGATTATGTGATCAACAAACACTTCACGTTGATTCGAATTCTTGAACGCCTTCTTTCGCTCCTTATCCAGTTGAGCCGAGTTAATTCGGTTCTTGACGACGAAGCAAAAAAGAGTACGGTTGACAGTGAGGTAAAAGTCTGAGCTTGATGACTTTGGTCCGCACATGTAGAGTGTATGATCAACTGCCATCTCCTGTATGCTCCAAAATGCAGATACTGGTGCCATCTTTTCTTTGCAATTGCCTTTGGCATCTTTCTGTATCAAATTTTTAATCACTTCTGGTGCGTAAGCAATGGATTTAGATCTAAAGATTGGGAACTTGCAGACTTTGATGGGTTCAGTCTTCGAGTTGAAGACATTAGGGAGAAAGGGAAATAAAAGTTTGAGATCAAAGGTTTGGCCATAGAAAGCAGCGCACTGTTGACTCTTAAAAATGATGCTGCATGCCAACACTCTTTCTAGAGGCATTCCAGTGACGATTTCATTGCTCCAGAGGCGAGTGAACATAGTGACAGTATCAATTAGTTCTTTTGGACCTGAATTGTTCTTGATGATGTGAGAAATGGTCAATGGAGGCACTTGGATATAGACAGTACGACGAAGCGAATCAACAGGCTTTATATAAACATTGAACGATTTGATGAGATCGATGCTTGTATGCATAGTTGACTCATCGAGATCCCAAGTGGACTTTTTGATGGTTCTGTCAAGTTGAATTGGAATCTATGTGGAAAGAATTGGGTAAGTTGTGAGTAGAGTGGAGGAGGAGACAACAACATGCATTGAATAAAGTTGCAAAACACAAAGAGATATATAACTCTCTCTTACTTTGGGAAAAGTTATATGTAGGATCAATCTCTTGAGGAAAGCCTGTTTCTACTGATTCAAGGATCTTTTGCTCGTTGAAAAGAGACAAATCTTCTTTGACACTCATCAAGTAATCGACACATGCTTGAACTAGTCTCGGGGCACCCAAAGTCAGTTTATAAATAAGATTGGTGAAGAACTTGATATTTTCATCTTCTATTTTGTTCCGGTTGAAAGCAAACCTCTTGACGATGTAGGCACTAACGTGTTGGGGAGAAAACATGTCGAGTAGTACCAGCTTGATTGAGGAGTTTTGTGGTGAAGTGATACCTTGATGGACAAAGCTGTGTTGGTTGAGAAGAAAGAGAAGTGAAGATCGTCCCGAGATGTAGACAGGCACCGACATGTGGACCAACGGCTCGAGGACGTGCTTCCATAGGTCATAGAGAATTGTGACCGATGAGAGTGTAGTGTGTCCATGGATACTATCTATTTCATCCAAGTGAATAAAGTACTCTTTGAGATGGTGCTTTCCAATGAGTTGGTCGATGTGATTGATTGAAGTGTAGGCTTCATTTCGACTGTACGCAAGGACACGAAGAATGGCATTAGCTATGGCGAGATTCCACAATGTCACGTCTGGCACCTTGACGTCCCTGAGATCGATGTATAAAGGTTTAAGACTGAGTAGGGTATCGAATGCATTTGCGTGCGAAGGTACAATGGTGGTTTCTACCACCTTTTCCCAATCGCTCTTGATCTCCTCTTGTAGTTGGACATTTCTCCTTATCTCACGAAGATACTGCTGCCCAAGTGACGTCTTTCCAGAGCCCCACATTTGGCAGCTGACCACGATTGGCATATTTTGACGATTGGCATTGTTGAGATCACCAGACGAATAGTTTCTAGCAGAGAGTATACGTAGGAATGATTGGGAGATGAGCTTAATCTCTTTTTTTCTGTTGATAAAGCAAGATTTCTCCAATACATCTTCAGACTGTAGATTACCAAGATTTGCACCTAATGTGAAAGCTTTGAAAAAATAATGTAAATAGATGAAAAGAATAATTGAATGAGTGGTGAAAAGAGATAATCAGTAGGGAGATGAATGAATGAATATAATGAATGAGAGAGGATAATGAAGAGGAATGAATAAAAGAGAATAGATTGATTTATGTAAATGAAGGGAGTGTATACAACGAGCAAAAGAGATTTTAGAATGAATGACAAACAATAAAGGGGATGAATAATAGAGGAGTAGAAACAAATGATTAGTAAATGAATTTATTTTGTGTTAGATGATGTGAGTGGTTACTTACCTTGTGCTTGAGGTTGAGTAGAAATATAGATACGAGTAAGAGTGGTATTAACAGCAATCTCTGGATCAAGTTGTATGGTTCGTGCTTGGTCCGAGAATAAATGAATTGGATTGTCCCCTGTAGCAAGTTGTTTGGATGCTCTAATAGTGGGTATGAGACGATTGTAGTTGGTGATATCGTTGAAGGTGAGCTCATCCTTGTTGTTGCTCAACTCAACCCAACAAGTGAATGGTTGTGACATTTATTACAAATAAATGAATACGAGTAGGATTTTGCAACTTTTGTTGTTGAAATGAACTAGAATGCTGAGTACTGAGCCGGTTTACACCACCAACAAATAAAAAAATATAGAAATATTTAATTTATTTTATCCCCTTTAATTGGAGGACTCTAAAAACTGGGGTTGTTTTTGATAATCATTATTAATACATTTCTTCATTTCAGTGAGAAATACACAATACACATATCTTATCTTTCTGGATATACATACATTCATATGTTTAATAACAACTTGTAGTATTACAACAACAATATATATATATTTGTGTAACAACTTTTTTTTAAAAGATATAGAGAGAGAGAGAGAGAGAGATGGCAAACCTCTTAACGAGTAATATAGATGTAGCAAGTTTGAAATCAATGATCATTGCGGGATTGGTGGCAGTTGGAGTATTGGTTATATCGGTGATTGTAGGTGGGACTGGACCGGCAGTCTACGAACATCAATCGTTTTCAGCATACGACTGTCCCAACGGTAGTCATGTATGGGATCAAGGATCGTGTAATGGTGTTCAAATGGGTGTTGGTATATCTGTACCATGGGAAACTACCATTAGCGGTATTACATCACTCACACGATTCTGGTCTACACAAATGACACCCTATGCAAACAATCTAGACACAAAGAAATCGATCGATGTGACTGCACTCATTCTCATCTCGGTCGAGGGAAACACCGGTCTACAAACACTCATCAATCAAACATTCACCTATTCAGTCGACTGTCCCGCTGGAAACGGGTCTTGCTCAATGATCAATATTGTCGATTTTCAAACACTCGACTATCAAGCATACGACCTAAAGGTCTACTATATTGGAGAATACGATCAGATTGGAGACGTTGTATTTGATATTTGGCGAACCAAAGATTCTTTTACAAACTTTGAAATATCTCTACATATTGCATGGGTCATTATCTCATCGATTGGTATCGTTCTCTATCTTGTCTACATGAGACATACTCGCATGATGGATTGGTCAATGGAACAAAAATTCCTATTTGCCTTATTAATCTCTGTATTATTATCAAATGGTAAGAAAGATAAATAGATAGATAAACAATTATTTATATATTAATATATTTATTAATCTATCATTTTTAGGACCATTTTATGTATTACAATTTGCAATTAGAGGATGGTTTATGCCATTCTTAAATTCATTCTTTCAAACTCTATTCCTTAGTGTATTTTGTTTGTACTCGTTAACTATTCTAGACAAGATGAGACAAGGAGAGGTATTAAACTATTATTCAGTCTATCATTTGGCAAAGAATGCAATGGTTGCCATCTTTACAATTGGTGGTATTGTATTGTTTGCTTGGATCAATATTAGGGATCACAAGAATCCCGTTGTTGGTCCAACCACATCAGTCAATGGACTACAGGCACTCTACTATTTCGAAGCCATTCTATTATTTGTCATTGTCATTTGGATAGTAGTATTGATCATTCTCACAATCCCCACACTCTCTGGGAAACATCATCTCATACCAAGATTTACTGTCATTGCTGCTCCTATTTCACTCTATGTATTATCTGTTATAAGTGGAATATTTGCTGGTACATTTGGTCCTTTAAATCCAACTTGTAAGAAAAAACTAAAAAAACCCAAACAAACATTTATTATTTATTAATTTATTTATTATTTTTTAGCACTTTCATATTCATTTTTTATTGCAATGGATAATGTATTTGTAGCAATGTGTGCATATAGTTATTGGCCAACTAAAAATGCTGATTATAGAGCACTTGAAAATAGTGAAAATGATAAATTGTAAGTTAAACAAACAAAAAAAAAAAAGAAATGAAACAAATTAATTAATTTATTATTATTGTATTTATTTAGATTTGGTGATAATGATGAAGATGAATATGAAGCAAGAATAATTAATAGTGATGAAGAATTATAATTAAGACTTTTCTTTGCTTCAATCTTAAAATCATCTCATTTGTGTATGTGTAAATAGTAAAAAACCACCAAAATAAATTAATTTAAAAATTAAAAATACCCTTTTTCAAACAATCCTAGGTTTAAACCTTTCTTTACTAAAAAACTAATTAGTTTTTATTTCTATACAACCCTACTACTACTACTACTACTATTCATATATTGTTCTGAACTTCGAAATTAGATATACAAATTGTTTTTGAAAAAACAAAAAACCTATGTTAGATAGTTCCATTTTTGGGAAATAATTTTTACCACCAAATAGTGGATTTACCAAAATAGGGTGAAACAATAGAATATGTATTGTCAATGTCATTGAAAAAAGACTATCTATGTACATTGATACTACGTTTCTACAAACGACAATGAAAACTATATATCAACCTTGAACAACAATACTTTTTGTTTTTATTATCAAAGAATCTTTATTTATTTATTAGAAAATGCAAAATTATACATACGGAGAATATTTGGACAGAACTAGAGCTCCTGTCCTTTCACGTTTCATCGCCGGTCATCATGTCACTGAATGTGGTGTAAATGATGTCTATGGACAATATAATGGTAAATAACAAACATAAAAGATAATAATAATAATAATAAAATAATTATTATATTTATAAAAAATATTAATACTTTTTATTTTATTTATATTTTAAATTGATTTTAGGAACAAAACAAATTTATGGAAAGAAACAAAACAAGTTATGGTTGGAAAACCTTTATGGACATGGTCGTAAACGTGAATACCATCACTACAACTACCATAACCCAAAGCAAATGAGAAAGGGTCAACATGTTAGAAACTATCTCTTGCCAGGCGAGTACTTGGTCTACCATTACCAATCGCGTCCATACTTGATCGACAGAGTCAATGTCTCCGGTTACGTATCCAAGTGGTATCTCGCCACCAACCAGCAAGAGACTGCAGTCGTCATGGCCAACAAGTTCCAAAACGACGATCTCAACTACCGTTACGACGAAGCTCCACAATACATCCATCATCAAGATATCGATGACAAGAACGTCGTCAAACGTTTTGAAAAGGACGAAGAATTGGCCATCCGTAAAACCTATGAAAGAAAGTTGGTCAATGAAAAGATTGATATGAGTCAAAGAATTCATACTCCAGTTGTTTCTAGAGGTCCTGTCATGGTAATTCAATCAACCAAAAAAACAAATATTTTCATTATTTATTATTATTATTTAAAACTAACAATTTATTTATATTTTTATTTCTATTTCTAGCAAAAGATGAGTAACATTAGAACTTATGAAGTACCAATTGTTGAAACTTATACAACAGATATTCCATCGGTTGTATCTGATGTTAACCAAGGAAATGTTTACTATAGTGGACCAGCTCATCACGACATGGTTGCTCACAAGTCAGTTGGAGGTAATGACCAAACTGTCTTTGTCGAGGATCCAACCTACATCCCAACCGTCGAGAATGTCAGTGGAGGTCATTTGGTTGAACAACGTATCAACCGTGACATTGGAAAGGACTCTGTCGAATACTCTACCACCAGCACCACCTCTACCGAGTATGCCAACGACAACATGGCCAAATCCATCAAGAGTGAATTCTCTCCAAAGGTCATCATGGAAGATTCCATGCCAGTATCTCAAGAATTCTCAAAGAAAAAGAGATCCCAAAAGAATTCAAAGGGAAAGAAGGTAAAGACCGCTACTATGATGTAAATTAACTACAAGTCGTAGTTTACAAAAATTGCAATTAACTTTCCAACAACAAAACAAAAAAAATTAAAAAAAAAATAAACCTTCAACAAAAAAAATAAATTATTTATAAAATCAAAAACCTATACCTTTTCTTTTCATTAGATAAAGATAAATTAAACCAATCACGCACTTTGGCTTTTCATTTCTTTGAAAATTTTTGGTTGGATGTGCCACCTCAGAATCTATTAATTTGTAAAACTTATTTCTCTCTATGGTCTTCTTTATTTTTAATTATTCTTTTACCAATCGATAGATCTTTTCATTATCTATCAAATGGTTGCAAAAAAATTTGCGAGAGGTTCACCCTTCTAAAAAGTACTTTCCGTAATTTGTGGTATTGGATCATAGTTTCAAAGATTATTGAAATAAAAAAAATGGTATTCTTCAAAGCCTATCTCATCGTAGTATTGTGGGGCCAACCATATAAAACTACGTGCAACATGGATCGATACCTTTTGGATTACGATTAATCAAATAAAAAGACAAGCACCAACACAAGAGGTGTAGGCGCCTTGGATCTTCAACATTATATGCACTGGTGTCGGCAGTGTTCAATGCATGCCACATCCAGCAACGCTAGACAAGATGGTTAGTATATTTGGATCAATAATTAAATAATTCAGAAGTGGTCAATCTCAAAACAATTGTGAATGATTTAGACCTCCCAACATCCAAATAGTCACAGTGTCAACATACCAAAAACAATCTCCAACTTTATTTATTCATCCATGTAGAATCTGTTGTTTGTTAGATGGACAATTGATAATCCAAAATAGTGATGGAAGTGGAATACCTTGTGATGCAACCAATCTTTTTCCATTGATCCATTTTCTATGAGCTATGTTTGCATATAATTTCAATCCAAATATGGTTAAAATTATGAATTTATAATCCAAAATCTAAAATCAAAAGATTTTGGAATTGTTAGTTTAGTTTTTGAAATTAATATATGTTGTGTTTATACATAACTTTAATAATAGATTGGCGGTTGACTAAGAAGAAGAGGATAAATCGGTTCTATAGTAAGGATGACCTATGTTAAAAATATGTATTAGTAATTGAGTGGTGGTTGTAGTATACTAGTATCGCAATAAATTCAACATAATAAGAATATGCCTGTGCAATTGATGGGCACAGTAGCTTTCTTATTGGTGTCGATACTCTTACTGTCCTATTGTTGGCATCCTTTTGGTTCTTTGTGCTACATTTTGAAGAAGGTTCTGTAATCGTTGTTTGAGCATAAAATTCTTTAATATCCTCCATTATTTTCTTTTTGTTGGCATCTGTTTTAATGATATCAGATCGTCCCAGAGCCTGGCAGAATTGCGTATACTCCTCTGCTCTAATATTCTACCAGGTCCATATTGTTTGCATGTTGTTGGCGTTTGTGAATGTACCATTTGCAAATTTGAAACCAAAATCTCTTAGTTGTGAAGCAGTATGAAATGGTGATACTGATGATAATATCTTTTAAAGAAGGAATTAGTATAAATGAACTAGTAGTAATTAATATATGCAACTTACTGTGTTTTAGTAAAATGATCTTTTTTCCCATCTTTTGCTTCCTTGTGCATCTTTCTAATGATGTTGAGACAACTATAATCTCTGTTGCCATAAAAACTGTACCATCATTGTAGATCTTTTCTCCTTTGGGATCGAGCAACCTCTTGATACCTCTTCCATGTTTAGATATGCTGAAACTTCTTAAAACCTCTGATTCTAGTTCTTGGTCGCCACTTGTATGTCTATTTAACGTGGATGATATTTGTTTTCTAATGCGTTGAACTTGTCTTAATGGATATGTTGGTTTAACGCGATTGCCAATGAATGGTTGAAAGACTGCTCCTATTGGTGGTGTTGTGATTGTAGTTGTTGCTACTGCTGCTGCTGGAGATGGAGAGATTGTTGTTGTTGTTGTTGTTACCCATTTTAAGCACACAATTAGATCGTACGATCTGATCATATGTCTTTTCTTTATCACTCCACTCACTCCTATGGCGAACGACACCCCATCTCTTCACCATAAATCATTTCTATTATGAGCCAAGAGAACTATGACATCACTGGAAAACAACTTATGTTTTTGTTTATTAATCACTCTGACCATTGCACTATTAAATTTTTGTTGCGCTGTTAAATTATTTTATTATTGAAACAAAACATTTCATTTGTCTATAGAAGAGTTCCCTCTTCTTTGTTAATTATTAATCCTATCTGATGGGGAGAGTGGTCTGAAAGAGTGGTCTATATGGTATAAAACCTTTCTAACTATCTAGGTGAGCGACACCATCTCATCACCATTATCTTCACACTATTAAAGGAAAAAAATAAATACTAAATTTATGAGTAAAGAGAGAAAACTATGACTTGAACATCAGAGTAGTGACATCACCCACACTCTCACCAAAATTAAAATTAATTCCCCAAACAACAAAAGCCAACGATAGTATATTAAAAAAACATTCTCATTTTTTTTATATGTTCACAACAAGAGATAGACAGATAGACAGATATTATATATATTATACCATCAGTTATACATCACTCTTCAATTTGATTTATTGCTTTTTCATTCTTTGCTTTTATTTAAACCACCAACACATACTACTAGCATTTATTCATCTCTTTTCTTTTTTATCTGTTTACATAGAATTAATACACACATATAATACAACATCTATTCATCTTTTTTATTTATTTATCATAATTTAGCGATTATAAATATTATTATTACATAGACTCTCTTTATACTTTTTATACACCAGTCTTTCCTCTTCTTGTAAAGCCAATAATTCTTTTTCAGTTGCGTTCTTTGTTGCTTTGGCTCTTTCATATTGTGGAGGTAATGATGAACAAGATTAGTCGACATAAAGACCATATCCACAAAGGTATGATAAAAAGAATGTAATGATTAAAAACAAAAAACATTAACTTTATTTTTTATTTTTTTTTACTTTTTTACCCTTTTTTTAGAATATGGTCAAGAAAGCATCAGCGATGAAAAATTCAAAGAGTTCTTTATGGCTGAAGAACACAAGAAAAGAGCCAAAGCAACAAAGAACGCAACAGAAAAAGAATTATTGGCTTTACAAGAAGAGGAAAGACTGGTGTTCAAAAACCAAAAAGATATGATCCAAGACAACAACACATTTAAATTTAATCGACAGACTGTTGAAAAGATCATTAAATATTTTTGTCATGGTAGTGGATCGGATCGTTTCTACAGCGCTGGGTGTATCAAGAAAAATGACTTGTCTGAAGTTGGCCCACAAGAATGGACAATTAAATCACGGTATGAAAATAACTTTTGTTGATAAATTTTAATTTTATTATTATTTAATATTTTTTTATTTACACTCCATCTACTCTCTTTATCTATTATATAGGTATTATTGTATTTGGAAGGTATTTCCATTTTTGAATGATTACTTTAAGGATTCCAATATATGGAAGGTACTAGAGAATCTCAAGCCCAAATCCGTGGGAAAAGATTGGATGCCATCACTTTTGGAGGGTGTGACAAATGATGTGTTTGTAAATACTTGTAAGTGTATAATCAACATTTTTTAATCCTTTTGCTCAATCTTTTACAACATATTAACCCCTTTTTTTTTTTCTAGACAACCATCTAAATCAAATGATTAAAAATTATAAAACGCCGAAGTTAAATTGGTAAAAGGTCAACCCAAAAAGGAAAGGGAAGACCAAATGAAAAAAGTAGAAGATATTATTAAAGATCTCAAAAGACGTTGTTTTTCACAAGACAAAGCAAAAGGTGTCAAGGTGGATGGTCAAAATGTCATAACAATCGATGGTCAAGATGACAACAAGGACAACAAAGATACCCAAATGAAACCATTATTAGATGACGAGCCAATGGATGAACAAGTTGGGGTTGACGCCCAAATGGAACCTCTTTCTGGTGGTCAAGATGATGATGATGATGGCGACGATGACCATCATGCATTTACAGATTTCCAAGATGAGGAAAAGTTAAAAAATTTAACAGACAAGGATTTATCAATTGCACTAGATTCTATCCCGCTCTTTGTCGAGGTATGACATTAAATCATTTATTAATATCAAACATTTAGTGCAATTGATAAATCCTTGTCTGTTAAATTTTTTAAAAAAGATTGCTCTCAATGTGGCCTTTTATGACAAGATTGATGATTATATTCTCAAGATTTTTAAAGATATTGGTTATCCTGGTTTTGTCGTGTCGGATGACGCAAAACAGAGAAGGAAAAACAAAAATTTTGTTAAAGACAAAACTGTTATCTGTAAGTAGTAGATACTAAATTTATTTATTTATTTATTTATTTATTTATTTATTTATTTATTTATTTATTTTTATTAACTTTTAATCTCTTTTGTTTTTTTTTTTCTCTTTAAAATAGTTTTTGGTGATGCTGTATTCAGACTCTAATTTTTTTTTCAAATTTTTTTTTGTTAAAATTTTCCGCCTTTTAAAATAAAGATTCATTTTGAACTATATACATATAATAGTTGTTAATGGCTATGAGTCAAATAGCAGTATCAACAATCCGTAATGTAACCATTATTGGAGGCGGAGCTGCAGGTTTGACAACTGCAATCTTTGCAAAACAAACCTATCCTCATTTAAAAGTTACTATTGTTTGTATCTCGACATTCTCTTACTCTCTCTTTTAATCAAATGACTAACTAGATCTTATATTTAGTTGGAAAGAAAAAGAGAAGCTGGAAAGAAGATATTAATGTCTGGTGGTACTCGATGTAATGGTATGATTGTATGATTGACTATGACTACATCAAAGAATCATTATGTATTGATCAATTATCCCCCTTAGTATTACCTAAAAAGGTTGATATACGACACGATTACTTTAGTGAAGATATGAATATTGCAAAAAAGATAATGTCTAGTTGGAATGTAGATGGATGTTATAAATGGTTATCAGATGATATTGGTTTGAAACTTGAACTAGAGGAAGAGACAAACAAGTATTTTCCTCATTCCAACTCTGCAAGAGATGTTCGTGATAAACTAAGAGACAAGTGTATCAATCTTGGTGTTGATATAGTTTATAATAGAAGAGTTGATGTTGTACATAAAGTAGGTGGAGCAGATGATAATGGAGATAAACCATCAACATTTAGGATAAAAGGTATTAATGAACAAAATAGTGATGAACCATTTAATCATTTGACAGATGCTATAGTTGTGTCGTCGGGTGGTTTATCGTTTCCTGCAGTGGGAACGGATGGTAGTGGATATAGAATAGCAAAGTCAATGGGACATTCGATCAACCCTACCTATGCAGCGTTGACACCGCTCAAGGGTATGCCGATTGGAGGTGACCCTTTGGCAGGACTATCAATGAATTTAGCACTTAGAGTATCAGGTGTTCATCGTGAACCAATCGTTGCTAATCGATCTGGATTCTTATTTACACATAAGGGGTTTAGCGGACCTTCTATACTCGATCTGTCACATTACTGCGTCAAAGCACTCGAGTCGAATGGCTCAATACCACTTCCATCGTTATCGGCACGGCTTGATGGAGCTGATAAAACGCAGTGGACCGAAAGATTGGCCAACGCCAACTCTCAGTATGGCACACAGAACCAACTACTCTCTAATCGACTCGGAGTATTCATCCCACACAACTTTGTTGATCGCGTGATGACACATCTCAACCAAAAAGACAAAAAGATGAACGAACTATCATCGTCTGAACGAAAGGTACTCGTAGAGTTTCTCTCCAACATGCCGGTCGAATACACTGGTCATGACGGCTACAAAAAGGCAGAGGTGACAGGGGGAGGCGTCCCCTTGACACAAATCAATCATCAAAACCTTGAAAGTAAACTCGTCCCCAATCTATTCTTTTGTGGTGAAGTATTGGATCTATTTGGTAGAATTGGAGGTTTTAATTTCTATTGGGCATGGATAACTGGTCGTTTAGTTGGTTCAAATTTATTAAAACAAAAATTATAAAATAATAATATAGTTTATTTATTTATTCATCACTCTCCTCTTCCTCTTCTTCTACTTGTACAACCTTTTGAATCTTTCTACCTCTTGATGAAGTAGTAGTAATTGTTTTGTCAACCATCTTTTTAACCTTTTTCTTTTCTTCTTTTTTTTCCTCCTCTTCTTTTTCTTCCTTTTCCTTTTTCTTTGGATCTGGTTTAGAAGGTAACCAAGATGGCCAATCACCTTTTCTATAAGTACAAAATCTTAACTTTTCAGCAATATAATAGGCACGATATGATCTAAAAACATATTAATTGAGTATTAATATTGTACAAGTAGAAGTTTAAATATTTAACTATTAATTTTGTTTCTACTACTTACGCAACAATATCATCCCAAGTTTGAATTGGATCAACTTTATATTGATCAGGCATTGCAACAGGCATTAAAGTAAGATTATTTGCTTTATCCAATTTATCTGGTTTATTGGTCGACAGCCAATCAACATGTCTAATATAACTATGTTTCTTTTCATATCGATATTCGTACTCTGACAATAATTCCTTTGCATACGATACAGTAAAGTCATAGGAAGCATAGTTGGTTCTAACCCATCTATTAATTCTATGATTCTTGTGAGTCACCTTTAAATAACCTTCAGGTGCATTTCGCTTCCATTCTTCATCACCTTCTTGAGTGACATGCCAACAACAATACAACATTTGAACAGCTTCCAATATTAATTTTACTACATGTTTATCACAATGATACTTTATATTTTTCTTTTGATTAATATCTAATATAAAAATATTCATTATTATTTATAATATTATTATTATTTGTTGTATATTTATTACAAGTAATTAATTATTAAATCTATGTTGGTTGATTTAAACAAACATAAAAATAAATAAAGAATGATTCATTTTTTTGTATTGGCTGATAGTATGTTGTCTCTCCATGTTCAAATTTCTTAGAAGTCGAATCTTTTTATGTACTGTATTAGATGATGCTATCCCAATAAATGTTTTTTAATGACTGATTACCAAACCCCTACCAATGTCGACAACCGTGAGAGATAGCGACATCTACCTTTTCGTTTTTTCATTGTCCTCACCTAAATTTATCAATTAACATATTTTAGAGAGAGGGAGATGAACTAGTTCAAGTTTAGTGATAATTAATTAATTAACACCAAGATTTAAATAACATTAATAATATAATGATTTAGAACGTGCTATGATGATTTTCTTTCCCAATTGATTAATTTATTTAAAAAAAAAAAAGAAATGGTCCACTCGGTCGTTTATGAATTGATTGAACAGTATTCCTCTTCTTTTTCAATATAATCTTTGACGAAAGAGAGAGAGATAATGGAGTTGAAAGAGAAATTAACACTCATTGCAACACCAGCACTTGCACTTACAGCAGCTTCAATAGCTTCTTATTATATTGGTATGTGGTAGAAGTAGTAGTCGTTTACAACACACAAACTAATAATAGTTTTATTATTTTAGCATCATTAAAGAAAAAGATTGATATATTAAATAAAAAGGCAGAAAAGGAGAGAGAGGACAAAGTACAAGCACAAAAGATATGTGAAGAACAGAGAAAAGGTAGAACTCGTGCAGAGATTGAATTGCGTAGAGTTGTAAACTCGTTAAAGGAGGATAGAGAGAATAGCAATACCGAGAGACCACCTGATTATCCACCCATTGGTTTCTTGGAGAGTGTCTATAGAGAGAGAAATGGTACACCAAGACAAGGATTGGTTGTCACCAAGGGTAGAGCTATCCTTCGTCTTCGTACCAACATCAACCCTGTTCATGCATTGGAAGGACTCGAACAATATTCACATGTATGGCTCATCTTTGTATTCCACGAGAATACCAACACTCTTAGAAGTGTTCGTCAAGACAGACCTGGCAGTAATGTCAAGGCCAAGGTATCACCACCAAGACTCGACGGTGTCAAAGTTGGTCTATTCTCTACTCGTTCACCACACAGACCAAACGCTATCGGTCTCTCTGCCGCTAAAATCGATAAAATTGAAGGAAATGCTTTACATCTTTCTGGTATCGATTTAATTGATGGTAAATATATATATAAATGGAATGTGAATTGGTTTAATATTAACATTTATTATTTATTTATTTATTTATTTATTTATTTATTTGTTTATTTATTTATTTGTTTATTTATTTATTTATTTAGGAACACCAATTTTAGATGTTAAACCATATCTTCAAATGTATGATTCAATTCCAGAGGCAATTAATCCAAGTTGGATCTCTGATTTTGTTCCACTTGAAGATGTTGTCATTTCTAAAGAGGCTGATCAACAATTGGCCGAGTTGGTTAAGCGCAAGGTACTCAAGTTTTACAACAACTTTGATGATGTTAGAACTGCAATCTGTCAAGTATTGATCGAGGACATTAGATCGATTAGAAAGAGAAAGTCTGACAAGGAGAGAGAAAAGGGTGAAAAGGCAGACGACCAAGAACAACAAGAAGAAGCTGGTCCAGAACAACATAGATTCTGTCTCGATACTATCAATGTTTGCTTTACCGTTGAAAATCAAAAGGCCTATGTATCTAAAATCGAATTGGATCAAGTCCTATTTGATCAACAAAAAAATATTTATCAACCTTCTGGAATTTATAAAGGTGAAAAAAAATCATCAATTAACAATAACAATAACAATCAAAATAATCAAAATAATAATACCACACCAACATCAACTTCACCATCTTCATCATCTGATACATCTTCACCACCAATAATCATGAATCAACAATCACCATTGGATTTATAAATTAAAACGACATTATATATATATATAATATTATTTTCCTGGTTTTATTGATTTGTAATTAATTTCTTTTGTTCTTGTTCCTCTTCCTTTTCATCATCTTCTGGATCAACATAATAATATTCATATGGTAATCTAAAGATCATACCAATGATGAGTGAAAGTGGAAGCATCAAGAGTGACAAAAAGAAGACACCACGATTACGCGATTGAGGTGGCAACTTGATACCCTTGGCAAGAGCATCTAGAGTTTGTTGTTTGTACTTGTTTTCCAAGACGGCTTCGACAGCCAAGAGAGCCGACGACAGTGAGAAAAAGGCTACCGTGGTGGTAGTCATATTGAGATTGCAAAAGTATTGGAAAGCAAATGGTGCAACGACACCGGCAATGGCATGCCAGAATGAAACTGGATAGTTGAGGTGTGGATGAGTGACTGGTAACATCTTGTAGCCTGCCATGGCATACTGCGATTTGAGCTTCTCGGCCAACGCTAGGAAATGAGGGATTTGCCAAATGTAAAGGACAGTGGCCAACAATGCACCAATCGGCTCGAATCCACCGGCACCGGCAACCGTACCGATAAGTGGTGGGATGGCACCGACAAATGCACCAACCCAAGTGTTCCATGGAGTAGTACGTTTCATTTGTGTGTAGAGGATGTACAATAGAATGTTGGACATGGCCAATGCACCACATACTGGGTTGACAGGCACTAGAATAAAGCATCCCAACACACTTGCACCACACGCCAAAAGGAATCCAGTATCTCTCTTGATCTCACCCGTAACGAGTGGACGTGATTTAGTACGTGGCATCTTGGCGTCAAACGACACCTCCATCTCTTGGTTATAGGCCGATGCAGATGCCGATGCCAAGAATGTACCCAATGATACAAGTCCAAGTGTCATTGGATCTACTATAGGTGCTGTCATTACGTACCCAGCAACCGTTGTAAATGTAACATAGATAGAGATTGGAAACTTTACAAGATTAAAATATCCTTGTCTCATAAATGCAAATGGTGATTTCTTTTTTGGTTTCAATTCATTCGACGATGTTGTATTTGTTGTATTTGTTGTATTGTTTGTTGAGATTGGTTCTTCTTGTTGTTGTTGTACAGTTGTTGTAGTATTTGTTGTATTATTTGATGTACTAAATCTATTATTTCTTAGGAATGAAGTATCTTGATTCATAAATAGTTTACTATTGTTATTTTGATACAAAAACTTTGATGATTCTGTTGTAATGGTTGTTGATTTATTAAATACATTGTTGTTACTATATAAGAGTTGTTGTTGTTGTTGTGAATCTGATGATATTTGATTCTTTGGTGTTAGAGATGATTGAATAGTACTAGAGAATGATATAGAGGAACGACCATTTTTTATATCTGCTTTATAACCATTTGATATAGTTGATAATATTGATCTAGTTGATGACCTATTCAATTTAAATATCATCATCCTTTTTCTTTTATCTCTCTATTATCTCTTTAAATATATATCTGAGAATCAAATGCAATGAAACGATCAGTTTTTTGCAAACAAAATGTTTTGTAGACAAATTTCTTAAACTTTGTCAAGAGAGCTCCTGAAAATCGTGACATATGGATTGCATTACTTTGAATGATCAGTAGTTTTAATGAAGATTGGGTGATTAGATTGATCGATCGGTAGAGGAGGATATAATCATATACTGCTGCAAATTAATTAATCATATTATTAATTTAAAATTTATGATGGTGATCATTTTTTTTCTTTATTTAATTGATTTTTTTTATTATTTTTAAGCTTCAAGTTGGTTTACAGCTAGTTGTTTTGGATGAATAATAAATTCGACAAACAAAATTCTATAATAGGGCTAGGTCTAGCGACAATGGCAAAATTTTTAGTGTTTTCATAGATTGGTGACCATACCAAACCAGTCTTTGATTTTGTAGAATCATTCGCTATCCACTTGTGTTTGACCAGTGACAATGGATCATCGATGGGTAGGTTCTGATCTTCAGCTGAAATTTTCTTTATATAGTTGGGAATGTCATCTACTACATTTGTACCAGCCAAAAAGTGAACAGAGAGAAATTGTTTGTCGACAATCTCTACGGCCATACGAAGTTGTACCTTTCGCTCTGATGCCAATTTGATATGTAAAACCGCACCAACTGTTCCAGGAATCTTACCACGACATCCAGTGATTGGTTCGGGTTTCAGCACTTGAGGACGTGTTGGTCCATTGGAACCACCACTAATGAAATTAGCACCACCAATACGAACAATGTAGGCACCGCTCTTGTCTGGAATCGTTCCTCCACCGCGTATGCTTACTATTCCTTCTTGTAATTCATGTCCATCTTCAAGGTTGAATGTTGGGTTGGCGGCTGGATAGATTTTTGGATTATCAATCAATGGAATTGGATACCAATATTTATCATTCTTGAGAACAGATGGGAGTGAGGAGAGATCGAGTCCAATAGGAGGATTGGCACCTGCTTTTTTGATACCTTTGGCAATGTTTTTGAGTGCTGGTATAATATTATTATGCATTCTCTCTCTAAACGATGGTACTGCATTGACAAGTTCCGTTGTTGTCTGTCCTGATACAAATATTGGTGATATTCCAATTTGATACCAAAATGACTTTAAATAGAGGAGGGAGGGAGGGAGGAAAAGAAATAAGATTAAATTAATTATTTGTTTGTTTGTTTTTTTCTTTCTTTTTCTTTTTTTTTTTTTTTTGCTTGTTACTAATCCTTACATCCATAATGGTCATAGCAACAATATAGATATTTAAAGCTGCAATATAATATGGAATGGTATGTTCAAGGTACTCTTCTTGAGAACAAAATTCGTGAAGTGTTAGGGCCTTGTCACGAATCAATTCAAGGTCTATACGAACAGCCTCTTGAACTTGCTCATCGGCACCTTGCATACGGTGGAATTGATGTTTGAGTGCATTGATGTGAATGGTCAGTGTGGAACATGATTTTGCCAATCCAGATAAAAATGATTGACACATTTGATTCCATTGTTTGACCTCACTTGCTTGGATCTTTCCATCGACAGCCTTTAACATTTCCTTTCTAAGTTTTTCCAACTCCTTTTGCAATTCTTCCTTTGAAATATTGTCAGATGGCGATGCTCTCTTCCAAAACAATGAAAAGAATCCTTGAAGGATTGGTCCTGCCAATGGAATGACTCCACTAAAGTAAAAGTAAAAGAAAGAAGAAAAAGAAAAAGAAAAAGAAAAAGAAAAATTAAATATAAAGTAATAATACTGGAAAATCAAAAAGAAAGACTTGATCGTTTCTTACATTACAGAATTGACCATAATGCCAACATCTTCTTTATCTGGTTCAAATTCTTTGATAACAGTGAGTGGATCTTTAATGTCGAGGATGGCGGCATAGAGATTGATTGGGAGGAGAGTCATTGGATCATTTTTGAGTCTTTCCGATATTCTATCCCATGCTCCTGGTGCGAGTTCCTTGAGACGGGTAGAGCCATATGAATTGGTGATGACATTTCTTTGTTTCTTTATCTGTATCTGTTTTAAAAAAGAGTAGATGATTAAAAAGAAAAGATGAGAATGAGGGGAATTGTTGTTTATAAACCTGCCGACCTTCCCAAGTTATTTCAAAGCAAGATCTTATGTTTGTAAGTTGGAACTTTCAATTTTGGAGGATGGGCATAAAACCAACTCTTCACTGAAGACCAAATCACATCATAATGTCAACTTACAAAACGGCTCTGGTCAAAGAGAAAGAGAGGATTAATCTACTACAATCGTGATATCTTTTGATCTCCTCGATGGTACCCGTTGCTGCTGTTGATTCTATGAAATAGTAATGTTTTTAAACAACAATAATAAAGATACTGCTGCTGACGAGAAATGTATACTTTGTGTTGCTTGTAATACCATTGTTAAAACCACATTGTATACAATCTTATCATCCTATCATCCTAGAGAGACTAGACTCTCTCAATATTTATTATTTGTGATTTATATTATAACAAAACAATTTTATACAAGTTTTTTATTTTTTTTTTGTTTATATAGAAAAAGGAATAAATAAATATTATTATTATTATTATTATTATTATTATAACTTTAAAGTTGACGTATGTGTGTGTGTATGTATGAGTTTATCCTTTTTTTTTTATAAATTATTATTTAATCTGGGTTGGTTGGTCTACTTTGAAAATAAATATATATGTTTTACCATTTACTTTTTTACTTTGTTCTCTTTTTTGGAGCACCAGCATTTTTAATTTCATCTTCCTTGTCGGCAAGGTATTTACCCAATTGGATGTTTTCATTTTCGACACGAGCACCGAGTTTCTTGGCTTGTTCTTCAAAGATGAGAGAGGCGAGTTCGGCGTCCAAGTTGACTTGAGCCTTGTTGTATGGGATGGCATCTGGGTTGTCGAGGAATGATTGCCATTTGGCAATATCGTTGATTTGGTGAGAGATGTGGTGTCTGAGGAGACCAAGACCTTGTTGTTCGGCGGCGGCTCTCTTTCTGTCTTCTTCCAACTTCTTTTCCAAACGTTCCTTTTCGTCACGCATCTCTTGCAACTTGAGTTCGAGGATAGCCTTGTCCTTTTCAGTCTTGGAGAGACGGGCTTCCAAGTCGAGCTTGGCCATACGCTCATCATCAATTCCTCTCAAGGCATCGTCGATTCTGGCTTGGATGTCAGAGATCTTTTTGTTACGTGCTTCGTTTTGGGCACGCAATTCGTTCAATGTATTTTCGAGGTCCTTCTTTTGCTTGGCCAACTCTTCTTGTGACAACTTCTCACCTTGGAGGGCACCTTCGAGTGAAGAGAGTGTGTTTTGGAGTGAGTTTTGGCTGGCTTCCAAAGCTTCACGCTCTTCCTTGGCACGGTAGGCATGGAAAAAGAGCGAGGTGTACAAAATGATGGAACGCTCGTCTACTTGACCCTTGGAGAGTGACTCGGCTTCCAAAAGCTTGGGAATGCCCAAACCCTTCTCGGCAAAGTCAAAGGCAGCGTTGAGACGGGCAATTTGGTCCTTGGATTCGTATTCGTCGTACGAGAAGGCACTGGTGTCATACTTGTGGGCCAAGGCCAAAAAGCCGGTACCATCCTTGAACGATTGCTTAAAGGTGGTAATGTTGACACCCTTGTATCCGTCGGTTGTCTTTTTGCACCATGCCAAAAGACCTTCTTCAGATGATTTGTCTCCTTCATTGATGACTGCAATACGATATTTACGATAAAGAGTCCATAAGAAACCTAAAATCATCTTTTTATTACAATCAACAAATTCTAGAAAGTAAAAAAAAAAAAAAGTAAAGTAAAGTAAAAGATTGATAATTAATATATGATTTGTTTTCAAAGCGGTGTTGTGATCTATATTTATATTTCTATCTATTTCTATTTACCTTCAGCAGCAACACCTTGAACCTTTACTTTAAGATCTTCATCAACAAAGATCATAGCCAAATGAAGGTTTTGAATGCTAAGAATACGAGTCTTGGGATCTGGGTCAATCTTTTTGGTGAACTTCTTGCCAGAGACACCTTCGAGGAAGTAGATCAACTTGACACCATTGCTCAAGTCTTTGCTAACTTCATTGATCTTGCCAGCACCACGCTTATCCAATACTGAGTTGACCCATGATGTAAAGGCCATTTCTTGTACTTTTTCCCATTCTTTGTTTAAATCTGACATTTTTTAATGATTTTATATATATATATATATGTGTATAAAAGTTTAAGTTGATATTGATACTGATACTGATTGTTGTTGTTGTGAATAAATAAATAAAGAAAAGTTGATTTACTGCTGTATAATTATATTATCTCTTTTATACTGCTACTAGTACTGTACTAAAAGAAAGATAAGATAGATGATGATAATAATAATTAAAAGCAGAGAGACTAAAGGTTAGTTGAATATAGGACAGGTGAAGCTAAGTTTGGTTTTTTTGTTGGTCTGTTAGAAAGAAAAAGTGAATTTTTCAAATAATTTTTATTTGTTGTGGGTTTTGATCACAGTGTGATGTGTGTTAAAGGAATACTGTCACAACTCAAATTCTTTCCGTGAAAATTTTATTTTTTTCATAAAGGTGTGAATCTATCTTTCGTCTAAGTAATAATAATACTACGACACTTTCACTTTTCGATATCAATCAACTTGCTTGTATAAGAAAACATTGACAAAGACTAACCATCCTTTCTTTGCTTTTTGATTGTTTGATGATGAGTTATTGGAACATCTTCATCGGTGTCTTCGTCTGGGAACCCATTGTTATTATTATTGTTGTTATTATTATTTTGATTTACAGTTGTGGTCGTCGAACCCTTTGAAACATTGTCTTCATTGTCATCGGGTGTTTGTCTTTTTTTAACAAAAACACTTGACCAAATATCTTTGTTGGTATTAGTGTTAGTATTATTATTATTATTATTATTATTATTATTATTATTATTGTTATTATTTCCAAAGATCTTTGGTTTAGGAGTATCTTTTTGGCGTTGATTATTATTGGACTTTGAAGGAGGAGGTGTAGAACTATTAATATTATTATTATTAATATTATTATTTTTTGTTTTACCAGCAGTAGCCGAGGGTGAAGAACTTTGTTTGGATTGCTGTTGGTGTCGTTTTTTATCTGTACAATTTACAATGATTAAATATTTTAATTTCAACATGTGATGATTTGTTAGCAAGTATTGATTATAATTTCCCCAAACTTTTAAGAATCCATCCATCCATCCATTTGGTTGTTTAATCTCTGTAGAATATACTAAATCTCCAGATGGTATATATGTATTATCATCGACACTAAAATAAATAAATAATACAAATGTGTTTAGAATATAATTGTGAGTTGATTAAGTATAGATTGTATCCATACTTGATTCTATTTTGGGGATTTGGAGTATATTTTCCAGTTAATTGTAATAATTGATTTCTGTCAGTTATAGTGTCATAAATATCTTTACAATAGACAAAACGTTCCGATAAAGATTTCTTGGTGTTATTATTATTATTATTATTATTCTCATCATTATCCTCTGGATCAGTATCTTGATCATCATTAAAATTATTGATAGCATCCATATATTGACGACTACGATCCTTGTCAATGAGAGAGTCAACCGGTATTTTTATGGATCGATAGTTTACTTCAAACAACATTAATATTCCTTTATTGGAACTAGTCTTTACTATATTGTTTCCAATCTCTCTTTCAAATGTCAATAAACCAATATTCCTACAACATGCAACAACATTATCAAATAATGATACTACAAACATACAAATACAAATATAGATATTAATAAAATATTATTATTATTATAGTAAACATGTATTGATACATACTAGCTTGATAATCAGTATAGGGATTAGTTGAAGTTTGTACTCCATTTAATATTTTAGCAGCTACACTTGACATGATACAACCATACCAAAGTAATGGTCGTTTAGGTGCATCTGGCATTCTATTAGAGCCTACTCCAAGTGGTCTTGGAATAGTAGTAGTCGTAGTAGTAGTCGTTGCTAGCGAATTAGCAATAGCAATTTTAAAATCCTCATCATCGTCATCATCATCAACATTGAATATTTGGTCATTGACATCAATGACGACGGGTTGATGCATAGTCTTGTTGACAGTCTTTTCTGGGAATGATTTAAACTTGTCACTTTCTCTACATGCCTCTAAGATATCTTGACATTGAATGTCATATTTCAAAGACTCTAATGACAGACCAGTGTGAATATACTTTTCAATAGATTTGTAGATAAAGGATGATCGATTCAATGGTTGAATATCAACATTTAATTGTTTTAATAATCTTGCACATTCTTGTTCTGACTATATATTGGTTGATGAAAAGTTAGATATCATATGTATGATGATGATGATAATGAAATCATTTACACTCCAATGATATATGGTAAATAATCAAACACATACGAATGACATTCTGTCTTATCTATCTATTTGTCTATCTGATCCACAATACAAAAAAAAAAACAATATATATCAATGAAAACTATCTGTCTCTCTCTCTCTGCAGCAGAACTAACTCTTAATTTTCATCTTCCAAGAAAATATATTAATCTCAAATAATATACTTTAGAGATAGTAAGTATAGTATAGAGATTTATACATATAACACTTAGGTGTACCATTACAAGTATTTATCCGCGCAACATGTAATAGTAATGCATGACACCAAGGAGATGGTTTCGTGATGGAAACCCTGTTATATTACATTCTTTGAAAAAAGTTGTTTGGTTTTTTTTTATTGTGAAGACGGTCGCAGTTCATTTTTTCACTGATGGAAGGAGGAAGGTCTTTGACAACATCCATTCATTCATTTTTTAATTAACTTAATTTATTTATTTATTTATATTATTTATATTATTTATATTTGTTTATATTGTTTGGATATCTATCTATCTATTTATCTATTTATCCATCTTTTATTTAAAATAGCACTTAACTTTGTCGATTTCTTTATCATCATCACCTGAACAATATATTGTAAGTTAACAACTTCATTCATTCATTCATTCATGTGCGCATATTAAACAACTGTAGTAGTAGGATGGTCGACTCAAGAAAAGAAAGAGAGAAAGAGAACAGGAGTTCAGTTTATGTGGGTAGTGATAGAGTGGGTGGGTGTGACAACACTGCTCTGCTTTGGGAAGTGTTTTGAAGTGTGACACAGAGAGAGAGAGTAAAAGAATAATTCAAGCAAAAAGAAACCCATCTTACGACTTTTTAATAGTTTGTTTGTTTGTTTAGTTTGGAGTTATATATATACTTGTTTATTACTGTCGTTATTTTATTTCTCTACACTTCATTGTTGTTATTATTATTATTATTATTATCAGACTTACTAATATTAGATCAATCAATCAATCAATAGATTTTAGATAATTTGGAACATTCGTTTCCAATTCATTATTAGTTTGTACATTATTATTATTATTAGATATTATTTATTGTAAACACAAAGAGTAATCAAGAATGAGTGAATTTGAACAAACCGTTCACAAGGCAACCAATTCAAAAATTACTGCACCAAAGAGAAAACATGTTAGAGGTAAATTACACACATATATATATATAATGATGATTATATACTTTTGGTGATTAATATTAATATTCAATCATATGATTTGTAGCAATTGTATTGACATGTTATGCTGATAATAGTGCAAGACCATTTTTCAATGAAATATACAAGAGACCATTAGACACTAATGATGTAGTCTGTTATAAAGCTTTAACAACTATTCACAAGGTGGTTCAAGAAGGTCCAAAAAATGTATGTATCCAACAACAATTGTTTACTTTTGAAATCATTCATTTCATTTCATTTATTCCAATTTCTCTTTCTTCTTCTTCTTTTTTAGGTATTAGCAGATACTAGTAAAAAGATTAATTGGTTTGAAAGTTTGAGAGCACATTGGAGTAGATATCCCGATACAAAGGGATTCGGTCACTTGATTGCCGAGTATTGTACATTTTTCGTTGACAAGATCCGATTCCACATTGCACATCCAGAGTTTGATGGAGGCCTTTCCATTGAAAACTTTCAAAAGAATAACAAGTTTGAAGATGTCGAGATTGATCGCAGTATCCAAACTGTCAGTCATTTGATGGACTTGCTCGACGCAGTATTTAGAATGCAAAATGCCGTCGTCGACGCTGCCCCATACAATGACTGCAAAACTTCCTCTTTTATCCCCCTCGTCCTAGAGTCTTACGCAATCTATTTATTAGTAGTTCAATTTTTAACTGCTCTTGTTGATAGTATGTAAAAATAATAATTAAATTAATAATAATTAAAAATATATATTAATAATATATATATATATTAACATGTTTCTTATTTTGTTTAGAGGTAGATACAATGGAAGTGATTGAATTTGCAATTCAAAGATTTTATACGCAATATCAGACATTGAGAAACTTTTATCTCAATGCCAACGCAATCAATAGTGTGTCGAGTGTGATTGCTGTTCCCAACTTGCCACCCGATCCCCCTAAATTCATTCGTAAGCGTCGTGAGGCACCCAAGCAACGTCCACCTCCCAAGGAGTTGTCGCCACCACCTGTGCGCCAGGAGCTGCCCCCTCCAGTACCCGAGGTGACACAGATCCCCGTGCCCGTGCCAACACCCGTGTTTATCCGTCAGACTGTGCCAGTCTATGCCAACCCATTCATGCAACAACAACAGGACAATAGTATGTGGGGAGGCCAGTTTGGTGGAGGCGGCCCACAAATGCAATATCAACAACAACCTCAACAACAAATGATACATACACCTCCACAACCAATGCAAATGCCTCAACAACCACCTCCACAACAACAATTCGATCATAACAAACAATCACAATGGGTTACATTCAACAATGAAGAAGAGACTAATAATCGATCACGTTCACAGAGCCAACAAGCTCCTTTGGAGAAAAAGGAGGCTCAGTTGGTGCAGAGCAGTGGGTCGCCGACATCGTCGCTTCCATCGACTGCATTGTCTGGAGGTAGTTCGTCGGCTGAAAAGACGCGAGTCATCACCAAGGTCATTACCAAGACGGTCAGCAATACGGCCGAGTTGAATGCTTTGCGTGCACGTGTCGAAGAGCTCGAGAAGTTGTTGGCAGAGGAACAAGACAAGAACAAAGCATTGCAACTCAGATTGTCAGAGCGTGAGGCAATGATCCAAGAGGTGACTGTTGCCCGCAAGCGTCTCGCCGAGATGACAGACTCCAACAACACTTACACTTCAGAGGTGGTCAAGCAAAACGAGCAGTTGCGTGAACAGTACATGGCATTACGTGACTATTACGAGAAGCAACGTTTGACACGTCTCGAAGCTGACTTTACCAATGTTCAAAAGTCGCTCAACGCATACATCTCGTCGCTTGACAACCCCAACAACCTTGGCAACCCCGATGCTACCCACCAACTCGTCATTGAAGATTTGGCACACCACATGTCACAGGCACAAAGCTTGTTGAACTTGTGTAGCAAGGAAGGTGATATTCCAGAGATGGATATTTTCGGCGCAGTCAACTTGGTGAGTGACTCGCTCAAGAACCTCTTTTCCGATGCCAAGGGTGCATCGCGTTTGATTCTCGACCAGGGATTGCAGAGTCGTTTCCTCGACGCTGCACGTCGTATTGGTGGATTGACACAAAACTTGTTTGAGAGTGTTCGTTTGCAGGGTGGTCAATGTCAAGATGAGGAGGACCGCAAGCGTATGGCTGCTGGCGTGTCATCCCTTCAAAAGGGTGTAGGAGAGTTGGAGAATCTTGCTAGAACTGCCGAGAATGCTCAAGCAGCCGACGAGAAGAAGCTCGAGGACCAAGGATTCGATCTCGACGACTTGGCTGAACGCGAGCTTATGGCCGCTGCCAAGGCCATCGAAGATGCCGCCAACTCGTTGCTTGCCGCCAAGGCCAAGCGTCCACCTAAAAAAGAGGGAGAAATGCCAGATGTGCAAGAGGCAATTCTCGAGGCTGCCATGGCCATCACATCGGCCACATCGACTTTGGTCGGTGCTGCCACGCTCGCACAAAGAGAGCGTGTTGAAAAGGGTCGTGCTGGAGGACCAAATGGCCCACTCTACCGTCGTGACCCTACATGGGCTGAAGGTCTCATTTCAGCTGCCAAAGCTGTCGCTGCCACCACACGTGCATTGGTCGATACTGCCAACAAGGCTGCCAGCGGACAAGAAATCCCAGGTGGTACCGAGGAAGCACTCATTGCCACCTCCAAGGCTGTCACTGCTGCCACCTCTCAACTCGTCGCTGCCTGCAAGTCCAAGAGTGACATCAACTCACCATCCCAACACAAATTGTCCAATGCTGCCAAAAGCGTCCAACATGCCACCAACCTTTTGGTCGCTGCTGCCAAGGCTGTTGCTGCCAATGTCGCCGCCGAAGAAGAAATTGACTTTAGTGGTCTCACCATCACTGGTTTCAAGGTCAAAGAAATGGAACAACAAATGGCTATCCTTCGTCTCGAAAAAGAATTGGAATATGCTAGAAAGGGTCTAAGTGGTATGAGAAAACAACAATATCAAGATTCTGCTCCCTCAATTTAAATTAATAATTAATAATAATAATAATAATGTAAACAAAATAGACAATTCAAAAGAGAGATTATTTTTAATAAATATATATAAAACAATATTACATATTAATCTTTTAAAAATGATGATGGGGATAATTAAAGTAGTTGGATACTATTTTATTTGAGGAATTGGAATCAAAATGTCTCTTTTGGGATATATCCAGAACTCGGAACATGAGATTGATGATTAGTGGTGATGTTCAATGTTGTTTCAAATATGAGGATGGTTGAAAATCCTGAGATTCTTTGGAATAAGGATACAGGTGTCTCTTGATAAACACCAGAAGGTAAAAAAAAAAACGAAAAAATTAATTTATTAAATATCTCTCCAATTCTTTGAACATTCGTTGAATAAAATGTACGACATTTATGCCATCATAGTTATATAATTTATCTGATTATCTTAAAACCGTGGGTTAAGCATCGATCGATGACGAATATCTCAACATTCCCACTGGGTTGTTGTCTCTTGGTTACATCTTGTTCGTAAAAACCAAAGGAATCAGAGAAATGAGCAGCTGCTCATTGTAGTTGTATACAATTGTAGTTCCAGAACTAACTTTTATACAAAACATATATATACATTTATCATTTTAGTTGTTTAGTTATGTAAATTAAATATTATCTTATTTATATATATTTTAATATTTACACAGAGTAGAATGATAACTTCAACAACGGCAACAACAACAACAACAACAACAACAACAACTTTTAGATTATTTAGAAATGTTATAAATAACAAATATTTATGGAGATTAATTATAGGATGTATTAAAGATATACATCAACAAAAGTTTACAGATTACTTTTGTTCAGATGTTGTTAAAGTTTATAGTTGGAATCAACTACTTGTAACACCAAGAGTCTTGTTACAGTACAATTATTTCGATTATTATATCGAGTACAAGGAACGTAATTTACAATGTTATTCAAGTGATACTGGTGAGTACTGGAGTGCTCGGGAAGTAGTGTTGCTCAATTTGGAGAGCAAGATTGATAGTGTCGGATTTGTTAGACGTTACTATCAAAAGTACTGGGACAATACCTTTAACAGTGGATGGAAGTTCTTTTTACGATCTTTGGCACAGTTGCCCAAAGAACCGGCCAATGCTGGGTCGGTTGGGAGTCGTGACGATATCAAGTTACTTGACGAGATGTTGGAGCGTTTTGGGAAGTCACCCGAGTCGAGGAAACCCGTCGACTTTATCGATTATGCATGCGATATTGAAAAGTATGAATACTATCTCGCCAAAGGCTACAAGAGTACCAATCCAATGGAGAGAGCAGCTGCAAGGGGCGACTTGGAGATGGTCAAGTATCTGCATTGTAGACACTCTCCTCCTCTTCATGGATACAGCACTCTGTCTTGGTACTTTCCAATCAGTCAGGGTAACATTGACATTGTGCAATACTACTACCAACAAAACATTCCAGTTGGATTCAATCATTTCCACATTGAAGATTGTTGTTCCAATGGTCATTTGGCAATGCTACAACTACTGTATCGCATGTCACCCAATCATCCTGGTTGGGAGGGAGGTGAGTATATTCGAGCGGCTGCCAAGAATGGACATTTTAAAGTGGTAGAGTGGCTGCATTGCAATATTCCCAACAGCTCGAGTCGACACGACCTCACAACATCCATGGTGCACACTAGAAGGTTTCCTCAAGGTTGTGAACAGATTTCATTGTATCTCATTGAAAATAGACCAGAGTTGTTGGATGACGAGCATCTATTGTCGTCAGCGTGTCAAAGCGGAAGCTTCACCATTTTTAATAAAATATGGAGTCTTGGTCGACCGATGGATAGAGTCAAAGGTACTCCTTCTATGATATCTATTGTAGAGGGTGGAAACATAGAAATCATTTCTTTTCTCAATGACAACCATCCCTACCCCAGAGACATTTGTACGTCGATGGGTATCTCTCGTGCCATTCAAATCGGAACCATTGAAATACTCCAATTCCTCCACTCCCATTGTCCATCTGTATTTAAAGGTGATTATAATACTGAGCTCACCATTCAAAGTAGACCTAAATATATTAAACAATTCTTTATAGATAATAAACTTGTTTAATTAAACAACACTAAGCAATAATATTATTATTAGTTTTGATCATTATTTATTTTATTTTAATTTAATTAGAGAAAAGGATTACCAGATTTAGATTGATCAACTGATTGAGTATTTGGTACTTCACGTAATTGATCATCATATTTACTCTTGTATAATGCCTTTCCATTACTACCTTTACCCAATTCCTTTTCCATTTTTTTATCAGATTCACGTTTGGTCTTTTCCTCTTCCTTTTTCTTCTTTTCCTCTAGTTTCTCTGCCTTTTTTCTTTCCTTTTCTGCCTTTTTAGGTGATTTTCTCTTGAGTGAAAAGTCGCTACCTCTGTCGACACTACCAATGATCTCGTCCATCTTTCTACCTTGACCTTGCACTTCACTGTGCGTAGAAATGGCAATATTTTTCAGATCCTGGAGAATGAACCCCATTTCCTCCAAATGTTCATCCTCTCGTTTGATCCACTCGGCTCTTTTAATAAATTCATTGTCTGCAATATCATATTCAGTGACCATTGAAATTTCCTTGGCATTGGCCATCGATTTCTCTGTTTCACTACCATATCTATTCCACATTTTCTTTGATAATCCGCCACCTTCTTCATCATTGATTTCTTTCTTTACTCTTGGTTGTTGTTGTGGTGAGTCTCCAACTGGTACCATTCCATTTGAAACTGATGATGTTGTTGGTGAATATACATAAGATCCATTGACAGATGCATCATGATTTAATTTATCATTTTCTCTTTTTTGATAGATTTTTCCATTTGCATCATGTCTTGATTTAACATAATTTACTTCATGATGAATTTCTTTCTACACACAAAAATAAATCAACATTTTATAAATTAGTTAGAATGTTTCATTTTAAATAATTAATTATTTAAAGTATTAATTTGTTTGTAACTTACTGGTTTTGGTTCTTTTTCTTTTTGTTTCTTTTTTCCTCTAAGCATATATTTATTAAATCTTTTATATTTTCCTAATCCTTTAACTTGTCTAAAATAAATAAATCATTATCAGTTAGAGATTTCTTACTTTTAATTTTAATTTAATCTCTGAGTTTACATACTCTTCTTGTTCAGCAGACAATTTAGAAATATTATTAAGTTGTTCAGTTTGTGAACCCAATTTCATCAAGGTGTCAACACCTTTGCCATGAGTTTCTCGAAGTGTTTCCAACATCTTGCCTGTTCGTTCAGTATTGTTATATTTTGATTCCCATTCATCCAATCTTTGTTGAATCTCTTGTTCATACATTTCAGCAGACATGCCAACATTACTACTGTATCCAGAACCCTCAGAGGAGTAGGATGGAGGAGGAGCAATGTTGTTTGATCTTGCTCCTCCCTTTTTGTCACCAATTAAATTCCTTAAATTCTCTTTGTGAATGTCTTCAGAAGACATTTTTGGCGATGTTGGGTCACTAGCCATATTTGTTGTTTGTTTATTCATCTTGTGTGTTGACTACTACTACTAAATAGCTATCCTTTTATAATTCTTATTATTACACTCTCTTCTCTCTTTCTCTGTCTAAGTTCAACTAGTTTGTTGTTGTATTCTTTCTTTCTTTCTTTTTAAAAAAAAACAACTGATATTGGTTGTTGTGTTGAGTAAACAAGAAACTATAGTACTAGTAGTATTATTATTGTTAAGTAGCTACATTTATCCTAATGAGAGAGGGACGAATGAATAATAAAAAATATTAAAATATTAATTTTAAAATGTAATGACGAAAACCCAAATTTGGAACGTCGTCGAAATGTAAGGGCGGTACAAAGAGGAGAGGAGGAGGTCGCTGTAAGTGTTTGAATAAATAATATCTCTAAAGTGTTGAGAATAAATAATATTTATTTACATGATGATACTGTCTCTCTCTATTCTCTCTTGATTTCAATCAATTATATTTGAATAATAAATAGGGAAAAGGATAAATAATGAAATTAATTAAAATTAAAAATTGAAAGAAGCAGTCCATTCTTTTCAAAAAACTACCTAACAAACGAGCTATAGTTTAATATAACATTACAGAGAGAATAGTAAAGATGACAACAACCACATTGAAACCTATCATTTGTCCTTCATTGCTATCAAGTGATTTTGCCTTTTTGGCTAGAGATGCAAACCATATGTTGGATTGTGGAGCTGACTGGTTGCACATGGATGTTATGGTAAGAAGATGAAGAATACTATGACATGATGATTTCGAAATTAACTAACATTATATTATATCTATAATAGGATGGGTAAATAGAATGCAAAAAGATGAATGATGATTCATATTAATTAGTTAGTTTAAGCAACTCTCAGTAACTATTACTTACACTCCTATCTATCTATCTTTTTGTTTGTTTTTTAGTCATTTTGTACCAAACCTTACAATAGGGGCACCAGTTATAAAGAGTTTAAGAAAACATACAAAGGGACATTTAGATTGTCATTTAATGGTAACCAACCCAGAGACATTGATCGATGACTTTAAGAATGCAGGTGCCGATGGTATTACATTCCACATTGAAGCTACTGCCAACAGAGCTGGTGGTGTAGACATTACAGCCGACGTTATTAAAAAGATTAAAGCTGCAGGTATGCAATGTGGTATCTCTATCAAACCAAAGACACCAGTCGATGTATTATTCCCATTCCTCGATGATTCTGTCAACATTGTCGACTTTATTCTCATTATGACTGTTGAGCCAGGATTTGGTGGACAGTCATTCATGCAAGATATGATGCCCAAGGTATCTACTCTTCGTCAACGTTATCCAAATCTTAATATCCAAGTCGATGGTGGTATCGATCCAAACACCATTGGTACCGCCGCTCAAGCCGGCGCCAATATTGTCGTTGCCGGTTCTTCTCTTTTCAAACCAGGTCAAGATCCAAAAGATACCATTCAATTATTCAAAGATACAATCAATAAATACAATCAACACTAATAGCTCTCTATTAATAACAATGTAAGATTAAAACAAACAACAATATAAATAATTAAACTTTTTGAGCTTTCAAACCAAATCTACATGTTTTTGCAAGATCTTCAACTTCATTTTAATTAAAAGTTGTATTATCATTTAGTTTTGTTTTAGTAAAGTAATTAAGGAGTAGTAGTAGGATACTGTTGTATTGGTATTAGAGAATGAATACAAACCCCAATACACAAATAATACCACCTTTTAGATTCGCAATCATTGAAGAAGGTTTATATAGAGGATCATACCCAACAGAAAAGAACTTTAGATTTTTAAAGAGGTATAGTATCATGATAATGATGAATGATGATGTTGATGATGATGATGATTATTAACACAAAGAGTCTTATATAGATTAAAATTAAAGACTATAGTATCATTGACACCTAAACCACCATCAAAGCCATTCCTTAACTTTTGTGAGCAATATGGGACTACAAGCAAACACTTTGCAGTATCAAAGTTTAAGGATGATGTTACTATCAGTGCATCTCAAGTTGTACAGTTATTAGAGGTATGCTATGATAGATGAAAGATATTATACATACACTATACAATCAATCTCTAACATTCATTCTATGATAGATGATGATTGATCCAGCCAATTTACCATTATATTGTCATTGTTTGGATGGTGCTAATGTAACGGGCACGATATTTATGTGTTTGAGAAAGTTGGAGAATTGGAACTTGTCGGCGATCATTTCAGAGTTTACTAGGTTCACAAGAGGTAGTTGCATTACTTCGTCTGAATCAGAGTTTGTAGAGACGTTTAAAGCAGAGATTGATGTGCCATTGACCATCCCATCGTGGTTGTGGCAAGGAGTGAGAATGAGTAAGCATCCTACTCTCAAACTGCGACTTGTCAGTGGCACAACACACCCATCTTTGACGGCTGCTGGCGTGGTTGTACCTGGATCGGCGCCACTCTCGTCGTCAACTGCTACATTTTCAAATATACCTGTCAATAATCTAAACTCACTGGCTGGTAATTCCAACCTTGGACAATCACCAATCTCTTCATTCTCATCGATTGCATCACCAATTATTAATTCTACTAGTACTGCCGCCGCCGCCAACACAACCACTTCTATCCCATCATCTTCTATTTTATTATCAACTCTAACTACTATTAGTAACACTCAGGCACAACAACAGCAACAACAACAGCAACAGCAACAACCAACTCAAACACAACAACAACAACAACCAATACAATCATCGCAGCAACCAACTCAAACACAACAACAATCAATTGGAGATGTTAAATCAATTAATAATACAAATACAAATATATCGACTACCGCTACGAGTACTACAACTACTACTACTCAATCGACAACGATAAAGTTTGATATACAATCACCTCGAGCAACTATATCATCACCTCCCAATACACCTGCCTCCTCTGCTTCAACTAGTATTTCAAATCTATTAACAAATCCAAAGGATAAAGATAAAAAGAAAAAGAGTAAGAAATAGATAATAGTTAATATTAATATCTACATACATTTATTAATTTAATCATTTATTTTTATTATTATAGTTGAAGAAATTAAATTACAATTTGATGCAGGTAAATTTAATTTACCAGTAGAGAGTAAATCATTGGATGCTTTGGCATTGGAAAGATCACCTCCATTGAGTCATACACAATCAAATGTAAACAGCACAATTACCACTAGCAATATATCATCTACCAACTCTTCTGGAAATAATAGTTCATTGGCAACACCAACATCAAACAGAACATTATTACAAACATCATCAGAGTTTTCCTTTACCAATGTAAATCTTTTAAATACTTTGAATAATAGTTCAACTCCTCCAAAATAAAAAGGAACAAGTAATAATAATAATTAAAAAAAAAAAAGAAAAGACAATAATCAGCTTTAGTAAAGATTTTGACCAAATATAGAAATGGGAATAGACAATATATTTCATGAATCTAATCATTTGATTGGTAAGTCTGTTTAGTTACAATCCAATACAAAGAGATTAAACTAATACCTTCTTTTTCTAGTATAGATCCAAAAATTCAATTTTCAAAGGAACCAAGTGATGAGACTTGTTTTTGGACAAAGGGTTTGAGAGAGAGAGAGTCTGAGAGGTGACTGCTCTTTTTTGGCAATTGCCTAAAAAGGAGTGTTTGGGATGTCATTGCTCGAGCAATGGATAGAGAGACAACCAGATTCTTCAGATAACTAGTGCAGTCAATGACTAACCATTCAATTAACTACATATTTTCTATTTTCCATTTATTATTCAGGTAATTTCCAATTCCGTTGTCTATATATTTGGACCAAGAAACATTTGACTAAATTGTCTAAACAACAATCAAACTCTCAATAATATTTTCTATTATCTACATACAATAACAAATATTTTCTTTTATCCACAACTCACAAGTCGATATACAGACAAATTAATTAAAATATTATACTATCATATCTACTTTTTATTATATATTACCCATTCTATTTATTATTCATAATATTTAAAAGTTTGGTGACAATGAGCACTCAAGTACAACAACAACATCAGGGTAAATCCCACGAAACTCCCTCCACCTCTCAACAACCAAGCAGTGGCCATCCCCAAGAACAAACCACTGGCGTTCAAACATCCCCAACCTCGTTACGCAAGGGTGATGATTTTGAAAAGGGTGGAGACAACAAATTACAACAACAATCATCTGACATTCAACAACAAAGGGGTGAAGAGCAACCATCATCAGTTTCTGATACTTCACAACAACAAGGTGAACAACAACCATCGTCTGTTCAATCGGGTGAAGAACAACAATTTGGTACTCAACCATCTTCAACTGATCCATCACAACAACAACAAACTGGCCAACCAGAGTTACAACAACGAGAACAAGAACAACAACGTTCACCACAAGAACTCCGCAAGGACAAGGAAGGAGTTATTCTTACTCCACCACAAGGTTCCAGATTCTCCATGAATGTTAACAACCAACTCAACGTTAGATTCATCAGTGCCAAGAATCTTGTCGCTCCGTCGTCCTCCTCATCATCGTCGTCCTCCTCCTCGTCAGAACCACAGGTCAACCCATTTGTCAAGGCCAAGTTCTCTTCGAGAATCAAATCCTACCAAACCGACGTCTGCCACAAGTCTTTGACTCCACAATGGAACCAATCCATGATCATGGACATTAGCAATGCTCAGTCTGACATTATCATCTTTGAGGTGTGGGACAAGGACAGAGTCGGTAGTGACCAACTCATTGGTTTTGTTCCAGTCGATCCATCACTCTTACCAAAGGGTAGCGAAGTTACCACTTGGGAAAAACTATCCTATGTATGTAAACAAAATAATATTTAAATACGTAATCTTTTTTTATTAATATTTATTTATCGTTTAGGTACCACATGGTGATCTTAATATTGCTTTGATGGCAATTAGTTTTGGATTGGATTCTACTCCACAAGATTATCCAAACCAATACGAGGAATGGAGACAACGTATTCCACCAGTCCAACCAAATGGATCGGACAAGCACAAGGGCAAGGACAAAGGTAAAAAGGACAAGGAGAGAGAGATGGAGGAAAAAGATAAGGAAAGAGAAATGGAGGACAGAGAAGGACAAGGAGAAAGGGATGACAAGAAACCAAAGACTGAACAACAGGATTTGGAGAGAACCCAAGGTCCATATGTCGGTAAAACTGTTCCACATGGTTACATGATTAGCAATGGTTGGGTCAAGAAGAAACCAACAATGTCTGAAACCGCCTCACAAAAGATTGGAAGTGGATTTGCATCATTAAAAAAGGCTGTAGGTCAACTATAGATAGATTTCTCTTCCACTTTTCCAACAACAACTCATCATAATCTCTATTATAAACAACAAATTAAATCAAATAATTATTCATCTCAATTTCAAATACAATCCATCATAACTTTTAAAACAAAAAAATAAATAAATAATTTAATATTAAATTTTGGATTAAAATTAAAGATAATCAACTTTTGATTTATTATCTATCTTCTTTTCTTTGTTGCCATTTATTCATTAATCCTTTAATTTTACCACCTTTTTTTTCTTCTTCCAAATCAATATCACTATTAATATTATTTCTATTTTGTTTCCATTTACCCAACATTCCTTTAATTCTTCCAGGAGTAATATTATTATTATTATTTTGTTGAGTAATTTCATTATTATTATTATTATTTTCATTTTCAATTTCTAAAATATATTGATCTTGATTAATAATATTACAATATTCTAGAGATCCTTCTTCATTGATATCATTATTTTCCTCTTCAAATTCTAATCCTTTTCCATTTAGTTGTTGTTTAATGATCCAATCAAAATAATCTTGTAGGGCAAATTTTTGCATGTGTGTTAGACTATTTCTTCCTATCAAACTGTATGGATCTATAAATTCCTCTGATTGAATATTCAAAAAGAGGAATTGAATGATTTCATAATGACCTTTTTGAATCACTGTTGTCATGGTTTCTTTTGAAAACCATTCAAATATATCTATTCTGTTGTAATACAAAAATAAAAGGCAGTCCATCCTGCCATACTCTGTACATCTTGCAAGTGTGCCCGAAGAAAAGTATACATGGCCACCGACACGGTGTAGGAATTTAAGAGATTTAATGCTCCCATTGACCGCCAAATAGTCTGTGATATGGGAGCTAAACCCATCCAACTTGTTCTTTTCAAACCAAAGTTGGAGTATCTCTAATGGATCCGGTCCCTTTGTGAGACAGCGCCATATATTTTCTAGTACTATTTTTTCATTGATATCCCATAGCAAGCGAAGAGGCTCTGCTGATTGACAACCAATCACGAACCCTCGAATATGGTCAGGTTGGAGACACACTTGATAGAGCGGGATCAGCCATGCAACCATTTTATCTCGCCCGGGTCCACTATGTGGTTGGTTCAAGTAGGATGTGACAATGGATACATCTGGGCGGTTTGAAATGTCATCCAGTCGTAGTGGCACAGAGATTTTAAAATGCTCCAAGGATGTTGAAAAGAGTTCAATAGAATCTCTGGAACAGGCAGAATCTAGCAACGAACACATGATGAATCCTGGAGGAAACGATGATTCACTGTACCCACATTCTAGTAGATACTTTACCACACCTACATAGTTGCCAGTACCAGTCAGAGCCACATCCTTTGTGATGAGTGGCGAGATTGGTCCTCCAAATATCTCGACATTTTCTCGCAACCAAATAACTATCTGCAAGTCACCTCTCAATGCAGCAGTACGAAATGATTCCTGGATTGGGTTGACAGAGTTTTCAACCAAAAACTTGATGGTCTGTAGTGATGCACGTTGACATGCACGTTCAAATACATTATTACTCTTTCTAAATTCCTTGGGGCAGTTGGCATAGATGTACCGTGTCAATGGTTCACTGTGTGTCGCTAGAAACACGGTTCTGTCTGACAACCGTACCTTTGATCGTTTGTAAAGCCAAGCAAATATATCGACCAACCCAAACTCGGCCAAATCATCGTATCCCCAACCCGACAGATACTTGTCACCAAATCGTTGATAAACAAGTTGAACCATCTCCAATGACTTTGATTTGATTGCATGATCAACCATTGGAATTTTTAACAACTCTATAGGATTTTCTAATCTACCCTCATCAATCAATCCAAATAATAATATTACGATTTCAATGTTTGTAGAATGTACTCTTAAATTTTAGAAATTAAAAATGGATTAGAATATATTTATGAATAGTTTGTTTGTTTGTTATATATGTTATACATACGCATTGATAAGAGATAATATAGTAATCTTTACATTTGGATGAGAGATTGATAAATAACGAATGACATTTATATGTTTACCTTTGTAACTAGCTAATTCGTATGCAGTGTCAGGTACTTGAATATTGTATTGTCGATTTAAATAATGAATGATATGATGGTGTCCGTGTTCGGCAGCCATTAGCATTGTGGTAGTTGTAGGTGCAATGTTATACTTTTCAATGGCATAACAAAGACAGTCTAGACGACCAGAAGCAGCTATATTATCGACCACCCAACTAGGAGACTCGTAACAATCACCACAAGATTCATGAGGAGGTGGTCTTGTCTTTGCCGAAGGATAGTTCTTTTCCCAATAGTCATATGCCAACCGATGTCCAAAGTAAAGAGGAAACCTACGATGAATCAGTTTTAGAAACTGTAGGTTCTTGCAATACCTCAACAGTTTGGGCATCGAATTAAAGTAGAGTATGAATAGTTTATCATATTTCAACTTTTGACATAATAACTTGATATTACTCTCCTCTTTCAAAGATCTATCGATATGTTGATCATCGACAATGTTAAATGTCAAGTAAGACAACCGATCACTTGGGATCTCTCTAAATCGATAAGACACCAAACCAAGTTGAGCATGTATCGTCGGTACATGACCAAGTATCTTTCTCCACAAGTACTTATTCTTTATAATAAATGTAAATGTTTCTTCCATTTCTCTATCTATCTGTGTAAATAAAAAAGATAGTTACGAAGTAATCAAACGGCACAAATGCACTACTTTTAATTCAATGAACCTGTGATTTTCAAGAGAACACACGACTTATTATTATTATTAGTGTGAGTAGAGAGTACTACTATTCTTGTTGCATTGTTAACATTTTAGATTAATCTCTTTTCTATCTATCAATATTTACACTATTTATTGTTTGGTTGAAATTCTGATAAAAGTTAACTTGGTTGTTAAACAATGCTGAATGCCATGTACTGAGACTTTAAGAATATTCAACACCTCACTTTTTCATCGTCCATTCAAATAAATCAATTTCATGTTCTGTAGAGAGAGAGAGAAAAAAGAATAATAATTGGTGGGTGTCAGACGAACTACTACTATCACCACACTTTCCTCCCTTTGCCCCCCCTCACAACTTGATAAATCCAATAATAATAATAAATTAAAATTATTATTATTTTTTTTCTTTCCTCTGAACACATGTGTTCAGTAGCTTGCTGCTACTGTATTTAATTCTAAAAGTCTCCAACACCTCTATTAGTCTACATCACACCTTCCCATTATTTTTTTTTATATACATATACAGCAATAATTAACAAGTAAACTTTAATACCTATCCTACCTACAATACACTACTACACTTCACTTTTTGTAAATCTACTTTTATCATTTTTCATAGTCGTCGTCGTCGTTTCGTCATCTTTTGTTTTACACTGCGACAAACTGTACATTAATTAAAGAATGAGTGCACCTCCAAAACCACCATCAAAGAATCCAAATCCAGGAGCTCCTCCCCCACCAGCAGGTACTGCTGCTGCTCCATACCAACCTGCTCCAGGACAGTATCCACCAGCTGCTGGAGGACAACAGCAATACCCACCTCAACCATACCAAGGTGCTCCTCCTCCCGGTCAATACCCTCCACCAGGACAACAACAACAATACCAATACCCACCTCCTGGACAACAACAAGGTGGGCAACAATACCCACCACAACCACAAGGTCAATACCCACAACCCGGACAACAACCACAACAAGGACAATACCCACCTCCAGGACAACAACCACAACAAGGTCAATACCCTCCACCAGGACAACAGTATCAACAATACCCACCACCAGGCCAACAATATCAACAATACCCTCCACCAGGACAACAATACCAACAATATCCACCACCACAACAACAACAAGGACAATACCCACCTCCAGGAGTAGGACAATATCAGCCACCTCCACCAGCTGGTCAAGGATACCCTGTTTCAACGGCCAAACCAGGTGTGGCAACTGGTAAGAACCTAGTTCCACCTCCAGGATCTAGATTCACTCATGCTCCAATCAATCAATTGAGTATCAAGATTCACAGTGCCAAGAATCTTATTGCCGCCGATTTGAATGGAAAGTCAGATCCATATGTTCGTCTAAGAGTAACATCCAACTCTAGAACATTCCAAACTAAAGTCATTCCAAAAAATCTCAATCCAGTTTGGAATGAAAGCTTCATCGTTGAAATTCAAAATGCACAATATGATCTTGTGGTTGTTGAAGTTTATGATAAAGATGCTGTCGGAAGTGATGACTTGATTGGTTTTGTTCCAATTGATCCTGCTTTATTACCAAAGGGTATTGAAGTTACTACTTGGGAAAAATTATCTTGGGTATGAATTTAAAAAAAACATAAAACAAGAATATTGTATTAATTATTTAATGTTTAGGTACCACATGGAGATATTAATCTTTCAATAACTGCAGTTAATTTTGGACTTGAAAATGTTCCACCACAATATCCACAAGAATATATTAATTGGAGAACTGCCTTGCCATCGGTCAGCAAGAAGGGTAATGAAAAATCAAAGAAGAAAAAAGACAAAAACAAAGTATCAAAGCATAGCAGTGGTAAAGGTATGGGTCCATTCACAGGAAAGGCTCCACCCTACGGCTACACAATTTTGAATGGATGGGTAAAGAAACAAAAATCCATAGTTGATAAAGTATCAAAAGATATTGGAAAAGGTTTTAAATCTTTGAAAAAAGCTATTGATAAATTATAAAACATTTAATTAATTTATAAATACAAATAAACATTATTTTATTATTATTCATTTAAATGCCAATCTTCCTTATCCCAAAATTTCAAGAACCTTGTAGTTAATTCCCATTCGCTTCCACCTCGATGAGGTACATTTGCGCATGATTGTTTGATAGAGGGTGGGATATTTTGGCAAATGTTGGGACGAGCAGGATTGCAACTGACAGTTTTCAAATGTTTTGGTATGGCCAACCAATGTGGTGCTATATCATAGGTATCGGGAAATTCTAAATATTCACAACTATCTGGAATAATTCCATGTCCCAATATTTGATCAAACCCAGCACCTAGGTGAAATAAATATAAAATAAATATGTAATTTTGAATCATTCTGATTCTAATATATATCATATATTAGCTTACCTAATTTAATATGAGTAACTCCATTTGGAATATCATTGGGAAGTAATTTTAAAGAAATGTTTAAACCATATGGTTGATAATCAAAATAAATTGTTGACGGTGGCATAGATGACTTTAGATAGAAATCATACTCTCCGTAAATACCAAAATACTTTATGTTGTTGTTTGGTGGTAATAGCCTTGCATCGAATCGACACTTGAATCCACTGATAAATAGTATGGAAATGCTTGGTGGCAGAACGGAAACGAGTGGAGTCTCCTCAAAATCAATCAGTGTCAATGTAGTGATTGAAGGTGGGATGCAGCGATCGCTCAAAGTAAAGTCTCCATCCAACTGAAGGTCTTTGACGGTTGAAGGAATCGATCCTTCCAAGAGTGTGGTAGGTTGGTCGCACTTTAAGTATAGGTATTGCACAGAAGATGGAGGAATACATTGAGGTGAATTGACAGATAGGTTAATGGAGAGGTACCTAACACTTGATGGAATAGTGTGGCTGGATGATGATCGATCGGATCCCATCTCGACTATACAATCATCAAGATACAAATGTTCGATTGTATTGGGTAGAGATCCAATACAAACATCTGGATCATCCTTTGTTGTTGAATTCATATCATCATCATCATCATCATCCTGATCTTCTTTAACTTTATTATCTTTGATAATGGTTAGACAATAGAGTTGTTTAAGATTAAAGAGATAGGGATGAACCAATGTAGATGGGATAAAAAGTATCTTTATATTGTGTGGTAAGAGATCATCAGTGTCTGAGCAATGATTGCAAACCACTCCATTTGGGATACTGAGTAACTCTAGTGTATCTGGAAAGAGTTGTTTCTTCATCTCTTGTCTGACCGCCCCAAGAGCGAGGTGAGTTGTAAATGGTGGGATTGATCCAACCTCTATCGGTCCACCAACTTTAATCTTTGTAAAGTGATCTGGAATGAGTCCAGGAGGGATTGGATCCTCAATCAACGAGATGAATTGTTTACAATGATGATTGATGAGACCGTCTTCATTCTCTTTGAAATATATTAGGTCTCTGACACTCTTTATATAGACTCTATTGTATCGTTTTGGGATTTGATCAATTCTTTCATTACTCTTGTAAGATGTAATTGTATCGATTGATGGTAATCGTGGGAATACTACAGTATCCTTCCACTTGATCGCATCTTTACAAGTCATCAATAGATTCATCACACTTTGATTATGATCTTCACGTTGTAATATTGATATCATCGATACTCTAAACAATGAATCTTTAACTAAATTCAACGTGATTAAAAGTAACAATCATTAGTAAAATAAAGAAAGATATAGGATGTCAAACGCTCTTTTGTTACTTACAAAAATGATTTGTTGTTGTTGTTGTTGATGATGATGATGATGAAGATACATCAATCTTTTTTCTCTTTTTTGTTGTATTATATATATTGTCTTGTTGAAAGTCATGAAAATGATGATGATGATGATGATCTTTATCATTATCAATATTTAATAGAATCGATTGTTTAAATGAATCGATACAATCTAAATAATGATTGTTCATTAACTGTTGGTGTTGTGTTACATTGTCGTTGTCATCATCATGTATTATCTTTTGACAACATATTCTACAAACACCTCCTTTTCTATTACTTGTGATTGTATTATCTGTTGATTCCATGTCATGACACAATCAAAAGAAATATATTTCTAAAGGGGAGGAGGTTTGTTTTGTCTGGACTCAACTCCTGCACCAGATCATTGATGAATCTGTTTTTCATGGATAAACCTACTTGCTTGTTATATCGGTTGTATTCAAAATTAATTCATTGTTAATATTTGTAATATTATTATTATTCATAAATTTAATATTAATTTCACCAACTACTTTTGTGTGACAAAACTATTAAAAATTATTAAAAATTTATTTTCGAAAAACGAACGAAACCACACCAAAACGAGAATCCGTATTTTACTGTTTTATTATTAGTTCTCTCTTTTTTGTTTTTTTTTGTTAAGGAAGAAGAATCATTATAATCATTCAATAGGTTATTATTTATATTTATATATATCATATATTACTTTAAAATACAAAGATGGGTAAAGGAAAAAAGAGATATCACGCACCACAAAAACAAAAAGAGCAAGAACCTAAAGAACAACCAAAGGAACAAAAGCCAACAAGTCATGCCATCGTCGGTATTGACTTTGGTGCTCATTACTCGTGTGTCGGTGTTATGAAGGGTGACCATGTAGAGATTTGTCCAAACCAACAAGGTAACCGTACCACTCCAAGCATCGTCGCCTACGTCGGTGACGATCGTTTGGTAGGTGACGAAGCCAAAGGTCAAATCGACAGAAACCCACAAAACACTGTATTCGATATAAAGAAGCTCATCGGTTTCAACTATAGTGATCCAACTTTACAAGTATGTTAGAAATGATAGAAAGTAGAAAGGATGTACTTGCTTGCTTGCTTACTTACACTTTCTTTTCATTCATTTCATTCCCCTTTTTTACTTGTTTCATTTTTAGAATGAAATTAAAAAGATGCCATACAAGGTAGTAGATGATAATGATAGAGTAATGGTAGAAGTAACTTATCAAGGCAAACAACAAACGTTTGCACCAGTACAAATAGCATCGTTGATTCTTGCACAGATCAAACATAACGCCGATATGTATATAAACGCCGATGTCAAGCGTGCAGTCATTACAGTGCCATCCGAGTTTACGTTGGAGCAACGCAAGGTTGTCAAGGAAGCCGCCCAGATGGCCGGCCTCAACGTGGTGCGTTTAATCAGCGAGCATGCCGCCGTGGCCTTGGCCTATGGCTACGGCTCGCTCGAGCAACAACAACCCGAGCAAAATATAGTTGTATTTGATTTGGGCGGCAGCGGGTTGTCCGTGTCGGTCATATCGTCGGGGCGTGACGCCACGCTCGAGTTGGTTGCCAACGTGTTTGACCACTCGTTGAGTGGCGAGGCGTTCGATGCCTCGTTGGTCGCCCTTTTCACCGCCGAGTTTAAGCGCAAGTGGCGTTGCGACTTGTCCGAGAGCGCACGTGCTGTCGCCAAGCTCAAGAGTGCCTGTGAAAAGGCCAAGAAGAACTTGTCCAACATGACGCAGGCGTCGATCGAGCTCGACTCGCTCTACGAAGGCTACGACCTCTTCACCAGCGTCACCCGTGCCAAGTTTGAAGATACCGCCGGCGACCTGATCCGTGGCGCCCGTCGTTCGTTGACCGCTGCCATTGAAAAGGCCGGCATCAAGCTCGACGCCGTGTCCAAGGTCATCATGGTCGGTGGAGGCTCGCGTATCCCCGCCATCGAAAAGGTTGTCAACGACTTTTTCGGCGGTCGTTCCGATCTCATTGCCAAGGGTGTCCCAGCCGACGAAGCAGTCTGTGTCGGTGCCTCTATCCAGGCCTCGTACCTCGAGAAGCACGGTTCATCCCACGGAGACAAAAAGGTGGTCAACGGCACTGCCACCCCCACCGCCATCACCCCAGAGGCCATCGGTATCGAAGGCAACGGCTCACAAATGGTCACCATCATACCCGCCAAGACTAGACTCCCCGCCACACGTACCTTCAAACTCACCAATCACCAAGACAACCAAACCAAACTCAACCTCTCCATCTTTACCGGATCCTCGTCGGCGCCGCTCTCTGAAAACAGACTCATCTCTCGTTACATTTTAGATATTGAACCAAAACCAAAGGGTCAATCCTCAATTCCAATTACTTTTAAAATTAGTCCAGATGGTTTATTTGTAAATATCAAAAATATAAAAAAAAAAGATAGATAGAAAAGATATGTATATTAATATTCTTTTTATTTAATTTTAGGAAATTATAACACCAAAAAAGACATTTACTTTGGGTACTAAAACTAGTAGATGATTCTTAGAATAATTAAATAAATTACACAAATCATTATCAATTTAATAATATAACAAACATAATTAGAATGTAAACTGACTGATTGTGTTTTGACTATCACTTTAATAGGACATACGACAAGACCTTTGAAACCCAATCAATTGATGAGAAACCAAGTGTAGATATTATCTAAAGGTGAATCGGCAAACATCGTTTTCCCCCCTTTAAAAAAAATCAGTTGGGTTTGATCGTCGGGATTCATTCCATTGAATTGGGGGGCATTAATCAATCATTCAGTGATCAATCAATCCCACTCTTTTATCAATTCAATAAAGGATAATAATAAATTAACTTTGCTTGGCTACCTACATACACACAAAGACACATACACAGACACATTCATACATACACTTAAAGTGACCCTTTATCATTCATTCCCTGAAGAGAACAAAGTAACAACAACAACAACCCACCAGTCTTTGACAAACTATAGCAGAATAGAATAGAAAGATGTTGAGTGCTAGAAGTGCCACTATTGTAAAGGCTGAAACAAGAGAAAAGAATGGAAAGAAGTTTACTGTATGTCAAGAGACTTGCAATAGGAGAGAGAGAGAGAGATCTGACACCAATACACCACTAACTCATACATACCTTATCTTACCTACCTACCTCCCTACTTAGGAATATATAATTGATATAGCAACACAGACAGGTGATGAATATACAGTGGCTAGAAGATTCTCAGAGTTTCATTCTCTTTATCAACTTGTTTGTATCTCTTATTCTATCCATCTCTCCCTCTATCACGATCAAACCAAACTCACCTCACCTCTTTTCATTCATTGATCTATAGATGGTACATAACTTTCAAATAACATCACCATTTCCACCAAAGAAATTGAATAAGCTTAAATCGGCATTGGTCGAGAATAGAAAGCTGCAATTACAAGAGTTTCTAAAGAATGTCATCAATCATCCATCTCCAATCGTTCGTAAATCAACTGATTTGGAGAGATTCCTTGACCAAAATAATCCAATCTTTACATCTAGTATGCTATAATGATCAATCCAACACTATAGTTTGGACAATAACAATAACAATAACAACTTCAACAACTAACGCTAACCTTTTCTGTTTACAGAACTAGTATCAAAAAAAGTAACATTGGAAAATGTAAACAAGAAAAAGGTGGTTTTGGAATTAACCATCGTCGAAGGAAAAGAGATAAAGTTTGAAAGCAAGTCAATGTGGGGTATGTTGATATCTTGGATCAGTCTCTATCTGGACAAAAATAATGATGATTTACTAATCAATTGTTATATATTTATATAGATGTTATTTCTTATTGTGTATTTGATTTTGATAAATCACCTACTCAAGAATCTGTGTCTACTACTACCACACCTGGTTCACCAAATGGATCATCAAATGATGTTGGTAGTTTAAATAATATGTCTAGTTCAATATTCCATGGAAATTGGAAAACTGATGCCATTCCAGGTCCCTATCCAAGTTGGAATAGAAAAGAAAATGTTTGTACAACCTCCAAACTACAAGTAACATGGTTTGCAATTTACTTACTTTTTTTTTCATTCTACTTTTAAAAGATTAATATTAAAGGTAAAAAAGTTATACATTTCGATGTACATAGTACAGTGGAAGGTGAAAATAAGAACACCAAGATTGGTAGTTGTCAATTACAACTTTCATCACTTGGATTGAATAATTATTCACCTGTTGCCGTTTCCATCCCATTGGAACCAAAAAATTCCGGTGAAATATTGGTCTCACTTATTTTATTATAGTCGGAGATCAACAATCATCAACAATCATCAACAATCATCAACTCATCCATATTTATTATTTCTTTTCCATTCCACGTCAACAATATTATTCTTTGTAATTTCCCACAACAACAACAACTTTTTTTTACTAATCCAACAATAATCATAATCATAATAATAATAATAATACAACAAATAATGTATAGATCCAAGAACAACTAATTAATTACCTTACCTTTACCTTCCCTTCTCTTCTTCTTTTTTTTTTTGAACAAATCTCCAAAACAACAATAAAATATATATATATGTTGTCTTTTGTAAACTTTTCTTCTACTCTTTGTCAAAAATTTGAATGAAACCACTCTCTTGAGGATCTTGTCTTTGGCGCCACCTTCAAAAGACAAATTTTTTTTTTTTTTTTTTTTTTTTTTTTTTTTTTCACTCTCTTCCTCAAAGTTAGTATTCCATCTTCTTCGTTTACTACTATTGCTACTAGTACATTCCATACCATCCTCCTCTACCCCCACCAACACTATAGGTATGAAGATTACAAACAAAAAGAACACGAGACAAAAGAGAGAGGGGAGATGTGAAATAGAGAAATACTCGTTCAACGAGGTATTCAGTCTAGATAGAGAGAGAAAGAGATATATAGAGGATGACATCAATATATTGTTGATAGATTTACTTTTGATTGATATACTAAACTCTTTATCTATTCCCCTTTTTACCTGCTACCTACTATATAGTATATAAACGACGACGACAAACAACAATATATTTAATATATATTATATTTATAGATAGAAGATACAAATAGAAAGAATAGGAAATAATGGATTTAGTTACTATTTTAACCAATGCTCGTGATCATGGTAATTAATTATACACCCCCCCCCCCTCTTCTATCTATACTTCTCTTTTCTACCTCTATCCACTGACCCGCTGACTGACATAACTTACACAACTGACATACTTACACACATTTACATAATCTCTCTCTTTCTTACCTTACTATTATATGTTACCTTACTCAAACCTTAACCTTTAACTTTGTGAAACACTTTAACAAACACAAACAGATGAAGCAAAACGTAGAGATGCTGAAGAGAGATTAGCTGCTGCATCTCAAAAAGATTTTGTAAGATCATCACCTTTGACTTGACACTGTTCAATCACCTTTTTTTCTCCCTCTTTCCCTCCTCTTGCATCTTTATCAATCTCGATTGTACTAATTATAATTTGTTGTTGTGTTGATATTTGTGTTTTTTCTATTACTCTCTATTAAACAAATATAGGGTGGATTTCTTCACGCTTTGGCCCTCGAATTGGCTAATAACGACCGTCAAGCAACTCTCAGACAATTGGCTGGTATCATTTTAAAGAATTCTATATACTCTAATGTAAGTATAATAATATATTTGAAAAGTAAAGAGACTCTAGTCAAAACTAACTAATAAGATTATATTTAAAAAAAGGATGCAAATAGATATGAAGTATGCCAAAAGCAATGGATTGCAGTTCCTGAAAATACCAAAAATGAAGTTAGAGTTTTGGTAAGTTTTTTTTAAATGATCAACAATATTGTTTTAATTAATATTAAATAATATTAATATTTTTCTTTTCTTTTTATTCTCTTTTTTTTTTTTTTTTTTTTTTTTTTTTTTAGTTAACCAACACATTACACTCACAAACCTATGAATCACGTCATACTGCAGCTCAAGTCATTGCAAAGCTTGCTTTGATTGATCTCCCAACTGGATCATGGCAAAATCTTGTTCCATCTTTGATTGAAAATTTAACCAATCAAACATCATCTGAATTCACCAAACAATCATCACTCCAAACTATTGGTTATATTTGTGAAGAAATTGTAAGTAAACAGACAATGACAATGACTATGACTATGGCAACTAACTCTTGGGACTTTTCATTCATTTATAATTTCTTAGAACCCAGATATTATGCAAGGTTTTTCCGATCAAATTTTGACAGTTATTATCCATGGAATGAGAGACGCATCAAATTTGGTAAAGCATTCTGCCACTGATGCCTTGTACAATGCTTTGGAATTTGTCAGACACAACTTTGAAAAAAAGGAAGAAAGAGATTACATCATGAAGACTATCTTTGAAACCTGTGGTTCTACCGAACCAACCATCAAGAGATTGGCTTTTGAAAACCTTGTAAAGATTGTTCCATTGTATTATGGTTACATTTTCGAATATATGGGTGATATTTATAATGTATGTAAAAAAAAATTAAATCTAAAATATATTTATATTTATATATTTATATTTCCTTTTATTTTTTAGATTACTGTAAATGCAATTCAAACTGAACCAAATGAAGGAGTTGTATTACAAGCTATTGAATTTTGGACTACACTTTGTGAAGAGGAATACAACTTGTCAGAGGATGATCTCTCCAAGGAGGTTATGTCAAAGGCACTTGCTCCATTTATTCCAGTGATTGTTCAAACATTGCTCAAGCAAGACGAAGACCAAACCGACTCGTGGAACGTTTGTATGGCTGGTGCCACCTGTATCACATATATTGCATTGAATGTCACTGATAGCATTCTCGAGCCAATCGTGCCATTTATCAGCCAAAACCTCGCCTCGCAAGAGTGGAGATTGGCCGAGGCTGCCTGTGTCGCCCTCGGTTCGATCCTCGAAGGTCCAACCGCCGTCGAGTTTCAACGTTTCCTTGCCAACACCATCCCAACACTCATTGAACACGCCACCAAGAACCCAAACTCGATGGTCAGAGACTCGGCCAGTTGGACATTGGCAAGAATGTGTGCCCATCAAATCGAAGCGGTAGCGGATCAACTCGACATTGTCTTGCAAGCTTTGGTCAACGGTACCAAGGACCCATTGCCCAAGGTTGCTGCCCACGCCTGTTGGGGTATCCACAATATCTGCCAAGCCTTTGAAATTGGCTCGGTCGGTCAATACAGCTCGCTCAACAAGTTGTTCCCACATATTGCTCAAGCTCTCTATGTCGCCGCTCACCGTGCCGACGACGAAGATTCGCTCCGTGTCAATGCCTATGAAGCTCTCAACAGTCTCATCTCGTTCTCCAACGCCGACGACAACCTCATCGTCGAAGTGTTGAATTTTATCTTGGTCGACTTTGAAAAGACCTTTACCATGGAAGGTGACCAAGACGAGAGAAAGCAAACCCAAGCACTTATCTGCAGTACCCTCCAAACCATCTCGACCGTGCTCAAGGACAAGATCAAACCACAAGTACAAAGAATGTTGTACTTGTTGTTTAACGTATTCAAGACCCAATCCCATATTATCTACGAAGAAGCTCTCTTGGCCATTGGCTCTGTCATTCACGCCATCGAAGGTGACTTTAAGCCATACCTACAAGCCTTCCTCCCCATCCTCACAGAGTGTCTCAGAAACGTCGAGTTTGGTGAAGTCTCGAATATTTCAATCGGTATCGTCTCTGATATCACCCGTGCCTTGAACAAGGAATTCACTCCATTGGCCTCTAGCATCATTCCATTGATCATCCAAGATTTGATCGATCCAAAGATCTCTATGAATGCCAAACCAAACGCTCTCAGCTGTCTTGGTGATATTGCCCTTGCCATTGGTTCTGATTTCATTCAATATTTACCAAATGTTATGCCAATTCTTGAACAAGCTACTACTGTACCAATAGAAGTAAGTAAAAAAAAAAAACAAAAACAAAAAAAAAAAAAAGAAATATATATATTAATTTTTTGACGTTAGGATGAAGAATATTTAAATAGTTTAAGAAATTCAATTTTTGATGCTTATATTGGTATTATTCATGGTTTGAAATCTGAAAATGCTAGTGACAAATTTACTCCATACGTTACAGCAGTTTTACAATTTGTATCTATTGTCTATGCTGAAAAGGACAGAACCTCTTACCAAGTTATTGGTGCCGCCATTGGTTTATTAGGTGATCTTGCTCAATCATTGGGTGACCAAGTAAAGGCTATTTTGAGACACGATATTGTCAATAATCTCATCCAATTGGGTTCCTCTCAAGATGGTAACAGAGAAGTTGCTGAATGGGCTAGAGAAGTCATCTTTAAATAAGTAAATAATAATTAATAATAATAATAATAATAATATAATACTAGTACGTACAAATCATTTCATCACATACAACAACACATACACACATACACACATCACTCAACCAATTTCAAAATCAATTGGACACAAACTCAGAAAGTTTATGGACCATTATAAAAACCCATAATTTATATAATATTTTAAATACAATGTTGAACAAAAGAAAAGAAGAGAGCTTGGAGATATTTAAATTATTAATATTTATTGTTCCAGGATTAATTAAAATAATTCTATATATAAATAAACAAAAAACCCTTTTAAATTTAAAACATGTTTACTCAAAGTACAACAGTGTGGTCTGTTATGTCCTTGTTAAATTTGAAAAATACATTTGGTTTATTAAACTTGCAATCTATTGGTTAAATGTTACATTCGACCAAAACCACTTTGCTTGTCAATCATATGGACCAGATCCTGGGACTCTAAACAGTTTGATACAAACTCCCCAATCAATCGAAACACCTGGTGCTTGGTGCACCACTTGACAGAATCTCTTTTGATGCATTGATCAAATAATCTGTTCCATGTATCTGGATTGGTTGGGTTGTAAGCATAATAATAATAAAGTGATTGTTGAATATCCAATCTTGTGAATCCCTTGACAATATAGATCTATTGACAGATGAATTTTTGTTAGTTTAATCTATTTGTTGTAGTAGAGGTGGTAGATGTATTATTATCTGAAAATTGATCATTATTATTATTATTATTAGTTCTACTATTGTTGTTGTTGGCCAGTTGGTCCTCTAAACTCTTGGGAATAGCCTCCTCTAGCATTTGTCCAGCACTTCCCCTTGAATATATATTAGAAAAAAAGAATTAATTAAATAAATATATATATATTTAAAATGCTAAAAATATTGTTATACTTACTATTCATTGTTGCAACTGATAATCCAATCAGAAAAAAGATTATTGGATTAACAAATAAAAACTATACTCTTATACTATTTGTTACACTACACTAGAAGGGAGAATAAAAATAATTGGTTAGTTTGGTTATTAAATATCAATTCTAGGTTCACAAATTTAATTAAAATTAATAGGGGGGGTTTAAACAAGAATCACCTGTTAGGGGGGAAAGATCATGAATGGTTCATAATCCTGAAACAATAAATAAAAAACCTTAAATTTAAATATTACAAATTACAGTAAAGTTGACTACAAGGGGTAAGAGTCAGAATTGGCTCGCCAAAAAAAATCCCAAACCTGGTGATGCATTCGACTTCGAACTCACACCACACACTCTCCACAACACCACCACACTATTTAAATAATTAAATAAAAATATGCATATTGCAAAGGGGAATAACTTAGATGATCATCATGTTTACATACATTACATACATTACATAACCTCTACAGAGAGAGAGAGAGAGAATAGTATAGAGGAGGTAGACTATATAACAACAACAACAACAAAAATCATGCCACCAATAATCTACACCCGTAATATCCTCTTAATAATAAATGAGTTGATAGAAAGAATCAACCCAAAATATCAATCTAGAACACCAAGTATCAAAAGGTTAATGTCATCAAGATATATTGCCATAGATTTGGAGGACTTGTTAGAGGTCAAAAGAAGATTCTTGTTTAAGAAATGGAAGTTCACATATGCCCTAAAGCACAATCATTTCCAAAGCTTCCAAGCAGACTGTCTTCCAAATATAATCACGTACAAAAGAATTGACAATGAACCCATGTCCTTAAAAGGTATGATGATGATGATGATAATAATAATAATGACCATTGGTGATCATCATGATACAAATATGTAATGTAATGTACTAATCACTCACCATTCCTATTAATTACTCCACATCTATAGATCTACTTCGTTTGAAGGATGCCATATTCATGGTCCCCGATATTGTCCAGGACAATCTACCTTGTATAGTCCCATTCTTTGAGGAATGTCAAGGACTATACATCTACTATCAACACATAAAGTATGTGATAGTTCCTCACGATCATCCACGTGTTGCTGATGCCAATGATCTCATTGAAGAAATCAATACCCACATCAAGACTCTTGCCGTTCCACGCCAGTTGGAAAATCTACTTACTCCTGCCACCAACCACAATGATCAATTGAAAGAACACGATCGTTCGCATAGCGATCGTCACTCTGGTGATCATCGTGATCGTGGCCGTTCACGTGAACGTTCACATAGCGACTGACGACATGTAGGGAGAGGATCTGGCAGAGTTCGTATTATGCTCGGTCCATTGTCTATATCCCTGACATCACACAATATGTAAAACTGAGCAGTGATATCAGGTATATAGATACTGGGGGAACATAATCGTGCGAGAACTTGAGTGTCCATATGTTGAATACCGACGACAACCTCTTCATCGTTCCTGCCATTGATGTAAACCCTAGCGACCCACAGCATCAATGCCTCCTTGAAGAAATCTCTTTTGATATTGAATCTTGGTCTTGTCTAGGAGACTTGTAATGTCATCATTGCTTGGATTTACCAAAAGCAATATCTCATCCACCTCTCTTGTGTCTTGATCTTGTACAACTGCTTCTCCATCATTGGCATAAGATTCTCCAGTTAAATAACCAGATGGCGTCAAACGAAACACCTGGTGATTAGCACCACTTGATGTAATCTTTTTTGATGGATTATTCAAATATTCTGCTCCATGTATCTGGATTGATTGGGTTGTAAGCATAATAATGATTGAGTGATTGTTGAATATCCAGGCCACCCAACACCTGCTCCAGAACCGCTCAACTTGGTCAAGCTACTCCAATTCGGCTGCTGTATCCATTCAACGGCAAAAGAGACGAGTGGGTTCAAGTATTCTGAAAGGGTACTTCTTCCAAAGTAAACGACGACAAGTGCGTGATCATGGATACAGCAGCCCATTGTGGACACCGGGTGTGATGATCAAAAAGATACCTTGGCTACTACTTTTAATCAACTAGGATTGGTACCGCATCTGCGAGAGGACAAAGTTTCCAAATGGAAGCCTAAAGAATTAATAATAATAATTACAGAAATTAGCACTACTTATTAAAAACGTATGGTTTCTCCCAACTAAATTAAATAATTCACTTACCTTACATCCGTGATCACATGATTGTTGACCGTCGTAGGTCATGCAGTGATGGTCACAGTAGACGAGGTTTTGTTCAGAGAGACCGGTGAGGGTGTTGCAGCAAGGAACCATTGTCCCCTTGAAGCAAGTATGCATCCAACGACCGAGCATGATGATCACCCTTCCAGATCCTGTCCATTCCTTGTGTACTCGTATAGGAGTCGTCAAAGCACGTGCTCTTTGAGTGCAAAGAAACGGCCGTCTCTACCAGTTGCAATGATGAAAGAGTTGCCACGCAACAACTCAGACTCCCAAGATCGATTGGGCTCCACTCAACATGATACAAATGTTGGTTGTTGTTGTTGTTGTGGTTGTGGTTGCACTTACCCTCAACATCAGCAAAATGCAACCCAATTGTGACCAACGCGATAGCATCTACAATGGAGAGAATATGGTTCGATTGAAGAAATGTTTGATTTGAGATACGGACGCAACAAACCATTCAACGATCGCAATCTTGATCAAAAGTCGGATCACAAGCGATCTTTGACACTGTATAATAGTAGCATGGGAGTTAAAAGGTTAGACATGTGTAATGCATGGCATCTTCAAACATCAAGTTTGTAAATACATACTACTAATAATAATCAAACTGTCACACCTTCTCACCTAGAGATCCACAAGACTCTTAGAACTGCTCATCTCTAATTCTTTACATATATAATATAAATCAACAAAGTAAACAACTGTAATAACAAACAAATACTGAACACATCTACCTACCTAAATAGGATAATAATTAGACAATACAAACCAACAATAATTAAACAATTCAAACCAACAATATTTAGACAATTCAAACCAACAATAATTAGACAATTCAAACCAACAATATTTAGACAATTCAAACCAACAATATTTAAACAATTCAAACCAACAATAATTACAACAATTCAAACCAACAATATTTAAACAATTCAAACCAACAATAATTAAACCAACAATATTGATGACAATTCCCTTTCTTGGTGCCCACTGTACATCTATTGCTTTGATATTAATACGGTTGTACTTGACACACATCATCAGAGCCCTAGAGATTCAAAATTAGAGTTTTGGTAAGAGAGTCAACAATTCAAACCAACAATATTTATCAAAATAATAAATAGATAATTCAATAACAAAGTAATAATTAATTTTTAAATGTTTTTGTTAATTTATTATTTTGGTATTAATTTGTTGTATTGTTGTTTTACAATTCATCGTGAGATGGCATGTCACCAGCGTCACCACCAGCTCCAGATTCTTGGTAGAGCTTGGAGAAGATTGGTTGGACGATCTTTTCGAGTTCCTTGTATTGGGCATCAAAGTCTTCCTTTTCACCAGTGGTTGAGTTGGCTTCGATCCAATCTAAAGTTTCCTTGACGGCAGCTTCGATGGTTTCCTTTTCATCGGCAGAGATCTTTGATCCAATCTTTTCATTGTCGTTGATGGCGTTCTTGATCTGGTAGACATAGTTTTCAAGAGAGTTACGTGCTTCAACACGGTCCTTTAACTTTTTGTCTTCTTCGGCGGCTTCAGCGGCTTCTTGGACCATACGCTCGATATCTTCTGGGGTGAGACGATCCTTGTCGTTGGTGATGGTAATGGATTGCTTGGCACCAGATCCCTTGTCTTCGGCAGACACGTGGAGGATACCGGATACATCCATCTCAAAGGTGACTTCGATTTGTGGGACACCACGTGGGGCGGGTGGAATGCCAGAGAGCTCAAACTTGCCGAGGTTGTGGTTGTCCTTGGTCATGGAACGTTCACCTTCGAATACTTGGATGAGTACCTTGTCTTGGTTGTCTTGGTAGGTAGAGAATACTTGAGACTTTTTGGTTGGGACAAAGCTGTTACGTGGGATCAATGGAGTCATGACTCCACCAACAGTTTCGATACCCAAGGTGAGTGGGGCAACATCGAGGAGGACGACACCTTCAGCTTCTTCTTCCTTTGAAAAGACGGCACCTTGGACTGCGGCACCGTAGGCTACTGCTTCGTCTGGATGTACACCCTTGTTTGGTTCCTTGCCGTTGAAAAAGTCCTTGAGGAGTTGTTGGATCTTTGGAATACGAGTGCTACCACCGACCAAAACGATTTCGTGGACTTGCTCCTTTTTGAGCTTAGAGTCTTCGAGGACACGCTTGACTGGTTCGAGGGTCTTTTTGAAGAGATCCATGTTGAGTTCTTCGAAACGGGCACGAGTCATGGTTTCGACGAGATCCTTACCTTCGAAAAAGTTTTCAATTTCGATTTGGGTTTGTGACGAGGTCGAGAGGGCACGCTTGGCGTTTTCACAGGCACGACGGAGCTTTTGGAGTGATTTCTTGTCCTTTTCAGCGTTCTTGCCAGTCTTCTTTTGGAAGACACCCAAGAGATGCTTCATCATACGTTGATCGAAATCTTCACCACCCAAATGAGTGTCACCACTGGTGGCCAATACTTCAAAGACACCATTGTCAATGGTTAACATGGAGACATCAAATGTACCACCACCGAGATCGTAGACCAAAATGTTCTTTTCCTTGCCGGTGGTCTTGAAACCATAGGCGAGGGCAGCGGCAGTTGGCTCGTTGATGACACGCAAGACGTTGAGACCGGCAATAGTACCGGCATCCTTGGTGGCTTGACGTTGGGCATCGTTAAAGTAGGCTGGACAAGTGACGACGGCGTTCTTGACGGAACGACCCAAATAGGCTTCGGCAATCTCCTTCATTCTGACGAGGATCATGGCAGAGATTTCTTCTGGAGAGTAGGTCTTGTCTTCACCCTTTACCTTGACAACAATGTGTGGCTTATCACCCTTTGAAATGATCTTGTATGGTAATAATTTCAAATCTTTTTGTACTTCTTGATCAGAGAATCTAAAGGAGGAGGAGAGGAGATTGATATAGATAGACGTATTTGTTAGATATATATATAAATTAAAATATTTGTATTGTTTTGATTTACATACTTTCTACCAATAAGACGCTTAATATCGAATACAGTGTTTTCTGGATTCAAAGTAGCTTGATTCTTGGCGGCTTCACCAATAAGACGTTCAGTGTCGGTGAAAGCGACATATGATGGGGTGATACGGTTACCTTGTTCGTTTGGAATAATTTCCACACGACCATTCTTAAAGATACCGACGCAAGAGTAGGTGGTACCAAGATCAATACCAATGACATCACCTATAACTTTTTCATCTTCAGTTGCAGTGCTGATAAACGATGTTGCCAACAATGCAATAGTGAAGAGTACAAACAATGACTGGAGTTTCATTCTTTGAGAGAGAGAGAGATTTATATTATATATAGTGTATATAGATAGGGTAAAAAAAGAATTTTGTTGAACAAAAAACAGACGTCTGTGAACCTCGTGAACTAAAAAAAAAAAAAAAAATTAAATATACAAGAGAGGGTCAAAGATAAAAAATGAATGAAATTTTGTGTGTCAGATTCGTTTTTATGTGTCGTGCTGCGTCACCATTGATTAACGAACTTCTGAAGAAATGAGAAGGTGACGAGGATCGCATCGTCACTCAAAGCGACCAGTCTATAAGGTCTGGCCCCAACCGGCTTTATATGCCATGGCCCTTCCAAGGAGAAATGTATAAGAATTTTAACCCCAACCGATATTCTATAAATATACATGATGATGCGTATTCAAGATTGGTCACTAGTGATTCATATCTTACTCAACAAACTGGTCTCTATGACTTGTGTGTGGTTGAATTCTTATTTTGGTGATTGTATGATCACAATTTTTTATTATTGACAGTGAATCATCATCTGCCTCTACCTCGTTGCCCATATAAACGTCAATGGGAATTCTATAATATTGTATGATTGGTAAGGTAATTACATAATATGATTCCATTTTCATTTCTATCTTCTTTACCACTCCATAAATCTTGAATGCATTCTCTACATCTAAAATAAAATAAATATTAATTATTTTTTATATATTAATCTTTTTATCGATATTTTGAAGAGTAAAAGGTGTGCTGCTTCTATGGCCAGACCTTTGATATCAAACTTTTATTTCCCTTTCTCCCTAATGTCATCAAGATCAACAAGTTCCCAGGAAATCCATTGTTTACGCACCTGAAGCGATTAAAAAATTGATACTGAAGATGCCAAAGGCAATTGCAAAGACAAGGTGGCACCAGTATCTGCATTTTGGAGATGACAGCTGAGAATACACTCTTTGCTTCGTCGTCAAGAACAGAATTAACTCGACTCATCTGGATAAGGAGCCAAATATTAATTTGAACTCAAAATAATAATTGATATTTCAAAATAATAATAATACGTAGATAAGGAGCCACTGAAGAAGAATGTTCAAGAGATATGATTCGAATCAAAGTTAAGTGTTGGTTGATTACATAATCATCATAGTAGTTACTCCATCTAATTATTGTTATTGAATTATCTGTGATTGGATATACCCCGGATTAACCAAGGGCCGTTCATCTTACAACACATTTTAGGTGATTTGAACAAGGATACAAATAAAAAAATGGTTTATTAATAAAGTTTCAATCTAGGAAACGTCAGATGTTTGGAGACTGTGACGAATTCAAAAGGTAAATGGTGGGTAATATGTGTAGAAATAGATAACTAAATATAGTAATATAAATTGTGGTGATTTGAAAGGAGCTCTTGTAAGTGGTCTAACTGTGAAGTGTGATTTGGAAATCTCGAATTGAAGTTGTCTGAGTTTTCACGTCGAATTGAGTAAAATCTTGATTATATTTGATGTGCCTGAAATTATGAAAATTATTATTATTTTTCTTTTCAATCCTTTGATCTAAAATCTAAAATACGCCATTCCTTGATATATCCCTTTTCTATCATTGTATAATATCTACCACCTTTGAGGAATCTTTCATAATGATCGTTCATTGTTGATGGGATTACCTCGCGCATGAGTTCTATAGCCCATCTTTTTTCACCATTAACATAGAAATCGACGAATCCACTTGAACCAAAGCATGGTCCAACAGAAGGGCAGATGAAATAGTTTCTACCAACCAAGGAGGTTGCAGCAAAATAAAACTCATTTTGCCAGAGATATTCAAGTGGAAGTTGTTCTCTTATTCCATGTTGAGTTGCTTTTTTCGAGCCGATTAGATTAGATGTTCTCATTCTTGACAAAACCTTGTATATGAAATCACCTATATCGGATGGTACATAACTCTCAGAAGTTGGGGATGCAAAGAGAGAAATGTAATACTTGGAAACGAGGAGGGGACACGCAAAACCAACTGTTCCTTTTTCTTCTGTTGAGATCATTAGAATTCCTTTTTTGATCAAATTATCAACAATTAACTGTTTAAAAAAATGTAAATACAATTGAATATAATTATAATTAATTGTGACAGTAAAACATACATTGTTGGATGGTGATGAGAAGTGATTGCCCAAAAAAGTACACATCACAATTTGTTTTAAAAGTTCAGTTTCCTCTGGTGTAGAATCAAGGTATGCACGTGACTCTATATCAAAGAATTCTTTTGAAACCAAATAACTACGGATTTCCTCGATTGGGGTCTTTTTCGTGTATTTTTTAGCTAATTCATTGACCGTCAAACTTAACAAACCAATATGTCCTCTTGTGTAGTTCCACAATATATCCACTAATTGTTCATTATCATATGCCAATTTGTATACTTTGAATATACTTTAGAAATCCAATTTGCCAAATCTAAGGAACTCCATTCCCAATCCATTTCCTTTTGGTATGATAAAGGGGGTTGCCAATCCTGCAGTTAGATGTGAATAGGAGCCAACCATTAGAACTTTAAGATACTTTGGACATTTGCCCAGAACACCTTTGATAAATGTTACAAAGTCTTTGGGGTATGTTAATTGAACCTCGTCGAAAATGAGTACAACTTGGTGTTGATTTGATATCTCTACCATGGAATCAATATCACAACCAGCATAGGCCATAAATTTCGATTTAAATGAATTTCCTCGTAACCATGAAAAAGACATTCTTCTAACATATGTGGTGGGATGATTGGCCTCGATATACATTTCAAGTAGTTGAGTAGTGGATGTTTTACCAGAAAAAGGTGGTGCCCTGATAATGACTATCGATTTTTCATTGATAATGTTATATAAATCATTAATGGTATCATTTCGATAAACAATGTGTGAAGGAGATAATCCTTCATTGGAACAATGGGCAACTTGATCGTTGCTAGGATCATTATAGGAAAAGGGTAGTCCTAAGAAAGAAAAAAAAAAGGAAAAATACAAATGATTAGTAATGACGTTTTCTGTTGATGACAAGATGTTGAATGATTGCGTTTGGTGATAATGATTAGGATGGGTGCATTGATGGATAATAAAAACAAAAAGATAATCAACAAGTAATGGTTTAAAAAGTTGATTCCAATATCTGATGCTAAGTGGTAAAGAAAGTTTGTCGCACAGGAGAGTGGATCAAACGAAAGGTTTGAAAAACTGAATATAGCACGATGTGAAAAGGAGTAACAAACAGTACGGGATGGCCAAAAAAAAAAAGGATTTGATAAATGGTATTTAATTGGGATATGAATTTATGAATATTCGAACAAGAGGTCAATGATATTGAAAAGATGAACAAACAAAACAAAATGACAAATGTTGAGTGATGCTGTTTGGTTGGTGCGATATGGAGTATGAAATAGACTGGCCAACAATGAGGCAAGTGATTAAAGAGATGGGTGATAAAAACAAGAAAGTATTGTCTCTCACAGGATAGGTGTGTGAAACAACTAACAAGCAAACAAAGAATATAACACGATGCCCAGTGGAATGGTTGGAGATGGATTGACCAACAATGAGAGAATAAACAAAACAAAATGACTTGATTTGGGTGATGGGTTGATGCTGCAATTAGGATGGAAAAAGAGATGGGTGATAAAATAAAAGGATGTAGAGTGATAAAGAGTGGTAGTGTAGCTTGGTGAATGGATCAGTATTTGATTTGTATAAAAAGGATTATAAATATATGAAAGAGGTCAATGACATAAAAGATGAACAAACAAAATGACAAGATGTTGAATGATTGTGTTTGGTTAAAAGAGATGGGTAGTGCATTGATGAGATAATAAAACAAAAAGATAAACAACAAGTAAAAAAAGAGCCAACAAGGGTTGTTTGAGAGATGGATAAAAAGGATGTGGTGATAACGAGGGGTTCCTTACCTTTGGGAGCAGTAGAGGGAATAGATGTATTGCTGTCTACGAGTTTTTGAGCGAAAAATTGTAATACATCTAAACCCATTCCATGTTGTCCAATAATAATTAGCATTGGCTTCATTTTCATCAATAAACGTGGAACATGCGCTCTTTTGAGCAACAGTGAAATCAGTTCCCTTGACCAATTCCCGAGCTTTCTGTTTTGAAGAGATGAAACAAATAAATGATAAAAAAGACAGTTGGAATATGGTTGCAAATTAAGATAGAAAGGGATATAAACTACAAAGAATAAATAACCGAATGAAACAAGATGATGATGATGATGATGATGATGATGATGAATAGATAATGAAATAAGAACAAATAAAATGTATCAGAAAGAATACATAGTGAACTGCTGACCGGTATGAGTGCTTTTTATCAAACTCCAAGAAAAAAGCATATTTATTAAAATAAATGTGTGATTTTATTTTAGAAAATAAAATGTCTAATGGGTGAACGACAACACTTTAAAGGTTGATGGTGTGATTAATAGATGACGAGCAACGAGCATAATGATGGGTCGTGAGGGAATGACGAATATGACTGGGACAAATGAAATAGAAGATAGATAGATAGATAGATGCATAACTACTTACCACTTCTGTGCCGATGTGATAGCGATTGTTGATTTAAAAGTTGTTGAACAGCCAGATAGAGCTTCTTTGCAGGTGCTACGACTATGCCACATTTACCAAAATCAGCCTCTGTAAACACTGCTTTACTCTCTCCTTCTACATCATTACCAAGAAGCATCTGGGCATATTGAACTTCTTTTGTAGCCCATTCTTTTACTTGTTCTGGCAACCATTGTTTGAAATCGCCAAGGAATGCAATTTCTGATGCCAAAGCATTAAACATGTTCTGATTAAAAGAGATGTCATTAGATATTAGAAAACATTTGGGTGTTGTTCTTTTTTTTCACACTTTTGATTTTTTTACTGACAGTTAGGATACTTTGAAACAACTCTCCTAAATCTGTTCCTTCCCAACTTTTGATCAATAATCTGTAGCATCATTGATTGATTTTTTTGGGTTATTGTTTATCAAATAAATAAATTGTATAATAATAATATAAGGTAATGGAATTATGTAATCAAATGATTAATCTAGATTTGTGTATGATTTATTAATCATAAATATGGATATGAAATTACGTAAACAAATGATTGATCAACAGATAAATAAATAAATAAATAGCATTTATTCAACTCTTGGATTTAAAGTGTGAGCATGTGACTTTAGCAGAGTTGCAATTTGAGCACGCTTTAAATTATTGGCAGAGTCTCTAATCTCCTTTACCCATTCCTCTTTAGATTCTGGATTTGAACTACATAATATGATTCCATTCTCATTTCTATCTTCTTTACCACTCCATAATATCTTGAATGCATTCTCTACATCTAAAATAAAATAAATATTAATAATTTATAATATATATTTTTTTAATCTTTTTTTTTGGTACATACTAATAGTTGATTCATTTGTATCTAAAATCTTTACATCTACAAGATTAATTGATTTCTTGACCAAATATTTGTTCTTTTTTTGTTGAGTGACATAAAGATAATCATTGAATAGTAAAAGATAGACATATTTGGAAACCTTTTTTTGTCTAGCTTCCATCATTAATCCATCCTTTATGAGAAGTTTTTGAGTCAATGAAAGTGAATCTGGTAATCCAACCACCTTGTCTTGAAATTGGATTGTCTTGTTTTGATTCTCTGCACGACGTTTGGCTTCATTGAGTTGATCGGCCACAATCTTTGTCGATCCAAGTGCATCTTCTAGACTGTCACGTTCCAATACATCGACAGTATGTAAAAGCAAATCATTGAGCAATAAAATGTATCTTGGAATACGTTGAACCGGACGAATGAGATAAGATTCCAAAGTCTCACTCTTGCACTGATCCGAGAATTGACAACGATCCAAAAACTCTTTGAACCGAGGTACCTTGGCACGATTCTCATGGATAAGGTCCATTGCTCTATTGAATCCATTAATGTAGGTCCTATACTCTTTGATTGTTGAAAATTGATCGCTTTGATCTGGTTTCTCCTCTTTATCCCACAACCATTGAAATGCTTGTGCCAATTCAATGATATCAATCTTTTCAGTCGATGATGCCAAAGATCGAAGTTTCTTTAAAAATTCACAATTTACTCTAAATACTTTATCAATATTTGAAAAAATAGATTCTACAACTTCTAATGGTAAAATTGGTGGACTTGTTGGTGCAACTACTAATGGATTATAATAAACCTAAAAATTAAAAAAGAAATAAAGAATTAATATAAATATTTTGATTTGATTTTAAATATATATCTTTTCATACTCTAATACAAATATTTAAAGCATAAATATAAGCTTGTTCAGTATCAATAATTTCTTTAATAATCTTTCCTCTTCTAAAACTCATGTTTGGTTCATCTACATGAGAAAGTCGAGGTGATGATTCTTCTAGAGTGTTTCTAAGAGTTTGAGGAGATATACTTCTAGAGAATCTCATAATTCCTTTGTTGATTGGGGAGGGTGAAAGTGAAAGTGATGGACCCAAACTATCGGTTGGATCTAGATCCGATAGATCTTCTTTGACATTTAATTCATTGTGTACCGACGCTGAAATCGGTACACTCAAATTCTCTATTGCTTTTTGAATTGATTCTTTTACTTGTGGATGAGAATGATCAATAAATCTTGTTAAAATTCTATTACAATCTGATTGTAATATCATATATCTACAAATTTCTAAAAGAAAAAGAAAAAAAGAAAAAAAAGAAAATTAATATAATTTAATTTAAATTTGATTTCTTTCTTTTTGTGTTCTTTATATTTGTTTTACATACCATCAGTACAAAGATTTGCTATCAATAAAGCCAAAGCTTCAAGTAATTGTGAACTGTGTGATGATCGTTCTTTTAATAGTTCACAAATACCATCAATCAAATATTTGGAACGTAGAATACGACGAATGTCTTGATTCGAGGTGAGGTTGGCAAGACAACTGACCGACAATGATTTTAGAGACAGAGGTGAACTGACAGAGACCAATGTTTCAATCAATGGCATCATTGCACCCGAATCCAATATCGGTTTTTCAGTTTCCTCTGTCAGAGAAAGATTAATTAAAATCTTTAATACTTGTTCTTTAATTGGTTCAGGTGATGAAGGTGATGATAAATATGCTATCAATTGTTGTAATACTCCTGATATTGCTAAAATTCTTCTAATTAATGCTAAAAAAGAAGAAGAATAAAAATAAATAAATAAATAAATAAATAAATATTATTATTTCTCTTTTCTCTTTTGACATACGATGATAAATAGATAAAACGTGAATGATTGATGTTAAAGCCAATATTAATTCATTTGAAGGTGTTGGATATTGGGAAGTGAGAAGTTTGGTAATACTTTGAATGGCACCACTGTGACAGAGTGCTTTTTGATTGTCAAGATACTCTCCACAGGTATCTTTGTGTAATATATTTCGAAGTGGTACAGTGGCCAGTATAATGAGATTGTGATTCGATCGTTTTAAAAAAAAGGTAAGTGCCTCTACTACTCCATAGTCTACCAACAGATGACTATGTTCTGAACACAATGTTAAATTGGTCAATACCCATAACCCCTTTTCTGCTACATCTTGATTCTCAGACACCAATATACGCATCAATGTTTCTATAATCTCTGATTTTAATAATGTTATACAATTTTCCACTAAAAATATAAATATAAAGTTAATATATATATATGATTATACTTTACTTTTCTATATATTTAATACAATACAATTTAAACATAAATGACTAAGTAACCAAGTTGATAACATTTGTATGACTTCATTATTTGATTTTAACAATTCATTGGTTTTTGAAATTCCCAATAAATATAAGATGGTCACTTGGTATTCGCTTTCAGTTGAACTGTTGATTAAATATCTTAGACAATTTTCTTGAAGTGATACATCTGTAGATGAAAGCTTCTCTATATTACTCCTTAATCTTTCCATTCTTATCATGATTGAATCTCTTTGATATTGTTATAGTTTAATAAATAAATAAATAATAAATATAATAAATAAATAAATAAATATCAGCTGAATCTAGCTATAAAGATTTCCACCACTATATTCTCTTGCATAAACCACTGTTGCCAAAAATATAATACTCTTATATTATTGTTGTTGTTGTTGTTGTTGTTTTAAAATATTATATAATATATGATTATTTTAAATTAGAAAAAAGGAAGAGGAAAGGCGTGGAACTGGAAAGGAGGTAGGTGGATGTGATTAGAAAGTGGTATGTTATATGTTATTAGTTGAGTTGTGTGTGTATATATATATATATAAATATATTTATTCAGAATATGGAAAAAAGATGTAGTAGAGTGTTAAACAAAGATGGTGATGGTGATGATGTTGTGATGTGACGGTAATGAATAATTTGAATGGTTGTTGTTTTTTTTTGCTATTGTTTATAAACAAACAAGAAAAAGAGAGAGAGAGAGAGAGAGAGAGAGAGATCAATGGTTTGTTTAATTAATATTATTGTTGTTGTTGGAAAAAGGGAGAAGGAGTTAGTGAGAAGTGGAATGCATTTGTCGTAAAGTAAAATGATATCAGATTAAGAGATTATGGATGATTGATTGTTGATGGTTATTGTTGGAGTTGTTGTGGTTATGGTTATGGTTGGGGTTGGATTGAAAGAAATAAATTTAGTTAGTTATGGTTAGTTTTAAATATATCCATTATTATTATTATTATTATTATTATGTGCATATAATATATTCCAAGTGTGGAGGAATGTGATCAATCAATCAAACAAACAAACAATCAAACAAAAACACGACGACGCTGCTGTTTCAATCAATCAAAATCCCCAAATATCAAAACAAAATAAATATGTGGTGATGCTGTGTGTGATATGATGGTCCAATAGAAATAAAATCCAAAACACAGTGTTTCAACCAATCTGTCCGACATCATCAATCGGCATCCAATCGATCCGATGGGGAGGGGGGGTTGTCAAATAATGTGGGTGTTGGTGGAATCGTCTGTTACATACAATATTATTATTATTACTGGACTGCCTGTCTGCCTGTGTGTGTGTGTGTAAGATATTATTGATAGATTTCTAAACAACAAATTGTTCGTATCCCCCAAACATAACCACAACCTCCTACTGCTGCGCGGCTAACCCCAGACTACTCTACTCTACTACAACTACAACCTTTTTCTATTTTATAGTTGTCAAGAAGAAGTTGTGATAAAATAAATATCTAGCAGCAGCAGTATAGTAGTAGTTAGGTTGTTTGAGTTTGACTGGATAGATGGAGAGTTGAGTTGAGTTGAGTTGGGTTGGGTTGGATTGGATATATATCTTGTTTGGTTGGAAGAAGAGGGAGTTATTTAAAAATCGTTAAGAGTGAGAGTGATCTTGCTTGTTGTTCCAAACTATTATATTTAAATATCCAATATTAATGTTTGTTGTCTTTGTTGTTGTTGTTGTTTTGAATATGTTGATCATCATCATAATCATCATAATAATCATGTTGTTGTTAGATAGATCCAAATTTGTTATGTTTAAATTATTATTATTATTATTATTATTGTGTTATTGTTATTGGTGATCACTTTAAATTAAAGGGTGGTGGTGGTAACTCTAATACATCGCAACCCGGTAGTCGATGTAATATGACTTGCCAAGCAGAGGTATGACAATATATTATATATATATTAACAATAGTAATAGTAATAGTAAAACAAGATTGGAATATTTGATAGACTGTATAGGCTGACAACCAACCAACCACACCCCCCCCCCCCCCCCCCATACACATTGTGTGTATGTGTATATCGGAGCAAACAACGATCAAACCCGAATTTGAATGGGGGGTAGATGGTAGATGGAAGGGGTGGGAGGTGTATGTTGTTGTTCAATCACGCACACAACTAGTTTTGTGAACATAGAGGAGGAGTAGAGGAGAGGATTAATTAATAACCAGTCACAAGATTTGATTGACTGTTATGGAGCTCTATCTGTCGTAAAAAGTAAATCGATTCCCATTCATTCCCATAGAATAGCTTCCATAAGTTGTTTGATGTTGGTAGAATGCCGTACTTCTATTTTAAACTTTTATGATAATGATAATCGTTTAACAACTTGTTATTATGACAATTGTCAACAAGTCATATACAATAGGAAGTTAAGAGGAGGAGAGAATTTGGTTGACCATGTAATAGATAGGACTATATACTGCTACTACTACTTTGATGGAATGATGACCAATTTGACAGCCATTTTTAATATATATATATATATTGTGGGGAGAGAGGAGAAGTAGAGGCACCCATGCAGCTGATTTTAAGTGAAGAGGATTGATTGATTGTTTGATGATGATGATGAACACCCATCCCATCCCATCTCTTATCATAACAACGTTGGTTGGGGGAGGGGGGATGTGTGTTGTTTTATATCTGTACTGTATTGTATAATTATATCTGCCTTTGGTTGCATGATAAATATATAATATAATAACAGAAAAGAATATGTACACATATTCCAATAACAATCAACATTATTGATTGATTGATTGATCGCATTGTAATTAAATTTACCTTTTTAACTGCTATCTGTACATATATATATATCTGAGACTATTAGTACTACTACCACCTTACTACAATGAATAGATAAAATGAATGAATGATTTTAAAAGTCAGTTATTGTGAACAAAGATGGGAAAAAACGATAATGGCAATGACTTTTGATTGATAGATTGTTATTGAGGGGGAATGAATGAAACAGTAGTGTTGGGTGGGAATAATAATCGGTTGAATCGGCATCTATCTATCTTTCTATCGTGGACATTTAAATTAATTGGGTTCTGAGAACCGGTTTTTGCTGAAAAGGGATGCCTCTGTCAAAAAAGGGGGATACGTTTTTCGAAACGGTTTTCTTGTTCTCCCATTCAATGAAAGTCACAACACTACAATGGTAGAGTTACATGTGTTCTAAATTTGTTATATTTTATTTACATTTAAATGTTTGATTGATTAGGGATTCTGGATTATTATTATTGACCTAAATCTAAACTTAAACTATAGATACGAGCATTCTCAAAGATGGTAATAGTATTGTTGATGAGAATGGTTGTCATGAGTTGGTTGTGAGTGGTGCAGGTGGATTGATCTCGTTTGGCTCCGAGTTGGAGGAGATGGCGATCGCATAGATCGGTCAAGAATTTGGAGACACGTTTGTTGTTTTGAAGAGAGACTGGTTCGTCGAGATGAAAGATATGGTTTTGGAGATTGGCGTCAATCTCTGATTTGGTCATCATCATGACACGCAGCGTTGTTAGATAGTTCCATGTAAATGGCATGGTTGGGTCGTTGACCACTTCGTACTTGCCTTGGCTGAGTCCGTTCTGAATGAGAATGTTTTCCTTGCGTTCAACGAGTCTCTCGTACTCGCGTTGTTCCTTGGCTGGTAGATGGTAGAATGCCGATGGACGGAGAGGCGGTAGACTCGCCTCCGAGTCAATCTCGATGCCGTCCAAATGATTATTATCAATCACGAAACCATAGTAGTGGAGAAGAGTCGCATTGTTGTGCAGTCCGTACGATATAAACACCTGCTCACCCTTTTCAAACCGAGTGTCTGTATAGACACGATAGCAACGGTCCGCTGCGCAGTAGGATGCCATCGTCTTGACATTTGGATTGTGGTTGAATAGATCTGCCAGTGGTACAAGACATGCATTATCATTCTTGTCTTGAGTTGTATGTATTTTGGGTAGTTGCTGCTGCTGCTGCTTCTTGGACGATGCAGCAGCCGATACTTGATGATCGAGTCGTGGGTTGTAATAATAGGTACGTGTCTGAATCACACCCCATGCCCACACATACATATTCAAGTCTACCAAATTAGCCAACACGTCTTGATGAAACACCACTTCATATCCATTGTTTGTCGGACACCCCAAATGAGATCGATGTTCCTCTTCTTCCTCCAAAATATCACCTTGATCATCTTTTACATAATCAAAACTTGGTAATGATCTAGTTGATGCAGATGGTGTATTCGTACCACTTGCACTCATCCTTCCAATATCACTACTACTATTTCGAAGGAATGATCCACTATTCTTGATAGATCCACTATTTCTAATAATAGGAGTACCAGTACTATTATTATGTAGACTTGTACTACCATTAGTACTATTCTTTAATGTATTTCCACCACCACCACTACTTTTAAAAGTAGAGTTGTTATTATTGTCCAACTCGGAATGAGATGATAGTACTTTGAGAGTGAGGTGTGACTGTAATATCTCTTTGTACTGTTTATGACTATCCAACATTTCTTTGCGTAGTTTAGTTGCTTCATTTTTGTAGTAGGGATAAGATAATTCACCAATCTCTGCATCGGTATAACTGACAGTTGTATTATACTCTTTTGGTATACAATCCAAATACCCATACCATCTAGATCGATTCCTTATCAATCTTTCATAAATCAATTGAAAACATATAGTTTGTTTTGAATCTAATAGTTTTAATACTGTTTCTATATGTTCCTATAAAAAAATGGTATAAGTTAATGAATATATTCAATTCATTTCGTTTCGTTTGTTTCATTCTTCTTTTTCATCTTACAAAAGGAGGTACAACAGATAGTATAGGTAATGAATGAATTAATAGTGATAGAGGTACTTCTACCAATAGATCACCACTTTCGATAGTTCGTTTAGCGATGACACCTCTGCCACCTCCACTATCACCGAAATCGTGTATCTCCATCATCTCTTCATCCCATTTGACTCCATTCTTCTTTCCCCATTCTATCATCAATCTTTCTTGATGCTCTTGATTACTTATCTCTTTATTATTACTAATCATCTCGATTGATAGATCTATTATCGATACGACAAAAAGTAAATAATAAAGTGAATAATGAAAACACACACAAAACTTGATTAATATTTTTTCATTAATAATTTTAATCACACTCTTCCAGTCACAGAGGTACTTCCAGTATTGCAATTCACTTTGTATATTGTATATTTATATATTTAATGTTATAAACTAATTTATTATTTGAATTTGGTTATGAAAAATTGATTTCATAATTTGTTATATTTTTTTTAAGTAAATTAGGAGGTATAGTTGTAGTTGTAGTTGTAGTTGTAGTATCTGTTTGTTTATCTATATTATTATTATTATTATGTTATTTGTTTGTTTGTTTTAGAGTAAAAACTTTTTAATATTTTCACCATTTTGACATTTTTGTAATAATTGATTGATTTGAGCAGAATGTTGTTGGTAGAGTGGTTTGACGTGTTGAGCAAAATAGGTTTTGTAATCAGAGATTTCAGCAACTGGATCGGTATCTGGCTTTTTGGTGAATTGGAGTTGAGCAAATGATGGTACGTAACCTTCAGCCGATTCGATAGCTTCTTGTTGATCTTCATTGGCTACACCAGCCTCACCGTTGGATGCACCACCAGCTTCCTCTTCATTCAACAGCTTGTATTGACAATCGAGGATATGAACCCAAGCATCTTGAATGGAGGTGTACATCTCAGAGCTACAAAGCATTTGAGTCATGGCAACTGACAAGATCTTCTTTTCAATCTTTCCAGTAACCTTGTCAGAGGTGACAATCCAAACCTTGGCAATGATATCAGCCCATAATCCAACTCTAATCTTGTTGATGGTTTCAATAGTCTTTTGAATCGATAACTTGTGAATCACCAACCCAAGGAAAATAATAAAACATCTTAATAATTTTTCAGTCTTGTGTTTTGATACTCTTTCCAAAATGATTTCAAAAATTGGTTTCATATAATTTTCATACAATGCACTAAATAATATAAATAAATAAATATAGGTTAGTCAAAACTACTATATATTCTTTTCTTCTTCTTTTTTTGTTTTTTAACATACAATGGTAAATTTTCAACAATTGATTCAACGATATAAAAACCTTCATGATCATTGATGGGAGAGGCAATGAGAAGACGGAAGACACCAAGGATTGGTTCAATGTGACCCTTTTCGACGACAAAGGCACCGTCCTTTTTAAAGAATGCTTGGTAGAGACGGACAAGTGGTGGGATGTTGGCTTGGTTCTTAAAGAGGTTTGGATGGTAGAGTGGGGCCAAGAGGTCACGGTAGGTTTGGAGGTTTTGTGGTGGAGCATTTTCGACGAGGATAGAGAGCAATTGGAAGGTGTATGGGGTAAACTCTTGGACATCCTTGGAGAGGACGAGTGAAATGAGTGGAGTGACAATGGTAAAGGCTTCGGGACGGTCGGCAAACGACTTGAGGAGAGATCCAATAGCTTCGAAACAATAATGGTTAAAGGTGTGGTTGGTGGGGTTGTCAGCCTCGGCGACGACAATCGAAGTGAATTTTTGGAGTAGATCGACGGTCAATTGGAGATCAATCTTGCCAATGAGCATCAAGACGATACGGACAACAGTACGCATAACACGTTCGTTTTGACGTGACTCTGGGAATCCCAACACACCAATGAGAAGACGCAAGAAATCACCAACATTTTGCAATACAAAGGCGACAGAGAGACGTGGTTGTTTGGTGGTAGGGTCACGTACAGTCAAAAGACGGTCGATACAGGTGGCGGCATAGGTGTGAATGACATAGTTGGGATTGGTCAAACATGGAGCAACCAACTTGGTGATGGCTTCAAAGTTTGGCAATTGGGTACGGAAAATGGTGATAAACTTGAGACAATCGGCCAACAAGATAGGGTTGGTTGTGGCGGCATTGGTAATCTCTGGTACAATCTCTGTCTCGAAAAACTGGACGATTGGAACGAGTGCGTTGGCAGTGGCAGTACCAGAGTCTGACTTGACGGCGAGTGCAGTGACGAGGAAGATGGCGCTGTCCTTGGATGCCCAGTTGGCAGCTGGATTGGCACGGTATTCGGCCAAAAGGTTGTTAATGTCAACCGACAACATTTGTGTCACCTTTTGTTCATAGTACTTTCTCAAACCCTTGACCAACTCGATAGAGGCACGACGACGAGTGTCACTGTCACTACCCTCGATATCACGACGAATGTATTCCGTTTGGTTGTCTTCAAACAACTCAACATCGGATTCTCTAAGCTTGATGTTTGGTGCAACAATATGTGAACAGATTTGTCTAAGTGTTCCTTCCTCTGCAAATAAACTGTGACGAATACTCATACTAACAGATCCAATAAATTTAATTGCTGAATATGTTAACTAAATAAATCAATAAAAAAGATGATTAAAAACAACATACAATACAATCTAATCTATATTCTACTATTTTATACATACAGAATCATATCTAACTTCATTTGGTGTTTGTGATAATAATTCCCATACACCTCTTACAAATGGATCGAGGTATTGTGAAAATTCATCATCATACACTCCAATATATAAATTAACAATATCACAAACACTTGTATGGACTTGATTTAATAATGATGGTTCTTCGTCACTCTATAGAATAACAAAAAGACAAGAGTAAGTAAATGAAATAATACAAATATAATAATTATATTTTTTTACCTTTGAATTAATTAAACCTGGATTAGTTGATCTATAATTAAGATAGTATAAAAAGTCTGTTGAAAAGGTTTCAAGGTTATCTTCAAAGAACTCTGGTAAATCGACAGAACTCATTGATAAGAAAATCTCCAATTGTAAATGAACCGATGTAAATAATGATTTGGCTTGTTCTTGTGTAAAGTTTGCTCCTGATTGTTTGATTAAATTTCCAGTTTTCTAGAAATAAAGAAAAGTTTGGAGTTTGAATAAATTATGAATATTATATATTATATTATATATTTATACATACGTTAAATAACTCTAAATATGGTTTTGGTAAAGTATCAAGAATCTCACGAAGTTCAAGTAATACCTGTTTATCAGAGGCAAGTGGACGATATTTGCATAAAAGAGTATTCAAGATTTCCAAAAGAGTATTGATGGTGTTGTAGTCGGTGGTTGAAGAGATCTTGTTCATGATATCACCCAAAAGTGATGGCCAATTGATTGGAAACTCTGCTTCACCAATAATGTTCATAGCTTCAATCAGTTGACTCTTTACATTTGCTTGTTGTGTACGAAGAATGAGTTCTACCATACTTGCTTTGATTGTTTCCTTGTCCGATGGATAAATTGGATAATCTACTTGATCTCCCTATAAATATGATGATGATGATGATGATGATGATAAAGATGTGTGAGGTGTTAGCTATATACATCCATCCATATGATCATATGTCTGTGTTTTATGTGTTTATTGTAAAAGTTACCTTTTTCCAATTCTCTTTAACATGATTCTTAAAGTAGATAGCACCCAATTGTTTAATAAATGAGTCTTGTTGTGTATCGATCAATTGAAGCAAGGAAATAAGTCCACCTTGAACCTTTACTATATTCTTTAAATTGTTTGATGCTATGTAAACAATAATAATAATAATAATAATAATAATAGAGTATGATCATCGTTACAATGTAGTGTTAGCAATGATCATCCTTTTTTCATCGATCAATATCAATACTATGATAGTCTCATACCTTCTTCTCTAACATTTGCTTCTGGTGCAGTAGCAGCAAGCTTGAATAATGTGATGATTTGTTGTTCTGACATGTTTTACTGTATTACTTGTACTACTACTCCTACTACTACTATCTTCTTCTTACCTACTTCTTCGAACAAACAAACCAACGAAAAGAAAAATGGGGAGTTAGTGAAGTGACGCGCGAAAGTCATCAATACCGCTCTTTTTTTCAAAAATTCAAAATCTATTGTTGGAATTTCGTTTCCAACGGACCAATGGAGACCAGTCTGGACTCAGACAAGAGGTTCTCTTTTGTCAAAGATCATTAAAAGATAACATATCATTAATGAACACTGTCGATAGTGTTTGATTCATTGTTTGTCGATCCAACAACAACAACAACAACAACAACTTAGTGACGATATAATTAAAAACTACTTTGTAACTTCAAGTCAATGCATTGATTGATTGTATATATATCCCACCACTAACCAATGGTTGCACACACGACCAGTGGTTACTGTACAACACACGCACTCACAACTCACAATAATGTAAGTTATATACGTACGAATGAATAATAATACATTTTACTTATTGTTTTATGGTTGGACGGTTTTTTTGATGGGTTGATATCAACTACTAATCCATACCTAACATATCTAGGTGTGTGTGTTCTATAAATGATCAATATGTAGAATGATGATACTAACCATGTGTATCGAATGAATGAAAAGAGTTGTTGTTTGGTTGGTTGGTTGGTGCACATCACAATGGTGGTCACTACTCATTGACTAGAGGAGGATACTATACTACTGCACTTATCTGGGCGATGATGAAAACACCCCAACGCACCCCACCCACCACCACACACAATGATGTGATTGCATCGGTTCCCAAAATATTAAAGGTGGTAGAAGAGGTGGATTATACAAGTTTTAAAGTGCCCCACTCTCTTGATATCACCCTCCTTAAAAGTGATACATCCTTAAAAAAAATCAGTCAGAGATTCATTATTATTATTTATTTGTTGTTCAATTTCAGGTGTTGGGTAATGAATGAATGTATGATGGTGATGATGATGATGATGATTTATTGTAGCTACAACAACAACAACAACAACAACAATAATATTAAAAATAGTAACACAATCTAAGCTGTGACCAGTGTAGTAATTGATGTTGTACAACACATTACAACTGAGTAAATGTGCAACAAACCATTCCCATTCCATTCAATTTAATTTAATTGTAATATTCGTAGTAGTCTAATAGTAAATTAATAATTAATAACTTCTCCATCCACCTTTATAATAATAATAATAATAATAAATATATTTATAATAATAATAATAATCATTAACAATCAAATCATTTATAATAATAATTTGTCAAATGTCACGTGATATAATATCAGTAGGGGCAGAGTATTGTCCTTATTTGGATCATTGCTGGGCATGTAAAGACGATGAATGTTTAAGATTTTGGTGTCGGATGATTAAACCACTGCTGTTCCCATTAAAGTTGACGGTGGGGTTGGTGGCGGCGCCGGCGCGACTCAAAGACAGCACGGAACAAATAGAGAGACTGAAAGAGGACCATCGAAGGGAACTCATGACCAAAGACCTCCAACTATCAAACAAGGATGTACACTTGGAAGATATGAAAAAGGCATTGTGTGGTGTACTCGAACAACTCGATCATGCAAAGATGGATTTGGAACAATCGAAAAAGGACAATGAAGAAATAGAATTACTCAAATGCCATTTAAAAGAGTCAGAGGATAGAGTCGCTTCTCTTCAATCTCAAATACACGAATATGAAAGAACAATACTCATGTTTGAAGAAAGATTCAATCGTATAGAATCAATATTATTTAAAGAATCACCAATTCCATTTGTTAAGGAAATCATCAATAATCATCAGAATAATAATAATACAACTACACCGTCTATATTATCACAACACCAACAACAACAACAATTATCACCATTGAAACCTTCCAATAGTACGACAACCTCCTCAAGTACCACAACAGAGACTACAACCAGCACAACTACAACCACGACAACATTACCACCATCATCACCAACATCATCAATTGAACAACACAACTCCATTATAGTTGGAGACGAAGACGAAGAAGTAGAAAGAGAATTTATTAAATTATTGAATAGTAGTAGTGATAGTAGTTGCTGCCATAATAATAATAATAATAATAATAATATAAATAATAGTGGACTGGAGTTATAATAAATTAATTAAAAATAAATTTGTATATATATATATTTACTAAATAAACCACTTTGGAAAAAAAGATAGATAGATAGAAATGTATAGTTTATTTTATTTAATTTTTAATGTCATTTTATTTATTTATTTATTTATTTATTTATTTATTTATTTATTAAGGAAGTATTATTACAATGTTTAACTTGTTCAAGAGCTTGAATCTTGAAAATAAAGTCACCACCGAGCAACCAATTTCTATTTTTGATATCAAAGTAAATATCATTTGGGGAGCACCCCCACCAATAGAAAATTGGCTTGTCACTGGTTGAATGTTTTAAAAGAGTTTTATAATAATTAAAGTTGATGTCATAGGTCTCTTTGAGTTTGGTACTATCAATGACAAGACTATGGTTAAATCCCAAGAAATCTGTATCTCTGATTAGTTTAAAATACACTTCATCTTTTTTGTGTAATTTCATGGTATACTTTAAAGAAGAGGAGTTACTAGATTGAACAAGTTTCCATTCCAAGTCAGCATCTTTTTTATATAATTGGAAATTGGATGTACATATTCCAAAATTGAAAATATAAAAGATTATAAATATTACTATTATTGATTTAAACATTTTGGATTAGAAAGTTGAGTTGGGTGATTTGATTTAATGGTAGCAAGGTGAGGATGGAGATTTATAAAAGTTGTTTTGTTATTGGATATTAATTAATTATCTATTTGATTGGAAACATAAATCAGATACTAATTTAGGTAGAATAAATAATACAGGTGTTATCATGGGTGAGAATCCGATCGGATCCTCGAGGTGAATAAAAATGACCAGATACGACGACAAATATTGGAAATTAATTTGTCTCCGGCGGTTATGGGGTGTTTCTTCAACACCACCACACCCCGACAATAGACAATATGCGTATTTGTTTTCAAATTGTAAAAATAGAATAGATATTCCACGATTCCAATAAACCAAGTTAATTTATTAAATTAGTTAATTAATTAATTAAAATTATTCATAAATTGAAAAAAGAAGGAAATAGAATGCAACATTTAAATTTTCAGACCATTAGACACTCAACCACAGTTATGAGTTCGATCCATTGCTTCAATAGAGATAATAAAATCACCTCTTGAAATTCTATTTCTATTTGTAATATCAAATAATACATCGTTTGGATTGCATCCCCACCAATAGAATCTTGGATAACCATCTGTTTCTATTTGTGTAAGAGTTTTAAAATTAAATTTCATATCATAGGTCTCTGGGAATGCTTTACTATCAACTGTGACACTATGGTTAAATCCCAAGTAGTCTAAATCTTTGGCTAGTTTAAAAAACACTTGTTGGTTTGGGAATATTACGATGGTGTATCCCACAGAAGATGATGTACTACTTGAAACCAGGTCCCATTGATTACCATTCTTTTTATAGAGTTGGAAATTTGAACATAATCCAAAATTGAAAATATAAAATAATATAAATATAATTGTAATGGTGATTGTTGATTTAAACATTTTATATTATAGTTTTTGAAAGATCTAATTGTGATGATGAAGATTTATATAGTTGATTAATAATTGAATTTTTGAAAGGGTGGAATCAATACCAAAAATTAAATCAGATAAAATAAAGTACAGTTATATTTAAACACCATGGTAATTCCAAATTGTGCTGTAATTTAATAAAATGATCCCAAAGACAAACAAAGTGGAATTAATTGTAGAGAGGAAAGGGGAGAGGGGTGCTTGAACACCCCCACAACTTGTCGATTTTGTTTTCTTATCGAAAAAACATCAAGATCGTATTTGAATCTAGTGTTTACCAATTTACTCTATATTTATAACATGATGGATGATAACATGGCAACAAATTAAATTATTATGTAGTATTCAGTCAGAAATGTGAGTGGTACCCCAATACATTTTTTCAATTTAATTTTGATTGATACACTCATGTAGTATTAATTGATTGGTTGATTCGAAAATAGATATTTTTTATTTTGATTTAGGAGGTGTGTTGTAAAATATAGATTTTAAATAATTAATCTTTGAGTGTTATTTAAATTTAACGAGGAATACCACAGTTATGAGATCGATCCATAGCTTCAATGGAGATAATAAAATCACCTCTAGTGAATCTATTTCTGTTGGTGATATCAAATAATGCATCATTTCGATTACATCCCCACCAATATAAAGTTGGCAGGTCATCTGTTATTTGTCTTGTAAGAGTTTTCCAATTAAATTTTATATCAAAGGCCTCTCGGAGACCTTTACTATCAACGGTGAGACTATGGTTAAATCCCAAGAAATCTAAATCTTTTACAAGTTTAAAAAACACCTGTTGCTTTGGAGCAGAAGTAAAGGTGTATTTTATAGAAGAGGATGTGCTACTTGAAACCAGGTTCCATTGGTCACCATTCTTTTTATAGAGTTGGTATTTTGTACATAATCCAAAATTGAATAAATAAAATATTATAATTAGAATTGTGATTGTTGATTTAAACATTTTGTTGTACGGTTGCAATAAAAATAATAATAGATGTTGTTAGATTTAATATATTATTGATGACTATTTATAAATATAAAGTTGGATATTGATAATGGTTATTTAATGTTGAAATTTAAATTAATTAATTCGATCAATATATATATATTAAAATATTTAAATATAAATACATTTAACTGTATTCCAATAATAGAATAAAAATGATGTAAAACAAAGACAAATGTGGAAATAAATAAATATGTTTTATTTAACATTCCCTATAAGGTCGTCGTGGAAAGGGGGTGTTTGAACAACCAACAACACCACCCACTATTGTCATGAAATCAAATTTTTATAGGAGCAGTTTATTTAATTAAAAATAGATTGAAAATGATTTAGGAAAGAAATGATAAGAATGAATTCAGTATTTAATTGGATTGAGATCTGGATGGTTCCAGTGGTCATTTCTAGGTGATGAGGATCTTGACGGAATTGATTGCAATGATGGGTGTTAGCCACCACAATGAATAACTTTATCACCAAAGATTCTAATCTTGAAAATATAATCTCCACTGGTAAAATAGTTTAGGTTCTTTAAATCAAAGAAGATGTCATCTTTTTTACATCCCCACCAAAAATAATCGGGGGCTTGACTTGTATATCCATAGAAATATTTTCCTGAAATGGTTAATTCATATTGTTCTGACAAGGCATCACTATCGATGGTGAGACTGTTGTTGTATTCCAAAAAGTGTGTGTATTTCTGACGATTTTAAAATTCTCGTGTTTCCTTTTGGAATTTGCATAGTGTATCTTAATGAATACGTGCTACTAGATTCAACCATAAACCAATTGTTACAATTTTTTTTATATAATTCTAAATTACATGTTACAAAATTAAAAATGTAAAACCATAAAATTAAAATTGAAATGGTTGCTGATTTAATCATTTAAATAGTTGTTGTTGTTGTTGGTGGAACAAAAATGATTGAGTATCTATATTTAATAAATTTGTTTTTTTTACAATGAATGAATGAACTAGAGTTGACTATACTGGTGGAAGAGGTGGCAGGTTTTGCCAAAGATTTGAAGGTAGATAGTAATTTATTCATTGTTTGTGTTTGTATCTATCTATTTTAATAAAGTATTTTTTTAATTGGTTGATGGGAACATATACAAGAATGATAGATGGAAATTAATAAATTAAAATATTGTGACCAACACCCACTAGAGTTTTTTTACAATGGAGCTATTGATTGATCATGCACAGGATATGATTAGTAGATTCTGTGAGGGAATTCGAATATTCTTATGAAATCACTTGTGTTGGTTGTTTGAACACCATCTCAGACTAATTTGGAAAAGTTTGAGGACTCTAGAATTTAAATAGTTAATCTTCTTTTATTTATTTAAACCATATTTTGAACAACGAGAAGATTAATCACGAAAAGGATAAACCCACCAGATTTTAATTGGTTGGATTGTGGTGGACTCACATCTTTTTACGAGTAGGAGAATTGAAGAGGTTCGCTATTATTTATTTATTTAAATAGAAATGTGGTGGTTGTGTTGGGCGATATGTATCATATGTGGTGGATCACATTATCATTTTAAAAAATATAATAAAATGAATATCGTTTGAAGAGTCTTCCCCTTCAATTGATAATAGAAAATAGATAATATTTCCTTAATTTGTATTTTATTATAGCAAATATTGAACAAAAAGGAGAATAATAGACACCAAAAAGATAAACCCACCAGATTTTAATTGATTGGATTAAGATTTTTGGTATCCATCAGTATTTGGGGAAACTAAACCACTGGATACATCCATGGATGACCCTGATGTGAGTCCAGGCTCCGATGATGATGAAGATGAAGAGGATGAGGAGGATGATGATGATGAGGAGGAGGAGGAGGATGATGAAGAGGATGATGTAGATGATGTGGATGGGGTATTGGTTGAACAATCGAATGCTTTTTTGTTATTAATCTTTACTTTGAAAATAAAATCTCCACTTGTCATAATGTTTTTGTTTGTGATATCAAAAAAATATGGAGCTGTTGAGCAAGTCCACCAACTCCATACCCATTCATCATTTGTAGATGCTCCGTTATGATGTTTACCATTAAAGGTCATATCATAGGATTCTTTGGCTGCAACACTATCGATGGTGAGAGTAGTATTATATCCAAAATAGTCAGCATTGTTAACTATTTTAAAAAACTCTTGATTGCCTTTAGGTATCTGTAAGGTGTAACTCACCAAAGTGGCTTCTGAACCGACCGTGAACCATTTATCTCCTGTCTTTTTATATAATTCTAAATTACATGATACAAAATTAAATATATGTAAAATAAAATAAATAGAATTGAAATTAGATTGATGTTGGCCATTATGATGATAATTATTGTTGTATAATATATGTATTTAAATGATGAAAAAAAAAAATATTAATATAATCAGTATTTTTAAAATTTATATTAATATAAATAAGTTAACATTTGTTTTGCACCATACCTTAAGATGTGGTGGTACACGGTTGGATCTATCAATATTCAGATCATATTGATGGTTCACCAAATATATTTGAAACCATCAATCAATCTTAGATGACAATGAAAATACATAGAGTGGTTAAAAAGGTGGTAAAGGTTTTTTTGAACCTTCACCCACTCCAAATAATATTGATAGTGGTTATAGTATGTAGAGCACCTAGTACATCCATTTGCTGACAATCTTACTTCAATTAATTACAATCTTTGCAAGAAAGATTCTGATCAACAAGTCCAAGTATATTTTTTAGACTATTAAAAAAATTTAAATTAAATAATCTTTTATTTTATTTATAACAAAAATTGAACAAAAAGAAGAATAGAAGATAAAAGGATAAATCCACCAGCTTTTAATTGATTAGAGTATGATCCAATCTTTTCAGGAACCACTTGATCTGAATCTGAGGCCCCAGAATGGTTGCTACATTGGAAGAGTTTGTCGTCTACCTTTAATTTGATAATGAAATCAGCGGTATCAGTATCGTTTCCATTTTTAACATCAAAGAGGAATGGCTTGTTGGAACAAGTTGTCCAACTCCAAATGGGACTATCGGTTGCGTTTCTATTTTGACGACTTTGGCCATCAAAGTGTAGATCAAAGGACTCTGGGTGACGGACACTATCGATTGCAAGAGTAGTATTATGACCCATATAGTCCAAATTACCAATTACCTTGAAGAACTCCTTGGTCTTATTTGTCAGCTTGATAGTGTAATTGACTGATCTCACATCAGAGTCAACCAATAACCATTTGTCATCAGCAGTCTTTTTGTAAAGTTCTAATTTATTAATACAACTTCCAACATTGAAGATGTAAAAAAGAATAAATAGAATTGAAATGATGCTTGTTGATTTAAACATTTAATTAATTGATGTTGATGTGTAATTGTACAAATTATATTTGTTGATGAAGAATATATTTGTTATAATAATAATAATATTGTTTGTTGATGTTATTGTTTGTTGTGCACAATTCCTATTTATATGTTTGGGAACGCATATTTGATGTTTAAATCTATCAACATTTGATCGTATTGAATTATGTGATGGTTTATCAATCATTCAAATCACCGTCTATTGACTTGATTGATCCATACAATGAAGAGGTTTAGGTTTGAGTGTTCTGGTCAAAGGTTTTTTTTTTTTTTTGTTTGAACCGTCACACATACACTTTATTTCATATTCCCATCCCATCTTTTGAAAGGCTCATGAATGAAGAATAGATGATGGGAATTCACTGTCACAGATACCTCTAGACAGTGATAAATCAATGATTTAAAAATAGTAATGTGGTGGTTTGGGTGGGTGAGTGAGGGTTGTATTTTTCTTTAAACGGATTTCAATCCATCAAATGATCAGATGGGTTCCCATTTATTTTGTTGATTTTAATAATATTAATATTAATATTTTGAAGTTCACTTGAGAGAGAGAGAGTGTGTGTGTGTGAGAGAGTGAAATGGCATGATGGGATGGATAGTGTGATTTATTTAACATTTTAGGAAACTTGTTATTTTTTTTTTTTTTTGGATTTATTTATTAATTGTAATGTTTTAATACAAAAATAGTTGAACTAGAAGAAGGATAGAAGATATAATTATAAAACCAGCAGGTTTTAATTGACTTGAATACGATTCAACATATTTATCAACATGATCAGGAATCCATTGATCCAATAATAGGTTTCGGGGTTGGGCAATTGTTAACATCATCAAAAGCTTCGAATTCGACTGGCCAATGTCTCTGACGATTTTAAAGAAATCTTGCTCGGGGTATGGAATTTGAATGGTGTAGCTAACAGATTTTGGATTGGTCGAACTGAGTTTGACCCATAGGTTGTCAACTTGTTTGTAAAGTTCTAAATTATAAGATCCAATTTTGAAAATGTAAAATACAATAAATAGAATTGAAATGATATTAATGGTTGATTTAAACATTGGTTTTTTTTTGATGATTTGATATGTCCACCCTATTCCTAATTAATTATTCTCAAACAAACCATACTGACTGACAGTGAAAGAACAATCAATTTGATTGTATCAATAATCCAAAGAATGATCATTCTTGTAGGGAGTACCATTTTGTTTTTTTTTTTTTTTTTATACTGAAAGGTTTGATCTGAACTTCAAAAGGAGAAGTGCTGGGATCTCTGATTAGTAGTTGATCTCTCTTCTCTTTAGTATATAGTGCTGGTTAATACAACTGTGTGTGTTTGTGTACGCGCGCGTAATAGTGTGAAATAACAACTATGGATAGAGTACCAACATTATCTCAATCTACGATTGCATCACAGAATATCATTCTACCTCCCAACTCTTTGTTTCATTTGTTTACAAACTTGGCATCGAATCAACAACAACAGCAACAGCAACAACAACAACAACAACAACAATCACAGCAACAACAAATAGATGCAAAAGAAGAAGAAAGAGATTATACCAATATTATGCTTGAAATTGACAAGGGCATTAGATCGACGAATCTAGGTGACCAAGTCGAATCGACACTCTTTTATGCACACCTCATCACCTACAATCCACCTCCTCTTATCATCAGCTCCATCATTATCAAGTTGGCAGATATATTTAGAAACACAAACAACAATCTTGTACGATACCGTATACTCAAGGTCTTTCAACATTGTCCGAGAGAGATTCAGCGTATCTCTAATCTCGATGATGTACTCAAAAGAATACACTCTATTCTCAATAGTAACGATCCTATAGCACGTGCTATTGCACTCAGAGTATTTGCATCTATTCCTCTATTGGTGGCCGACAAGTTGTACATTCATCACAGCATAAGAGCATGTATGCAGACACATGATGTCGGTGAAGCCGAAGCAACCTTTGATGTCATGGATCGACTATGCGAAGTGTCTCCCGTCTTTTCAGACAGTATCATCGACAAGATATACACTATCATTCAATCCGTAGAAACACCACTCCACACCAAACTAAAGTTTACAACCTTGTTTAGACATATGCATCATAATCATCTAATTTCAAATCAAGTATGTAAACCAAAATATAATAATAATAATGATATCAAAGTTAACTTAATTTTTAAACTTTCTTTATCCTTTCAATTAGTCAAAAGAAATGTTGATTGGATTATTGGAATTATATCCATCGGTTGTATTTGTTGGTGTTGTTTTAGATACTCTTACAACTCTAACATTGAAACATATCCTCTATGTAAATGATCATATCAAGTTTTTGATGAACTATCTAACAAACGATCCACGTATCAAGGTTAAAATCGATGCTATTCAATGTCTACAAAGATTGGCAAAGAAATTACCTCATTCAAACTTTCCTCTAGTTGTATGTTTTATTATATTTATTATCTTTAAAAAAGTAATAATTATTTATTAATCATTTCCATCTATTTTAAATAGGATTTATTTAATGTGTTATCTCAAACTCCATATAATCAAATCAAGTATCATTGTTTATCATTATTATTAATCTTGTCAACAACTCATTCTCAAAAAATGATAAATAATACTACTACGAATATGATTCAAAATGGTGGTGGAATTGTAGAACCATCATCGACAACAATCAATGGATTTAATTTGTTGTGTGAATATAGTCAACATCCAAACCCATCATTATCACAAGTTTCAATACAGATCATTTCAAATATATTCAAAGAGATTGATCATCCAAACCAATATCAGACACAAGTTGACCAATTTATCGATTCTATTTGTACATTCTTATCAAATGCAACCAAAAATGGCAATGACAAAAAGGCATCAACAACCAATTTCTCAAAATTAACAAAAGCTATAATTCAATTGGTACACAAGTATCCAACTTCTAGTATACAAATAACCAATACTATTATTTCATTTGGTACCATTTCAAGTATGTCACAAAAACATAGAGAGAAAGAGAGATAAAATATCTATATTTATATTAACAATATGTTTGATTGATTATTTTTTATTTAGATGAATTTATAGAAAAATTATATCATTGTATTTCTATTTATTGTATTTATTATAAACAATCAATTGTACCAAATTATCCAAAATTATTAGATAATTTGAAAACATTATTAAAAGATACAAATTCTAATCAAAGAGATCAATTAAATGTATGAAATCTTAAAAGATCCACAAATGTGAAATCATTTATTTACTTACTTTACTTTATATTTAGATATCAATATTTGTAATGATATTTAGATCATTTGATGAACAATTTGATAGAATTGAAGAAATAACAACTACTTTAATATCGATTTTAAATGACCATTCAGTTGAAAATATGCCAAGTTTAAATTGGTCATTGTACAAGATTGCACAACAAGCTCAAGTACATGGTTTTCATTCATTTGCAAAATATATCTACTCTAAACTATTGACAACTGTAGAATCAGAGTGTAATTATTTTTGGTTAAAATCATTATTGGAAATTGCATCTATTGAATCCCAAATATCATCACCAAATTCAAATAGATCATTATTATTATCTTCATTTAATAATATTATCATTTCAATTAAAGTATGTAAATTGATCGATTAAATTAAATGAAATTTAATAATAATTAATTATTCTATTTATTATTCTTAGGCTAGTATAACACAAGATAGAAATTTAACATTTCAAGAGAAATTTATTGATCTTCGAGAAAGATATATTTATAGTTTATTAAATTTAAGTCTATTTATTAATCAAAATAAGATATCCCCTTCTACCTCTACTTCATCTTCATCTTCTTCTTCGACCAACATATCAACAATTCAATTAGAAAACAAGATACATTATTTATTAAATCTATCAAAAGAATTTACAACACTTTATGGTATAGTGGTTGGTAAATCAATGTCTAAATCGGCACAAGGCGGTTCAATTGAACAAATAGACAAACAATGGTGTAGAACAAAGTCTATTTTATTATGCTTTTCAATCTCTTGTAAATTGGTCATTTCAATTGCCAATCATATTTTAATGGACTCTTATCATCAAATTGGACAACAACCATCAATCTTGTTACCCAAGGATGAATTATCGATTTCCAGCAACATTGCTCAAAACCATCATCCAGTTCAACAAACCATTCCATTGTTTCAAATATGTCAGTTGATCCACTCTCAATTCCAACTACAACTAGAACAACCAATCGATCAACAGTCAATCAAAAAGACATCAAATTATTTGGTTGAAGTGATTGATGCATTGTTATCAGTTCCTTTGACTTATCCAGTATTCTTTTATCAATAATAAATAAAACTTTGGATTGTTGTAGGTATATTTTAAACGAGTAATTCGTTCATTTATTGTTAAAAGGGTAGTTACACAGGTGCATTTTAATAAATAAAAAAATAAATAAGGGTTGTGTTTTTGTTGTTGTTTAAGGTTTAGTAGCCACTGGAATACAATTGGTGGGTTGTTATTATGTTATTAATAATCGCAAAGTTTGACAACCATTACTGAAATATTATCTGTACTTCCAAGTTGGTATGCAAAATCTCTTAGAGTCTCACTTGCTCTGTTTGGATCGGAAATCGCTGATACGAGATCGACTGCGTCTTCATCAGAGACAATATCCCAAACACCATCGCAGGCAATGATTAAAAACTTGTGTTCAGGTGCAATAGTCATATTGTGGATATGTGGATTGGCTGTAACATATGGAGTCAAAAATGAATCCCCAAGTGCACGACTAACTGCCAACATTCCATTCACTAAAAATTAATTTAATAATAATATTAATATTAATATTTTGATTAGATGAACCTCTATGACTTTGATACATACCTCTACCATTTAAAACTGTACCACCAGCTTGAGTAATTCTATTTCTTTCAGAATCTTCAACTGGTCTATGATCAAAGGAAAGACGTGAAGCTTGAAACGATGAGGATTCGTTTGACCAATATCCCAAAACTACACGACTGTCACCTACATTTGCTACGCACATTTGATCCTCTTTGATGTAGGCACAGGCAGCTGTAGTACCAATAAATGGCCACGGAGCAATCTGTACATGAATATTTTGGAAAGCACATTTAAAAGCCTCTTCTGGAATCTTTTTCGAATCCAAGTATTCTCCAAAGATTCGATAAATATTTTCGGCGGCAAAGTCTGATGCTGCTCTTCCACCGTGTCCATCAAATACGCAATATAATTCACTCTTGCTATTGTCTTGGTAGCATCCATAGGCAACCATTCTATCCTCCATCGTTGGTCTCTTTCCAATTGTTTCACTCTTTCCAACTACATATCTACTACTTTCCAATTCTGGTGGTGGTGGAATTTTTTCTTGTATTGATGCACTACTATTTTGTTTATTCATCAACTAAAAATAGAAAAGAAAAAAAAGGTTGTCAGTCCTATCTCTAACTAACTATTTTGTTTGTTTTTTTCATACTCTAAATAAAGGAGTTCTTTCTTCATCAACACTAATATTAAGAGTACTATTGGTTCTAGTTTGCATGACACCCTTTTTAAAACTTTGAATCTTGTTTTTAAACTTTCTATTCCAAGGTATACGTTCAAATATAGTTTCCAAAGCAAATTGAACACATGAATTTCTCTTTAAAATATGATTTAGAGAGTATAATTTTGATTGATCTAAAAGAGATAAAATTGTTAAAATTAGTTTAGTTTCTCATTTTCATTATGACTATTTATATTTATATTTATATTTTTAACATACCAACATTATTATCTTCCAAGTATAAAGAAGTGATTGAAGTATTACGAATGACAGATTGTTTTAATGCTTCGAGACCTTTTTCAGAGATATGGTTTGTTGAAAGATCCAAAGTTTTGATTGTTTTGGTACTCATTAAAAAGGCAGCAATCATGAATGCACCTTCGTCGTATGCCTTTACATCGCTTAGATTGATACGAGTAACCGATTTGTTGCTACGTAATCCAGCTGTCAACACTGCCAATCCAGTTGCATGTAATTCATTCCCTCCCAAATCCAACTCTGTAATGGATCTATTATTTCTTAGAGCCTGTGAAAGTGCCTCCAAACTTCTACTTGACAACATTGTTTTCTTTAATGATAACTTTGTAATTGTAAAATAATATTGTGCAATAAAATCCAAGTATTCCTAAAAAGAAAGAAAGTTTAATTAGTTTACCACATATCTATCGGCCTATTTTGTCTTTTATATTTACTTGTTGAATTTTCTTTTTACGAATGGTTGTTAATGGTGTATCTCTTAGAGTGGTTGACATGTGTCTATTTGAATAGTTTTCATTGTTTACAATGATGGCAGCGCATATCGATAGGAATAATTTCTCGGTCAGACAATGATTGTCCAAGTTGAGTGTGAAATGGTTGAGTTCAGGTGGTATGAGTTGTAGTTTACAGTTGATGGTTTGGAGAAGTGTCTTGTTCATCTCTTCCACGTTGGGATTGAATTCACCGACAAATGATATTTTGGATTGTGATGATGGCGATGGATTTCTCGATCCCTCTTTGGTCTGTCCGACCAAGAGGTATGATTCCGATTTGTTGGTTGGTGAACCATTTCCACTGGTATTATTGCTACTGCTAGTACTGCTGCTGCTGCCACCGCTGTTATTAGAGTCATTCGCAGTCCCCGCTGATCCTCCATCTACACCACCACCTTCATCTTCATCGTCACCATTGCCAATGTGCAAGTCATCATCCTCACCAGCATTTGGATTGTCGACCATAAATGCATGAAAGTAGCTAGGTAAGCTATCGGTATCACCATATATCTTCTTTAAAGAGTGCCAAAATACAAAGGCATCTGGTAAATGAATCGTTAATATTCCGATGATTTGTCATGTGATTATTCCGACACCAACAACATTGTCAAACACAAACATACCTTGATTGGATGGCTCTCCCTCTTTAACTTTATCTAATGCTGCTCCCATATCTCTATATCCTCTTTTATATTACAATGAATAATGTGAACAATAAATAAATAGTAGTAGGTTAAATAGATAGGATAGATAGATAGATATTTAATAAATAATAAATAATAATAATAATAATAAGAGAGAGATAGGAAAGCAAGAATAATAATTAAATATAAAGTATACTGCTACCTACAACTATTATGTTAATGATGATGTTGTACAAGTTGATGAGATGATAATAACAATACTAATAATAATAATGGATGAATAATTTGATGAATTGATTGATTGATTGATTGATTGAGTAGTATGAATGATGTAAAACACCAAGTTTGAATGAATGTGAATGTTAAAGAATGATGTACAAATATATGTATAAATGAGGTTATTAATAGTGAATGGGTGAAAGAGAGTAAAGTGAACTAGTAGTATAACAAACAAAAAAAATATCGTGTTTCGATGGGGGGAGGTGGATGTCCATTCAACCCGCTTTTTTTTTGAATGAAAAGTTGTTTTGGGGTCATGTTTGAAAAACATAATTTTGAACTTGAAGTGGAAGAGAGATAAAATAGATAGAGATAAATCTAGTAGACGACTCTTTTGAAAAAAGATAGCGACAGACAGACAGAGAGAGAGAGAGAAGAGAAGAGAAAAGGATGATGTCACAACAACAACGAGTACCATTTATGGCATATAATAGTAGTAAGTCATTGCAAAGAAAGAGAGAGAGTGAGAGATAGATAGATAGAAGATGATAAACACAAACTAACCAGCAGTTGCATACATTCATACATTTGTCAATATATTATAGTTGTTGTACGATCTGAAATTCCATACTATTCATCTAGATTAAACAAGAAACTATTAGGTATGCATCTATAGAGAATATATTCTATATTAGAATATAGAAGAAGAAGAAGAACAATAATATATATATATAGATATAATCTTGTGTAAACTGAAACTGACATGTTTTGTGTCTATCTAATTATTTATAGACGATGTAACCTCATCAAGATTAATAAAGTATTTAGCATCGGACGATAAAAAGTTAGTGATTGAAGCCATCAATATACTTTTGACGAGATCGTATCAAGGCAAGTTACTCTTTTCAACGCAACTAAATGTACATTTTGACCAAAAGCAATACAAGTCACCTACACTATTCGATGCGCTGCTTCATACGATCGTCAAGATTCAAGGTTTCAGTGTCGAAGGTGGACAAAAACAAATATTCAAGCTAAAGATTGACAACAACAAAGGTGAACTCATCGACAAGACTGTTGCTATTCTCAGAAACGCAATTCTTCAACAACCAAACGATATCGTCATTGCCACCAGTCCAACAGCTGTCGTGGCTCTCCTCGAAATCCTATTCAACTACTTTAGAATCAAAACATCGATCACTTCAATACTCGATCATCAACAAGGACTTGAATCTTGGAATCTCGATACTGCCAGCGTCCCTCAAATCTCTTCAAATACTCCAAAATATATTTTGGAAATATTTTCAAAGATTGCAAAGAAATTACCTTTAAATATTAATAATAATATTAATAATAATAATATTAATAATAATAATATTAATATTGTTGCTAATGGAAATACTGCGACTAATAATAATAATAATAATAATAATAATAATAATGTAAATGGAAACGGAAATGGAAATGGAAACGGAAATGAAAATAATAATAATAATAATAATAATAATGAACAAACAACACCAACAACTACAACAACTGAACAACAACAACAACAACAACCAATTGATCAACAAGAAAAAGAACAATTACCATTTAATACATTTAATCAAGAAGATATAACATATGTTTATTTTAATGATGGTACAGTTCAAGAACCAGTATTAAAGGTATTGCCAAGTGGAACGGCCAAGAGATTGTTGGAGATTCTAGAGATGGCTTTGTTTGTATATGACAATGACGAAGCATTGATGGCATGTGTTGAAACATTGGAGTCAGTTTCGAAACCAAGTTCATTCAAGCCATTGGTCGACGAAGTTTTACTCAAACCAATCTACGAACCATTGTTTGAGACCATAGTATCGACCATTTCATCGCCTCTTTTACCAGAGAGCAGTAATGGAACGGGGGTAACCTCACCAATTGCCCAAACACCAACTGGACAACATCAAATGACAGCATCTACAACCACCAGCACAACCAACTCTTCATCCAATTCCTCTGTCAACACACCCGTCACTCCAATGGTATCCACCATCCTCCACCTCAAACAATCGCCTGTTGTCCTTCACAAGCGAACCTTTATCGACAGACTCATTGAATTGTTGGGTCATCCAAACAATGATATTCAATTGTCATCATTAAACGTTATTTATAATTTAATTAAAACAAGTCAAAAATCAAGGTATGTTAAATCAAAACATAGTACAAACTTGGTTCATCTTATCTCTAACCCCCACTTTAATTTCTTATTATTATATAGAATTATGATTTGTCATATTTCAGGATTAGTTAGACATGTATGTAACCTTTTATCATATAAACCAGGAGACCATCAAATGGAGATGGGTAAAAAGGCAGCCACTCTATTATCATACTTTTCAAGGGAGCAATTAAATATTCCAGTACTCCTTCAATTCGAAACTTTGTTGACTCAAATCGCTCTTTCTGACAATCCCCACACTGAAATCGTTACCAACATTTTGATTAAATTGGAAACTACAAAATAATTAAATAAATAAATAAATAAAATTAATAAATAATAGAGAAACAAAAGTGATAAAAAACGACGAAAAACACTGGTTCTTTCGAAACTATTTTAGCATTCGACTCGTTAAATGTCCGAGCTTGGTCCTAAGAGTGCAAGATTCTCGTTGTCAATGTATCGGCAACCCCTTTTATAAGTGTGGGTGTGATCCTTATTATTAAACACAACAGTTAAACTAAAAGATATAAATAAAACATGGCACACTCGGATTTATCAGATATTGAGAATAACTATACTCCACAAACACCAACAACATCATCATCGATAGTAGCACCATCATCTAATTACAACCCAATATCATATCAAAATATCACTATTGACAGAGATAATGATGATCCAGATCATCCAGAATCTTACATTTCAACAGATACTCAAACACCAAAACCCGACGATCAACAATTGCAACAAAAACAATCATCAGGAGGAGTAACAAAGACTGTTGATATTATTGGTTCAACTCCTTTGATTGAATCCATTTTTAAAGGCAACTATGAAAATGCTGAAGAGTTGATCTCCACCTCTCCACAAATGATCAATATTGCTGAACCCAATCAAGGTTATACTCCTTTATTTTTAGCTGGTATGTAAATTATTGGTGATCAAAATACAGATACTACTAGACATTAATTAATTAATTAATTTTAATATAGTTGAAATTGAAAATGAAGAGATAGCATTTAAACTATCCAAACAATTAATAGAGGCTGGTGCTATTATTAGAGTGATTACAAAGGGTGGAACTACTCCATTTGCACAGGCATGTTTAAATGGTCATCTTAGAGTTGCCCAATATATGGCATCACTTGACAATCTACTTATAACAGAGACTGTGGTACCAATCCCACCTATATTGTTGGCCGCAGAACAAGGACATTTAAATGTAGTACAATGGTTGACTTCCAATGGTGCCTACATCTATGCCCAAATAAGTATCCCTCAATCTACTACTAGGGGTCTCATGGCTCTCCATCAAGCAAGTTTCAAGGGTCACTTGGAAGTGGTTCGATTCTTTGTAGAGCAATGTGGAATGTACATCGAAGATCGTTCAAACTTGTTGGGTGTGACCGCTCTCTATATGGCCATTGAACAAAACAAGTTAGAGACTGCCAAATACCTTTTGGAAAGAGGGTCTGATCCCAATGTGTGTCGTACTGATGGTGTCTTTGGTCTATACATGTGCGCTCAATTTGGATCGGTAGAGATGATCAAACTTATCCTTGGCTTTGGAGCTAATCCAAATCTATTGTATAATGGAAAGACAGCTTTAGATATTGCCACACAGAAAAATTTTACAGAAATCATCAATATTCTAACACCTCTTACCGATCCATCCCTTATCAAAGAATCATCTTCATCGTCCAATTGTAGAATCATGTAAATTAACAACAACAACAACAACAAAAACAAATACTCTTGCGCTATTTTTTTATTGTAGATAACATTAAATAATAAATCAATAATAATAATAAACATACTACAAGATGTACTCCCACAAAAAAAAAAAAAAGTGGTGTATGAATCTTGTTGACTTCCATCAACAAGTATTTATTTTATTTCAGCACCCCGTCACAGTATATACTAGAACAAACTTTTTTTTTATATTGGCTGTCTAGGATCAATAACTTTGGTTGAGACATTATCATTATCATTATTCCTCGCATTGAATATTTATTTATATAAAATTGCAAATGACAACAATACCAGTGGCCATATTAAATTTACTCAACAATAAATTTGGAGATATTTTTTTTAATGAATTAAAGAGAAGTTTAGAGAGAAACATGGTCGTACATATTCAACCTTATCCAGGTGCTTATTGGATTTCCATGATGAAAGATGGAAATGTATACTCTTGGTAATTTTTTATAATTCTATATAATAAGATAGATTAGATTTCTAATCAAAATAAATAATTTCTCTGAATTTTAGTTATTATCATCCCACTAAACAACATGAGGCAATCACCATTGGAAAGCTTGGGGAAAAAAAATCAGTTGAAAATGCAGGTCAATGGGCTGTATCAATTCAAACAAAAGGTCTCTGGGGAAATAAAACAAAATATAGAACAATTGATTAAATTGTAGTATCCTTTGAAAATAAAAATAAAAAAAAATAGAATTATGGTGTTCAAAATTAATTTCAAAATGTGTAACAACAATATTCAAAAGCTAAGATATCTATAATAATCACATCTTGATAAAGAAGAGATGGTGAATCTTTTATTTAGATTATATTTATCGATATCTTTATATAAAGATATCATCTAGTAATTAGATATCGAATGATGGTGATGATTAGTTTTCATTTCTCAAGATAAAGCTTTGAAGAAGATAATTAGCACCATTAAAAGCAATACGGAAGTTGTTAAAGTTGGATGGTGAAAGAGTCATGATGATACCGGTATCGACAACCTTGGCATGGACGAGATCGTTGGCAGCCGACGAGAATGTCTTTGAACCTACGACTGAACCGTTAAGAGTAAAGGTGAGAGTGGTGGCACCTGTTGTGGTACTCTTGCCATAGACAAAGATACGGAAGTTGGACGAGAGTGTTGGTTTGGTGACGGCATATTGGAGATAGTAGTCCAAGGTGACTGGAGTGTTGGCTGGCAGGTTGATAGCGTGCATGGCAGTGTTGATACCATCCTTGGTGACAGTGATAGAGGTTGGCGAATGGGCAAAGGTCTTCTCGGCAGTGATCATACTGGCAGTCTCTTGGAAGATGATGTTTTCATCACGAACATCTTGATCGACAAACCCAACAGAAATGCCAGACATGCTTTGGATGGTTTGATCGTGGTTCCAACCAAGTGGACACAATTGACCGACAATGTGTCCGGGCATCGACACGGTGGTGTAGGTCAAGAAGTTACGATCGGTACCAAAAGTTTGGGAGGGGTCGTTGAGCTTCCAAATGTTGTCTGGATCGTGACCAATGGTAAAGCTAGTGTCGTTACGGTTGGAGAGGTCAAGAGTCTTGAGAGCACCACCACTTCCACCAACACGGATACCAAGACGAGTAGATGCTGTTGGATTACCATAGGCATAGAACTTGTTTTGAACAGAATCGATACGATCAAAACACCAAATGTTGGCACCAACCAAACGACCTTGGTATGGGTGGTAGTTGAACGAGTCGAATCTAGCTTTAATCTTGGCATAAGTGTCAAGATGTGGATCCTTCTTTGGTGGAACTGGATTAATTTGTTCGGTTGGATAACCAGAGACACTAGAAAACAAGTATCTAGTATTTTCAGTAACTACACCATTTGGGAAAAGAATTGGGTCTGAAAAAAAAAATACAAGTCAATATTAAGTATTGTATTATTATACATATACTATATACGTGTATATATTTACATACCCATTGCAAACCAAAAGTTTGAAACATCAAAAATATTGGTAACCATTGCATTGTAGAATTCGTTACGCATGTTGTACTCTTTCAAAGAGTTGGTACCTGATGGAATGGAGATTTGTGCAAAAGCAGCGTCATAGAAACCAACAAAGAAATCTTGGAAACTCTTTCTAGTATTGATAAAGTCAGAGTAAAAGGTATCTCTCCATGTCGTATCGAAACCATAGTATTCATGGTTTTGAATAGCATCAGAGAGAAGGTAGAGAAAAGCAGTACAAGCAAAAACAGAAATTGGACCTTCACTTACCTATTAATTAATGAAAAAAAGAATGGATGAAAGAAAGAAATAGGAATAGAGTAAGTATATGCATGAATTGATTCATAAATATCTATATAAATATTTTTTTTTTTTTTTTACTTACTTTATACTCTTGATTTCTAAAATCAGGTAAAGCACCGTGGAAAAGAGTTCTGGTTGCGATGAATTGTTCATGGACGTGTACCTTGTTGTCTGGAGTTGGAGCAATCTTGTAGTTGGCAACGGCATCTCTAAAGTCCTTGACGGCATCAGATAGACCTTCAAACTTGGATTTTAGGGCAATGAAATTGTAGTTTGTGATACCAGTGTTGATCATGGCCTTGATTGGTTCATTGAGAGCATCCATCATTTTCTTGGTGGTATCGTCGTGACGAAGCAGAGTAAAGGCAATATCTGTAGCATAGGACAACAAACCACCGACTACTGGAACAAAGCTGAGAGCACCGACGAGTAAGCCTCTTGCAGTACTGACCAGATCGAGGTGATGGTTTTGGATGAGATCAATAATTGGCTCGGCTTCATTGGCAACCAATGTGGTAAGAACATCACCGACTGCTTGTCTTCTACGTAATGGATCTTTGATACGAGCAATAATATCGTCACGAGTTTCAATACTATTCTTCATGTTGGTAGAGAGTGGAGTAACAACCTCTGTTGGACCAGAATTAATTTGAGCATTGATAGCAATCAAATAAGAGTTTAAAATTAACCCTATAATAAGAATTGAAAATAATTTCTTTTAAAAAAAAAAAAACAAAAAAAAAAGTAAGTAAATATTATATATATATAAATATTTTTTTTTAATGTTATACCTTTGAAACCATTTTTTATAATAACAATTAACAAACTTCTATTTCTTATTATGAATTAGGTAAGGGCAATTGGTAGAGTATTTATACCTTTTCCAAGAGCCATGGTTTATAAAAATAATTTAAATTAATCAAAATTGCCAGCATTGCAAAACAACACCAATCAAAACAATCTGGGGAATCAGATGGTTGGGCCATAGGAGAGTAGTTCGTGAAGGGCATGACGGTTCGAACCGTCGCGGACATGGGACTGCTGACGTAGTCTAAAAAAACTCAAAACCGTCCATATGACCCTTCAAAACGGTCCGAAAGTCAGATGAAAAACCAATGACCGACTTGACTTGATCTTCCCGATTTGTAAGACGGGCCGTCCTTATCTAATCTCTAGTATGGCTAGAAAAATAGAACCTTATAATTTAAACGGTAAGCAAATTTCGTATATTGTACCATAGTTGATTGGATAAGGGTTTGAATGTGTCCAAGTTGTTGGAAAAAGCAAACAGAGAGATTTTATTACCTTTGGAAATTATCATTGATGATCACTGGTTACAAAGAAAGTTGCCTATGTAGCATTTTTTTCTAATATCACCAATCATTCTCGCAATATCGATTGGTTTTGGACAAAAAGAACACGACAGGATAATTTACAATAAGCTTGGAATGGAGCCAAAGGAGTAAAGAAAGTACCTTGATGGCGACATTTCTTTTCAATTAAAATAATTAAAAATAAATAATCATGGTACCAAAGCGCAAGCCTATCGAAACCTATTCCAAAATCATTAAAAAATTTTATTACTTTAAAAATTTTTGAAAAGTTATTATTATAGTTGGATTTTGAAGGTGGATGGATAACAATTGTTATTATTATTTACATTATTTATTATATTTCTTTTTTTAGTTAGTACAGCTGATTATTATTATTATTATTATTATTATTATTATTATTATTATTATTATTATTATTGATTATTATTTTGATTCCTGTGATGATGCTACAAAATTATATAAAGCCATATTGTAGTCTTCATACTCTTGAGAAGACATTATTTCCTGGTCTTCCTCTGTTACTTCTAATAAGTTGACTGATTTTCCAGCTGCAATAACCGTTACTTTGCATGTTGATTGTAATGGTTGTGGTTGTTGTTGTGCACTGGTAGTAGTGGAAGAAGATGAAGAGGAGGATGTTGGTGTCGATAAAGCTGTGGTGTTACTATTACTATTATTACTACTAGGATGATTTGGTGAATTTATTCTTTGTTTCTTTGATACTTCATCATCTGCTTCATCTTTATAATGTTTTGTTACATCTAAAAAAAAAAATAATGGTTAATAACATAACACTCTCTTTTGATGATAATAATAAATATTTACAATCATCAAAATAAGTTTTATCGATTGCTTGAGATTTTGTAGAACTATATGCAAAACTAAGTGGCATCTCTATTTTAGCATTCTTTGATGCATTACCCAAAGCCCCACCATTGGTAGAATTGGGTGATGGTTCGAGTGATTTTGGTAATAACCATGGTGGAACAGGGTGAGTTGGTTTTTTTCTTTTGGTTGGGTAAAAAAGATTAGTTAACTTTGCAATCAATAATGAATTCATATTTAAATAGGGATATAGTATAGTTACGTTTCTTTTTTAGCATTTGAGGAAATGATATGTCCAGTATCAACATTATCAGAGTCATAAATATCGACTAAAACTTCGACACTTGAAGAAGATGGATCGATCCATCCTTTATTTCCACCTGCTGCTTCGTTTGGTCCAAATGCACCTCTTGATGATAGATAAATAGTTAGTATGTTTAAAGATTTTGAAAAGAGTTTGGTTGAAAATTATCAAATATGACATACTGTTTTGCAGGACCAGTAGAACTACTTGTATTAATAACATGTGATGGACCAGTATCCATATTACCTTGAGCCATATCTCTGGCAAACAAAGGTATTTGCTGACCCTCTGTCTTTTTTAATTGTTCGACTAGTTTCTTGAGTTGTCCCAACATGTCTGCATTTTGTTTGGTCTGATTGGAAAAGAAATCAGCGCTGCTCTTTTCCTCTGTCAATTTGCCATCGCATCGATCGCAGCAAAGGTCGCCTTCAGGCGTCAACAACTGTGGAATATCGTATGCACTAAACAGTTTGGCGCAAGCGACACATTTGTATTGAAGATCAAACTTTTGTGTCTTTTCAGCCTCCATCATCTTTCGAACCATATACATCTTGTACTTTATAATATCGATAATATGACTATAATCCAAATACCAAAGTTGTGTAGTAATTGCACGATCACCAGGTCCCTTTCCTTCTTCCTTTACTTCTTGTGACTTTAATATAGAATCACCTCTTAAATCCATTAGAATCTTTCTACAATATTTAAATGGTATATTGATCTGATTTGCAATTTCATCTTCTTTTACACTAAAAAGATTTAAAAAGAAAGAGATATTAGATATTTATCAATTATTAAACGAAACAACAGAGTTCTCTTCTATCATCTATCATCTATCATCTATTATTATTATCATTATCATTTTACCGTTTCTTTTGTCTCAAAACAGCATCTATAACAATGATATATTCATCAGTGTAGAATGCACGAATAAGCATTCTAACAAGATCATCCAATACATTGTAAATTGAAGACATCGTCGTTGATGGTGATGGTTGATTGAAGGTTGATTGTTTGTTATCTTATCTTTCTAAATATAATGATCAACTCTCCTAATGTTAAAACAGATATATATTCAAATTTGAGAGAAAAGAGATAGAATAATAATTAATCAAACTACAAAACAACAATGATCTTCAAAACTCAAATTACTTGTTTTTATTATCACCGCCTGCAGTCCAACGACAAATTTAATAATAAAAAAATATTAATAATATAATAAAAAGAAAATATGATGATGAGTGAATATACTGTAAATAGTTGCAATACTTTTGAATACTATTATTGTTGTTACTTTTTTCATTTTCATAGAGTATTATTTGTTATATTTATTTATTATATTTAATTTTTAAGTTTTTATGGGAATACTTCAGCAATCATACATCTAATACCACCACCACCAATATATTGAATGGTAGGGATATCTTTGGTGATGAAACCTCCGTCGCTAAACTTGCCAATGACGGTTCTTTGTTCTGGTGTGAATGCATCAAAGGCGGTTTTAGAGCATACGAAATGCTTTTTGCCGTCTTGACTTTGTACTTCGATGACGTTGCCGCAAAAGGCGTTTACTTGGTCACGGGTGATTGTGATGAGTGTGTGATGTTTGGTGAGTGAGTCGATGAGATGACGTTGTTCGACAATGTCTTCAACCGATTCGAGACAGCAGATGGCAAAGCCAGAGCAAATGGCCATCATAACGTTAGTGTGGTAGATAATCTTTCCGTGAGAGTCGGTGGCTGTAAAGGCAACGAGTTGGTATCCGAGCTTCTCGGCCCATTCCATAGCCAACAGTTTGTGACTACGTTGCGATATGGCAACATAGGCAACACGGTTGACACGGTCCAATACCAAGGATCCAGTGCCTTCCAAAAAGTTATTCTCTTGTTCGTGTACAGACAAGTCTATCGTTTCGACATTGTCCAATGTGTTTTTTAGGTATTCAATGATTTTTGGACGACGTTCAAGACGACGATTAAGATGTAGCATTGGGTACAACACCAAAGTGTCGTGGTCCTTGCCAGTCTCTTCCTTGTTGTGTGTACTGAACCAATTGTTTGGGAAAATACAATCAGGTGTATCTACTCCATCATTTGAATCCATCAATATAACCTTAACTCCTGCTTCTTTTAATGCATTGTAATATGTCATAAATTCAAGTGCTCCCTAAAACAAAAAAAATAATAATAATTAATGTAAATTAATTTCCATCCAAATATAAATATGTATTATATATATATTATCATTCAATATAGTATGTATCATAATATATATATATATATTATATATATATATCTTATAAATCAATAAAAAAATAGATAAAAAGATAAATATTTTCTTTTTTTTTAAAACACACACTGTTTGAATTGTGAGGTAGCAGTGTTGGTGCTGTTAATTTGTTGTATACCAATTTTGATTTGATTTGATTGATTTGATTTGATTATATACTGTAGTCGTAGAGGGTCGACCCTCTACTATGAGAAGATATTTACTTGTTTAGGAACATCAGTAGAATCCTTTGGTACATTCATGAAATAGTTATCATTGACAGCTTGGGTGTTCAACTCAAAGTGAGTTGGTGAAACCATAAGAATTGTCTTTGATGATTGTTGAGCTTGTTGTTTTGTCATCTCGATATCTATCTATAGTCTTCTTGATATGTTATTGGTTGTTAATATATGATGTGTGTGCGTATTTGTTGTTATTTAATTTAATTTTCTAAATTGTGTTTAAAACACCTTCTAATAATACTCGTTTTTTTTGCACCAAAAATTGTGCATTGAGGGGAAATTTGGTTTGAAAAGATCTTCAATTTAATTAAATTAATTTTTTTAATTTTTTTTTTCCAATCCATCATAAACAAGCTTCAAATATTAAATGATAATAATATGATATAATATAATAATATTATTATTATTGAAAGAGAGAGAGAAAAAAAATAGAATAATTTAGAAATGATTTGCGATTGATATATTTAAATAAAAAGAAATAATATTCGTAGATATTTATTTATTTGTTTATTTCTTTATTATTTATATCTTTTTTTTGATATTTTTCAAAAGAGATAAAATTGCTTTTAGAGTTCAATCATGTGAATCAACTGAAGAGAGAGAGATATTATGTATATATTCATATTGGAATTATTTATTATTTCCTTTTTAAGTTTATATTTTCCATTAATAATTATTTATCGGGCAAGTGAGTTACGTAATTTGGTCTGCGTCTGTGTGTTGTATTTCTTTGTGAACATTGTTTTTTTATAATAGATAGTTGATCCGATGGCGATAACAACCATATCAATACCACCAACACATCCAACTATGATCTTCCACTTATGATCATCCTTTGGTGAACAATCACCACCTTTTTTATCATTGACAACTAATAATGGTGTGAAATTGGGATCGAGTACACATGATTGACATTGAGGTAGTGTGATACCAATCATCGATAAAGATTGATTAGGTTTTTACCCTTGATAATAGTCTTTCCGAATACAGTGGCTATATTGGTGCTGTCAAAAGTTATATCACAAGTAAACCCACTTGGAATTACAACCGAGGCCGGAACAGTGAATCTAACAGTTGGTTCGTTTACATAACACCAAAAACAATCTGGAATCGATGTGACACCAGTACTAGGCACTGTTCCGCACTCAATCTGAGCTATTTTATCTTTTTCTGGATCTCAAAGTCAATTGAAACGATTCAAAGAGGCTTGGGTACCATTACGAAAAATAATTAATTAGTTTTATTATGGCGATTTCCAACGGTTGTCGCCGATCAAAAATATCAGAGATTCCGACGTCCGTGAGATTGGAATCAATGTCAATAGATTTTTTGCATTGAGAAAGGTCGCAACAAAATGGGTGTTTTATTTTGTTTTGGTCTATGTTTAGGTCTCTCTCTATTGGATTACCAAAAAAAAAACCAAGCTCACATTGGTGGTTAGGAGATCAATTACATCAATGATTTATCATAAAAAAATGCCTTTTAAAGACCCCATTTCTCAACATCGCTCATATATGAGTAATCTTTCCCACCACAGTTTAGAGAATTTAGATTATAATGCCTGATAGATCGGAATGAACCATCCATATTGAAACAAATTAATGTTTTGTTTGACATTTACTGGTGATATTTTTTATCACACTTGACTAGCTGAAATTTCATCATCCAAGGGTTTCATTATATTTTATACAATAATAAATCATTAATGTATAATATCATCAGAAAGGGATGTCTCCTTGCACCCCTCCAACTGGGATACAGACATCAACTGACTACTATTGTAGGCAGCAGCAGCAGCAGTATTACCTACTACAGTTCTGCTGATTCATATCAATGTGTTCGATCTAATTCATACTCTTCATACACTACACAATCGATTGCTTCAAATACATCGACATTGAAATCACCATCTTCAACAACATCAACAACATCATCATCATCTATAAATAACAATAAGAAGAAAAGAGGAGGAATCAACATCAATAGTCAGAATAATCAGAATAATCAGAATAATCAGAATATAAATAAACTTACAATATCACAAAAGCATCTAACTGATGCTACAAAGGAAGAGTTATCAACAGACCCTTCACCATCAAGCTTGGATGAAAAGACTGGTGTATCTTCACATTATGCTTATCTATCTGATCAACATTTCAGAGATCTTTATCTATTTCAAGATGGTATAACTATAAACGCTAAAAAGTAATATTATTATCGAGTATATTCGTGATGAAGATGATCTGTATGACTAATCATCTATCTATCTATTCTATTCGATTTAGATTATGTTTTGATATTGATCATAGTGGTAATTTTCAAGGACCGACAGCTCTTAGAAGATTGGGAAGATGGATTGGGTCGTTACCATATTTCGATCAATCATGCTTTCTTTATATACTAAAGACGTTGGCGGACAAAAAAGCATATCAATTCTTTCAAGATTTGGAACGTGGATGTTTGAACAAGTTTGTCCCGCTGCACAAGCAGGACAAGGATCTGCTAAACTACATACTCAGTGTCTACGTTGGCACACTCAACGACACCAAAGAGACACTGATCGACCAGATGCTCAACCACAAGGATTTTGAGATGACCGAAGATCTCTACTGCACACTCATTCGCAATGCAGGTATTTCGGGCAACCAAGACAAACTAATGGATCTGTACAGTCGCGTCGAAGCCGACCAATCAGTAGGTGGGCTCACTGAAAAGATATTTGGACGTGTACTGTCGTCAATGGTAGAATTGGGTAAATACAAAGAGGCACGAGCACTCTTTGAACAAAAGTATGAAGAAGGCTTGGTGAGGACGATTGCTTCATTTGAACATTTCCTGCCATCGTTGGTGATTATTAAGAGGACAAGAGATTTTGATCACTATTGGGGTATATTGGATCGGTTAGAGATTATGCCTACCAGTAGTTTGTTGGTGGGTGTTATCAGAAGTTATGGCACGTTAAAGGCAGCGGGTGACGCTCACCAATTCTTTTCGCGTGTCGAGCAGCGATACGATGCCGATGTAGTGTATGACCTGTCGGTCATCAAATCATACCTCGATATTCTCATAAAGTCAACAACGCAGTTTGCACCGGTCAAGAGTGCATTGTCAGACCTTGAAATGCGTGGTAAACTCACGTTTGACGTCATGATGCACGTTACCAAACGTTTTCAAAACATGTCACGTGAAAGCGAGAGATTTACCAGTAGCATGCACGATATGGTGTGGAGACTACCCAACATTCTTCACGCCGAGATTGAACAACACAAAGCTCTCAAGGAGCAACAACGGTCCGAACAAAAGGAAGATTATCTCCCCCTGCTCCCATTGGTGCGTCACTTTGAATCGCTTGTCGAGATGTCGATCGAAGCCAACAACACCAAACTCATTCAAAATGCTATTCAACTCATTAAAAAGGCAAAGATCAGACCTACATCGCGCAGCTACTCTAAATTGTTCCGGTTCCTACTAGTCAGAAACGATCCAGAGACTATCAAGACAATCATCAAGAACAGTCAAGAGTGGAAAGAGAGAATCAATATTGCAGATCTCATTGTCTTTTATGAATCCTATCCCAACATGTTGACAGGACCCATCTTTGAAAAGGATTATAGTAGATGTATGGATCTACTATGGAGTGCCAGTGGCGACGAACCAAAAGAGTTACGAATCAACCAAATCATCGAGGTATTCTTGCTCATGGACAACCTTGCCAAAGCACTCGAATGGGCCGACCGATTCGACAAGGAGGGATCCAAGAGAACAGCCGCATTCTATCTACCCTTCCTCAGTTATTACACTCAAGTTGGTAATATTGAAAAGTACCAAGAGAATCTCCAAGCCATTGTAAATGAAAAGATTAGGCTATCTTCAGAATCCATTCAAAAATATAATAGTTATTTTAAGCATAATAATTTTGCTTATTTACTTGATACTAAAAATAATAAATCAAATAAATAAGACTACGAATAATTAATTATTATTAATTATTATTAATTATTATTAATTATTATTATTATTTACATTTTATTGTTTTTTTTAAAGGGGAAAAAGAGTATACTTAAATATCTATTTTTTGTTGTTACTATTAATTATTATGATTACTATTGCTATTTTTTAATATTATTATTTAATTTTTTGATTATTTAATTATTTTTTGGAGGAGGTGCAGCATCAGGTGCATTTGGATCAAAATCTTTAATGTGAACGTTTGTAACCTTTGTAATTCTATGTTTTCTTTCTGATTTTCCAGCTTTGGAAGATTTTGTAGTTTTGGCAGCTTCTACAGACTCTACCACCGAAAGACCTATATCCTTCATTGTCTTTACGAGATCGACGTCGTTGGGTATTGGTATATTTTTCCACATTTTAATGAGTTCATCCGAGACTGGTATACGATACTTTTCGTCATTGTAAAAGAGAATCTCAGTGTTGAGCTCTGTATTTTTAATTGTGTATATTTCTTTGCTTTCCTTGAGCTTCTTGACATCGTCCCCAACCTTTGCATAAGATTCTGTCAGTTTGTTGAGAGGAATGCCTCGAGGATTCTCCTCTTTGAGCAAATCGACAATCTCTTCGGGTGTCTTTACACGATAGAGTGGTTTGAAACGAACGGTTGTCGAGTCGAGAAACTCCACCTTTTCATTTTGTTTGAGTTCGTCTTGTACCAATTGACTGTCGATAATCTCTTTGTGACCGGTTGATATCATCAACTCTTCGAGTGTCGCTGGTCGCCCCTCGAGCGATCTTAAATGGATGACGACATCGAATATAATCCTACCGGTCGGTGTCTTCTTCTCGCCTGCTACCGACGCAGACATGTACACTCCACCTCCACTACCATTGCTCGATGATGATGATGATGCCGATCTGTTGTTCATTGACGCCGATACAAGCGGTCTCTTTCCATTCGTGTTGAATATAGATGCAGAAGGTTTCTTTAAAGGAAGTGACTTTGTATCCATTTAAAACTCGTAAATCTTTCAAAACTTTAACAGATATATAAACAAATATAATAATAGAAATATATATCTTCTTCTTTGCTGTTGTGGTCGTTGTTATTTGTTCAGATGTGTTTAATCTTTTATCTTTTATGTTGTTATCTTGAGAAATAATAAGGGTTCTTCTTTGCTGTTCAACTGCAATTCGTCCACACAACAAACAAATTTATATTATATTTATCTGTTTAAAGTTGAGAAAGAAATGAAAAGAATGAATTGCATGGAGTGAATTATTTCTATTTATCGAAAATTTAATTAAAATCATTTTTTTATAATTATACTTCTCTCCACAGCACACTTTGTTTCTAGTTTATTGTTGTGTGACACACCATGCAAAGAATATTTAAAGAATTTATAGGAAGATGGAATATAAATAGAAAGATAATACATAAATTGGTTGCTGATAATCCAAACAACACAAATACTCAATCATGTTTGTTATCAGCGCCAACGACAACAACAACTCCCCCAAACTTAAAATCATTTGGTGAACAAAAGATGACTGTTACAGGGTCTGCTACGTTTGTACCACTCGATAATGATTCGAATACATTGCGATACACTGAAGAGGGTGTATTGGAACAAGAGGATACAGGTGCGCGATACCCAGTCAATCAAAAATACATCTATCGATACGACGAACAGGCTGATCGTATATCAGTCTACTTTGATGAGACACCCGAAAGACTACTCCACACTCTTATCATTGACCAACCACAACCACAACCCAATACATTGTTTGCAACTGGTCATCATCCATGTGGAGATGACACTTACAATGCCACCTATCAATTTGAAATGCCACAACATAGATTCACTCTAACTTATAATGTATCTGGTCCAAATAAGAATTATCAAATGTCAACAATCTTTACTAAATAATAATAATAATAATAATAAAAGCGAATCAAATTTGTATATATAATCAATCTCAATCATATATTTTTGGATTTGTAAATTTACAATGATGATTTATTATTATTTATCAATGGTTGATGTGATGGGTTCATTTTAAAATTGCATTAAATGTCGTTCTTGATCTTGAGACAATGATGATTTCTTTTGATAGAATAAAATATATGCAGTCTTTTTGGAGCAATCAATCACTTCTTCGGCCTCTACAATGGTTGCTTTACTGTCATTGTAGTGTACCCATATTTCCTGTTGATCATTAAAGCAATACGCCGTATAATGTCCAGCAAATAAACTAGAACCATGATGATTAATAACATTGACCAATTCGTAACTATAATTCTCTGGGGGTTTTGATGATGATGATGATTCATTTTCTGTTATTGTTGGTGTAGTAGTTGTTGTTGTACCATTTGCCGTTGTTGTCGTTGTTGTTGTTGTACTAGTTGTAGTTGTGGTACTTGTACTATCTGTTAAATTATCTGTCATATGACCATTTAAATTATTATGATTATTACCATCACTATTATTATTGTCATTATTATTATTATTATTATTGTTTTCATTATTATTATTATTTTCTTGACTATTTTTTTCCTTTGCCATAATATATTTTGAAAGATCCATTTCAAAAGGAAAGGTGACCTCTGTTGAGATTTTAGAGCAATGATTTGCTCTCCATCTAAATCTTTTGAGTACTATACATAATACATTTGGAAGAGAACTGAGAGAGAATTGTTTTTGGGCATCTTGTAAGTCTTTACAGTTTTCACATCGATAAATCTTTCCTTCTAGGGTCTCTGTTTTAATTAAAAATTTCAAACAATCTTCAAGTGAACAGACAGATGATGCTGACGACGACGACGACGATTGAGCACCTCTACCATTCTCTGTTGGTTGTGCATTTTTGGCTGACGCTGCTGTTGCTCTTCGACTCTTTTTGGGTGTCGGTGGTTGAGGAGCCGGTATATCCAGAGTCAGTTCTAAAAATGGTTCGATTCTTGAAAATCGACTGTTACACTTGAGACAAGTAATTTCGCTTTGTAATTTTCCTTGGAATAATTTGGAAACTATATCATCTTCCTTTTTCTTTTCCAATCCATTTTTTATAGATGATTCAACCAATGTTGGTGAAGTTGAAACTGGAATATTCTCTCTATTCTCAATATTATGATCATTATTATTATTATTATTTTCTTCATTATTCTTGTCATTATTATTATTATTATTTTCAGAGATTGATTGTAATAAAGGTGGTGGCGGTGACGGTGGTGGTGGTATCAATGTCATTTGATCAATTGATTCTTCTTGTTTGAGTTGTAATTGTTCTTGTTGTTCTTGATGTTCTAAAGATTCTAGATGATTATTATTATTAGAGTTTATATGATTATTATTATCTATTTTCATTAGTTGCTCATCATCACTCCTACTACTTTCATTTGTTTTAGAAGTTCTATTTTTCTTTCTAGTGGTGAATGGTCTATATGATTTTTGCACTGTTTCAATGGATGATCTCTTTTTGGTTCCTTGAGATGATTTTTTATCGTCGTCATCTCCATTGTTTTCATTATTATTGTTATTGTTATTTTTCTCCAATTCTATTGATATACAATCCAAAAGATAGGAAAAAAACTCTTGAGCATCTTGTTGTTGATAATTTTTAAACTTTGGAATAAACTTCCAAACCGATTCGAGTAGGGATGATGGAGTCACTACACTCCACTTGCCCGACCACAATACTCTAAATAAATAATGTAATTGTATACTAAATGATCTAAAGAAGTGTGAAAAGAAACATCTATTAAAATCCAATCATCTTTGTACTACTATTTTGACTTTGTTCAATCTTTCTTACAAATCTGATAAATTTGAATTTGAATTTGATGATCTTTGTTTTTTCATAAGATTTAAACAGTCAATGGTAGAATGTCTCTTGATACTAGAAAGTGGATCCACTGAGACTGTGTTGCGCAATTGAACGAAAAAGGTTCTAAACTCGGGTATATTGCTAAGAGATTGCAAGATGGTGTTCATAAAGCAGGTGTTGCCAAGATTACGCAATCCTGTGACACCGGGTATGATTCCATTCTTTTTAACGGGTGAAGATGCCACCTTGCTCATGAGATAGGTTGATGAATAATTTTTGTTACTCGAAGGTGGTTTGATGGCATGTGTTGATGGTGAAAGTTCTAGATTATTTGATTCCAATAGAGGTGATGGTGGTAACATTGAGTGCGACGATGATGGAGATGATGGAACATTCATATTTGATGCTGCCAAATTTGATGGTGATCTATCATATTGTTCTTCCAAACAATGACCATGACTACTATTATCATTTTCTGAAATCATAAGAGTAGGTATTAACGCAGATGAGGAGGAGGAGGAAGAGGGTGGTGATGATGATGAAGATTCTGATAATTCCTTTTCAAAATTGAGTCGTTTACATATATTATAATGGTCTACTGACGATGGTAATACGTCGTCGTCGAGATCTTCATCAATGCCGGCAGATGAAATGGAAGGTGAGGAAAATGGTGAGGTGGATGATGATCGGTCAGCTGATGATGAATGGTTGCTGCTTCTAGAGGGTGTTAAAATCGATGAATTATCGGGTATCGTAATTGAATATAGATTAGGGTCTTGACAATTATTATTATTATTGTTATTGATATTTCGAGTACGTTGCAATTGTTGTTGTTGTAATAGATAATGAGTTGGAATAAAGTTTGGTGGTGGCATTAGAGAGGAAATCGATTTCCTCTCTTTAATGATATCTTTCCAAACTGAAAAGAATCGTCTGGTAAGAGACATTTGGAAATGGTTTAATGCAGTCTCTTCGATATCGTCTTGACATATGGTTTGCTCGACATTGTCAGAAGTGGTAACAACACGTGATTTTAGAGACTCGAATGCAGTGTTGTATACAATCTGACGAAGCACTTCAATGTCGCCAGACGCATTATCATTGCGCACAAAATTCTTGCATTGGAAGCAATAGCAGTTTTTGTACTGCTGGTGTATCTCTAGTGCCAACGGATGACCCGTCTCTCTGAAATGCTGTTGCATGTGTTTTTTGAATGTGCAACATCCAATCATACCACACGTCAGACATATCAATATATCCTGTGTCGACAATGGCACGTTGCAACCACCACATTTCCAATGCACAGTATCAAACAATTTGTCCTTGCACTGATCCATCTTTAAATACTTTAAATGTGTACAACGAACAAATCCCAAACTTGCAAAATGTATATCTTCTTCATCATTATTGGTTTCTTCTTCTTCTTCTCCTCCTCCTCCTCTTCTTTGTTGTTGTAATAATAATAATTGATTTTGATTATTATTATTATTATTATTATTATTATTACTATTATTTTTTTGTTGAATATGATGATGATTTGGTAATAAAGACAATGAAGATCTATTATGTAAATGATCATTGATTCCATTCTCCAATTTTAATGTTGCACTACCTCTACGTGTCTTGGTAGAGAATGCAGGAGGTACAATAAACTTTCCATTCAATTTTCTTTCTGGTTCTGATTCAGATGATTCAAACTCGCTTGACTCTTCCTCCTCTTCTTCTCCCTCTCCTTCCTCTACTTCTTGCTCTTCTCCAGTTGAATCATGTGATTGTACTGCCTCTGCTTCTTCTTTTCTTCGTCCCTTGTAAGATGAAGGCGAACCCTTTTTTCCTCCTCTCCGACTACTACTATTATTCCTTGCAGCTGATGTCGTTGTTGCGCTTGCAGCTGCCATTCTCTTTCTAGTAGGCATCAGCGGAGGTGATATAGGTGGTGAACGCTTGGTTGTAGCTGCTGATGTTGCTGCTCCAACCTCCATATTCGTCGTAATATTATTGCTATTATTATTGATAATATTCTTTTCTTCTTCTTCTTCTTCTTCTTCTTCTTCTATTTCTTTTTGTTGTTCTTTTAAACTGGTATCATCGTCGTGGTTGTCGTTGCCGTTGTTGTTATTGTTATTTTGGTGATGAACGATATCGTTTGAATCAAATATAGTTGAATGGATTCGATCAGGTGCTATGATGACAATGCTTCTTATGGTAGTTGTTTGTCTGCTACTTTTGGATTTACTACGAGTTTGCATAATAAATATTTTTTAGTGTCTTGTGCTACTACTAACAACCTAAACTAAAAACTAACATCAACAGACATACAACAACTCTAAAGATTCCCTATTTTCTTGTAGATTGATGGTCCGTCTGTCCGTCTGTCTCTGTCTATGTGTTTATATATGTATATATATGTATATAAAGTAAAGTAAAGTAAAGTATACAGAAATAAAAATAGGAAGATGAAATGCGACAGCAGGTGGTGGTGTCATCCAATGTCAGACACCAAGCTTTTCGAATCACCTGATGCTTTTATTCATTTTTTTTTTCAAAACAACCACTGAGTCTGGCTCACATATTCACTTTTAACTCGCGAGAGAGATAAGACAGAGATAATATATATTATCTATATCACTAATACAGATATTTACTTTTATTTAATGAAAATATGCTATGATGATATCATGATGATGATGGTGATGATTAGTAGATAAGATCTACCCCCTCAAAAAAGAAATTGAAAGGATGGAGATGACATCATTTTGATAAAGAGAGAGATAAAGAGAGATTTCACACACGCTTTCTTCTCATAGTGCAGTGGCGCATCTTTGTTCTACAAAGCTCGTCAAAATTGACTTTTTAAGGGTTGCTCTTTCCCATTGTCCCAACTTCATTCTCCTGCTCGATTTGTTTTTTTTTTAATAACATAACTGATTTAAATATTTTAGTTTGTTATTATTTGTATTTTATTATTATTATTACTATTTATATGATATATATAGAAGTAGATATAGTAGATAGTAGATATTAAGGAGATAAGATGAGCAAATACGATATGACAGTCGAAAGTGGCGATGCTGCAGTCGTCGACAACGCAGACTCGTCTGACCAACAAGGAGGAGGAGGAGGAGAGGTCGACCAAGAAGAGTTGTCAAGACAAAGAATCAAAAAGAGAAAGGATGAAGCAAAGAGAATCATCGAAGAGAGAAAGAGACGTGAAGCTCAACAACAACAACAACAAGATGGAGATGAAGATAATACAACATCAGCTGCTGTTCAACCACCAAAGAAAATTGTTAGAAAACAACAACCTGTACAACAACAACAAGCTGTAGATAACGATGAAGAAGAGGAAGAGGAAGAAGAAGAAGTACCAAAGACAAAGAAAAAGGTTATCAAACAACAACAACAACAGTCACAACAACCAAATGTTAGAGAGGATATGGTCAAACGTGCATATGCATTCTTGAGTAATCCAAACGTACGAAATACAGCACTTGGTAGAAAGGTTGCATACCTTGAAAAGAAGGGATTGACTACTGAAGAGATTAAAGAAGCTTTGAAGCGATTCGAGTCTGGGTCTGGTGCTAGTGGAAGTGGTTCATCATCGTCTACAACTGGAGTATCGTCATCATCATCATATGACAACCAAATTACACCTGCATCGGTGACTAATACTGGTAGAGGTGTAGTTGCAAGAGGTGGTGTTCGTAACAATAATAACAATAACAACCAACAACAACAACAACAATACAACCAACAACAAGACAACAACTATCAACCACAAGTACCACAACCACCTCCACAATACAACCAACAACAACAACAACAAATGTACTATCCACAATCATCTGCTCAACACCTGTACCAAGCCAGCAACACATTCTCATGGGGTAACATACTCTTGTCTGTTACTGCTTTGGTGGGTGTCGCATCGGGTCTTGCATACCTCACGTCAAACTACATCATGCCATACTTTCGTCCACCAAAAAAGGACCAGGAAGCATCAAAGAATGAAAAGAAGATCCAAGAACTACAAGAACAACTCCAACAACTCCAAATTGCCATTGCATCGCAATCCAAAGACATGTTGGAACCAATCAAAGCACTCATGGAACAAAATGCCGCCAACAACAAGACCACTGAAATCGATGATATTCGTAAAGAATTGAAATCACTTACTGCTTCCATTGCTTCTTTAAATCAACAACAACAACAACCAAACAATAATCATAATCATAATCATGGTCATGGTCATAGTCATAATCATGGTAGTGGCCATGGTAGTGGTAGTGGCAGTGGTAGTGGTAGTATTCATTCATCAAGCGAGGATATTCAACCACCACAACAACAACAATCTCCACATATTAAATCGACAGCTCCAAGAACAAAGTTGGCAGCACCTCCAGTCGTAATGAATAATCCATACTCTAATCTATCTTGGAAACCATCAACTGAGACACCACCAGCCATTCCATCTTGGCAACAAAGATCTACTCCAAGTCCAGTCAATATTACATCCAATAATTCAACTTCAACCTCTACTACTAGCACCAGCACAACAACATCTTCACCAACCAACAACAACAACGTATCACCATTTGGAACACCAACCAAGAAACGTGATGAATCACAACTAATGTCAACCGTAGGAACTTACAATCCACCACAACCTATTCAAAAGCCATTTGACTTCAATACTCCAACTCCATACACTAGCACTACCAATAATAACAAACCATCATTTGATTTTAATACTCCAACTACACCATCATCAACATCAACTACATCTTCTTATAATCCACCAAAACCAATGCCACTCCCAACCAATGGTGATGATTTAGACACAACTACTAGCACCTCCACCACATCGACTACTAGTACCTCCACCACATCGACGTCAACCGAAAAGAAAGCAGAAGATATTCCATATTCTTCTGATTTTGTAGACATTATCAACCAATTGAAACAAGGTAAAACTCCACCAGGAATTAGATCAGATATTAATGATAGTCCAATTCCAAATGGTCAAATTAACAAGTCTGCCAAAGAAAGACCATTAAAGCCATGGGAAAAACAACAACAACAACAACAACAACAACAACAACAAACTACTACTTTAGAACAACCATCATTGGAATCTAATAATATTAATAACGAACCATCTACCAGCACCTCCACAACAACAACTTCATCGACTGTTGTTGAAGAACAACAACCATTAACTTCAAATACCCAAGAAGAAACTAATACTACTACTACTTCTGAAGAACAACAAGACAATATTGAAACTGTTCCAGGTGTTGAAGAAATAAATAATTAAAACCGAAATATATTATTATTCCAACAAACAAAATACAAATACTAAAAATAGAATATAATATAAAGAGATACACATTTATATTTGTTTTGATTTTAATTTGGTTTATTTTTATTCATTTCCATTTATTTTATTTTTATATATTGTAACAAAGATTTAAAAATTTTGAGTACATTAGATAATTTAGAAAACTCTTGGGATGAAAACGTATGGGACACGACGACAGTATTCCTTCCAGTCATCACCATACTTTTCAAGACAGGCACGGTGATCACGGTGACAACGATGGAGATCCAAGGTGGTGAAATAGAGACCGTAGAAATATGGAGCAACAGAGTCGAAACCACATGGCAAACACCAAGCCCACGAGAGGATGATATCACCGGTGTAGTTGAGATGACGGCAGACACCCCAGAAACCAGAGACGAGGAGCTTGGTACCACGCTTGGTAGAGATGTATTCGGCACGCTTACCCCAGATTGGAGCCTCTGGGTTACGACGGAAGGAGTGCTTTTGGGAGTTGACCCAACGGAAGAGGTAGAAACCAAAGGCCTTGAGAGCGAGGACACCGGCGGCATAGGCGTAGGAGATCATCATTGGTTGACCGTTTTCGAGATGCTTCAACAAGTAGTAGCATTGGAAACAATAGGTGAATGGGACCCAGGCGAGATCACCATAGACGAGCATGTAACCAAACTTCTCGGTGATGATATCCATGGTGGTGAGGATAGCTTCTTCGTGGTAGTAGTAGTCGGCAATGTACCAAAAGTGGAAGGCACAGACGAGCATGGTCGAGATGGAGACGAATCCGTAGAGCTCGAATTGCTTGGCGGCGATCGAGAAGTTCATGAGTACCCAGAGGATGAGACCTGGACGAGCTTCACAGAAGAGCTTGAGATCAAAGGAACCGATACGTGGGTTACGAGCAAAACCCATCCAGTAGTCGTAGAAGAAGTAGCCAGACATACGCTCTTCTTCGCCCTTGAGGACGGCTTGGATCTTGAGGAGGAAGGTGAAGACGAAAGACCAGAGGTTGACGACGGTGAGCATTGGACCATAGTTGTCGTAGAGGATGGTTGGCTTGATCAAACCAGTGTACGAGACGACGACGGCGAGGACGATGGTGATCCACCACGAGGCCCAACCGTTGAGGACGTATGGGAGACGCTTGCCACCTGGGAGTGGGGAGCCGAGGACACGACGACCTGGGACAAAGTGTTGGAGGGCGGCTTGGAAGAAGAACCAGGCAAAGTAGATGATGGTGGCCTCCTTGGTTGGGTAGGCGTGTTCCATGACGATGTTGTAGAGGTTGACAAAGAAGGCTTGGATGCCGGCGACGTTCCATTCGGCTGGACGCAACAAGTAACCGTTGTTGAGATGGATCGAGGCCCAGATCCAGTAGACGAGGACGGGCAAACAGAAAATGAGGAAAGTGGTGCCGATGAAGCCACCAAATTCATTGGCGGGGGCTGGCTTTTGGAGTTCCTCGAGTTCTTGACGTTGCTTCTCGGTGAGACCAGAGTCTGAAAAGTCGACGTCCTTGGACGACTCCTTCTTGGTTGGAGTACTAGGGTTGTTGGTACGTTGTTTGGTTGACATTCTCTCTTTTTGTTTATATAAAATTATACTTTGTGTTTGGGCAAAGTAGAGATTCTCGTAATCTTTGTTCGAAGAGAAAGGTGAAACAAAAAAAAAAAAGAAGAATAACTTTTGTTTCAAAGCGGTCGTCTCACCTAAAACACACGATCAGACGTCTGAACATAAAAAAATTGAAAAAAAACTATTATCAAAAAAAATTCAAAAAATTGGCTACTTCAAAAAATATCTTCACAAAAAGAGAAGAGAGATCGAAGTTCCCGCGCTTTGGTCAAAACATGTTTTTTGAAGTGTATCAGAGAGGCAAGCACTCCCCCTTTGTTTTTATACTTGTATAATAAAAACAAATTCGGTTAACTGATCGCGACGAAGGAAAAAGATCGCCTGATGAAATATTTGGGACCTGGTTGATTTAATTAATAAATACAAACATACTAATAATATAATAATAAAAATAAAAAAAAAAATTTATCAGTACTAATAAATACTTTAATTTTCTGATGGTTGTACTTTTTAAAAGAGGTGTCTGTGTGAAACCAACCATAGTCATCATCATTATTATACTTGTGTGGGTTAAATGAGATATCTTTCGAATGCGCGCCAAAAAATAAAAAATAGAGAAGAGTATAACAAACACTTACACTTTTTGAATATTTGAAGTTGTTTGTTTGTTTGTTTGTTTGTCATCACCTACTATTACTATTACATACTTAAAGAAACTATACATACATGTAAAATAAAAGAGAAAAGTTATTTAACAACAACAACAACAACAATCAATAATTAAAAATTAGAAAACATTGTCATCATTCAGCTGATTGAATTGTTGATTGTAGATAGATCAAAAAGAGATTAGTTATTTCTCTCTCTCTTTCTCTCTCTCTCTATCATCATATATATTATATTTATATACTGCTCCCATCAAAGACAATTGTAAAAGATGGTTGGTAGATTTAAAAAGAAGGTGAAAAAACAACACCGACAAGTAACAGACAATGGATCAGAGGACGTGCTGGAGGAAGAGGAAGAGGTAGAGGGTACCATCGATAGCGATTGTGAGGGTAACAACAATGACCATCACAGTGATAGTGATAATGAAGGTGACCAAATTGAAGAGTCACATAAACCATCGTGTCCTCCGACTCCGACTCTTCCCTCATCTTCCAAAAAAAAGATTGCATCATCGGCAAAACCAACACCTTCAAGGGGAAAGAAAGGTACAGGTAGACGAATAAATAAACCAATACCATTCAACTTACCAACAATGGAATGTGATGGAAATGGTCATCATGATGGAAATGGAGAATCACAAGAAAATGGCCAACAACAAGATGACACGGAAATGGGCGATAACCAACCAATCAGTGGAGTAGAGGGTGAAGATGGTGATGATAATACACCAACAGTTCCACCATTCTCAATGGACAATATAAACAAACAACTATTAATTATTAGTTCAGAGGTTCCTGAAGATGACTATGAAAATGTTATGAAGGAATCTCAAGAAGTATTGGTCATTCTACCAGATGAAGAGAAAATCAACAATAATAATAATAATACAAATGGAAAAAACAAAACTTTGACTAAACCAACATCAACTACAACAAAACCATCATCAACAGGAAATGTCAAAGTTACTACTGGAAATGGAAATAATCAACAACAACATCATCATCATCACAACCACCAACAACTCCCAAGTGAAAGACAATATAGTCAACGATACAAATATTTAAAGAGTAATGATGATGCACTTCATAAACCATCATACCGAGAGTTGGAAGAGAATTTCCAACCTCCTTTTCAAAAACCACCAAATTATATTATTTATAAAGGTTCGAATCATGGAAACACAAATATATCTATTATATATATAATAATACTTATTTATTTATTATTTATTTTTTTTGTAGAAAAAACAAATGAAGAACAAAATGAAATGGTTGAATATGATATGGATAGCGAGGATGAAGAATGGTTGACAGAATATAACAAATCATCAAATACTATATATACAGAAGATGATTTTGAAGCTGTCATTGATCGTTTGGAAAAGGAAACATTTGAATACAAACAATCGATTGGTAGTGATATGTTTCCTCATTTTAGTAGTTCAGAGGCAGAGGATGTATGTTCGGTTTGCTTTGATGGTGCATCAGATGACACAAATCAAATTGTATATTGCGATGGTTGTGATATTGCAGTTCACCAAGAATGCTATGGTATTCGTCTCATTCCAGAAGGTCATTGGTTTTGTCAACGTTGTGAATCTCCTTTAAAATCTAAAATTGTATGAAACCATCATTTGAGTGTAATCAATCAATCAATAATAATTATAATAATAATCAATTAATTAATTTTTTATTTTTTATTAAAGGAATGTGTATTATGTAAAAAATCAAATGGAGCATTAAAACAAACAGTAGATGGAGAATGGTCACATTTAGTTTGTATATTAAATATGCCAGAGATTAATCGAATTGCAGTGTTGGGCACTGGAAAAGATAGGGTTGGTCCAGCTGGACTGTTTTCACATATACCAAAGCAACGGTTCAAGTTGTTGTGTTATGTATGTCGTAAAAAGGGAGGTGCCTGCATTCAATGTCGACAGAGAAGTTGTGCAGTTGCATTTCACGCCTATTGTATTAAAAAGAAACAAAAATCAAAAATACTAGAAAATCCAACACCTCATATAATTTATTGTAAAAAACATGTATGTAAACTAAGAGGATATTATTATTATATAGGTATAGTATATTAATGTTGGCGGTTGTTATTTAATTTATAGTTTAGTAAAAATCATAAATCAAAAGATCCACCAGAAACTATAAAAGATATTTCAGAAGATAGTTCAGATGATGAAAAGGAAGAAGAAGAAGAAGTAGAGGAAGTAGAGGAGGAAGAAGAAGAGGAAGAAGAAGTGGAGGAGGAGGAGGAAGAAGAAGAAGAAGAAGTTGAAGATCAAGAAGAAGAGGAAGAAGATCATATTGTACAGACACCAACAAAAAAAGGTAGGGGAGGGAAAATAATAATATCAACACCAACTAGAGGTAGAGGACGACCTCCCAAATTCCCTTCTGGCGCTAGATCACCGAAAAAACCAGCGACAGTACCAACAACACCAACTCGGGGTAGAGGAAGACCTCCAAAATTAACAAGAGGTCGTGGAAGAGGGAGAGGAGGAAGAGGGGCAAGAGGAGGAAGAGGAGGGTTATCTTTGAGAACACCAACCAAAGAAAAAACTCCACCATCACCAAGATTAGCAGCCAAAAAATTACAACAACAACAACAACAAGAGAAACAACAACAAGACGAATCTGATTCTGATAAAGATGATAAAGTACAACCAAAAGTATCAATTACATCAATGGCAGAGAAAACAGGAATCACAGCTAAAAAAGCAGACTTGATATCACTCAAAAAGGCATTGGCAGCGATCAAGTTCCCGTCTGCCACATTTGTAAAGTCAGTCTATGAGTTTTGGGTGAAAAAGAGACTTTCTCGAAGTGGTCTGCCTCTTATCAAGCGATTCCAACCATCAATTTTGTACAGTCTGCGTTCGACATTGCAGAGCCAGGACAAGGGAGAAAACACCATCCTTCATTTCAAGTACCTCATTCATCTTCGAAAGGATTTGGAGCGTGTTCGTACCATCCTCGATATCATTAGAAAGCGTGAAAAGTTTAAGCGCGATTACTTGACCAATCTCAAACAGATTTTCGACTTGTTTGTCGACACTACACACCACTACTACCAGTTTCAAGTCATTGTCGATACACTCATCGATGTCGACATGTTTGAATCTTTTATACACCCAGTGACAGAGGCACAAGCACCCAACTATTTTTCAATCATTCAAAATCCAATCTGTCTAACCAACATTCACAACAAACTTAAATTATATCGTTATGACAATGATTGTGATCATGTTGATGATATTATAAGAACTTCAAATGATTTTTGGGATGACCTAAGGTAAACAAAAAATAATAATTAATATTCAAGGTTTATTTATACTTACTGTAATATTTCTTTCTATTTTTTTTAGATTAATTTATACAAATGCACAAAAATATAATAATTCAAAATCAGTGGTTTATAAATCCTCTGTAATACTACAAGATATAATCAAAGTATTACAAGAAGGTTTCCAAAACAACCCACAAATTTCAAAGTTGGAGATTGAAAAGATTATCAATGATGGTGTAACACAACCACCTCTAAAGAAAACGCCAACAAAACTTCTTACTCCAATCAAAACCAATTCAGCAACAACACCAATGGTCGTTGTACCCAAGTCACCAGCTAAATCACCAGCTAAAGCACCAATCAAAACACCAATTAAAACTCCTACCAAAGCACAAAATGAAGAACCAACAACGACCACATCAACTACAACGACAACTTCTTCTTCAGACACTTCGCCATCATTTAAGCCATTATCGGCACGAAAGAAAACACCAACAAATACTTCTACTACTAACTCACCATCAGATACTCATACAACCACATTGGCACCGACCACGCCGTTCAAGACTCCAACCAAACAATCAAAAGATGATGATGATGGTGATGATACCGCTGGTCGTGATGAGGGAATTCAGGTCACAGTTGTGACCAAAGAATCTCCAGTCCCCTCACCAATCGCAAACTTTGTTCCATTCACCAAGAGATTTAAATCACCATCATCAACGACGACGACCACCACAACATCTACAACCTCTACAGTCCAATCATCACCAGCCAAAGACAATGATACTACTCCAACCAAACCAGTAACAAGGGCACAAACAAAACAATCACCAGCCAAATCGACTGCCAAACCCCCCAACAATAATAACAACAACGGTACAATCAATATCAATTCACCTGGAAGAAGAAATATAGGAAGAGGTGTAAATGGATTATTCGCCCAAACATCAATACTTAACTTCTGTAAACTTTTACCCAAAAATCATTCATCTACCATTTCTACACAACAAGTTTTAAATAATATTGAAAAAAAAAGTAAACGTAAATAAGGTCATTTGGATATATACTAAAAAATAAATGAAATGAAAATGGTTAATGGATATGGAATCATCACACCCTTTGAAATTAATTTCTTATTCTTTTTTTTCTTTATCTTTTAATTTAATCACCAGCCAAATCGACTCCATAACCCAACAACAATAACAGCAATCGATCACACATTGAAATTTTTTATTATTTATTATTCTTCACTAGTAGGAGTTTTACTTTATATACAATAGGAAACCTTCAAGCTTGAAACTTGGATTAGTAACGTGGATGAAACGGGAAGGTATCTTGACCAGTGTGATATAATGGAGTGCCATTTTCAATAAAATTGTTGTCAAAAGGTTTGGGTGGTGGTCTTAATCTCTCTCTCTCTTCGTATGCTTTTACACAAATTTCGAAACATTTGACTTGCTTAGCTATATCGGGAAAGTATTCCTTCTGGCAGTCTTCAATACATAGTTGGCCTTTTTCGTCTATTTTTTCATAATACAATACTGTACCAAGACCTTGTCCAGAAACCAAATTAGTTAATAATACTATAAGGAAAATAAGAACTAAAGTTTTTTCCATTTTTCTTTATAAATATTTAAAATAAGCTTAAATAAATATTAGAATTTTAAAGAATAATAAATTATTTATAAGTGCTGTTAAAACTTACGACCTGAAGTTAAAATAATTAGTTGAAGAAGTTGAACTTGTAAATTACAAATAAATGGGGGAAGATCCATTTAAGATGTCGCTGATGACCATTATTAATTAAAATTAATTGAAATAAATTAATAATGATAAGGGTTGTAGATGCATACATATTGGACACAAACAATAGAGTGTACAATGGTGCACACCTAGTTGTGTTTTATTTAAATTACATACACCCATATCAATGTGGTAAAAACACTTGTGTAGTCTACCAACTTTTTATTGATCGAATAGATGAGTTTCCAACTTAAATCTTTATTTGTTTCAAAAACATATCTTTAATAAATAAATCTTTAAAATCCTCTAGAACATTGCCAATACAGATTGAAAAATAAAGTAAACTTAAATAATGTTATGAAAGAAAATGGTTAATGTATATGAATAATGCAGCCCCTTTTAGAAATTAATTTCCTGCTCTCTTTTTTTTTTCTTTCTTTATTTATTACAAATAGTTTTACATTATTTTTATTATAATTTAAATAATTGTGGATTATGTCCACATATGTGTTTGTGTTGTGTGTGTTTTAAAAAAGGCCTTTTATATTATTATTATTCAGTTGATAATGAAGAGGAAGAGGATGCTAAATCTGGTAGAGGAGGCAGTGAAGGAAGTTTGGGGACCTCTGGTAGAGGCTTATTTCTGACCAATAATTTCCAGTCTTCGTATGTCTCGACAACCAAAGGTTGATCCTTGTTGTTGTTGTCTTTGGTGTTGTTGTTTGCATTGTTCTTTTGATTCTCCAAATCCTCCTTTTCTTTTTGTTCTACAAATTTCTTGTATTCATTCTTAAGATTGGTTTCTATAAGTTGATCGATTTCATTGTACAATGATATTCTAGTTTCCTCATCATCAAGAATAAACATCCAAACTTCTTTATTTGAATAAATGATCTAGATAATAATAGAAAAGAATTATTAGAACAAATATAAAAGAATTAATATTGTTGTACTTACTTCAAAAGCATTTGGATCTGTTGGAACATCTCTAATAATACATGAATCCAATGGTATATAGGCTCTTAGTTTTAATGGGCAATTTGGATCGGTGGCAGATGGTACGTCAGTCATGATGCCTCCACTCTTGTTGGGTGTACCCCAAATCAAAAGATCGTTAAACAAAAAGTAACAACCCTCTTTGGCCTTTTTATAGTACTGAGTAGATGTATTGCCTGGAATAAAATATCCCATCGAATCAATCACACCTTCCTTGGCAAGTTTACGTGATGGTGCTAGAATGGTCTTTTCCATTTCAATATCACTTTCTACAAATCTGCTTTGGATTTCATACATTCTCATTTGTCCATCAAACTCTCTCTTCTTTTCATTGATTGTTGCTACAATTGATTCAATTTTTGTCTGTGCCACCTTTAACATTGAATAAGATTTATGATTTTCTGGTGTTGATTTTAATAATTCCTAAAAATAAATAAATAAATATACAAAGCTTTGAACATTTTGAATGGATCATTATGGATTCACATACTCTAATTAAAAGTGGATATTTGCAAGCACGTTGGATAGGTTTAATTAAAAAGCTATCAAATGGTAAAGATCTACATTCTCTTCGAGATAATAAATAACCCAAATAACTACAATTTTTTCCTCTAAGGTTGGTAAAGGTTGACAATGCTTTGGTTTGATTACTACAATATACAAAATAGGATTTTAAAAATTCAGACTAAATAAATAAATAAAAAAAAAGAATATAATTAGTATTAAATTATTATTACTATTAATTATTATTTCATTGTCATACCATTGAAGCTAAAGCAATAGCAATGGCTTCACCAAAATCATTGGTATCAGGAGGAGGTTTACAAAATTCGCTATATAACATTTTGTTTACCATGATTAATTGTTCGACATTACTAAACAATGCATTGATTTCATCGATTGAGCTGTTTTTGGATTGTTCGTCTTGGTGGACGAGTTCCTTTCTCAACCACACCATGATTTCCAAGTCTCTAATGTAATCGGCCTCTGTAACGATAAATTCGGAAACAACACGTGAACGTTGATCGGTTGCTGGTGGAAGAGCGGGGAGGTCGGGTGGTGGTTGGGGTACAGATAGACGGGAACTGCCAAGAACAAAGGAGGATTGGCTTGGTGAATTAGAGTGGCTGATGGAAACTGTGGCTGGACTGCTGCCTCCGGCAGGACTACCATTCTCTTCATAGATTTGACTGATTCTATTGGTTGCAATGAGAACTGATTGTTGGGAAGGTGAGGATGGTGCCATCGAGGCAGAACTTGCCAATAGATCCTTTTCGGATTTTTGGTGTTCATTTCTTTTGATTGCCCATTTTCTTAGTTGTGGGCCACCACCTTGAGAAGAATCACATTCATCACCACTTGCATGAGCTTCATCGCCAGCTGCAAATGTGACTGGAGTGGATGGTCTGTCGCCTCCTCCTGAATTCTGCAAAGAAGGTGAAGAAATGACAAATTCATCAGATGATGGATTATACTCTTTATCTTTGTCACCTAGGATAAAACTAAAGAATCGAGAACGTCCATGTGCAGGACTAGTATTATACTTTTCTCTCTCCTTTTTCTTCTTTTCCAAATCTTTGTTTCGTACATCTGAGAATGTCAATTTGGGAGACGATGGAATATCCTCGTCATCAGATACATTGCTGTGATTCAACGACGATGAACTATGGCTATTACTATTGGTAATGGCAGTGTCTATACTATTGTTACTACCCGATAATCTAATTGAAATGGAATCTGATCTCTCGCGTTCGTTGGCCACCTCTTCTCGTTCTTGTAGTTTTCTTTCCTTTTCTTGTTGTTTTCGTAACTTTTCCTTTTCTCTTTCTTCCTTGTCTTGTTTGGCCTTTACACCCTTTTCCTCTCGATCTTTTTCCTTTTGTAGTTGTCTTTCTGCTTTGGCTCGTTCCTTTTCAGCTATCTTTTCCTTGTCTCTTTCTTCTTTTTCGTGTTGCATCTTTAATCTTTCGCGTTCCACCTTTTCCTTTCTCTCTTTTTCAATAAGACGTAGTTTCTCCCTATCTCTTTCATCTCGTTCACGATCCAATCGTTGTTTTTCCATATCTTGTTTCTCGCGCTCTGCTTGTGATCGATCAAACTTTTCCTTTTCCAACTTTTGTAAATTATCCATTGAGTTTTGTGTCTTTAAATGTGCTGGTTTCTTTGGTAATTCTGGTGGAGCCAATGAAGAGGAAGAAGATGAAGATGAAGATGAATGATGTGAAGTAGGAGGTGGTGGTGCAGGAGGTGCAGATACTGACTTTTTATGAATGACAGTGTGATCCCTATCCTTTTGTGCACCCATTGTCAATGACTTTGGTGATGTTACGTGTACACTATGACCATTTGTGGTTGGAGGTGTTGGCATTGGTTTGACAACTGGTGCATGCATGTCTCCATTAATCACCTTGACCTCTGACTGCACCTTGTGATCGAGTGTATCTCTACTCTTGATTGCATTCTTTACAAATGATCCTCCAGGTGTAACCATTGGTTTACTATCAACACTTGCCGATGATATGGTATGAGATTTTGGTCTATTACCACCGTTAGCACCAGCACCATCAATCTTTGTTTCTTTTAACTTTACAGCCAAGAATGATTCTGATGGTGTTGTTGTCGTTGTTGTTGTTGATGGAGTTGTTGTTGTAGTGACAGGTGGTTTTGGAGCAGGTCTCAAAGTACCTCCTCTATTTGGTATGGTTGGAGCTGCTGAAGTACTTGTAGTGGTCGTCGTCGTTCCAGATGAACCAAGTGATGGAGGTGTTTTATATGATACTGAAAATGATCTAGATGTTGATGTTACAGGTGTTGTTGTTGTAGTTGTAGTTGTAGTTGGTGGTGTTGTCTTATTGATTCTTAAAGTAGAACCTCGTCCACCAGAACCAGATGATACAAGTGGTGCAGTTGTAGTGGTAGTAGTACTACTACTACCTGTCGTAGGTGGTGGAGTTGGTAGTGGCTTGGATGCTGCTCCATTAGCACCACTACTACTAGTAGATGCCGTTGATGATATTACAGGTGCAAGTTTTAATGTTGATTTTGAAGTTACTGTAGTACCAGTAGTCTTTGCAGGACTAGCTGTGGTAGTAGTAGTCTTTGCAGGACTCGTTGTGGTGGTAGCAGTCTTTGCAGGACCACCAGCTGTAGTGGTAGCAGTCTTTGCAGGGCTACTACTACTCGTAGTAGTCCCCAAGCTATTACCACACGACACACAAAACCTTGCAGTCACTGCATTAACCTTTGCACATGAACCACAAGATTTAGACATCCTCTCTATCTTCTCTCTATTTGTCTTTTATAATCGTTACTTTCTAATATTATTATTTGAATAAAGGAGAAGAACAATCAATCAGCTATGGAATGTTGTTTGATGAATAAACGATGATGATACAATGTGGATGATGGTGATAGAAATAAATAAAATTACAGTAGTAGTAGTAGTATTGGTATTAGTGTTGGTGGGTGTTTAATAAACGTGTGAAAGAGCAAAACCTGATTATCAGAAAGAATTGACCATAGTTGTCTTTCATGGTGTAAAAAAAAAATCGATGACATCGTTTGGGGATCAACTGAAACCCACTCACCACTCAGGTGGTATAAATAATTTTGATCAGATTAAACCGGTTAGATCTAAATATATTTTTATATTTATATATATATATTCACACACATAATAAATTATTTGATGTAACTCCCAAAAATGCACGAATTCAAGGATAGTATTAATTAATTACCACTGCTCTCAGTATTACTGTTTGGGTGATTATGGGAATGCACCCTTTTCATTTTTTGATTGCCTTTTTTGATGGATTGCAATGAAGTTGAAAGAAATACTACACTGATTATATTCTTTGTACAAAGATAGATAGATAGAATAGATATAGAATATAGATAATAATGCAAATAGACGAAGAAGAAGATATATTAAAGAGAAGATTATTGCTAAGAGAGAATGCAATCAAGAGAGTCTTTAAAAAATATTTACAGTTTATGTCTGCAACTGCTGACAACTCTAGTAATCCTCAATCAATAGAGACATGGTATGGTATTACTTAGTAGTTAGTAGTAGTACTACTAAAATGACAGTGATACTAACAACCGATCTTCTTGTTGTTCAATCATCATCATCATCATCATCATCATCTTAAGTCAAAATGCATATCATTCATTTATAAGAGAATTATCATCATTGGAATTACAAATACAGAAATCGACGGTCATATCAGAGATTAATCAAAACGAATTAAAATACTATGATGAATTGTACAGCAAGAGAGAAGAAGAGATTGAAAGTGTAAAAAAGGAAATCCAAGAGTTAAAGACTCGTTTAATATACGAAAAGATTCAGAGACAGTACAAAGAACAATATCTAGCTCTCTACAAACTAATCAATGAAAAAAATACGACAGACCAAACCGAAAAGGAGATACAACAAGTAAAGAAAGAGTTGGATGCCATCTTGGATCAAAACGACACAACATCGGCAAAGCTGGATTTACGTTCCAAACAATTCCAACTATTACTACACACCGTTCAAGAGTTGGAAAAGAGTTTAGACGACGAAATGGTCAATCCATCGGCACTCTTACAACAAGCCACCGTTTCACCAAATCAATCATCTTCCACATCATTGGGTACATCCTCTACATCTATTCAATCACCACTTCCACCAACTCAAGTATTAAATGGTTCAAATGGAATAAATGAAGATAAAATGGTTGAATAAATCAAAAAGTAGTCGTAATTAATATACATATGTATATACTCAAAACCGAAACGTATTCATTCATTCGTTCATTCTGATCCACATGTGTGTGATCAAAAGATACCCATATTTCCATAATATTATTTTTTAATTTTTTTGAGTATTTTCCTCCTTACTCTTTTTACCCACACTTTAAAGAATAGGGTTCATTGTGTTATTGAACGAGAGAACAAAGTCTACAAAGAAAGATAATTTAAATAAATAAATAAAATATAAAATCATTTATATTTTTGTGTAAAGAAGAAGAAGAAGAAGAGGTATAGAAGAAAGTAAAGTAAAAGAGGAGGAAGATAAATAATAAAAAGAAAAAAAAGAAAGAAGAGGGGATAGATAATACGAAATGGGAAGAGTATATATAGTTCAACTAACAGGACACAATATTTATAGTTGTAAATCATGTAGTACTCAGATCTGTAATAAAGAGGAAATCATATCAAAGGTATATTTAACTAAAATTATAATTTGATTGACTGATTGATTGGTCGTAGTCATCATCATCAATCATCACACTAAATTAATGATTAATTATTTTTATTCATTTGGTTTGATTATTAGCAATTTCAAGGTAGGACAGGAAAATCATATCTCTTTGCCGCTTGGTAAGTAGTATTCTTTTTTTAAACTATTATTATTTAATTAACTTTACCTTTTTTTTTATGTCTTATAGTTCAAATGTCTGTTTTAGTGAAGCCGAAGATAGACAATTTAATAGTGGAGAGTATAATGTTAGAGATATAATATGTATAAATTGTTCACAAATCCTTGGTTGGAAATATGTAATTATCTCTGGACATTAATTTGTGGATTTCAACTCATCTGAAGCAAGATCTTACCAAATTCCCTTTTTTTTAAATTCTTTTCTATAATATTAATCAATTGTAGGAAAGATCATATGAAGAAAGCCAATCCTATAAAGAAGGAAAGTTTATTGTTGAAAAGTCTAAAATCGTGAGGATCCAAAAAAAGTAGATTATTCCAATCCAATCATGATCAAATCAATCATTTTTCACATTTAATATTAACAAGGAATATGGATATGGATATCAAACAACAAAACAACAACAACAACAACCATTTTAAATTATTATTAATGATTCACTCAACTTTTTAAAGAACCTCTTTGTCACTTTGGTGATGACCAAAGAGTAAAAGTATTTACCTTTTTTTATATATTTATCACCATCCGTCCTCTATCTTCCCTTCCCTTTCCCTTCCCAAACAAGTTATGTTTTATAGTAGACTAAATAACTACCCTTTTTGTAAATAAACTCTCATTTTTTAAATCTAAAGATAATATCTTATCCCTACTACTAGTATTTTTTTTCCTCGTTTCGTTCGTTTTTTAATTTTTTAATTTATGTTTCAGTGCGCCATTCTTTCGATTTTGTTCATTTATAAATAACAAAAGAGTATATAGTTAGTTGTAGATAGATAAAGGATGAAGTTAGAAGCAAAGGCAATTAGATATCTAACAAGAGATGATTGGCGTACTCTTGTTGCTACCGAGATGGGTATGAAGAATCACGAGTTTGTACCCACCAATATGATCTGTACAATCGCCAACCTCAAGTTTGGTGGTGGCAAGAAAGCAATCAGAAATATTCACAAGTTTAAGTTATTGTATCATGAGAACAAGAAGTGTATGAATATATTATAGAGAGACAATAACATCAGAAGAATAGATAAAACTAACTGACTATTTGTTATATTTTTTAGATGATGGTTACAAGTTGACTTATTTAGGATACGATTATCTTGCTTTGAAAGCATTTGTTTCTAGAGATACTGTTTCATTTGTTGGTACTCAAATTGGTGTTGGTAAAGAATCTGGTAAGTAATCTACATGTTATATAATAATAATACAATACTATCTATGTGTGTCTAACCTTTCTTTTACTTTACTTTTCGTTTTAATATAGATATTTATCTTGTAGCAAATGATAATAATGAAGAGATGGTATTAAAGTTACATAGATTGGGTAGAGTATCATTCAAAACCATCAAGAATAATCGTGACTATTTGAAACATCGTAAGAATGCATCGTGGTTGTATTTGTCGCGTTTAGCGGCCTTGAAAGAATTTGCCTACATGAAGGCATTGTATGAAAATGGATTCCCAGTACCAACACCAATCGATGTTAATCGTCATTGTATCGTTATGTCTAGAGTTAAGGGTTACCCATTGTATGTACACAAATATCAAACACAAAGTGTAAAGAAAGTGTACAATTATAATTATATTTATTTAATTTTATTTTTCTAAAGACTTCAAGTTGTAGAATTAAGACATCCATCAAAGGTATATGCAGATTTAATGAATCTTATTGTTAAATTGGCAAACTATGGTCTTATTCATGGTGATTTCAACGAATTCAATATTTTAATCAACGACGAGGAACAAGTCACTTTGATCGATTTCCCACAAATGGTTTCAACGTCACATGCAAACGCCGAATATTACTTTGATCGTGATGTCAACTGTATCCGTACATTCTTTGAAAAGAGATATGGTTTCATTGGAGAAAAGTATCCAAAGTTTTCAGATTATAAACAAGCTCAATTCGATCTTGACAAGGTTATCGGTGCTTCTGGATTTACTAAAGATCTTCAAAAGGATATGGATTTGGTAAATATATCAAAAATATATATATATATATTTATAAGCTTTGGATAGATATAGAATATTTACCATTTGTTTCTCTTTATATATTTATAGTTGATAAAAGATCAAGATGGAGATGAAGAATTGAATAACAACAATAATAGTGATAGTGATGATAATAGTGATGATGATGATGATGATGACGAAGATAATGAAGAAGAAAACCAAGATGAACAATCATCAACAACAGAGGAAAATAATTCCAACCCATTCCAACAAGACGAAGAAGAAAGTGAAGAAGAAGAAGAAGAAGAAGAAAGTGAAGAGGAAAGCGAAAGTGAAAGTGAAAGTGAAGAAGAAGAAGATATTGAAGTAAAACAAGTTAGAAAGACAATCAAAGGATTACCAACTCAAAAGAATAGAAAGTTTAAATTCTCTGATCTTGCTGAAGAGGAATCACCAGTCCTTTTACGTAAAGAGTTTTTGGAGGAAATGAAGGTTTTGGATGGTGAAGTACCAATCGCCACCACGGACGCTCCAGTCGAAGGAGAAGAGGAAACCGAAGAAATGAAGCTTGCAAGAGAGGAAGAACGTAAACAATACGAAAAACGTATGATTCAATCCAAGGTAAAGAGAGCTTTGGACAGACAAACCAAAGGAAAATCAAATGGTAGAAATGCCATGAAATCAAGGGCAAAGAAGGAAATCAAAAAACAAATTGCTTCTGGCTTTTAAACAATTTAAATACAACATAACCACCAAAAATCATTAAAACAATTGTTCTTTTTTCTTTCTTTTTACAAAATACTTTATACTATACTATTATGTATGATTAATCTTTTTTTATTCGGTTCAATTAAATTCATATCATAATCATATTTGCTGTGGTTGTTGTTGAAAAATATTACATATTATTATTGTATGATGAGTTGTATGTTGTTTGTCTACTCTTCCATTTCTTTTTTTTTTTTTGTTTTGTTTTTTGTTTATTATCCTCAAGATAATAAAGCCAATACTTTTTTCTGATCCAAAACAATGGCAGCTATTTCATCAAAGAATTGATTTTCGTTTATCCTTCTTTGAGGTAATCTAGTAAACAAGTCTATACATTCATCATAATTGGCGCCATCGAGATCGGTTATAAAGTATCGAAGGATGGCAAGTGAAGTTCTAAAGATAAAGACCTCTCCCTCTATAAATACAAGATCCCATACTCTAGTCGAAATATCCAATGGCAATGCCTTTGAAAAGAGTGTCGTGATCCAATCCACCAAATAATGTTTGGCCGATATCCCAATCGACTTGAAATGTTTATGTAATTTTGGTAACAATGCTTCAACTGTTCCATCCATTGCATTTAAATATTTTGGTATCTAAAAAAATTAAATTAAATTAAAAGATTAATATAAATCATATATATATATATATTTGATTTGAATTAATTTGATTTTAGAGATATTTACACCTTGAAGATCATGTCTAAAGAATGCACGATAACAATTTTTGTTAATGTGATTAGAGAGACATTGGAAAGCATCGTATTTTTCCATATTCAAGAGGAACATTGCACCTAGAAAAGTCATGCCTGGCACATACCCAATATCGGGTCGATTGCATATATAGGCACCCAAAACATCGATGAGGTCCGAGTGCAACGGACCACCCTTTTGGAATATAAGTAGTGAGGGAAACGTGTCTTGGATATCCTGCAAGATCATTCCCAAGCTCGTAGACTCTAGTCCCAACACATCGTCAGCGTCGATATCGTCGGCCGATAGATTCAGATTGCTGTTATTCTTTTTTACATTTACCAGAGGTGTTTTGCCATTTGGTGTCATTGTCGATGGAGTAGATGATGTCGATGCAATATCGGATGATTTGGGTGATGATTTCCTCGAGCTACTAGTTTTGTTAAATGCCAACAATGCGTTATTAGCATGTCCCAAACTTATATTAAATAGATCCTGTGTAATTCTAAGATCATTGCCAATTGATAATCTCCATATTTTACCTCTTACCGCTGGTGGTAATCCTCTCCATGATATTTCTTTTATTCTTTTTGTATCTCTCCTAAAAAGAAATATAAATAAAAGTAAAATATATTAGTACTCTTTTGATCAAGCAGAGGTGTTTGAACAATTTATGATATCTATCATACTTTTTATCCCAGGAAGGTATAATCTCTTCTTCCCATATCTTTCTTGCTTCAATTAATAATTTCTCTTTTTCTTTTCTTTCTTTATCTACCTTTTCTTTTTCTTTTGCTTCTTTTTCCACTTTTAAATGAAAGAGAGAGGGAGAGAGTAAGTAAGAATAGAATCTATTTAACTATATAATATCCATCAACTTACAAGTTTTCTTTGCCTTTTTTTGAATCTCTTCATATTCTCTTTGATGTTTAAGTATTTCTTCTTGTGATTTTGGAGGCAGTTGACTTGGTCTATCGAGTAATGAGTTTGGATTAAGTATCATCTTTTCGACGGTTCCATTAATCAACATCTCTTGATAGTTTGGTTCGACTAGATTACCACTACTATTACTACTACTCCCACTTATACTAGCACTACTCTGTTGTTGTTGTTGTTGAGGTTGATTTGATGTCATTCTCTCCCTTTTTCTCTCTTATCTTGTTAATTCCGACTGACCCGACCGACTCTCTATAACTTCCTTCTCCTCCTCTCTTGCTCTTTTGCACCTTTAATGTTACTAACAAGTGAGTTAAGTTATATTATATATATGATTGTAATAATAATCGACAAAGACAAAGTATTCATAAAGCAAAGAATAGAGAATAGAATATCTTGGTATGAATACGAGTGTGTGAATGAATAATGATTGATTGGTCGTCTTAATCAGCTGTTTTATTAAAAGTTGGGAAGATCTTCCCAAAAAAAAAATATTAATTTAAAATATCCCCAAGTCATCATTATCATTATTCTACCTTTAATATTTATTTATTTATTTTAGATAACTTGATAGTTATCAAGGTAAACTAAATCATTTTCATCCACTGATGTCAGTATACATCGATCTTGAACAATTTTGAAATGTATGTTGGGAGGTAATGAAAAGATATACAATTATATATACCATTTATTAGTTTATATTATTATGGTTGTGGGGTTTGTATTAATTAGTATTAGGAGTAGTAGTAGTAGGATAAGGTGGAAGATTAAATAACATCTTACCACCATTAAATGAACCTACAATAGCTTCACCGCCATATACTCTCATCTTTGATTCATAGTCTTGGACTCTTTCTTTGGTGATGCCTTGTGTAATGACGTCGAATAGATTGGCTGCATCACGGAGTGCGCAGTTGGCGCCACTACCACCGGCTGGTGGCATTGGATGGATTGCATCACCGAGAAATGTCACGTGACTAGATGGCTCCCATTCCTTCATGGATGGTGATGTTGACACTAGAGAGAGCGCAGATGTGTTTTCTGGTGACTGGAGTTTAAATAATGATCGTACACCCTCATCCCAAGATTCTGTCAATTTTAGAGTTAAATCGACTGCTTGTTGACTAGACATTCTTGAAAACTCTTCATCGCTCACTCCAAACACTGATTTGACTGCACAGAGTACCCAGTAGACATAATCATCCACCTTTGGTATACGACCACCCGACACATCTTGAATATCCTTGCTCCATCTTACAGACTCGAGGAATAGCGTTGGTCCACCCTCAGCCTTGACTGCCGAAATACCCTGTAATGCATCGGCTGGGAATGTACTCAATAACTTGTCGGTAATCAATGTCTTACCAAATACACATCTGCCAGTGGTATCTACAATCTCCAACGTTGGATATTGTTGCTTTCTAACAACTGATCTTACACCATCAGCTCCAACTATAAAACTACCCTCTACAATAGTTCCATCTGTAAAGTATGCTGTCACTATACCACTATCACTATTGATTTCATAATGATCTAATTTCTTGTTAAATTCTACGTATCCTACAGACTGATGATGATGATGATTCATTTCATTAGTATTTGTTGATAAGGATGATGATGATGATGAAGAAGATGAAGTTGAACATACCGATGATTTATTATCTAATCCAAGTAACAAGAATCTACGAAGAGTTTGTCTGTCGGCAGTGTATGGACCAAGAGGGGTTTCACCAGCTGGTATAATCTTGTTTGCTGGATCTCCATCTCTTGATGACAGAGTTACACCGTCTGCTGCATTGACCAGTTTCATACCAAGTCGAGTATCTGCACATGTCTCTTCAAACAGTTTCCACATGTCATTGTTTAGTAACTTTTTCAATGCAGTTGCTCCAAAATGATTGATTCTTAGACGATATCCTTGAGAACGATAATCAGGTGACAGATCCCTTTCAAATACTCTAAAAGGAATACCAGCTGCCAATAGTCCTTGTGCCAAAGATAACCCTGCAATTCCTGCACCAATAATAATAATTGGTTTTTCTATTGAAGTAGTAGTAGTAGTTGACATGATGATGATGATGATGATTATTAACTATTTAACTATTTGATTTGATTTGAAGTAGATGTGATAAAAATAATAGTGGTGATCTACCCTACACACACACTCCTCTTTTTATAGTTTTCTTTTACCATTGATAAATATCCAACAACTCAAAAAAATAAGAGCAATAATAATATGATTACATAAGGGCCATGACATCATACTTTAGTAATTGTTAGTCACCCAAGTAATCGATACAAAAATAGAAAGTGTTTTGTGTCACCTCAGCATTACAATGTAACGTGGGAGTAAATTGAATTGAACGATTTTCATAAATTTAATTTTAAATTGTTTACACAAATATTTGCTGGATTGGATGATATTTATAAATCATAAATGAAGATATCTGAAAGGATCATTTATAACAATAAACATTGTAATTGAGAAAGATTCGTTCTCTTTTATCAAAAGGAGAGAGTTTGATGATTCTTGATCCCAAATGACGAGTGGACAAGATCAGCATCTGTGATGATTGGATCTCTGTGATTTTACTGCAGTAGTCAATGGCCGCTGCTTTCTCTATTTGAGTAGGATTCAAAGGATCGACTTGAGGAGGAGATGGATGTGCGAGTACCGAAGTTTAGTTATATTGGTACTCTGATTGAAAAAATAGTTTCAATCATTCGAAACCATGATTTGTCGTCTTTTTCATTGTTTCAAATCATACCCTTTTATATATATATATACACATACATATCCTAGATAGATAGATAGAAAAAGAGATGGTCATTCAAAGTTTATCACCATCAGAGATATATTTCATTCAACAAGGAGTTGAGAACAACTTGAGGAATGATGGTCGAACAAGATTAGATTATAGACCTTTTGAATTGGATATAGGCGAGATCTCGCATGCTGTCGGGTCAAGTAGAATCATTCTAGCAGATACACATATATTGGTTGGCATCAAAGCTGATATATCAGCTCCCGACCCTTTAACTCCAAATAAAGGTTCTTTAACATTTTCTGTAGATTGGTATGAATGAACTATATGAATGAATCAACATGTCTATCTAGATAGATATAGATGATTAGTAATAGTATACTACAATTAATCTAACAAATACTTGTTTGTTTATATCAATTTTAGTTGCCCATCAGCATCACCAGAATACGAAGGTAAAGGAGCAGATTATATAAATATAGAATTAGCAAAACAATTGGAACGAGTGATGAAGGATTCAAACTCGATGGATTTAGGTGGTTTGTGTATCATGCCAGGTAAATATTGTTGGAACTTGTATATAGACGCAATCGTACTCGACAGTGGCGGTAATCTTTTCGATGCATTGTCGATCGGTGTCAGAGCGGCACTAGCAAACACCAGACTACCAACCATTAGAATCACACAGGGCGAATACTCGACTGTCGACTTTGAAGTCTCTGACGATCCAGAGGCAATGCAATCACTCGATATTGATGGCGTTCCCATCAATGTCACACTCACAACCATTGGCAATCAATTTGTGGTCGATTGTTCAGGCGAAGAGGAACAATGCATGGACGCTAGAATGACGATTGGCGTCAACAAACGTGGAAATATATGTGGTATTCAAAAGGGTGGAGTGGCTGGCATCGACGCACACACCATCAATCAAATGATTTTAGCTGCCAAACAAGTTGGTTCTGAAATATTAAAGACAATGGATAATGTCTTAAAAGATCATCATATTGCTACTAAATAATAATAATAATAATAATAATAAATCAACAACAAATAATAATAATCATAATAATAATAGTATTTATATTTATTGTTTATCTTCGTCAAGTTCAATAGATCCTTCATCTTGATCTTCAACTTCAACTGTATTATTGTCAAGTACGAAATCAACGTCGTCGTCATTGGAATGGGCAATGGCGTCGGTGGTGTTGATGAATCCAGATTGTGCCAATTCACTGTCACTGGCAATAGCCAATCTAATGTGATTTGGTGTAATACGCTACATATATGAATATAATATTGGTGAGTACAAATACTGATATACTACTACTACTATGATGGATGTGATGTACATACAGTCTTTTCAGCTTGGAAAAGTGCAAGTTGAATTGTTTCAAAAATAACGTATTGCAAAACACCAGCCAAGAAGAAAGAGGCGTCTCTTGATGCCTTTGTCAATCCATCTCGTTGCATATCCTTTCTATAGGATGATGCGATAAATTGTTTGGTGACAGGTCTAGGTATATTTCCTTCGGCAGCGGTCGACTTGCTTCTAGTCACCTCTGACGATCCACTATAAGCTGACATTTTAGCGACATCACCATTGAATAATAATATGACTGATGCTTTAACATCCTCAGCCTTGATTGTAGATCTATTTGATTTGGTCATTTCTTGACGTGATTGATTAATTAATCTTTGTGATGTTTCTCTAAATATATATGTATAGTTTCAAAGTGTTATATTGTAGTGTTAATACTCAATAATTCATTTATTTATTGATGACTGATGATCATCAGTATGTTACATACTTGGCAATACCAGCTAAACAGTTCATACCAGCAACAGAGATGGTTGGCTTATAGGTTAAACCAACCTCCATATTTTTAAGTATATTATTAATTGCATTTACTTCTTTTGGTGTTGTAGTTGTCATTCTTTATCTTATCTACTTTACTTTATATCTATATATCTAATAATTGTCATTCTCTTCTCTACATCGTCTTATATTTATATTAATTAAAAAATGAATAATCATCTGCAATGTATTAACAAAATCTATGGATTCTTCGTTTCGTTCTGAAGAATATCTTTTTGGCGGGCTTGACCAAAGATAGTGGGTCTTGAGAATATAGATATGTATCTTGATGACGATCGTCTAAAGATAGAAAGTTACATAAATGTTTGTTTTATAATGCTGGTAACCAGTAACGAATACACGGCTGGCATCAAAGGTGTTCATTCTTCACTACTATCATATTGATTTAAGATGTGGATCTTTAATATTATGAGAGAGAGAGAGAATATAGTTTGAGTGAATAATAATGTCAAAACAACTGCCCTGCTCTTGAGATATACACTCATCTATCCATGGATAATAATAATATTATTATTTATATTATTTATATTATTTATATTATATTTTTGTTTATTATTTTATTTATTTATTTATTTGTTCTTCTTGATACCATTTTCATAGTTGACCTTGTAGTAACTCCAGAGGGCGAATGGGAAGGCAACGGAACCAAAAGATAAAAGGATAAAGGTACCCCATTCCTTCAAGTGGAGGGAGGTTCTCTTGTCAAACTCTTCGACGCTTTCAACGTACATACCAGTGTAGCTGGCAGCAGAGGTGTGGGAGAGCTCTTCGTTTTGACTCTTACGGTATTCGAGGATGGTTGAAGTGAGTGGGAAAACACCTCCCTTGGATGGGGTGATAGTGATGGTTTGGGAAACGTTGGTGTTTGGTTCGATGACCTCCCACTTTCCGCTTGATTGTCCCTTTACAACTTCGAAATCGGCAGAGGCACCGAAATCAGTGTCAGCAAAGGAGATGTCATAGGCAGCTCCTTCACCAACATTGTAGATAATGAATGAAATGTCGAGTTCCTTTCCAACAACTGGTCCATCTGAAATCTTCTTTTGGAACAACAAGTCGGCTCCCTTGCTTGATACTGCAACACCGACAAACAAACAAACAACTAATGCTACTAATAATCTACAGTTCTATATTATATATATGAATATGAATGATGTGTTAATAATAATGACTTTTTGTATTGTGTGTAAAGAAAGATATCTCTAGAAATCAATCATCATCATCATCCATATCCACATTATATTCATCGACTTCCAATCACATTATAAACTTTGTGTAAGATCAACAATGGATTCAATTGTCGATGATATTATTAATAATATGTTGGTTGTTGTTGTTGTTGTTGCTGACGAACTTAACCCCATGATGATCTTGTCCTTGTTCCTTATCTTCTTAATCGATGATTGATGATAATGACTGATGATGATTGATCCAGTAGACTGTCTGATTGTTGTTGTTGTTGTTTGCATTGCATATGATTGACATTTACCATTTTATCTATTATATATATATATTTCCCTCTACACTAATAATAACTGAAGTTGGGCACAACCATCAAATTTTGAGCTCTGACTTTGATCATCACACTCAAAAGAGTTTTAAAAAAAAAAGTCAAGACATTTGACCTTTTTTGATTTTTGACGAACTTGAACTTCTTTTTTTTGTTTAAAAATATTGTATGAAAAAATTTTCTGCAAAGATTCTTTCTTTGCCAAAGAAGCAATCTTTTAGATTATTATTAGTTTCATATTGTTTCCGAGTTAAAATAAACAATGTGAGAGATGTTGAAGTTTGTTCATTTATTCATTATATATATATAACGTACAGTACGCACAATGACTTCATCATCATTAGAAGTATTACTTTTACCTTCAACACCAACAAGGTTATTCTTAATAATATTTAAAAATGTAGTATTAAGAGACAGACTATTTTACTTTGTTAAATGGATACATCGTTGTTGTAGAATGGATGTTAATACCAAAGTCTACACACAGAATGTCAGAAGAGGTCAGTGTATACCCATTACATTCAAGATGGATGGTAGGTGCGATCCAAAGCAACCATTCAACTACTTTCTAAATCCTATGAGTGGTCGACAACTCAATGCAATCACAAACCATGAATTGTTGGTCCAGTACAATAGACCTGATTTGTTGTCACGAATCCCTTCTTTGGAGATCAAATACTATCATTGGGCGCCTGCTATCAGATCAGGGTGTCACCCAGATATTCTCAAGATCTATGCTCAGCAGTCTAATCCAAGCTTAAAAGATGTTCCACTCGGTTTGCTCAAATCAAACTTTTACTTTCACTACAAAGACAATCTTCAAAAGGTCATCGGATTGATTGATGTCGTCTTTATCCTCCAAGAAAAGAACAAATCAACTCCACTTGCATTTGAATATAGTTCTAAATTCTTTAAGCTATTATTCAAACATTCAATACTTTGTCAAACAATCATTAATCATTTTAATCAAATTTATAATATTGATAATAATAATAATTCTTCTTCAAATAATGATCAACAACAATTCATAATATTAAGAGTATTGGAATTAATTAAACAATATAAAACAATTACAATTAATTGGAAAGATGTCATGTTTAAGGCAATCAAATCTTCAAATGTATTGGTAATTGATTTCATTGTTTCAAGTTGCAATACACCTCTTACAAGTGCACATCTAAACTATGCAATTTGGAATGGTAATGTGGGAATGATAGAGTATTTGTTATCACTTGGTGTACAGCCCAATCAATATACATTACACTCTGCACTCAATCCAAAATCATTATCAAACAATGATTCTTCAAGTAACGAAATAGTCGCAGCATTAGATATTATTTCACTTGTATTGGAACGATTGATTTATAAATCGAAATGGGTAGTTGAAGGTATTCATCCAAAATTACAATCAATTAAATTATTGGACCAACTAGTTGCATCTGATGAAAAGGTGACACTTCAACCTTTGGGTGATAAGAAACCACTCTTCTCTAGATTATTTGGGTCATTAATCTTTTCAAAGGATAAAGAGTTACTTGAACACTTTATCAATCAACATTCTAGTCACATCATTGGTCTTCTTCTAGACTACAATTATGCATTTAATTGTGCTCTAAGAATTGGATCGTTGGAAATTGTTAAATATGTTTTGGAGTGTCAAAAACAATCAAAGTTGGTCAACCCAGATGGATTCACTTATCAAATAGATTATATTGTATCACATGATGCAGATAATGCCGAGATTCTTAATTATTTAGAGTTGGTACAGTATGCAGTGGAGAACAGTGGAGGTACCAAGTTTTCAATGCCATTATCGACGGTGGCACTATTCCTCCATCACCCAAATCCAGAGGCATGGAGATTCTTATGGATCGTAGAGGTAAATAGAAGCAGGTTTGAATGGGTATTTGGCAACTTGGCATTTGGACCGGAAAAGTTAATGATGGCCGCAGCGACATGCTCCTTTGATATTATTACGAGGGTCAATGAATTACTTGGTAGTCTTAGAAAACCATGTCATGTATGGTTAAAGACATTCAAACGAAATATCAATCTAGACACTTATGTTTGGTTGACACAAAACAAGATCACACAGCAAGCGGGATACAGACATTTTGGAACAACAATCCTACAACGCCTTGTCAACATTATCGATATGTGTCACCGGTTGGAATACTCTATTAACAATTCATTGGAATACAATAGTAGTATTCATGATTACGGTCACGATGTAGTTTGGAATGGAGTTAGTATCAAGACTTGCAAAGAACGTGCTCAACAACTACTATCACACATTGTCAGAAACAAAGACTTTTTCAATTACTATACATCAAACTGTACCACCGCCGGTTACATTTACATTCCTCTCACTACATCACTCGTTGAAGATGAAGAAAAAAAGAGAGATCCATCTTTTGAAACTACAATGGATTTAATTGTCAAATTTATTGCTTACCGAGATCGTCTGCTTCAATTTTTTATCTCACAAACCTACAAATATTATTGTCATAAAACAAATGGTGCATAATAAATTAAATAATAAACTATTATAATCTATCTATTTTATAATCTATTTTTTTTCTTTTTCTTTTTTTATTATTTACAAAAATGTGATTGTTGATGAAATGGTATCGACCAAATCGGTCAATTGAAGATAGTGACATACCAAAATATCACCTTCTTGTTCCTTCATCACTGTAAAGTCATATGTTTTCCATTCAAATTCTTCATGATTCAAATGTGTAATCCATTCAATCAATGATGCTCTTGATGGATTTGTCTTGTCTGTTCTATCATCTGAAAATTTGCTCCATACTACCATCTTTTTCTCTTTTAATATAAAAGATTTAATTGCATCAATTTTTCTAGAAAAAAAAAAAGAGTAATGTTAATAAATGAAAATCATGTTTATCAACTATGACCACCACAACTTACGACTTGTTCATCAAAAGGATTTTAGAAATAAAATTTTCATTTCTAACTACAAGTGTTTTAACTGAACTCCCATCCGATACATTACATTCCAAGGTACCAGTAAACTCTAGATTATCTGATAATCCACATTTACATTTTTGAATAGGTCTTTGACACTTGCAACATGCATACGATAGTTCAATATAGCGAATTGAATTAATGTCTGCAATGGTTCTATAGTATCTACCATATTGTTTAATATCTGACAATGATGAAATATTGAGTTTGCTTGGTAGTGGTATATCATTATAGATTGATTTTGGATTGGTTTTGAGTTTTCTAATGGTTGGTTCTACCTTTTTCTTGATTTCAATTTGACTTGTCAATAATGTTTCTTGTTGTTGTTGTCGTTTTTGTTGTTGTTGTTGTGGTTGTTGTGGTTGTTGTTCTGGTTGTAGTTGTGGTAAAAGTTGTTGTTGAGCCTCTTTTAGTACTTGTTGTGGATGGATTTGTACCCATTCTACAATATCAACCTGTGAAGATCTATTGGAATAACAAATATTTTCATTTTCATCTACTTGTTTGATTTTAAAATTGTAAAAGATAGCTTCTACACCACGTACCAATCCTAGTTGGAAGTTTTTCAATGCTACACAAATCTTTTTACCATTTACATTATTTGGATCTCTACAAAATAAAATTAATGATAGTTTTCTTTAAAAATAAATTATATTAATACTATGATCAAAATATTTTAATTTAAAATGATTCTTTTTTTTTTTTTTTTTTTACATACCCATTAACAGATTGAATAAAATGATTTAAAATTAAACCTTTAAATGATACCAATTGTAGCGACTGTTGTTGATGTTGAGTTTTAATTGGTATATAAATTAAATCATCAATATTGGTAATAGATTTGGTGGATTCTGTTTGATATTGAATGACACGATAATATATGGAAGAATTTACTTGGATTGATGGGATGTCATAGGTTTCAATCTCTTCGACTGGTGTTGTTAGATGGGTTCGACCTCCAGGGTCTGATAGGACAACTTGTTTGAGTGTAGCTCTGTCCTTTTGAGAATAAAAGTTTTCAGTTACTTTGAATTTACGTTGTTGTGATTTCGATGCTTTGATTACAACACGATCGATAAAGTAAAGTTGTCCTATCTGAATGATTGGATATAATCGATTTGGTAAATCAATTTTAACAGTTGAAATGGTCTCCTTTCCAATGATTCCCAATGCTTGAACTGAAAATTGATTTAATCTAATTTGTTTGGTTGTTACTTTAAAATAAATATAATTACTTCTATTATTATTATCATTAAAGAATGGATTGTTATTATTATTATTATTATTATTATTATTATTGATATTTGGTAAAATTAAATTATTATTATTTAACCAAAGATCATTGAATAAATATTGATGTGAAATGGTTGGTTGTGGTGTGATTTTATAAGGAGCAATCATATCACAATCCTTGATTGAAAATTCAATATAAAATAGAGTTTGATTTGATAAATCCTTTTCTTTAAATGTTTCCATATTAATTAAATATCTATTAATTTTCCAAATAAAATTTAAATGGTATTCTTGAATCTAAAAAATAAAAAAATAAAGAGATTAATAAACTGTGTACAATTTAATTTAGTTTGTACTTACACCTAAAACATGACAAGATATAAATGAAGAGGAGTCATCATCTTGTAGGATTAATTTTCCCCATTCACAATTTTGATTTTGATAATTGAAATGACCAATCAATGTATAGGTTTTACTATTCATATATCTCATTGGTTTTATAATGTTTGGTTTTGGGATTTGACTAATCTCTACAATCATTGGGAGGGTAGATAGTTTCTTGCTAAAATGACAATCACTTCCATGATTAAAAATAGTATTAAATTGTTCAATCGTTGTTAATTGAGTTTTAACTGGATAAATTTGAAATGCACTTGCTATTTTTTCAACTAATAAACTATCTTTATACTTTAAAAAAAAATATATTAATAATAATGATCACTATATTTGTCTTGTTTGTATCATCGACTTACTTTAACCATAAACGAATCAAAATTTTTAAAAGTATTTGGATATTTTTTTAATAATCTTGTCAAGATCTTTGGGATCATGAATGAATCGATAATTGTATAATTTGTCCAAACTGAACGATATGGTAATGGATGATAAGGTATAAAACTTCTTAATCTTTGATTTTGAAATGTTAAGAATTGAATTGAACTACATGTGCACATTCCAAATCCCTAAAGAAAAAAAATTAAATCAATTAATAAATGATTATTATGATCATTATTTTTTTTAATTCTTTCATACTTGTAATAAATTATCAACATAAATTGGATGAACATTATGTAATTTTAAGATTGTACCACTTCTCATACCACGACCATGAAATCCTTTACTATTCAAATGACTGATGAATAATCTCCATTTTTTATCCAATTGATAGACACCTTCCTTTGGGTCAAAATCCGATGTCAAACAACCAATATAGTTTACAGTGGATGGTAAGATGACTCTGTTTTCTTGCAAATCAGAACTATAGAATGTGTTGGAAAGATGGATGTTGAAAAGATCGTTATTGTTGCTTGTTGGCTCCTGTGCAGATGGTGAAATGTTGAGTCCAGGATTCGATGTTCTAAAGGTATTGCTGCTGTCAATCACCAATGCTTTTGACAAGAGGACGGCTGGTCTGAGGGAAAAGATGATAGAGTTTTCTTTAAAGTGGAGAATCGGTCTTTGTTCCTCTGGTATGTTTCTAAATGCCAAATTGTATAGAGTGTTTGAAAAGAGGTAGTATCCTCCAGGCTCTATCAATTGATGCCATTTTGCATTGTTTCCTTTAAACATCACATAACAAGTGGTAAAACGTTGATCTAATATTTTTGGTATCGATGCTGATCTCTTTAATGATGGATTCATTCTAGTACTAGTATTGTTGATGTTGGAGGTATTGAATTTAATGTTGGCAAGTTGAATGAAAAAGAATGATCTATTGGTACCATCCTCTGGTTTTGATGCCAATAGTGATGATTTGAGAATAACTTGTCCTATTAAATTGATACCTTCTTTATAATCAATCACTTGGGTGGTTGAAGAAGAAGAAGAAGAAGAGTTGAATTGAATGATATCATGGATTGAATGAGGTTCTAGTTTTTTAAAGAGATACTCTTCAAATTCGACATCATGACTATAATGTGCCAACTTGTCATTCATAAATCGTTGATAGTAATGTGTTGGATCACGATGTAGAACAGTCATTGATTCTATTTCTAAATAGTTGACTATTCCTTCTTCATCATCTTTGGTTTGATTTGTAGTACCACTGGATGGTGGTACACAAACAAGTCTCCATTTTGAAATAAATACTATACTGTCTAAATAGTAAATGTTGGTAGACTGTGCGTCCAATCCGTACAGATTACAAGTGATAAGGATGGGTACCTCAGAGACAGAGTCACATAGTACCAATCTGTTGAGGAATTTTGGGTTCTGTGAGATGGTAATCTTTCCAATGAGAATACGGAACATTTGAAGTGTGTCTTCATCAAATGCAGGTACAATGGTTTGATCCAACGATGCATAGTTGCTCTTTCTAACAGACACTTCTGCAACCGATGTAATCTTGCTTCGAATGGGACACCAGTCATTCTCTGGGTCTAGATTCTTGATGATGTTTTCCATCTCCTCTAGACGATCCCTTTGGAATGGTGTCGTAGGTTCCAGAGGTAATGATTTGTTGGTTGGCGTAGTCTTTAATAATGTCAAAGATGGTGAAGATGGTGGTGGTGTAGTCGTAGTCGCAGTTGTAGTCCCATGGATGTTTAGTTTGAGTGGCGTGATGATTGGAGTGGTCTGTGGTGGATGATGACTGAATAGATAGGGTGAGGGAATAGACGACAGGTCAATGGTCGGTGGCAGCATTCTGATCAGTTTTCTTTGTTGCGATGATTGACTATCTTCCTTTTGTTCATTGATCAGAAACACTAGTAGATTTCTAAGACACTTGTCAATATCCTTGGCATTCAACAATCCCCCAAGCGAGTTCTTTAGTTCAAACGAAAGATACAGAATCCATTTTGCAATATTTATATCTATATCAAAATTCTCTACTACATTATTATTTATATCTAATATAATTGGTTGTTCATTATTATTATTATTATTATTATTATTATTATTATTATTTCTTTGTTGTTTTTGTTGTTGTAATTGTTGATGTTCTCTCTTTTGTAGATAGGTAACGAAATTGATGATTTTCAAAGTAACAGGGTTACTATTGGTATTGTAGAGTTGGTCTACTTTTCGTTTACTCATTCCTTCCTTTCCTATTATTATTATCTTTTATCATTCCTCTGGAGTTGTTTGAGTGTTCTCTGTCTTTGTCTTTGTGTTTATTAATAATAAAAAAAAATGAATGATAATAATAAAAAAATCAAGGATGATGAAAACGTCGAGTTTGTCCTTTTTAATTCTTATTCCTTTTCCCGCCTTCTCCTCATTTTCAAATTCTTAAACAATGGAATTCTTTTAATCCAAGTTTACTTGAACAGTTTAATGTAATAAAACTGAACTGTAAATAATAAAACTTTATTAATAAAAGTATTGTAAAGATCTTAACAAGAAAGTTTACCCTAACCAGTCCCTGATTTTTATCCAACAACCATCATGATGAAAATAATAATAATAATAATAATTTAGATTATAATGAGTACTATACCTTTAGTTAATAATCAAATATTAAAAATACCCATCATTAATATTTGATAGTTTGCAAAATCGAGCACAAAAATGAATCATTAAACTTTGCAGTTTAATTAATTTAGTTTTCAGTGTCTTTTCAATACATTTGTGAATATATATATATATATATAAAAGAGATAATAGAAATAGAAATAGAATAATGTTTGGTTTATTTTATGGGTTTTGGAAATACTTCTTTAATAAGAAGGAATACTTTACTTTAATATTAGGGTTAGATGGTGCTGGTAAGACTGTATGTTGAAAAGTAGATAGATACATTCTTGTTTGATTGATTGATTGATTGATTCCCTTAACTTAACATATTATTGATTGTATAATAAACAGACACTATTAGAAGAGATTAAAACTAAATATACTAAAACACCAGGATTAAAGCATATAATGCCTACTGTAGGCTTAAATAGTATGATAGATTGATGATCGTGATGATAGATGTTGTTATGACAATATTAATAATATTTTAATTTACTTTTAGTTGGTAGAATCATATATGAAGATGTAAAGTTAATATTTTGGGATTTGGGAGGTCAAGTAGATCTAAGAAGCATCTGGGACAAATACTATAACAGTGTACATGCGGTCATTTATGTAGTCGATTCAACGGATCAAGAGAGAATGGAAGAATCAAAATCAGAACTAGAAAAGATTATGACTAATCCCGATCTAAGAGATGTACCTATACTATTATTTTTCAATAAGCGTGATTTGCCAGATGCTCAATCTACAGATGTATTGTCATCTGCCTTTAAAACAGTGATACTAAACTATAAATCAACCGATGTAAATTCAAGAAACGTTCAATTACAACCTTTAATAGCTAATACTGGGTATGTCAAACAAAAAGGAGAATGATGATGATGATGATGACGATAATGACTAACAACAATATAATATAATATTAATATAATTTTTTATATAGACAAGGATTAAATGAAGGAATGATGTGGTTAACAGATAATTTAAAAAAGAATGCAAGAGTTGTTGAAACTGAATAAATCATTCATGATGATCTCTCTCTCTCTCTCTCTATCTTATTTATTATTAGAATCATACTTAAATGCAAGTGATCTTGTAATTCTACCCAAATCCTTTTTAGAACCTACAAATTCAAATCCATTATCAACTACCAATTTCTTGACACTCTCTTCTTGAGTGTGTCCAATTTCAAATACCAAAAAAGATGGAATATTGGACAAGGTATTACTATCTTGCGACAATAGATTATGTTTTCTAATCGATTTTGAAATAATATCATATTCTCTTAATCCATTGTCATTTGCAACCAATGCTGTTATAGGTTCCCATCTATAGACAGAAAGAGAAAAAGAAAGAAAGAAAGAAAGTTGATCAATTGATTAATATAAAACTATAGTTTGAATTGTAGATTTTCCTTTCATTTAGCTTACTGTTTTACAGTTGGATTTAAAGTTTGGTATTCATTTTCAGATATATATGGTGGATTTGATATAATCAAGTTATATTTTAATGGTACATTGTTGTGTTGTTGATTTACAATTGAATCTACCCAATTTGATTGTATAAAAGTAGAACGATTGTCCATTTTTAAAGATATTGAATTCTCCTTTGCAACTTTTAATGCATCCAATGATTGATCTATTCCAACACCTTTACTATTTGAAAACTCTTCCAATAGACTTAGTAGTAAACATCCAGTTCCAGTTCCCAAATCCAAAATATTTAATGGTAGTTGTTTTTCATAATTATGTAATTCTAATATTTGTTCAATTAGCTAACAATAATAACAATACATCATTAGTAATCAATGCAATATTTAATCAACGAATCAATTAATTTGTCATGTACATACAGTCTCACTATCAGGTCTTGGTATTAGAGTAGAATGATTACATTTAAATTTATGTTTCCAAAAATATTTATGACCAACAATATATGCTATAGGTTCATTATTTAATCTTCTTTCTATTACCCTACACGTATATTTGATTAGTCATCTCATATAATATTCGATTTTATTCTTTTAATCATACTCTTGAAGATCTTTGTTTTGAGTAGGGGTCAATTGTAAATCCTTTGGAATCCTAGCATTTTCTTTTAGTCCAACAACATGTTCAAACAATATTCTAGAATCCAACATACTACTATAAGCCACATCTAGATTTTTAGCTTGTTTTAATTGTTTTCTAGTTATATCAAATAGGTCTCTTGCATTGGTCGTAGTATTGAATGCAGAAGTACAATAATAATACTTTATACATTTTTCAATGATATCGATGTTGTTTTTGTTTTTGTTGTTGTTGTTGAATAAACATCTCTTTGTAATATTTGGAATGACACTTTTAAACATTTAATATATCATATACCAACCATATTGGATTTAAATCTGCGATACCAATGAATGATCTTCTTTCGAAGGGCTGTGCTTCATTCGGTTTCCAAAATTAAAAAAAATTAAATTAATTAAATTAATTGGTTTTCACTCACAAACACACAGATAGTCGAGCGTTCAATTTGGGTTTATCTATTAGTATAGTATTCTCTCTTTGTATATTATAAATACAATGACAATCACAGAAGAGAAACCAGCGGTTGTAGACCCAAAGGTTGTTGAAGAAGAGGAAGAAAGCAGCGATGATGAAAGTAAGCAACAATAGAGATCAGAACAGACTACCACCCCACCTACCCTATTCCGATATATTTATTAATATTTATTACTACTACTACTTTATAGAGGCTGTAAACCCAGAGAATGGAACAAATGGAGAGGCTGAAAAGAAAAAGAAGAAGAAAAAGAAGAAAAAGAAAAGTAAATCTTCAGTTGAAGCTGTTGCTGCTGCTGCCGCTACACTCGCAAGTGGTGAAATACCAAAGGCTGCTCCTCCACCAGCTGGTTTAGGTAAGAAGATAATAGTAAAGACATATATATAATATATATATATATATATAGTATTAATTGAGCTAACTTTTTTCTATCTTTAGTACAAACAACACCACCAACAGTACCAGTTACAAGATTTTATCCATCTGGAATCTTCCCAGCTGGTGAAGAATGTGAATACAAGAATGATAATTCTTACCGTACTACAAGTGCTGAAGTTAGAGAACAAGAGAAAATTCGTTTCGATACTGTCAATGAAGTTCGTCGTGCTGCTGAAGTACACAGACAAGTTCGTAAATATGTACAAGGAATTGTCAAACCAGGTATTTCTTTGTTGAGTTTGGTTGAGAGTTTGGAAACTGCTTCAAAGACTCTTATTGAAGCTAATGGACTCAAGGCTGGTATTGCTTTCCCAACTGGTAAGATAGATAGATAGATAGATAACAACAATCAGAACAATCATTTCCGATTATATTGACTCTGTTTATTTTATTTTTTTGTAGGTGTTTCAATTAATCACATTGCTGCTCATTATTCACCAAACACTGGAGATAAGACAGTTTTAAAGTATGATGATGTTTTAAAGATTGATTTTGGTACTCATGTCAATGGACACATTATCGATTGTGCATTTACAGTAAACTTTAATCCAAAGTTTGATCCGCTGAGATTGGCTGTCAAGGAAGCAACCAACACTGGTATCAGAGAGGCTGGTATCGACGTCAGATTGTGTGATATCGGTGCTGCCATTCAAGAAGTTATGGAATCACAAGAAATTGAATTGGACGGAAAGGTTTACCCAATCAAATCAGTTCGTAATCTCAATGGTCACAGCATTGGTCCATATGTCATTCATGCTGGTAAAACTGTACCAATTGTTAAAGGTACTTCTGAATCTTTCAAGTATGTAAATGAAATATGAAACATATGATCAAACAACCAACATAATATTAATCTAATCTTTTCACTTTTAGGATGGAAGAAAATGAATTTTATGCAATTGAAACTTTTGGTAGTACTGGTAAAGGTTTGGTATATGAAGATCTTGAGTGTAGTCATTACATGAAGGTTAATAATGCACCACATGCAACCATTCGTTTGGCTAGATCCAAGCAACTTTTCCATCACATTTCAAAGAATTACGATACTCTCTGCTTTGCCAGAAGATGGCTCGATCAATCAGGTGAGGACAAACATATTCTTGCCTTAAAGAACCTTTGCGATCTTGGTTTGGTCGATGCCTACCCTCCACTCGTCGATACCAAGGGTTCATACGTTGCTCAATACGAACACACCATTTTACTCCGTCCAACATGTAAAGAAGTTTTATCTAGAGGTTCTGATTACTAAAGGATTGAAAAAGGAAACAAAAAAAACAAGAAAATAATAGAAACCTAGACCTAAAAATAATAAATTGTTTATTAGATTTTATAAAATTACACATATAAACTTACTCGTTGTTATCTAATACTTCTTGATCTGCACAACAACATGTTTACAAGATTGGGTAGGTGGGCCAAGGTTTAAAAGGAATAAGACCCCTTGGCCTACGCGCCCAATCTTTATGAACAAGTGTTCGCAAAGAAGAAGAACTCTTTTTTTTTTTAGTACGACTTTCATGAACCATATATATTTTTATTTATTTTTATTTAATAAAATATATTGCCTTCGGGCCTAGTACTGTAAATATTGACATGACCATCATCACCGCCACTGACAATAAAGTCACTGTCGCGAGAAATGTCAACAAAATTAACTTGTGATTTATGATTTTTAAAGCATTTAACATAGGGATCACCCTTTGAAATGTCCCACACTCTAACACAGCAATCGTCGCCACATGTAATTAAAAAGTTTCCTTGTTTTGACCAAGTAGAATGAGATACCACACCAGATTCCATGTCAAATACATCGTGACTGAGAACTATCAATGGTTTGTCGATATATCTCTTGTCATAAACCAAAGGACAATTACCGGAGCCACAATAAACTAAATAGGCTCCACACGGACTCCAACTAATTAGATTAGAGTCGAGTTGGCCTGTCAATATACTACGAGTTGGTTTATCCAAACATCTAATGTCATAGGTCGTAAGATATCCATCGGTTGATCCAACAACAAATTCTGCTGAACTTTTAGGATTCCATGCAACATTTGAAATCTCCTTGTGTGCTGTATGAAATAATGTATATACTTCTGGTTTGTTAATATTAATTAAACTGCACTAGATAGTTATAAAAATTAAAAGTATTAGTAAAAAAAAGAACTTCTTTTTCTTTTCTTTTTTTATCTTCTTACAAAAGCATCTTTTCTATCATTTTCATCATCATCACTTGAATTATATAAACCACATAATAGATAATTATTGTAAACACCATTACCAAAACAAAGATCTGAAACTTCAGCAGGCCAATTCTTTTCTGGTTTTTGAGGTGCTGTCAAATCAACGCATACATAGTTTTTGTAGTTGGTCATGATGATTGATTTACTATCTTTGTAACCAGTTGCTGCCAATGTCATTTCTGGATGAATTGCAATACGCAGAGCATGGTCATTTGGAAGACCATGTGAAAATAATTTTTTGCCATCATGAACGTCCCATACAACCATTGATCCATCACTTCCACAAGTCAATACTTCATTACCATCTATCGAAAAATGACCCTCTGGACAAAGTGTACCATGATGTTCTAATTTAATCGTTTCATTTGTTAAAAAATCATATAAAGTTGCTTCATTTGGTTTATCTGTTGATAATGCTAAAATCTTATTACTACAGAAATAGAAATAGAAATGTTTGTTAATAATCCAAAGATTTGAACTCTTTTTGTTTGTTTGTTGATCTAACATACGTTTTACCAGTTGGATCAATTTTAACATCAATGACTGGATGACCTGATGGTGAATATGAATGAGTAAATGACATATCATCAATAAGAGATCCAATAATCTTTTTGTTTGATGATCTAGGCTTTGATATTCCAAATGATTGTTTATATAGACACATTTCAGTTGAAAATTTTTCTATAAACAACAAATTATACAGTTAATATATTTGATTACAGTTATTGTATTTGATTATTAATAATATTTTGTTTTCTTCTTTACCTTTTTTAGGAGTATAAACTATAGTTTGGTTTGGATTTGTTGGGATAAATTCTTCAAGACCCAATCTAATATCTTCCAAATAGCGATAGACATCTATGGGAACACGACCATAGAGTTGATTTTTACAAAGGTGATAGAGTTGTTGAATCTTTGGGACTTGCCCAGATACGAGATTGGGCAAGTGTTGTAAAAGGATATTGATTTCGAGTTGTGAAAATGGTACATGGTAGGTATCGTTTGGACTTGGTAAAATGTTTAGAAAGTGATTCGGTTTGGTTGTATATACAGAGTTTGGAAAGAAATGTCTTCTTGTTAGAAATGGCAAGTATGGTCTTAATTCAATCGAGCCATTGTTTGTGAAAAATATGTTATGGTTGCTTTGTCTATCTAAACATGATTGTATCGATTTTGGTAATGCTTTTGTACTATGTAATAATTCTCCAATATTATGTGTTGACTAAATATTAAAGTTAGATCAATCAATGATGATTCATTCATTCACTCAAATGATTTGTTTGATACATACATATTCTCCAATTGGTAATGTTGTAGTACCTTTTGAAAGACCAATCACTTGTTGAATATATGCAATCGATTGATTCAAATATGCCAATTCCATAACTTTACCATCCTGTTTAAAAAATGAAGGAAAAGAAAGTTAATATATACAATCAATCATCAATCAACAATCAACATTCTGTTACAGTACATACAGGGATAGGATCTAAAGACTTTATATGAGAATGAGGTTCCTTTAATAGAGATGATTGAAGTACTTGAGGAGAAAAGGTGTTTGGTCGACCTGATAGATCGTATGGTTGACATATAGAAGGAGCTTGTATTCGAAGAGGTGCCCATTGTTTTAGTTTGAGAACCTTTGTTGGTTTACTCGGTGCTAGATTCGGACTATAGTTTGAAGTCAATGGTGTCGTAGACTGTGGTGATGCATTTTTAATGATGACACCTTCTTTTGAAACATTGATCTTGCTTACATCAATCACATCCAACGCTGATTCTTCTACTTCACCTTTCCAAAAAGTCCATAAACATCTATCGATTCTAATAATAAATAATAATAGAATAAAGAGATTGATATTAGTACAACTGTTGCTAATGTTGACATATGTATAGTAGCTAGCTGTGTGTAACATACTTTGAGAGAAATTCTATACATTGCTCCAATGATTTGTTTTCAAACTCATCAAAGTTGAGCTCTGGTATCTTTCTCTTCATCGACTCTCTTTTTGTCATCCTGTAAAGGATATATATCTGAGGATAGCTTCAAAGGAAGAGGGAAGGAAGGGTTATATAGACTATACAACAATGAATACTATAACATATACTAAAATGAAGTCATCATCAAAGTCAACAGGGTATGACGATTTTAAAAATAAAATAATTCAAATAATTCGAGAGGGAAGGGTCGGCCAATCCCAATCAGTCTACCACCTTTAGACAATCCTATCTAGTCGACCCTGATTCATTCATTGATTCATCAATGTTTAAAAGAAGAGTAAACATTGAATATTTATTATTATTATTATTATCTATATAAACAGAGATATAAAACAGTTAATATAGATAGATAGATAGATAGATAGATAAATGGATAGCGCAACAACAACGAATAATAATACTACTACTATCCCTGTAACAACATTAAATGATGGATACACATTCCCAAAGATAATAGTTGGATGTTGGCAATTATCTGGTGGGCATGGAAAGATTAATATAAAGAATGCTTTAAATGATGTATGTTGTTGTTCAACCCATGACAATGATGATGATATCTAATCTTTAGAAACACTGTTTATCAAATGAAATATATCTATAGATGGTAGAATACGCTTCAAAGGGATTAAATACGTTTGATCTAGCTGATCATTATGGGCCAGCTGAAGATCTATTTGGTGAAGTTGTAGAACAAATAAGAAAAGGACATGTAAAATTAAATATTGATAATTGTATGTTATTGTAATAGCTATGGTTTAACATTACATATATATATCTAACATTTACACAATTCCTTTTGTTTTAAAAGTCAAAGGATTTACTAAATGGTTTCCAAAACCATCGAAAATAACAGAAGATGTTGTGGCAGCGGCCATTAAAAGATCGATTACAAGAATGAAAGTTAGTAGGATAGATTTACTACAATTCCATTGGTGGGATTATGACGATGAATCATATCTATTGGCATTATCACATCTATCTAAACTTCAACAACAAGGTTCAATAAGACATATTGGTGTAAATTTCAATAGACTATTAATAGACGACAATCCATTATTAATATTAATCCACAATATATTTATCTAATATAGTTGACCAATTTCGATACTGTAAGATTAAAACAAATTGTTGACAATGGACACAAGATTGCATGTAATCAAGTTAGTTATTCAATTATTGATCGTCGAGTTGAAAGATCAATGCAAACCTATTGTCAAGAAAATAATATTAAAATAATTGCCTATGGTGTTTGTTTGGGTGGACTAATAAGTGAAAAGTAAGTATTATATAATAATAATAATCTTCCACAAATATTAATAATTGATTAAAGATTTTTAGGAGTACCAGAACCATCACAAGTAGCATTAAATACATGGAGTTTATCAAAATATAAAGATTATATTAATAGATGGGGTGGATGGCATTTATTCCAAGATTTATTAGAGGTATTGAAAAAGATTGGTAATAAGCATGGACAAGTATCGATACCATTGGTTGCCATTCGATATGTTTTGGAACGTCCTGGTGTGGGTGCTGTCGTTGTTGGATGTCGTCTTGGTATTTCCAGTCATTTGGATGAATTTACCAAACAACTCTATTCATTCTCTTTGGATCAAGAAGATATTCGTAATATTAATAGTGTAGCATTAAAAGGTGATTGTTTACTTGGTTGGGGTGATTGTGGTGATGAATTTAGATAATTTAATTTAAATATTTAACGCTGTAACACTCTCCTCATTCCTATCTGTTTCTCTCTCTCACTCACTCCTTTTAAAATAATAATAAACCTCTCTTTATTATTATATTTATTTATTTGTAAAACAATTTATTTGTGTTCAACTTAACTCTTTTTATTTAATAGATTCCATATTTCATTTTAATTTGATAGGAATGGTTTAACAAATAGGAATTCATTTGTATTTTTAGTCTTTGGTAATTCCTTGTTGAATCGTTTCGAAGTGATTTTAAAGTGAGGAAGTGGATGTTTACCTGCGACAAGTGGTAGTAGTACATGACGAATCTCATGTGTTGATTCTGGATGGATAGAGAATGTTCCGACACGGTCGCCTGCAAATAGGAATGGTGCGTCAGAGCCACCATACGAAGCTGGGTTGGTGACCAACAACTCAAACTCTTGTAAAAAGTTGGTGTTGTTGGTGATCACGATGCTATGAGCCAATGGCACACCAACAACTCCGTACGATGGTACGTTGACATTGGTTATGAACGGGTTGGTAGTGATACGCATGTGTGGCAGTAAAATAGGTAGTTGAGATACAATTGACTTGTCGTCTTGGTCATTACCCTTGACCTTTCTACGCCAATAAATGGTGAGTGATCCCAAAGATAGAGATTCACCAGTGATGAGTGGAATGAGATTAAACCAACAGCTATAGTTGCCGTCACGAGTCAATGTGGATGGCGAGAGATTCGAGTTGGACGAGCTGAGTAGATGACCTACGGGCACTGATGATGCGTCGTTGGGTGCCCCCGATTCATCACTGGCACCCATCATCAATGGGTTCAGAGTAGCCTGACTCACATTGTTGATCTTTAGCGTCGTTTTATCAATGACGACATCGTAGGGAAGATTCATACGGATATCGCAGAGTAAAAGGAGTGGCTCCTTGGCAACAATGGCGCCATCATACATATCGTTGGGTGTAAAGTTGGTACTAAAGAATTGGAATTGAGTGAGGAACCCAATCTGGACGGGGAAGTTGAATCCCTTGCTAGAGTGTGATATTTCATTGGACTTGGTCTCGTACGACACATTGATCACCAATCGGTTCTCGTCGATTTGAGATGAGTGCAAGTAAAAGATCTTTTTAAATGATGCTTTTTCTTGGATATGTGGTAGGGAAAGAGTTGACAATTGTTCAGAGAATGATGGTTTGGGGTAGATTCCTCTTTCTGCTTGTTGTTGGGTTTGGTGAATTTGGGTGATTGATGGTGAAGATACTAATGGTTTGTTATTAATTTCAATCGTTGGTAATAATAACTCTGTTTGTTGCTGTTGTTGTTGTTGTTGATTAGTTGCAATATTTGGATTTAAAAGTTCAAAAGTAATAGTACCCTTGGTAATCTCTTTGTCATTGTTTACAAGTTCCAATTCGATTTCATAGAATTCATTGATGATGGCTGGTGGAGTATGATTACATTTGATTTGAATAAGTGATTCATGATCGAGAATTCTAATTGATGAACGTTCTAAAAACTTTTTATAAGGATCTGGTTTTACCAATTGTTGTTGTTGTTGTTGTTGCTGTTGTTGTAGAGTCACTTGATTCTTTTTAACTTGTGGTTGTTGATTATGTTGATCTTTATCAGAAGATTCTTGATCAGATTTAATTGCCCATTCAGAAATATTCCAACAGAAATTGACAGATGGTGATGACCCCAATTCTAAAATAACAGATTGACATTCTAGTTCCATCTTTTCCTTGGTTGCCAGAGTGAATGAAAAGAGACGAGATTCATTTGGTAGAAATACAAGATCCTTTCTCTCTTGATTCATCTTTAGAGTCGGTGAAATGGGATCAACAATTGACAATTGATCACCGTTTAATACCTTGTTGTAAGATGGATCCGAAAATACAGCTCTCAACTTTGAGAAACGAATTGGATCTGGGAAATGTGATTCAATCACTACAAAAAATTCAGTCTTACTATGTGATGTTGCAATACTATGTGGAAATTGTACTCTACAATTAACTAAAATAAAAAAATAAAAAATATATTAATATATATTAAAAAAAAAAAGATATTGATTTACATACTTAGAGGATGAGTATGATCCATTTTAACATCAAGTGGAGCAGTTAAAGAAATTGGTGGCGATAATTTACTTGAATCAACCAATACATAAAGTAAAAATTGTTGAATAATTGATCTTTCCTTTTTAGAATTTGTTAAATCTAAATAAAAAGAAATAGAAAGTTAATATTATTATTATATGTTTTTTTTGTTTTTTTTTTTTCTTACCTGGAGAAAGTAAATCCATAGCATAACCAATATAACTAGTTGGTTGATTTAAATTATGAACACATTTAAGACACATTGAAAGAGTGTAGGTTAACAACATCCACCATTTCTCTCGACGATAGGTAAGAGCATTGTGGTTAAAGTATTGGAGAGCCATATCATATTGATGATCGATAAAGTATTCATTTGCAATTAGTGATTCAATAAATGAAATGATACGAGTGTTTCTATGAATGGTAGCTTGTTCAAAAGCACGTCCCAAGAGATCGACAATCAAGTTGGTATAGTTGGTTTGCAACTCTATCGAAATGGATCGATAGAAATCATCCATTTCATCGTCGTGTAATACTCCAACCATGGCAGGTGTCGAATGATCGAGTGGATGTGAAAGATCTGGAGGTGGCTGACCAATATAGATGCACCCCGTAGTCAGATTAAATCGAGGCTTAGAGTCTTTGAATTTCTGTACCGACGTTGAATTGGAGTACTTGTCAGACACCCATTTGAAATACTTTCTACGCTCCTCGGTGTATTTGGCAGCGGTTTGGTAGTAGAATATCGATCCTCCTGGTATAGCATTTCGATTCGTGTTTGTACACATCTCCAACAACTCGGCAAAGATTTGATACTCTCTTGCAATCCATTGATAATGTCCAAATTGTTTTTCATCAGGTCCATGATAAATCTTGAATAATCTAATATGTCTTTCAAATTGTTGTAATGCTTCATTTGAATTATTTGACCATAAATAAAATTTACAAATCTTAAAAAATAAAATAGAAAAGAAAAGAAATTTAATATTTGTCCTCATCTTTTTTTTCTTTTTTTTCTTTTTTACCTTGAAATTTAAAAATGAAGCAATCATTCTTAATTCTTCAAATCTTGAACCTCTTGGATCATTATTTGGTTTCCAATCTTTTAATGAATTGTATGCAAATGTATAATATTTAAGTGAAGAATTCATATCATTTCTAAATTCAGAGTAGAATGCAATCTTGAAATGATATCTAATCACAAGGAATGGATGAGTTGATTTTGCAATTTGTGATTTTGATGATTGACACTCCTCTTTGTAATGTAAATCTGTTAATTCTAATGCAAGTTTTTCCCATCTAATAAATAAAAAGGTTAATAAATGACTAATATAATATATATATATGTATAGGTATATGTATGTCTCATACTTTTTAACAAATATTTTCATTTCACTCTTGTTTAAAAAGATTATATATTTTGGATCAATATCAGCTCTTCTTCTAATCATTGAAAATCTTTCATCATATACATCAACTATAATAGAAATTATATATTAGTTCTAATTCATTCTATTTATATTCTATTCTAATTCTATTTCTTATTTACCATTTGAAGAATTGGTTACAATGACAATCATTAATTTTACATTTCTTTGTTTGATATTTGCCTTGACAGCATCGATTTGAGATAGTAGAGCATCATGTGATTTGGGAGATTTATCTTCTGGCCATTGAAGAAAGAGGGATACTACCGATGGCAGTGATGCAGTGTGTTTATGAATCCAATTGGCCTTGATGACACCCTGTGGAATGAATGACTCTGAATGATTGGGCTTCTTTTCCTTTTTGTTGGTCAATCCTCCTACCTCGATTGAAACAACCTTTATAATGGGTGGTTGTAGTAATTGTACACGCCATCCAGATACTGTGTTAGTGGTTGAACTATTTGGGGATGATGATTGTGATTGTGAGTGTTGTTGCTGTTGGAGTGCTGGTGATCCACTATTGTTTGGTGTCGATATCAACAAGTCATTGTTTAGTTGTTGTTCAATACGACTTTGATTTGAAGGAGATGATGAAATGGGTGTGTCTGCACTAACAAGTTTTGGTGATAATGGATCAAGTGATATATGTGATTGTTGTTGCTGTGATGAAGTAGCTATTGGTGAGACTGGATGTAATCTTTGAAAGTCTACAATCGATCTAGTTGATATATTCTTTTCAATGTAAAAGTGTAGATTTGATATACCAATCAATCCTACCAATGGAATTGGTAATGTAACCAATTCTTCTGGTAATTCATTCATCCTCTTGAATCTCTCTCTTTCTCTCTTCTTCTTCTTCTTCTTCTTTCTATTCGATTATCTGTAGTATCTTTTGAATGTTATATTATAAAATAAAAGAAGAATGATGAATGATGAAGATGATAATTAACACATGAAAAAGTCTACTCAATGTTCAAAAAAAAAATATTATATCATGATCTTTTTTCTTTTTTTTTTTCTTTCATAAATAGTATTTATATAAATATATAATATATTTATCCTATGTTGTATGTATGTTTTAATACTGACAACATACTGGTGGAACCACATATACTATATTAAATTTGATTATTTATTATCTAATTTGATATTTCCTCTTAACATCTGATGATGTAACGGAGTTCACCAGATTCTGGGAGACCGATGGAACCAACAGTGGCAGTCAAGGCAATCTTGGCCCAAACTGGGTTTGGTAGGGAGCAATCAAATTGATCGATTGTGTATTGCTTTGGGAGAGCAGCTTGGAGACGTTGGACAACTTGTTCGAAAGTTTCGTCTTCCTTGGCTTCGATGATGGTTGGTCCAGACACCATAGACATGAAAGTAATTGCGACCATTTTATTTGATTTAGTTATTTGTATAAACTTGTGAATAGAATTATGAATCTAGGTGATGTGGCCTATGTTTAAATATTGAAAAGACGAACATCAAAACGCGAGACTACCTCGGAAAAAAATTCAAAACGGCTCGGAAGTTGTCATTTTCTGGACACGAGTCCCATCTATGACCTATGTCACGAGGATTTCAATGATCATAACTTCGACGAACCATTTTTTGACCTCGGGTAACAACGATCATCTCTTATTTCCCATCTTCTCGTTGAAAGAAGTCTCTTTTAAAAAATATCTAGTTATATTTATTTATTTACTATTTTTGGTTGGTCAAGAACTAATTTAAAAAATTGATAAGAAGAACCCTACTATTCTAGGGGTTTGAACTAATGTACCTGCGATGGTGACTATTTAGTCTTGCAAAAGGGTGAATTGATCAGCCATCTGTAAAACATGGCGTGGGATACCACCCCACTTGGAGAATCCATTCTTGACGATTCCCAAGTCTCCAGTGATGTTGATCAACCACCAAGTTCTCCTTCTTTCGTCTTGGTGACCATTGATACCAATCCTTTGTAGCATTCACTAATGAAAAAATAAATTGAGCATCAAAAAACAGAGATTTGTATGAAGACAGATTCGCTTCCTCTCGGTCTTTGATGGTTGTCCAAAAGGAGACAAGTTGCATTAAATCGGGTGGATCTTTTAACGATATCTTTGTGCATACGTTGTTGGTTTGGTCAATGATGGTAGAGAGTGGAGGATTGGTCTTTGATATTTGGACTTCTTGGATATAACGTTCAAAAGTGATTCCTTGTTGATTCTCTTTCTCAACTTTAAGAATAATTTACATCTCTTTTCTAAATTATATATTCTACGAGTATTAAAAAGATTGATTTGAATCTTTTCTTTTTCTCTTTCTTTAAATAAAAGACCCACATGACACCTTTGGAAACTTGGACATCAATCCCCTATCCGGACATATTAATGATACTATTTTGTGTGTTGTTGATTTGTTAAATAGCTATTATTATCATTATTCCTGTAAGTGAGTGAGTGAGAGATAAAAAAGAAATAATAATTAAATTGACTTTGAAGTAGTTTAATAATAATATTATTGAAGGGTCAAATGTTGGTATTAATATTTATTTAATATTTTTAGAAGAAAGATAAGATATGAATCAGATTAATTGATTGATTGGTTGATTGGACGCGTGATGAATGTGGTTTTAAAACTATACAGAAATTGTTTGAGTGAGAAATATTTCTTTTTTTTTTTTTTAAATAAACAAAACCTTTGTTATTGACTTGATACTAGTATCCCTAGGGACGGATGGGTGGATGGTGTGACAATATTTAGTTGCTAGGAGGAGTGGAAGGAGAGGAACCTGACTCTTGAGCTGGAGTAGAAGAGGATGAAGTAGCAGTCGAAGAGGAGGAGGTGGGAGCAGAGTTCAAACGAATAGATGGAACAAATTCCTTGGCAACGGTGATGATGCTTTGGGCTGCACTCTCTAACATATAGATGGAGTTTTTGAACATTGAATCTGGTTTCTTCAAGTCTTCATATTTGGCAAGACCATTGTCAATTTGTTGTTGTAAGATGTGTGCAACGTGGCGGAACACCTCAACAGTATCATTCTTTAATTTCTATTATTATTAATTATTATAGAGGAAATAAAAAAATGAGTTAATATAAATAGCTTGGTCAAAATATCAAATATCTATTCCATTTATCATATATACCTTGACTTTTTCATTTTCATCTACCATGTTGGCAACATCATCCTTTGAGGCTCTGACCATTTTGGATAATTCCTCAAGTGAGGCATATACTTCAGTAGTGTCGAATCTGCTAACCCAGATGGTAAATGATCCGACAGAGGCTGACAAAGTGTTCAAGCCTTTGTAGACATTGTCTATGGCGGATTGGAGTGAAGCTCCCTTTAATGACACAGAGAATGTCATATCTTGAAGCTTTTGAGCAGTTTCCATGAGTAAATCAACGGTGGCAGAGAGTGGCTTGGTCTTGGAAATTTGAACTACATGATTATAGGAATTGGATGGAACGTTCATAAGTGATTCCTTGTTGATTCTCTTTCTCAACTTTAAGAATAATTTACATCTCTTTTCTAAATGATACATTCTAAATATAGTTTAAAGGATTAGATTAGTAAATATATTTCTTTTTCTTTTCATATGATTTAAATGTAGACATACTCAGTTTCATTGTCGAGATCTTCATTGGTTGGTGGTGGAAGTACGGTATCAACAACAGAGTCTGCAATACCAACAGTCTTTTGAACAAGATCATTAACTTGAGTTCCTTGAATCTTTTCAGAACCATAGTCCAAGACACGATCCAATACACCATCAACACTTGAAACTGCATTGTAAAAGGTATCTTTTGTTCCTTCAGATGCTCTTGATACAGTGCTTTCAATTTGATCAAGTTTCTTGACACCAAATTGATCAACCGATTGTAATAATGGATCACATTTATCTAGAATTGGTTTGCCAATAGTTGTAACAACTTGTTCTGTAAGTGCAATAGGTGTCTTTTATACAAAAAAAAAAAAAAAATGTAAGCAAATTAAATATTTAATTAAAAGAAAGGGAGAGCTGTTTGTTTGTTTCTTTACGAGTAGTTCATCTATAACATTTCCTTATTGTGTGTAAAAGATAGATAGAAAGATAGAAAAGACAGATAATAATTTACCTTTAGCAATGAATATTGTTTAGCATAGTTGTAGAGATTGAAAGTTCTATCAACAGTACCTTGAACTAAAGAGTAGTCATAGATACGTGAAAGTGTTGCATACTTTCCAACAGTAACAACATCTGATGGAGCCGAGGAAGGAGATGGATTTGAAGAAGATGATGATGACATTATTATATTTAAAATGAAACTATTATTAATGTATTTGTGTAAGATAAAAAATAGTAATAAACTAATAACTATTATACTAATGATTTCTTCTTTAATGAGTAGCAAAAATTTTCATGAAATAATTAATGTTGGGGAAAGAAAAAAAATAATAATAAATATTTTTATTGGGGGAAGGGGTTTACTTTTATTTTTTAACAACATCATCAACTACTAAAAATAGTAATTTTATTATTAAAATCGTCTTGAAGAGACGCAATAAAAATCTGATTCTTTTCTCTCTCGTTTTTTTGCAACCTTCCCAAAAGCTGCACTTCACCACTTCATGACTCATCGCATAACATCTTTGGTTCATTTTTGATGAAGCAACACTTGTAGCTATGTTCGTTCAGGTCAAACGATTTAATTTTTACACAAATAGATGAAAGATAGATATAATAATAATTATTATTTACCTTGAGCAATGAACAATATTGTTTGGTCGACCAGTCGTAGAGATTAAAAATTCTATGTAGCTTTTGAACCAAAAGGATAGATACGTAATTAACCTAAACATCATCTGTACATAATCAACAACCATTGCAATGTCTACCAGTAAATGAAAAATACTAGTAAGTTCACCTCGAGATGGCATCTCCAGAGATCATAATAGTAGTAATCTTACTTATTTTGTTGTACAACATTAACAAACCCATGTTTATGGAACAGAGATGATAGTTGTGCTTGGTTAAGTCGGTAGCACCTGCTGCTATGAATTTTGATAGATTAAAACTTTCAGGATCAATGCTTGTTGCTTCACACGCCAAAACATTCGAGTCTATTGCTCACCTTATTGTATCAGAAGCTCCAAATGAGAAGAGGTTTAAATTACGACCTGCTTTCTCGAGACCGGCAAAACAAGGTTGGCTTTCCTCTATCCTTTCATGTTCTCAAAAACATTTGTTCAAGACCCAATTAAACCCTCAACATTAAATGGTAGGTAACTTATTTATTTATTCAAAAATCAAGTCGTGATTCAAATATGAATATTAACATTACCTATGTCTTTTAGAATCTTTGGAAAATAAAACTTGGTTACCAAGTTTTGGAAACTCCTCGTAAATGCTAAACTAGGTGGTGTTCACCCTGTTGGTCATTTCTCTATTGGAGAATCATCCATTGATGAGAAAACAACAATACCTATTCTCACCCTTCAACCAGGCACATTCTTCCCATCAAAGAAGAGGGTAGACAACACTGACCCAATATATATTAGAGACTGTTACATTCGACTTTTGGAAAAAATAGATTTGACTCAAAGGGTTGGTATGACTACATTGGTAAAAGGTAACCCAAGTATTGGTAAATCTATTTTCCTCTTTTTTTATCTATACCAAAAGAGACTTGACCCAAACATAAAGTCAATTTTCTTTGATGTTGCCAATGCAGCTGAAATGTATCAGTTTACATACACCTCTACTCGGGAACCAGTTGTATACTCTGGTAAAGGGAGTCATTCCAAGACAAGTTAGAAGGTGACGATCCTTCAAGTTTGTATCTTGTTGATAATTATGTTTATAAATAATACAAGTTTTGTTGTTGTTGGGTTATATTTTATATTTTTTGATTTAATTATTTCTTTTTTAATTTTTTTCTTTCTATTTTTCTGATTATTTTGGTAAAGCATCAATTTCAGATTGTAATTCCTTTGTAGTTGCATCTAATTTTAATTGGATAAATGGAGTGATTTTGAGACCTTGAACAATAGACCATTCACCAGCACGACATTGGACGGGGAAGGAAAAGACCAATCCCTTTGGAATGTTGTAAGAGCCGTCAGAGACAACAGCCATGGATACAGTTTCACCGTCCTTGGTGCCGAGTACCCAATCACGCATATGACCGACGATAGCATTGGCAGCTGATGCAGCCGAGCTGAGCTTACGCGCAGCAATGACAGCAGCACCTCTATTTTGGACTTGTGGAATAAACGATTCTTCCAACCACTTGTTGTCATTGACGGCAGTCAATACGGGGGTGGTTAACCCCTTTTCTGGAAAATCTTGAATGACAGCGTTGGTAACGTCTGGCACTTGGGTGAGTGAATGGTTACCCCAGATGGACACATTCTTGACCTTGGCGACTGGTACACCTACACGTTCGGCAATCATCGATACAGCACGGTTCTGGTCGAGACGAGTGAGTGCTGAAAAGTTGGTGGAAGGGAGGTCTGCCTTGGCAGCAAGACATGCAATGTAGGCGTTGGTGTTGGCTGGGTTGCCGACGACCAATACCTTGACACCGCGAGCTGCGTATTTGGCAAGTGCTGCACCTTGCTCTTTGAAAATGTTGGCGTTCATCTTGAGAAGATCGCTACGTTGCATACCTGGACCACGTGGGAATGCACCAACCATCAAACACACCTGGATGCCCATAAAGGCAGTCTTGACGTCGGTGGTGGCGACAGTACCTGCGAGCAATGGGAATGCACCGTCGTTGAGTTCCATCACGACACCATTCAACACTTCTTGCATCTTGGGGATATCCAAAAGATGGAGGACGACCGGTTGGTATGGACCAAACATCTGTCCACTAGCAATCATAAACACCAATGAATAGGCGATTTGACCGGCAGCACCAGTCACCAAAACACGAATTGGGTTTGGTTTGGCGTGTGGTGAAGTATTGATCACTGACCATGCCTTTTCTGGGCATGCCAATGGTGCAGTAGACTTTTGTGAGAATGGGCATTGTCCTCCTCCTCTGACTCCACTTGTTGTCAAGTGACCTGAAATATTATTAATTCTAAGTGTTGCTGATTCCATTATAATGATTATATATATTCCTCCTATTTGAATATGAATATTAAATATCAATATCATCAAGTACAATATATATGTATCTATCTAATGCTTTGTGTAACCAATCTATCTATCTATCCATCTATCAAACTATCGATCTTTCTCTCATCACAATGATCATCATCATAATGAAACAACCCTTCTATCTTCTTTATTCACTTTCTTGCATTCTTTGATAATATAATACTTACAACTATTAATGTCTATCTATCTTGTATGTAACAAGCTCAAAGATAAACCGTGAAAGAATGAATGAATGTGGGTAGTTTGCAGAGAGTATTGAAAAAAATCAAATTTCCTCTTCATGATGATTAAATTAACCTTTTTAGGAATAACCGATCATCCAACTCATAACCATTTATAAAAATGATAAAAAAATATTAAAGAGAGAATTAATAAAAATAATGTCAATAATATCATTGTTTTATTACTATGAGTTCATTGGTAGATTCTAATCGAAGTTCACAATCGTTCATTCCCACCTTTTTTTTAAAAAACTCGATTTATTTATTTATTTTCGTAGCCTGAGACGACTATCATGCACAAAAAAAATTAATTAATCTATTTTGAAATATATACAACTTTAAATAAATAAAGTAATAGATAGATAGAGAATGTCGACAAAGGAAGAACCAGGAGTCCCACAAGAAAAGAAGGAGGAAGAACAAATTAACTTGCGTGTAGCCAACTCTGTATGTGGTGTTCAAGTTGAACAAAACAAAGACTGTTCATATATATAGGTATTAGTTACTAATCATACTATCTCTTTATTTGTTTATAAAGGATGGCTCAGAAGTTTATTTCAAGATCAAAAAGACTACTCCATTAAAGAAGCTTTGTGACGCTTTTTGTCAAGTATTTATCAATCATTGCGACTTGCGAAAATTACACAATAGACTGACATTGCAAACTTATCACTAACCTAACCTCTTCCTAACCTACCCCTTCTATTAGAGACAAGGTATTAACCCAAACTCTGTTCGTTTCTTGTTTGAAGGTCAAAGAATCAACCCAGATCGTACCCCAAAGGATGTATGTACAACAATAGCAGAAGCAGTATAGACAATGGTTGTTATTCTCATTCTCATTCTCATTCTAACCATTGTTTTCTTGCTTTTTTATCAATTCAACAGTACAATATGGAGAATGAAGATCAATTAGGTGAGTAGATTCAATCAATCAATATATATTTATTGATTCACAAACTTGAAACTTTAATCATCATCATCATACTTACTAACTTTTTGTATTTATTTTACGAAACAACTCTTTTGGAATGAAACCTATCTATTCATACATATATATATATATATATATAGACTGTGCCATTGAACAACAAGGTGGCAGCTTTTAAATTGTCGATTAGTAGATAAACTATAGACAAGATACAACAAAAGGTTTATGATATATTTTTTTTTTTTATATATAATGGACACTATTAATAATAGTGTATTATACATACTCAAATCCAAACAAAGCTCTTGAAATGACCAAATTTATGTGAGGCTCAATCAAATTGATTGAATCTCCAAAATAAAGACAAAACAAATAACAATCCAATCAAACCTAATCCAAAGCCCTTATAAATGACAATATGTATGAATGTATATTGATCAACAATTTGGATAGTATTTAATTTAAACAATCGAATAGAACTTCGAAAAGCAACCGAAGTTCTGTTCTTTGTGCCAAGGGACCATATGAAAGTTTTAATAAATCAGGGTTGCCAATCGGTCTTGAGGAATCCACCAAAATCATTGATAATAGCACCAACAAAACTATTATCCAATATTATATCAATATATCGGTATTGATAGAAGATGATCAAATTAATCAAATATTTAAATAATATTTTTCCTTTTCAAATAAAGATAGATCTTAAGTTTGAATTGTGTGTAGATCTTTCTTGTTTTATATCCTGAAAGATTAGGATCACCTAGGACTTGGGAAAGGACTTAGGAACTATCTTGTTTTCATTTCCTACGTCCTAAAACTCATCTTGGTAGGCTAAGTCCTCATTCCCTTTTTGGCTTCGGGCTACTTTGTCACCTACGGAGATGAATCATAGGTTGGGGTGCCATGTCCCTCTGAGAAAAAATAAAAAACTTAATAATAAAAAAAATATCGTGTTTTCCGGATATTTTTTGAGACTCCTGACTAATAAAAGAGCCATCAATTAAAAAGATAAATTAATCATTTCAATGTAATACAATTGTATACATCTAACAAATAATAATAATAGTAATAAAAATGACACTAAATTCTCTACCAACTGCATCATCAACTGAATCATCTGCATCTTCATCGATAGTAGCACCATCGACAAATTACAACCCAATATCATATCAAAATATCACTATTGACAGAGATAATGATGATCCAGATCATCCAGAATCTTACATTTCAACAGATACTCAAACACCAAAACCAGAGGAAGAAGAATCAACCAATGCTACAACAAATAATACTACAAATAATACTACCAACACTGTGAATAATAATACAACAAATGTGGCATCACCACAAAGAGTTGGAACTTTAACGATTTTAAGATCGACACCATTGATTAGTGCAATCTTTGATCATCAATATGAAAAGGCTGAAGAGTTGATCACCACCTCTCCACATATGATCAATGTTGCTGAACCCAATCAAGGTTATACCCCTTTATTATTAGCTAGTATGTAATTTAACAAACATATTTATTTTAATAATAATAGATATCAACTTAAGTTTCATTTCTAACATTGACTGTCTTTTTTTGTAGTTGAAAATAAAAACAAAGAGGTTGCATTGGATATTACTAAAAAGTTGATAGGAGCTGGTGCAATGATCAAGGTAATGACCAAAGGTGGACATACTCCATTTGGACAGGCTTGTTCATTTGGTAATTTAAAGGCTGCTCAGTATATGGCTGCCGTTGACCAATCACTCATCGATGAAATCCTTCCAGTTCCACCTATATTGTTGGCCGCTGAAAAGGGACATTTAAAGGTAGTACAATGGTTGGTAGAAAGTGGAGCCTACATCTATGCACAATAGACCAAGACTTCTATTAAAAATAAGGGTGTCATGGCACTCCACCAAGCAAGTTGCAATGGTCACTTGGAAGTGGTTCGTTTCTTTGTAGAGCAATGTGGAATGTATATCGAAGATCGTTCAAACTTGTTGGGTGTGACCGCTCTCTATATGGCCATTGAACAAAACCATTTAGAGGTTGCCAAATACCTAAGAAAGGCCAACCCTAATGTACCCCGTTCCGATAGTTTCTTTGGTTTGTATATGGCTGCTCAAGGTGGATTAACTGAAATGGTAAAGTTAATTCTCAGCTATGGAGCCGATCCAAATCAACGTGTATCTGCTGGCAATACTCCATTGGATATTGCAAGAACCAAAAAATTCCCAGAGATTATTCAAATCTTAACTCCAATAACTTCACAAGCACTGTGTAAAACATCACCATCTGATGGCGCACCAGCATCCAATTCTTCTGGTTGTATCATTATGTAAACAACAAAAAATAAACATTAATTTTTATTCTTCCTTTTTTAAAAAGAGATATTATATATTATTATTGTTTATACTATACTTACCTCTTGGGAAGAAAACCAATTGATATTAAAGCTAAAACAAATGCAAGTATAGATTGGGCCAACAATACACTTATGAATTATGTCTCTACATATTTGAAAATCTGTGACCCATTCTGAGAGTGACTACCGTTGCAGTTTTTAAATCAAACTAAATTGAATGAACCTCACTCATATTCTATTTCTTTGATTCTTTTCTTTCTCTCTCTTTTCATTTTTTATTTTAATTTCATTAAATTGTTTGTTTCTTTTGGTCTTGGTCATTGATCTTGATCACTTCTCACTTTTGTACAGATGACGTGTAGGTGATAAGTTTTCGGAAAAAGCGTCTTGTCTTTGAAAGAAAAGATCACTTTTTTTATACGAGTTTTTTGGATCACCTGAAAGATTGGGATACTGAAGCCTACTTCTTGTTCTACAAGATTAGTGATCCTCAATATAAATACTCTTTAAATCATGTAAATCATCTACTAGTTAAACAACTACCAACTCAATCTTGTTATTCGCAATCGAATAAGAAATAGAGAACAACAAGTCAGCAGACATATCTTAGCAACACTATAATATTAATATAATATTTATGATGGCAAAACAAGAGACAACCCTAAACTATGATGAACATGATGTTCATCCAAGTAATTATCTATTAACTAATCCAACAACACCACCATCCTCTTTGACCAATCAATCATCATATGATCTAAAGAAAGGTGGATCTGTTAATATATCATTACCAACTCGATTGATTAGAGCCGTTTACAATAATAACTTTGCAGAGATTGATCAATTATTAAATACTCAACCTGATATGGTTAATATTGCTGAGCCTATCAATGGTTATACTCCACTCATGTTGGCTGGTATGTATAAATATAAATAATATAAATAGAAATACTACTATGTTACATTTACTAATATTATTTATTTAATTAATTTCTAGCTGAGAATCCAAATGATCAAATATCATATCTTGTTTGTAAAAGATTAATAGAAGCTGGAGCACTCATTAAAGTGATGACTAAAAGAGGACATACTCCATTTGGACAGGCTTGTTCATTTGGTAATTTAAAGGCTGCTCAGTATATGGCTGCCGTTGACCAATCACTCATCGATGAAATCCTTCCAGTTCCACCTATTGTAGTGGCCGCTGAAAAGGGACATTTAAAGGTAGTACAATGGTTGGTAGAAAGCGGTGCCTATATTAATGCACAATGTGTCAAGGCGTCAATGGGTAACAAAGGTATCACATGTCTACACCAAGCAAGTTGCAAGGGACACCTAGATATTGTACAATTTTTGGTTGAAAGATACAACTTTCCAATCGAAGACTGTTCCAATAAACTATCGTGTACGTCTCTATACCTTGCCATTGAACAGAATCAACTGGCCATTGCAGAATACCTTTTACAAAGAGGTGCCAACCCAAATACACCACGATCCGATGGTGTCTCTGGTTTGGCCATTGCATCATTCAAAGGATACACAGATATGGTACAACTCATCATCAAATACAATGCCAACCCAAATCAACAAACCCTCTCTGGTCTAACAGCTTTGGATTATGCCATTAAACAAGGACATCAATCAATTGTACAATTATTACTTCCAATTACTAAATCAAATAATACAAATACAACAAACTATACAACAACGACAACAACAACAACACCATTGAAATCAAATAATAATAATAATAATAATAACGATACTATATTTGCCAAACCAGCACCAAAAATACCATCCTCTATGATTATGAATAATCATAAGATATAAATTAATAATAATTAATTAATTATTATTATATAAAGGATAGAGAGAGAGAGGCAAAAACACTGTAAATAAAAACACTAATCAAAATGAATCAACAACGGCCGTTGAACAATATATCTGTCTCTCTTTCTCTCTCTCTTTTAATTTACAACATATATATATGATTTATTATTAATATTATTAATTATTAATTTAAATGATTAATAAATCATAATTTGACCAACCTAAAACCAAAACACAACACATGAAAACAGTGATATTATCCCAGTCTTCGATGGGAAGTGATTCAACGATGGCACCTATAATGGACACTACAATGAGTGAAGGTATAAAAGCATACAACGAGAAATGAATGAGATAACCATAGGATTGGATGATAGTGAGAAGCATCAAACTTCCAACGACTGAAAAGATGACAAATGATACAGAACCAACGATGGTTTTCGAACGATTATAAGGTATTCTTGCACGACCAAACTCACTTCCAATGAGACCTGCAAAGCCATCACCAAAACATAAAAGTGATAGGGCAGTGATACCAACCGGTGAGTTTGCCCAATAAATGATAGTAGACAATACGAAAATGATACCATATGTAGCTGGTCCAAACAGTAGTTCTCTAGGATTACCAGAGCGTGACATGGAATCAACCACCTTTTTATCCTTTAACAATCCCATACCAACCAATGTAAATTGAAATGTAACCAATGCAGGTATAATCGAACAATACAATCTAGATGATGGATCATTTATTGGATATAATCCCCATGACATTACATATATTATACCTGTTCCAATGTGTACCTAAAAAATAATGATGATGATGAAAGATGAAGATGAAGATCAAGATCAAGATCATCATATGACTTGAAATGTTAATGATCAATGATGATCTCTTTTTACTATACTATACTACTACTATCATGATACATACTAATTTCCTACATCTTGCTGGTGATACTACTTTATTTGAAGATAAGAATTGAGTGAATAATAACCAAGATAAACATAATAGACCAACTTTAGCAGTTGGTATAATATTATGATTCATCATGATGATTGAATATAAATATGAATATAAAAGTGATTATAAATAAATAAATAAATATATATATATATTTAATGCATTCAAAGTAGTTTATTATGAACTATAAAAAGATGTAAACAGATAATAAAAAGGTTGATAGAATTATCAAATTGTCAGAAGATTCAAATTATAATAAATTAAAAATTTAATATTTTAAAAACAATTGGGGAATGTGATTGATTTCATTTGGGATATCCCAAAATCTATAAATAGATATCTATAGATATTATCTATTATCTGATTGTTTATATTTGTATAGTAGTTATATTTATTTATTTAGACTATTTTATTTACATAATAGAACAATCTGAAGAAACAGATACAGGTGTTAATAATTTAATGATATCTTTGTGATGGAATTTTTTGGCGATGTCCATTGCTGTATGACCATCGAGTGTTTGTTGATTGGGGTTGGCATTGTATCTTAGTACTAATTTGACCATATCAGTGTGTCCTTTTTGAGCTGCCATAAACAACCCGAAAATACCATCTCTTCGAGTGATATTCGGATTGGCACCTTTCCACAAGAGGTACTCTGCCACTTCTAATTGATTTTGTTCCATGGCTAGATAGAGAGGTGTGTTTCCACAAGTATTGGATTGTTCGTCGATATAGATTCCGCATTGTTCAACTAAAAATCTGACCACATGTATTCTACCCATGACAGAGGCTTGATGAATTGCCATCAAACCCTTGTTGGCGACAGCTTCAGTGGTTAGTTGGGCACCTGGAAAGGCACCATGTTGTACTAGCCACTGGACAATATGCAAGTGGCCTGACTCTGCCGCAATAATAATCGATGGAACTGGAATGATTTCAGTGATGAGTGTTGGATCAATCGAGGCCAAATGTTGAGCAGATTTAAAGTTTCCATTTGAACAAGCTTGACTAAATGGTGTAAATCCTCTATGATTCATCACTCTAATAACTGCTCCATTTTCAATAAGTAATTTTGATAATCTAAATGATATATCATCATTTTGTATTTCATCTTTAAAATATATAAAAAAAAAAAGAAAGAGATAAAAGGTTAGGAATAAAAATTATTATTTTCACTTCTATGTTTGTACATACTAGCCAAGATTAATGCAGTATAACCATAACCAGATTCAGCATAGTTAATTAAATGTGCATTTTCTTTGTTGGTGATTAATGATTCGGCCTCTTGGAATTGACGATCTATTAATGCGGTGAGAATTGGTGTTTCTCTTTTGATGGTGACTAATTTCTTGCCTTTTGCCGCGGTTTTTGGTTGTGGCAAAGGAGGTAATAATGGAAGTCCTGGATGAAGAGGTCCTGATTGTGGAGGATGGTTAGGTTGTGGAGGTTGATGAGGTTGTGGAGGCTGGTGAGGTTGGTTAGGTTGTTGTGGTGGTGGTGGGTTCGGAGCAATGTCATCGACATCTTCTTCATCAATACCAACATCTACATCTGGTTTTATTGGTGCATCTGTAGCACATGATGCTGATGATGATGGTTTAGTTTCTGGTGTTAGTGTCATATTAGTAGTAGTAGTATTATTTAATTGCGTAGTTTGAGTGATTGATCATTCAACTTGAGTGATCGCTTCGAACCAACGGTTTATAAATAAAAATTGATCGTTTCCCTGGTTCAAAAAAAAAAAAGAAATTAAAAAAAGGTTCGATCTCCACCCTTGAAGTTGACCACGTCGATTCAGACCATGGGCAGCGGGTTTTGATTCTTGGGATTATAGGGGGGATCTTATCGTAGGTACAACTCCGACCGAGTATTGCGGTGTGTGTTTAAACAGGGGAGAAAAAAATAACAAGGTGTGATACAATCACTTTTATTATTATTATAACTAATTCTCTCTCTCTTTATATATTTGTTGTTGTTGTTTCATATTATTATATTATATATATATTTATATTATGTTGTTGATCGGGTTATATAGTATTTGATACATCAAAGGGGTGTGAGTTGGTTTTGGTTGGGTTTGGGGAGTATAGGGATTGAATAAATAAATAAATAAATGAGATATAAAGAAATCTTCTTTCTTTTTCTCTTTTTCTCTTTTTCTTTTGTTGTTTCTAAAAAGTATTTGTTAAATATTTTGTAATATCAGTAAAGGAAGGTCTTTTGTTTTGATCCTCTTGCCAACACCAAACAACTAATTTCTTCCAATTAGGGTCACAATTGTCGGGAAGTTCGGGACGGAGCTCTTTAGAGGCGACAAGGATACCCGCATTCATTGGAGGAATGCCTGCATATGGTTCCTCGCCAGTCAACAACTCCCAAAGTACAATAGCATAAGAATATACATCTGCCTTTTGATTATAACTATCGTGTCTAAGAATCTCTGGTGCAGTCCATGCAACCGTTCCAATAGTTGTCATTGTTTGAGTAAATGATGTTTCTCTTGCAATTCCCAAATCTGCAATTTTAATATTAAAATGTTTATCCAATAATAAATTACTTGATTTTAAATCTCTATGGATAATATCTAAATGATAAACTCTAATTAATATTTTGGTTGATTGAAATATTTTCTTCATTTTCTTCTTTCTTCCTTCTTCTTTTTTCTTTTTTCTTTTCTTTTTTTCATTTTTTGTTTTCATACTTCTTGAATGTAAATGTTGCATTCCACGAGCAATATCAAAAGCAAATTGAAGTAAAAGAGTTGAATCCATTTTGTTTTCACGTGAATGGATAAGATCAAACAGATTACCAGTGGGGAGAAACTCCATAACTATACACATTGGGTTGACACAATATCCATAACAATTGACAAGATTTGGATGTTGCAGTGATCCCAATAACTCCACCTCTGCCTTGAATTCGTTCATCATCTCTTCTTTTGGTTTGTCTTTGAGTAGATTCAATTTCTTGACTGCTACATCCTTGCCTTTCCAAACGCCTCTTAGAACCTTTGAAAAATGACCCTTTCCAATCTCCTTTTCAATTTTAATATCTGGATAATTTATCATTGTTACACTTGATGAAATTGGTAAATTTGCTAAATAGAAAAAAATAAAATAAATAAATTAATCCTTTGATTATTCTTTTTGTTTTGTTTTTTGTTTTTAATTTTACATACTTGTATTTACAAACCAAATATCATCTAAAATATTACCACCTTGACCTTTACCACCAAGAATATAAAGATTTGAACCATTTTTAATGAGAGCATGATGAGAATGTGGAGTGATTTGGATACCTGTGACCTTTGTCCAAAGCATCTTGTAGGATAATGTCCAAATGTCACGATGTGTTACATTTTCACGTTTACCACCTACGACGATAAGATTTCTACCGACACGAGTGGCAGCATGAAAAGAACGTTCTGGTGGTATCTCACTACCTTGTACAATTGGTTGAATCCATTCATAACTATCCAACTGGAGGATATTAATATCATTCAGGTCTTTGGTACGATTAGAACCACCAAATACAATCAACTTTTCACCTAGAATGGTAGAAGAATGACCATAACGTTCAGAGGGTGGATTACCAGTAGCTGCAAGTGTCGACCATGTCATTGTCTCTGGATCCAAAAGATGTGTATCATTTAGTATCTTTTCACCATCGAATCCTCCAAACAAGATAAACCTGTTACCATATCTCGTAAGAGTATGTCCTATACGAGGTGACGGTGAATAACTATTGATACGTGGTTGTGACCAATGAACTGTTGAATCATCGATAATAGTAATCACGTACACCTTGTTTGACATTTTACCTCCGACCATACCACCATACAAATAGAATTTATTACCAATTCTACACATATCGTGAAGATAGATTGATTCGGGTGCAATCTTTCCTCCTGTCACCTTTGGTGTTGTCGAAAGTCCCTTGTCTGCATCTATAAATTGTACAATACTATTAATATCTTTAATTCCTTCTCCACCAATTGATACTAATGACATTCCATAAACTGCTATTGAATTTGACTAAACAAATAAATAAAAGATTAATATTTAAACCAACTATATCTATTCTTTTTTTGTTTGCTTACACATCTTGGAGGAGAAATAGTAAATGGAGAAAGTTGCCAATCCAATTTTTCTTCAAGATTTGAAGATAATTTTGTAAAATGAGTAATATTACTCTTTACTTTTTTAATATTTTCCAATTCTGACAACTCTTCCTTTGTCTCTTTGACAATGGTATCATCTCCATCTGAATCATGGTTATTGTTATCATCGCTTCCATCAGATGCACCATTTAAATCATCAAAACTACCAACCACCGATGGGTCAGTGTCATTGTCTCCTCCTCCTCCACCTCTATCGTCCAACTTATTGGATCGATCCTTGTTGTGTTGGTGATTGAGGTGATTATTCTTATAGTTTAAGTTATAGTTTAGATATTGATTGTAATACCCTGGTGGAAGGGATCTACGATGATTGTCATAGGGTCTAGTACGATAAAATGATCCAGATGAATCACGACCATCATCAAATGAAGAGAATGAAGAAAACGATGCAAATGTTGGAAGATTGGGAACAGTATTTATAAAATCTGGTTGGAAATGTGATAATTGTGTTGTTTGTTGCATTTGTTGTTGTTGTTGTTGTGTTTGTGTCTGTTGTTGTTGTTGTTGAAGAGACTGTTGTTGTTGTGATATTTGTTGTTGTTGTTGTTGTAATAATTGATGTTGTTGCATTAACAGTTGATGTTGTTGTTGGAGATGTGGTGGAAGGTAATGAGTAAGACTGTTGGCTGATAATGAGGCGGTGGTTGAAGATCCACCTGAATGTGATCGGTTATGATGTTTTCCATTGGGTGTCATTCTATTGGTTGGTTTTTGGTTCATTGAATGTGTTGCCTCTTCATAAACTCTAATCTTTTCTTTTATCGATAGATCCTTGTTATTGTCTGACATTTCTTGTTGATGATGATGATTATTTTCTTTGTTGTTACTGTTATTATTATTATTTTTAGTCTCTACAGACAATGTAGAGGATGATGAAGAAGACAAAGATGATGATGATTGATTATTGGTCGATATTCCACGTCCATGAGATGATATACTATACACGTGATTGTCAATATACATAAATAAATAAAAGGTGGCAGCAAACCACACGGGCAAAGGTATGGATTGCTTGAATGTTACATGTAGTCCATGTACAATAAATACGACAACCGCCGATACAAACAGATAATAGTAGCTGATTGGTATAGTGTTGCCAAGTATTCTCTTTGGTGGACCACTTATCATTGAAAATACAAATACAAATGGTGATAGAATCCAATTTAATAGTCTACCTTTGAGATTTTTGTTTGTTGCTATTGTTGTTGACGACGTTTTCAATATAACTTGTTCTTCTTGTTCCTCTTCTTCTTGTTCTTCACTTGTTTCTTCATCTCCATCTTCTTGTTGTTGTTCATGTTGCTGTTGATTACTGTCATCTTTGTTTGTATTTGATATCATATTATTGGTATCATTAATATTTGAAAGAAGTGGGTCAAATGGAATAGGAGAATGGGATGGTGACGTCTTGTTACTATCACTTGACATTGTTGTTGTTGATAGTCTTTCCTTTAATGGTGTCGGTGGACTACCATCATCACTATTATTATTACTATTACTATTATTATTGTTTAATAAAGCAAATGTTATTCTTCTTTTTGTGGTTGGTGATAGGTTGGATGACAAATCATCCTTGTTTGCAACATGTTGATCAACTAGCAGCGATTGACTTCTATTTCTCAATGATGACCCTTGTTGTTGCTGTTGCTGCTGTTGCGGCTGCTGATTAATGGTTGTGATTGTCGCCAGTCTTTAAAAATATGAAGAGGAATAGGAATCGACTACTACTATTGCTGCTGTTGGTTGGTATGTTAACATGTATCTCGATATATAATATATTGTATGTGTATGTATCTGTATTATTATCTATATTAATCTTTTTCTATTATTGTATTATTGTTTGTCCTGTTGTTGATGATGGCGAAGTGGATGGTTGGTTCTTTGACACCTTTCCTTTTTACTTTTTTTGTAAAAAATATAAAAAAAAGGCAAAGAATCTGAATCTACCTATTATGTTTGACCTAATATTATAAGTAAAGTAAAGTAGTGTAGTCTCTTTACTACCTTTTATTATTATTATTATTATTACAAAAATATAATATTATAATAAACAATGAATAATAGATTTTAAACAATTACCAGAGTACAGTACTAGTGTGTGTTATCGAGTTGACAAATTATCTTTATTTCCCACCCATTCCATCCCATTTGTTAATTTTAGACAAATTTTCAACGATTGTCGTGAGTGGAAGAGGGACCCAAACCCACTTAATTTTATCGTCTTTATTGTGAACTGTGTACTCGGTTCATTCTTCTACCATTCAATAGAATAATTTAGTATATTTTTATTATTCCTAAAAGTAATTATCAATGTCATTGTCTTTCAAAAAAATAGAATAGAATGGAATAGAATAGAGTTTATTTACAATTTTGGATTAGAATCTAACACTTTTAACAAATAAGGGAGGTTTGGTTGTATTTGCGGAAATGAATCTATAAACAAATAGTAAAGAAAGAAAGAATGAATGAAATCAAAAAAAGTAAGTATATTAAAGATAATTTTCCAAAATAGGAAGATTAAGAAAAAGCATACCCAAAAGTATAAATTTGTTCTGGTAATATACCATCTTGGAAATCTGGTAACATTAATTCCAAGGCATCATCATAAAACTTTGCATTCCAAATAGAGTTTGCTTTGAATAATTCCAATCCTGCTGCATGAAGTGTAATTCTTCTAACCTTTTTATTGGTTAAATTCTTTAATGATCCTTTAAATTGTGCACACTCTGTCCATGCTCCATCAACTGTAATATTGAACTCTATTAATTGTTTTGCTTGAACTATTGGTTGATCAACATAAATGATAAATTAAATATTTAGAATTAATTCCAACTTTTAGAAATATTAAATTATATTTAACAAACATACGATTTGGTCTACAAATGGCTGTTGACGAATCAGAGATACAAAATAAACCTTTTCTACAACTTCTAGGTCCACATAATTCAACACTATAAGAGAATTGAAATGTTACAATACAAATAAATATTATAAATATTAAAAAATCAATTTTAATCATTGTAAGTGTGTAAATAATAAAATAAATAAATAAAATAAATAAATAAAATAAATAAATAGATGATTAACTTCTTTAAAAAAAAAAATGAATCAAATCTTTGTTTGTATATTTTAATTCTCTTTATGAAAATCATAATGTACATCAATTATTTACACTAAAATCAATTTGGATAAAAGATAGATAGATATCTTTTGTAAAATACTAAATGTGGTGATGATAAGTTGGTTAATACATTAGTGTGTGTGAGTGAGTGTTAAAAGTGTTCAAATTGGTTGATGGAAAACGGGAATCACAGTATTATTTAAATTGTTGTTTTCGTATAGGGCTATTTATTTGTTTACCAGGCATATTTGTATTATGTTATCCCAATCGTTTGTTCTTCTTCTTTTGAGTACTGCTATTATTATTATTATTTATAATTATTATTTGTTTAGTTGATGTTATTTATTATTAATACTCTATAGTTTGATGAAATTCATTAGATGCTTCTTCTTGTTCTTGTTCCTGATGACTTGATTAATTATTATTATGTACACTACAATGGTAGAGGATGAAAGAGTTTTTTTGTTTTTTGATGAGGTTTATCTATTATATTATAAATCATTTGCCAAACCCAATCTACGACTACTATTATTAAATTATCTCTTTTGAGAGAGAGAGAGATTATCGTTTAGTTGATTTCATAATTAAATTAAAATCATCTGCTATTTCATTTTCCTTTAATGCAAATACAAGTGGTGGAGCTAAAAGAAATAAATAATTAAAAGAGTTAAAAAAAAGAGTTGATCCATCAATTCATCAAAGTATATTGGCAACTTACGAGTAGGCTTTTTCTGTGTTTTAGGTTGTTCTTTTTGTGCTGGTCTTCTTCTTGGTCTTAATGGTTTAGATTCTCCATCTAGATAAAAAAAAAAATATTAAAATTAAATTAATTAATATATGGATTCATTATTTAATTATTAATTATTATTTAACTAATTGCTTACCTGTTAATCTTAGTGAATCCTTTTCCTCTGATATTCTTTTTTGTCTATCATTTAACATGCCAACCATTTTTTCTTTCAAATGTTGGGTTTCCTCATCGTATTCATCATTGAATTGTTGCAATTCGGCAGCAAAAGTGTTCATAATATTCTGTAGTTGATAATTCTTCCAAGTCTCTGCGACTTGTATTTTCTTTTCCTTTTTGACTTCCAACTCTCTCATTTTGTCTTGATAACTGAGATGGTCACCTAATTATTAAAAAAAAATAAACAAATTAGTAAATAAAGAATAAACCAAGGGTTACATTGTTTGTTTGTTTGTTCATTGTAATACGTCATTTTTAAAAATGACGATCTATCTCCTCCAATCTAATTATTAATTTTTTGCTTTTCATTTTTCTTTTTCAATTTTATACATACCAACTTTAATATCATCCATTTCTTTTTTAATTCTGATTTAATTTATCTGTAAAGAATTTTTCTTTAAGATCTGCAAACTCTTTTTCTATTTTTTCCATGTTTCCCAAGCAATCCAGTCTTCTCTTTGCCTCGATATCGGCCTCTTTGTTGACACTATAACTGCTCTTTCCAATGGCTTCACCGACACGGTCCTTGTTAAAGGCCTCTTCATAGTCTGCAAATTCAATGTCTTGATCTCCTCCTCCTCCTCCTCCTGCCCGAGGCGTCTCTTGTTGTGCTTCCTTTCTTTTCTTGGTCAACTCATCCTCTATCGTTCTTGGATCAATCTCTTCTTCTTCCTGTTCCTCTTCTTGTTGTTGTTCCTTGATCTCACTGTCTGTACCATTGGTATCCTCGTTGGTTGTGACAGCTGCTGCTGCGGTAGTCGTAGTAGTAGTGCTGGTTGATTCTTCTTCATCGTTATCATTTTCCATTTTATCTTCTGTTTCTGTCTCTGCTTTTGATTTATCTTGTCCATCTGCATCTACCAATTCTTCGTCTTCCTTATTATTATTATTATTATTATTATTATTATTATTAATTATTATTATTTCGGTTTTACCATTACTACTACTAGGTGAATTGATATTATTATTATTATTATTATTATCTTTCTCTTTATCCTCTTCTTTGTCCTCTTCTTCCTTTTCTTCTTCTTCTTCTTGTTTTCCATTTTCTGTAGATGTTGTAGAAGTCGTTGGTTTTGGTGAAGGGGATCCATCTCCTCTATCTTTTATCTTATTTGTTTGATCATCTCCATTATTATTATTTTTCTCCTTTTCCTTGTCTACTGCCGCGGTTGTATCGTCTTTATTTTCCTTTGATTGCTCACCACCATTCTCGTCTCCTCCTCCTCCTTCTCCTTCTCCCCCTCCATTACTGCCATTCGGCGATTCTTTAGTTGAAGGTGATAATTTGGAAGATATTATAGAAGAGGATGATGTTGTACTATTTGAATCAATCTCCATAGAGTTGCTGTCTGCTGCTGCTGTTGCACTGGTTGTTGTAGTTGTTGGTGTTGTTGTATCTGTTGATTCTTCTTTTGACATTGCTAAAGATTCATCTGATTTCATATCTATAAATAGTCATAATAATAATAATAATAGTAATAATCGATCGATTGATCAAGATTGAAAATACTAGTTAGAAATCATCATCGATTTTAGAGTATAATAGTATAGTATATTGTATAGGTTGATTGAATGAATTGATATGTATATATTTTAAAATCGAACAACAAACTTCTTCTTCTTCTTCTTTACTATCCGATCGATGATAATGATGTTTGAATGCTGCTATTCACATGAATGATTGGAATTGAATGTCTATATTGCTTGCTGTTTTCGAAAAGACTGTTGCTTGCTGCGATGTGTATGTATGTGATAACCTTTCTGTTCTACCAATCTCGCAAAAAGGTTGTTGCTAAATTAATCTTTTTTTTTTTTTTTTTTTTTTTTTGAATTGGAACCAAAATTTGGAAGTTCACCTGTCCGTTGCGACAACAGGCTGGCAAACAAAGAAAGTATGCACGTAAAAGGGCAATATCACAGTAAATAAGAACAACAATGATAAAGAAACCCACACATCTTTCCTACAACACCTTTTTGCCAAACCCACACAACACTCCCTACCTCCACCACATATGATCAAAAATACTTTAACTATTATTATTATTTGTCTGAATATGATGAATTGAAGATGTATAAACTATATATATTTATATAGTTCATTCAATTATTGATAGTTGTTGTTGTGAAAGGGTATCTGGTGATTGATCATATGATCTTGTTGACTATTCTTACCATTCATTCGAATACTTTTTGTTGGTCCGATGTGTTGTAATACTACTACGAGCAAACTGAGATCGATTTACTAACTAACTTTTACTTTACTTTGAGCTACTAATATTTGTTGTTGTTGTAAAGATATCTATCGACTATTTAGATGTTATAAATCTATCGTATATCTGAAGTGTCAATATTAACTCGTCGTTTTTGTGTTACTAATACTAAACTACTACTGCTGAATTCTCTCTCTCTCTCTTTGTTGATGTTGTTGTTCTGTGTATATATATTAAGAGTTGATTGAATTATTTTGATAAATATAATGATTTGAGAATGAGATGTAAATATGTAAAATATCGTCAAAGTCGACTATACGTAGGTATCGAATGAATAAACAAGATAAAACAGACAACCAACCAACTTGCTGTGTCTGATGACCCACCTCCCCCTCACTTTATTATTTTGATTTTTTTATTCAAGGGTGTTAATTAATTTATTTATTTACATTTTTGCTCGTAAAGAGAGAGAAAGAGAGAGAGAGAGAGAGAGAGAGAGATATAGATAGAATACAAGACATATAATATATAGTATAATACTTTATGTTATGTTACTACTTAAAATTCTTCATCATCATCTTCATCTCTATTGTTTGTCTTGTTGTTGTTGGTACTATTACTATTGTTGTTATCCAAAGTTTTAACTCTCTTTGGTACTTTGTAGAAATTGGCAATAGTAGATGTTGAATGTTGTAAGATTGTCTTTGTTTTCAAGTAGACGTCATCATCATTATTGTCGCTGTCTTTGGAAGAAGTGTCTTCATCGTGCATGATAATATGATCATTTTCGAGTACAGAATGCATTGGCTGTACACCTGTTGTATCGACTTGCTGCATCGTATCCATTGCATGTAGTACACCACCCAATTGTTTACAGTATGAATCTATATCGCTGTCCTTTAGCTTTAACATTGACAATGATGCCAAATGTTCCAATTGCTCTTTGGTAACTATATGTTGGTGTTGTTGTTCTGCTAATTCTCTAATTGACCATTTTTTATCCCAATCCTATAATGAATGTTGTAGTAGAACAATCAATTAGTTAGTTACCAGCCTATAGGTATGTATGTATGTATCATATGACGATCACATGTGGCTTACTTACAATCGTTGCTGTTGTTGAGTAGGAGCAGTAAGAGTATGAAGATGCAAGTACTTGTTGTTGTTGTTGTGATAGTCTCGATCGAGATACTGCTCCAACTCTATATAATAGTCGATTCATGATTATTTAAGTATTTAATATCGTACGTAGATTTACTACTGCAGTCGAGCTTCTGCAACAACCGAATTTAATCAAAGATTCACGACTCAAAAACAGACAACTTATTGAAAACCGAGCTTGTGATTACCTTTTTCCAAAGTATCTGTTTTTTTTTAGAAAGGGCAAATAACAAGCAAAGATATCTTTTTATCTGTAGTCTATCTATCCGTTTCAAAAACAGCGTATGAGATGATTATAATAATTAATTTAGATATTGTGCTTTGCTGGAGCCACGCAAACAAAACCGAAAGATGTAACCCTAAATGATATCTTTCGTCATCCACGCCGTTTCATTTAACAAATTATCAAAGACCAATTATTATTATTATTAAATTCAAGTCGAGGTCTCCCGTGGGTTTTTATCATCAAAATAATGGAGATTAAAAAGATAAATACTACTCTATGCCCAAGTTTGATATTTAATACCAAATCCATTAGAAAAATGCGAGGGAAAGAGTGTACTGTCCTTCCATCCATCCATCCACCTACCATGGTTTGATATCTTGGCATTGACCTTGTGGGGTTGGTTGACAAACGCAGATTAGTGGTGAGATAACCTCTTTTGAAAATTCCGTTGGATAGGGTGTCACTCACTCTCTGTCTCTTTAAGAAAAATAGATTGCGCTTTAATTAAATTCTTGCTCGAGCGCAAAGTATCTTTAATATTGTGTTTGCAAATAGTTGGTGATGGCAACACCACAATCTTTCATCTCTTCCCCATTGAGCTTGAATCTTTTTTTCAATAATCGAAAAACCCAAAAACGAGCAAGATTGATGCCAATCTACAGAGGTAGAGCCCCCCTTGTTTTTTGAATCCACTGCGGTTGACGACAAAAAAAAGTTGGGTTGGAATAAGGAAGGGCGAGGGGTGCAAGCGAAGAGTGAAATCGATGAAGGGGAATGAGCACTCAGAGAGTTGGGCATGGCAGTGCGACGCACTACTCAGATATTTTTCTGTTTCTTTAGCTATTCGGTTTTTTTTAAGGATTTCAGTGTTCGTTTTTTAATTTAGCTTTTAATTTATTTTTAAAATTAATTTACTGCTGAAGCAAGAGACTAGCTGTCTGCACTATTGAGAGTAAATTAAAGACATATTGAATATTTTATATTGTACTTTTTGCTGTTTTTTTTTTTATATTAAATTATTTCCAACCAATAGAAAACGAATCGATTAATTGTTACTCTTTTGTTTCTATTCTATTATACTATTACGAATCTCGACTACTATCAACAATAGTCTCATCATTTTGTATTACCAACTCTCATACCACCACCATCCCCTTCTCATCCAACCAGGAACAAAAAGACGAATCAGTTTTAACAAAAGTGTCATTTGACATCACCCAAACCAAACAAACAGCATAATAAGAATATTATTTATTTATTTATTTATTATCAATTCAATCAATCAACCAATAATAATCATTCCTTTTCAAAATTACTTTTTTTTTTGATTACGAAATAGAATAATATTATAATAATGGAAATCATACAAGAGCAAAATTTAATATTTGCAAACTATAACAAAAATAAGAATAATGGATTACTATCGTCCTATGTCAAGCCAACGCTAGACGAAAATAACAAATACAAGAGAGTAGCACATTCGATGAATCCCAGCCTTAAAAATAGCAATAATAGTCTCTCAACATCGCCAATCACCACTCCTCCACAAGAACAACAATTATCATCATCAAATCCAACTTCAGACTATGAAAATGATTCATCTTCAGACATTGAATCTTCATCTTCCAAACCCCATGATAATGATGAAAAGTAAGTAAAAAGTTTAAAAATATAATATGTGTCTCCCCCAATATTAAATTATTAATATTGAGAAACGAGACGAGGAGAGGACAAGTCCACAAAAAATATTTTCGTTTACGAAAAAACCTCTCGTTGGAAAAAAAAAAAAAAAAGTAAGTCAAAGAAACATTCAAAATATTAATTTCTTTTTTTTTTAGGGAAATTGGATTGGTAGCAAATATATTATTAAAAATATCGTCAAAGGAGATTACGATTGTGTCGACTAGTAGTAGTACCAGTGCAACCAGTCTTGTCCCAAATAATGACTCGCCAGTACTTGCACCAGCCAAGTTGGCCGACAGCACCAACTGTGTTCCATTTGGCGCTCTCAATTTAGATACAGAGATGGGTAATACCACGGCCACCGCAACCACAAGCACAGGAGGTAGCAGCGGAAGCCAAGGTAGCAGTCTCGCCTCCTCAACCTCATCCACACCCGTCCTCAGTGCATCGGCCACTGGTATCAACCCCGTCGTTTCAACCACCACAGCTCCAGTTGTCACTACTACTACCACTACTACCACACCGACTTCTTTAACATCATCTTCATCTTCTACACCAACATCTATATCCGTTTCAGCATCCAACTCGTCATTGTCACTCAGTGCATCGACCGACGCAGCCGACAAGAAAAAGAAACGTCAAAGAACCAGTCCAGAGCAACTCGCCATTTTAGAGCAAATCTTTGAGACTGACAAGATGCCCTCGCAACAGATCCGCCATCGTTTGGCCAACCAGCTGGGCATGTCGTCGAGACGTGTCCAAATCTGGTTCCAAAACAAGCGTGCCAAGGTAAAGAGAGGCGTCTTTGGCGACAAGGACGGCGGCGACGATACCATGGACGGCGACGAAAACGACGAGCTCGATGACGACGAGTCCAACTTGACCATTGATGACGGAACCAGTATTTCCTCCTTGATTTCCTCCTCCTCACCACTTGTCCAATCGGCCGACAACATAGTCCCCTCCATCTCACCGTTGATGTTATCGACCAATGGTTCGATTGCAACATCACACCCCCTCCTCACCACCCCAACTTCGACACTCGCCACTTTTTCCCTTTCATCTTCGTCGGGTGGAATCAACACCACCACCTTGTCCTCTCTGTCTGGCCAACCACCACTCAAGAAAAAGATGATGTCTTCATCATCGAGCTCGGTGCCCATCACAGCAAGTCACTCACCACTCTCACATCAAAAGAAGCAACACAAGTCGCGTCCAACCTCACCCACCCAATTCAATTTCACTCCAGTCTCTTTTCCCTCATCACCTTCTTCTTCCTCCTCCTCATCCCCTGTCATTGGCAGCAATATCAAGTTGAATTCCAGTTCAATTGGAATCCCAACCTCTGTCTCTACCGCCTCTGCCTCTAGCTCTGCCTCATCACCCAACAGCAATTTTAAACAATATAATTTTTCGTTTGATCATCATACCACCACGGCCAACAACTCGCCTCCACCTCCATCCTCTAATGAACAATACAAGGAGATTCGTTTTCACAATGTTACTTTAAAGTAAAGTAACTAAATAATAATAATAATATTAATAACAACAAATAATAATAGTAGAATGCGTGATCATTCGTAAAATAGTAATAGTAGTCGCAATAACCAAATCCAAACCAAACCAAAACAATTAATTTCCTGATGTGTTTATAAATAACAAATAACAAAGAGAATAACAACAAATAATCCCAAACATCAATCAACATATAACTCTTTTTTTTTTCCCATCCATTATCGGCTTCAACTCCTACAACAATACTCACCACCCTCATTTCTCTTTCACAACCAACAACAATAACAACCAATCATGTAAATTAAAATCCATTTTTTTTCTTTTTGTAATAATCAAATATACAGTATATATATAACAAAAAACCAACTAGAAGAATCAATAACAACAACAACAACAACAACTTGAAAAATTAAATAACAATAATAATAGTAAATAATAACTTTTTAAAACAAAAAAGAGATTGAACAACAAGATTAATATAATTGTAAATAATAATAATAGTCTTATTTTTATTCAATCATAATAGTCTTGGTATCAAAAAGAGTCGTCCAGAGTGTCGTAGTAGGTGTAGTGCAGGAGTATCCATTTCAATTTCCAGAATATAATATATATAAATAATTCCCTCCCCAACCCCTCCCTCCTCCTCCTAATATACTTTTTAACTTATTTTTTCCCTTTTCCCCTCAACAAAACCAACCCATCGTGGTAGGAAACAAACAATCCACCATAATCCTTTTTACTTTAACAAATAAACTTTTAAAAAACATTATAAACAAAAACTATCAAGGACCTGTGCATTATCCAATCGATCTCTTTCTCTTTCGTCTTTGGGTGCACCCTTTATTCGTTTTTTCCGAAAAGTAAAAAATTGAAAAAAACGAAGAGTACTCAAAAGTACTACTTTATTGTTAATTGTTCTTATTCTTGTTTTAATATTACTATATATACATATACATATAAAATGGTAAAGCCTGTAAAGATTGGTGGCAAAGATGTAGAATCAAAGAAGGGAGGAGCAGGTGCAGGTGCACCAGCCACTGTTGCTAGAACCCGTGAATTTCAAATGAGTATGAATCATTCATTCATCAGTCGATCGTAACAACTTTGACACTCTTTGTTACAGATATGACAATAGATTAGATAGATAGATAGTTAGATATTAGGTTGGTTAACATGTTATTCATATATTATTATTACGATTATTATTATTTTTTATTATAGACAAGGCATACGGTCAACATTTGCTCAAGAACCCATTAATTATAGATGCGATTGTAGAAAAGGCACAACTCAAATCAACAGATACAGTACTTGAAATTGGTCCAGGTACAGGTAATCTTACGATGAAGTTGTTGGAGAGTTGTAAAAAGGTTATAGCTGTTGAAGTCGATCCTCGTATGGCTGCTGAATTACACAAGAGAGTTTCAACTACGTATGTAGTATTGTTCATCGAAACAAACAACGATTCATCATTATTTATACTTACGTTTCATTTACTTTTTTAGACCATATGCATCACATTTACAAATTATATTGGGAGATTTCTTAAAAGCAGATCTACCATACTTTGACGTTTGCGTAGCTAACGTTCCATATCAGATTTCATCTCCATTGACTTTTAAATTGTTGGCACATAGACCTGTCTTTAGATCGGCAGTACTGATGTTCCAGTTGGAATTTGCAGCTCGTTTGGCTGCTCGTCCAGGTGACAGTCTCTATTGTCGTCTTTCAGTCAACACACAGTTGTTGGGCAAGGTGACCAAGTTGATGAATGTCGGCAAGAATAACTTCCTTCCACCACCCAAGGTTGAGTCTGCGGTCGTCCGCATCCAACCTTTTAACCCACCTCCACCCATCAACTTTGTGGAATGGGACGGTTTGGTCAAACTATGTTTCTCGCGTAAGAACAAGACCATTGCCGCCATCTTCAAGACCAACAGCGTCATTGAGATGCTCTATCAAAATTACAAGACCGTCTGTTCGCTCAAGGGTATTGCCGATATTGGCACCGAAGAAGACATGAAGGCCAAGGTCGTCGCCATCCTCGAAACCAACAAATTTAACGATCAACGTTCCTCCAAGCTTGATATTAATGAATTCCTCAGATTATTAAATTGTTTCCATGAAAATGATCTTCATTTCAAATAAATCAAATCAAAAAAAGAAAAGAAAACAACAACAATACCCTTTTATTTATATAAACAAAAAAATATATATATTAATTTAATTTAATTTTTGAATCTCTGGGAGACAAGTACTCAAAAACACACTTTTATCGCATTCTACAATTTTCTACATTCGTGTGTATATAAAATATATATATATATATATCTCATTCCTCATTTGTATAGTATAGTAATAGTTATTGATTGTAGTAATAGTAGTAGAAGTATCTTTTGATTTGATTGTAAAGAAGAAGAAGAAGAAGATGTTTGGAGGTAAAAGTAAATCATCATCACCATCAAACAAAAAGAATGGTTTGTATCTAGAGGAAAAAGAGGAAGAAGAAGAAGAAGATATCTAGTGTTAACTCTTTCTTTTATCTAGATAGTAATAAGTCTCCACCTGGATTGAATGATGGAGGAGGAGGATTAAATGATTTGATAGAGGATATTGATATGAATCAAATCGATGGTATGCTTAAAAAGGATATCAGGGAAGATGATATTACATTGACTGAAGATGATATGGATGATCCTGAATTACTATCACAACTATCACAAATTGAAAGTGGTAGAAATCTTGTAAAGCCACAACAACATCAACAACCACAACAACCACAAGCAGCTGCACCAAAGAAATTACCAGCTCCACCTCCGCAAGTGGCAAAGAAGAAACAATTAACCAAAGAAGAAGAGGAAGAAAGAATGTTGATGGAATTTGGTGATGGTGATGATATGCCAAGTATCGAAGATGACGATGATGTAGATTTTGAAGAACAAATAGCAACTTTAAAAGAAAGAATCGTAAACTATAAACGTGCTGCAATGGCTGCAAATCAAGGTGGTGATAAAACAAAGGCTGTCAATTTAATGAGATCTGTCAAGTTGTTGGAACAAGCTATCAGTGAATTGGAAGATGGTATACCTGTTGGTAAGTACTTGAACAAGTAAACACAATTGATACAACCAATCATGCGTTAATATTAACATTGGTTGTATATTATTATATTTGTAGATACAAAATCATTACCACCACCAATTGCTGCAACAGTTACAATTGCACCAACTACACCAACAACAAGACCAAGTGGTAATAGTTCACCTACTGCTACTTCATCATCTGCATCATCAAGTGCATCATCATCTCTAAGATCAACACCTGTTACTTCATTGTCACCACCTGTTAGATCACCACCAAAGGTTGAAACAATGTCAAAGGAAAAGGTAGAACAAGAGGAAAGATTGGCAACTTGGGAACTATTTGAAGAGGAGTATAAAAAGAAACATCAAAGTTTGACCAGTGAAGCTTTGGTATGTAATTCAAAAGCAAAAGTAATCAATATATAATTGATAAATGTTTATTATTAATCATCATTTAATTTTGATGTTTGTAGAAATTAAAAACAATTGATAAACATAAAGCAGTTGTTTTATACAAGGAGAGTAAGAGTATTCAAGTATTGATAGATCAAATAGAAATATGTAAAAATGCAATTTCAAAACCACCTCCATACCACTACGAAGACAAGGTTACACAGACAGAGATTATTGTTCCACATCTCAAAGAGACGGAATTGGAGATTCTGATTGGAAAGATTGAGTTGCCAAAGGCAGCCGGTGCAGTAGACACTTATATTCAAGCAGAGCTGCCATATCCATCAGCCGAACAACCAATCAAGTTCCAAACAGGCACTACAAGTGCATCAACGGCCAACTACAACTATAAGACCATTGTACAGATTGAAAGAAAAAAGACACTCCAAAGAGTCTTGGAGAAAAAGAAACTATCCCTTACCATCACCTCCTCTAAAATGTTTTTCATGAAATCAGTCATCGGTAGATGTGAAGTTAAATTATCAGATCTATTAGATAAATGTGAATATTTTGAAAAGTCTCCTGTAAGTTTAGATTAGAAACAAAAACAAAAAAAAAAGAAAAAGATAGATTACTAATAATAATATTTATAGATATTAAAAGAAGGATCTAAAAAAGAAATTGGTGGATATGTAGAGGTAATCATTAGAATGAAGACACCATTAAATGGAAAAGAGTACAAGAAATCATCGGAAAGAGTTTTAGTGATTGACGGTGATCTTGGTAATATCGATACTACTGCATCAACAACAACTACCACAACGACAAATACATCTTTACCAAAAGATCCTGTAGCTTCTACTACAACTGTACAACCATCACAACCATCTCAACCACCATCACAACCTAAACCTTTAGCTCCTGCACCTACCACTAGTAAACCCGCTCCTCCTCCAGTTACAGCTCCAGCAGCTGCTGCTGTTGAAGACGATGAGGATGAAGATGTAGAGGATTTAAATCATATCATTTCAAATGATGTATTTGAGTTTATGTTAAATTCTGTTAATCAACAAATAGCCCAATCTGGAGCAAAACCAGATTTACTTGATAAGAAACAAGTAGGTAGTCATAGTGTAGTTTAAAAGATCTTTGTTGTGGTCAATCAAATTGATTTACTTACTCTTTTTTTTTTTTTAGGCATTAGAGATTAAACAAATGGTTTTGGAAACACAAGTTGATTCAGGAATGTTAACTGTAGAAGGATACATGAAACAATTAGAGGAAGCCATCATTCGTGATAAGAAATGGGCACAAAAATTGGTAAAAGAAGGGAAAAAAGAAAAGGCAATGAAGATTATGAGGAGAGTCAAAATTATGGAGGCTGAGGTATCCTCTTCCAATGAGGAATAATAATAATAATAATAATAATAATAATAAATTGCCGTTGTTGTGCGTGTGTGGAGATTATTAACAGATACCTAGATGAGTGAATCGACACGGTTTATTTTAGCTATGGGTTGTCATACAGACAGATCCTGTCAGAAGAAGAAGAAGAAGAAGAAGAAGAAGATTTCAAATAACAAAGATGAATGTGATGGCATTTGTTGTCATTAAATCTGGAATCCAATCAAAATCAAAATCAAAATGAATGAAAAAGATGAGGGTTGGGGAAACCTTTGAATCTACCCCAATCAGAGACCACACACTCGCTTTCACTGTGATGGTCATGGGTTGGGGAATCCCATTTATTATTACTCATGAAGTAAGATTTTGAAAACATGAAATCAATCGATGATTATTAAGTAAAAGAAGAAGTTTGACTCTATTTAAAGTGGTGAGTTCATGGGCAATGAGAAAGATGGTTGGTGTAGTAGTAGATCTACTAACCGACAACTACGAGTAATATAGTTGTGTTCCACAATCACCCCTGTCTCCACACACTCACAACATTGGTGTGTTTGTAGAAAAAACCATAGAAGAAATGAAAAAGATTGATTGATGAACATCGTTATATTAAAAGTTAATAATACAATAAAGAGATAGTAATGTGATCAGACAAAAAAAGAACAGTTGTGGTTGGTATGACGACACGATTGACATTGAATCAATCAACCCAGTGTAAAATGGATGGGATGGTTTTTTGTGAGGAGAGTCTTTGAGGTCAATGCGTAGATTCGATTAGTATGTTTAAATCGTAGAGTATGATCGTTGTGATAGATTAGAGCGAAGGTACGTGCGATGGGTTGGCAAGTGAAAACGTTTGGGGTTGCTTACACTTTTAAAATAGAACCACCCACATTTGTAACAACGGGCGGCATGTCGCAAGGGCCGGGGTGAAATTCACATTTTTGGGTTTTGCGAGTGCTCGAGATTTGGGCAGATGCGCTAAAAAAAGTCGTCGTTTTTGATCAGAGCCTTTTTTTAACACGAGGGGTTCTATTTGCGTCGCTGTTGCTAATTTTGTTGTGGGTGCTGTTTAGGTAAACCTAGGTTGTGGTCTGTCTTTTCGAATTTGTCGATTTAAATAAATACCCTGAAATCACCCTTCTGGACAGACGTCATTTGAATAAGTCATCAGCAACCTAAATACACATACACAGACACAGTTGGATAGTATATTTTATAGATAGTTTAGCCAAGAGAAGCATTCGATCCTATAATCAATCACCCATCAATCTTCCAACCTACCATCCAACCATCCAGACAACAAAGAATAATAATTATTAAATTAAATTATTATATTATATTATTGATCAAAATCTATTTCCAAAATCATTTTCAATATTCAAAGTGATCTATTTTCAGCAACAACAAAAAGATAGATCTACACTCACAAGTAACTCGTAATTCAAGTATATATCTATAAACATTTTCCCACACACACACACACTCTTTCACTACACTACACTTTGTTTGATCAATCTGATTTTTTGACCAAAAAGGAAATTAGATTCTTTGTTTTTAAATTATCCACATCCACCCATCCCTCCCGATCGTATTTAATTATAGACGATTATCTTATAAATAATACACTTGTTTAAGTTTTTTTTTTGAGAGCCCGCAATCAAAAAAACCCGTCCATCAATCTTGCAGAATCTTCAGGGCTACTTCACCCACCAATCCAATTTCATCGACACACCCGCTCACTCTTTGCTCTATCAAATTTTCATTTTTCTTTATACCTCTTGTTTGGAATCCAAATCACCAACTAGACGAGACCTAATATTGCCATTGTCTACTTAAATTTGGTGTTTAGATATTTCACCAAGTTACCAAGCATTTGTCAACAACTCTAGAGAATTATTATTATTATTGTATTTAGTAACCAAGCAAGGAGGAGGAGGGATGATTTATAAATTAGTAAATAGTCGTAGTGTTTTAACAAAATGTCTTTTTCATAATATTATTTTTTAGGTTTACATCATATAATAGATATAGATAATTTTATTTATTTGTAATAATAATAATAATATAATATATGTAAGTTTTTATTTTAAAAAATAATAATAGTAATAATATATTATTTTTTTTTGTTTTACTATCCACACATCACATATATATTTTAAAATCTAAAATCTAAAAGTACCTAAATATGTACATTCAATCACAGATAATATTTTGTGATCGATCCAACTACCTGCCAACCCATTCATCCATTCATCCATCTACCTTTACCCATTTCCAATTTATTATTCAGTCAGTCAGTAACTACTGTAGCATTCTGTCAGTCGTCAACCCAATTGATTTTATTAGTGGTCGGATGACAAGATGATAGATAGGTTGTGTTTAATTAATTATTGTCAAAACATCAACAACAGCAGCAGCAGCAAACAAATAATTATAATGTGATAATTGGTGGTGACAATAAATGAGCAGTACTACTAGCATAGTTACCATTCGGATCGTTGAACTCACCTCACTTATCTTCACACCCACACAATGGTAACAGCAACCTCACTTTCAATTCAACACATATCTCACTCACACAGACCCACCCACCCTCACCCACCAACCCATATCCAAAACCATATGTTTTTTGTCGACTAGTTGGAAAGGATAGGATAATCACTATTAAATTATATTATGTGGACAGACGGACGGTGAATGGGATGCTAGCCAGTTGATTCCTTTCCCTTCCCCACCCACAAAGTGATAAATTTTAAAGTTAAACTGTAACCGCCGTCTTTTGACGAATCCGTCCTCCACCTCGATCATCATCCTCCTCCTCTCTTCTTTCACCCCCTCTATCGATACGTTACAAATGAACGATCACCATAATCAATGGACATATCTGGAATAGCACCTTTTTCTTTTAATTTTCATTCCAGCTGGTCTTTCCTTCACCACTCACCCAGAACCAGTACTATACTGCTGCTGCTGTATCTCCTCTATGATGATCTTGTTTAAAAAGGGTTCATTCATTCATTTCAAAAACAATAATTATTTTATTTTTTAAATTACTATGTTTCTATCTTTTAATTATAATTTACAATTATTAATAATACCAAATCTTTTTATTTCCAAAAATAAAATTAATAATAATCAAAAAGTAATTAATTAATAATTTTTAAAAAAAAATTAAATCAATAATAATTAATAATGGAATATCAAATCCAACAACAACAACAACAACAACAAATGAAACCAATGTCATATTTTGAAAGTGATTTTTATAGAAAGTCACAGACTTATCCTCATCCATTCCAAACTGATCCAAGTGCCATTCTTGCTAATTTCAAGGGTTACAATCTAGCTTCCTATGGATACTATAGTACTCCATCGCAATCTACTACAGTATCATATCCATCACATTTAAAGTCATCCAATGACAATAATACTATATTTAACTTTATTGGAAATGCTACCTGCGCCGCCGGCGGTTCTTCTGTACTCCCACCATACCCATTTGAGAACAACAACAACAAGTCAAGATCATCATCTTCACCAACTCGTTTCATTGTTCCATCTCCAACTCACCAAACATCTTATAATAGCTATTGTTACCCTTCTGATGCTCAATCTGTGCCATCCCCAACCTCATCATATACCTCTTCAAGTGCACCAGCCTCACCAGTATCATCGCCTATCCTCAGCATGCCACAAGAATGCAAGCTTGGATCAAAGTGTGTACTCTGTGAGCGTGGCCAACCACCCATTTTGCTCAAGACCCCCACTTGGGCCTCGATCATGAAGGTCGTCTTTTACACGCTGTCTGCAGCCTACCCAGAGAAGGAATACTTTAGTCTCAAGACCGACGTCTACGAGTTTATGACCTCGCACTGGGACCGTCTCTACATGAACAAGAAAAAGTCAGACAACTGGAGAAAGCAAGTACAAGACATGCTCAGTCACTCCAAGAATGTATTCGAGAGTGGCATGGACAAGATCAAACAAAATGGATTCTGGAAACTCAAGACTTGCACCGACCCATGGCAAATCCGCCAACTACCCTCCTCGTCGCCCGTCCAACAATCTCAAGAGACTCCAAGATCTCCGGAATCCAAAAAGAGATCGGTCGAAGACTACTCTTCAGAGAGTGATGATTTGTTTGATGAGTCTCGTTTATTATGTTCACCAAAAAAGAGATCCGTCGCCATCGTCGACCAAACTACTAGTGAATTTGTACAAACCGCTCAAGAACCATTGGTAGAAGAAATCAAAGTGATGCGTGAACAAGTAGCCAAGTTGTCAAGCCATATTCAAGAGATTCGTCAAAAGTTAAATGACTCTCCCAATGAAATGCAAGGTGATTCTATCGAATTGGAGTTGATCAATGAACAAGCTCAATTACAATTCAAATTGATCCAAGAGAAACTTTTGGATATTGACAAGAAGGAAAAGGCACTCAATGATATTGTCAAACAACAACAACAACAACAACAAAGATCGAATTCATCCAACAATTTGTTAATGATGACAACTGTCACCATACCATCACCCATTTCACTTCAAGGTCAACAACCATTAAATAGAAGTAGTGGTTCTCTTTTGGATCTTCTCCATACCTCCAACAATGAAAATAATGATTATACATTTGATCAATCTTTTAATTGGTCAAGTCCAAAACAATCATCTGTTAAATTAAATTAAACATTGTAACAATCAAAAAATAACATCAACAACAATAATAACAACAACAAAACCATTTTACATGTATAAAATATCTTTATACAAAGTTCAACAATCCTCCCCCAACTCCTTCAATCAACTACTAATATAATAATAATAATAATATAAATGGAAACATATAATCCAACCAACCAACCAATCAAACTCTCTTCAACATAATATTTATAAATCATAAATATTTTCATTATCTTAATGGTGGATCATAATATCCACCAAACAACCCTATTTAAAACATTATTAACTTTTAATTAATTAATAAAGTATATACCCAAAACTACCAATATTGTAAATTACCAAACTAAAACATCCAAAGTTGTACTTTGATATTTTTTTTGATCGAACTTTGAAAATTTGAATTGTTTTGAGCAACCGAAACAAGGGAGGTCAACGGATAAATTTCGATGACAGGGCGTGTTGGGGCATCAATTGGTAGCTACGTAGTCAAAGTCACCTTTTGTTTCTTTTGGTCTCTTGCTTTTGTCCTTCCTCTCCTCTCTCCTCTCTCTACCCTTGGATCACTCCTCTTATCACTTACACAAATCAATACAATGTAGATAGTTACACCTTCAGATGATATTAATCAAACCTTTGTAAATAGTAATAAATAGTAATAAATAATGACATATATATATAATAGTAGTAGCAGTAGGCGAAGGAGGAAGAGTAGGATTTATAATAATAATAATAATAGTAATAATAATATATTAATCACATTGATCACACTGATCACTTTAATATTATTGTCAACAACAATAACATTGATCAGTGCTACAACCACAACTAATACACGTATACAATCATGTACTTCTAATTTAATTGATATAAATAACAACAACGAGAATAATAATAATAATAATAATAATAATAATAATAATAATATTGATAGTAATAGTAATAACATAAATAATAATAATAATAATGTAAATAATAATAATAATAGGGATGAAAATGGTCATCTGAAATTTAAAATATCATCTTTTAAAAGAGAAGTGTATTCTTTAAGTAGAGTATTACTTGCTCAGGAACAAGATGAAGATAAAGAAGGAAATGAACTAGAACTAGAACTAGAAGAAGAAGAACAACTAGAACAAGAGGATAGTTGGAGTTTAACACCAACACCATTCTTGAAACAAAAAAGAAAAGTACCATCACAGAAATTAGAGATGTTTGAAACTAAATCAACACCTAGAGGTAGTAGTATTAGTGCAGTGATTAGAGGTGTAGTTTATATAGACTATACGTTTGAAAACTTTTTCTACAAGGATCTACCGGTTGTTGAGGGAGTCAAGGTGACATTGGGTAACTCGGCCAACCCAGCTATACAGACGGTTATAACAGACTCGGGTGGAAGATACACACTGTCATCAAATATAATGTCACCTGGCAACTATAGTGTATCCGTCTCGTTGAACGACAAGTTTATAGCCAAGTACTTTTCACCGTTCCCTTATCATCAAGTGAGTATCCCACCATCATCACATGTCTACAACTTGGATATCCCAGTACAACGTAGATCAGATGCACAATGTATGGGTGTATTGGTAGGTCAAGACGACGAGAGTCAGATGATCATCCAATTTGGTACGTCGAATATCTTAAACTATGGATGGTGTGGTCCCAAATACATAGCCGACAAACAAGATTCAAAGGTGTGTAGCTATCGAATTGCCAATGCACGTTTACCATCAGACTGTGCTATCGTCGTATCCGACGACACTGTCACAGTCAGTTACTCCTATCCCATCAAGATTATCGTCTATCTGGATGACAATTTTGAGGGATTCGATCAGTTTGGAGACAAGACACTCAAGCCAACGCCTTTTATCGGTGCATTTACAGTATCTGCCAACTATACGTTTGGTGAACGTTATTTCACAAAGATATTTAGTACCTCGAATGGTATTGTCGAATTCAAAGTACCTCCAAGAATCAGAGTCACTCTCACACTTGGTACGATGACCAACTCCTCACTCCACCCAATACTCAATCATCTCACCATTGTAGCCAACAACCAAAAACGAGGTCATATTATTTATATGGGTGTTTTCCGAGCGGTCATGCCAGACAGTACCTATAAACTAGTCAGTCTACATCAATACCCATCATGCACTGGTGAGTCCATCACGGTTCCCTGTGGATTCTACTCAAGTGATACATTGGACAGATTCCACGGCTGGGGTCATAAAGTTTATTCCATTTCAACAGGTCTTAGATTCTCTGTACAATTTCTTGAAAGAGATCGTTTAAAAGCAAGTGGTAATTGTGTTCATACTGATGGTAAAATATCTCAAATCGAAGTTTTCTTAAATGGTAAAAAAAAATCAAAATTAAAAAAAGTAAAGTAGTAATCATCAAAACCTTTTTATTAACATTATTATTATTATTATATTTCTTTTTTAGAATTAATGTCACCACATAAAGAAATACCAAATATTGGTAAAGTAATATCATTTATAAACTTTTATCCAGAGAAATTATTTCCAACTTTTTATTTAAAACCAAATGGTAAATACAAATATTAAATAATCATCTATTTATATTAATTACTAATTATTATTATTATTCTTTCTTAGAACCAATTGAATGTATTGGAAATTTAGAGGTAATGGGAAATTTGATAAATTGTACGATTGTATCTGGGTTTGGAGAGAGGGAAATTAAAGTTGAATATCCAAATCAACGATCGTATAGAGGTAGAAAGATATACTTGTCTTATCAATCACATTATTCATTTACAAATACAGAGTCGACATTGGCCACTTCGATATCGGGTGGATCAACTAAATTGGATTGGACTTGGGATGGAATGCAAACAAGTGGTTTTACATTATTAAATGTGTATAATCAAGGTTTGCATTTACTCATCAACGGTGATACTGTACTTAGAATCTATCCACCCAATGGAACAGAATCGTCGACTGTCATATCATCGTCTAATTTACGTCTACAGTATTCTACCTTTGCAACTACGTCGGCTGCTGCTGGTAAAACTACTTACTGGGCGTTTAATAATGGTGAAGGTCGGTCTGAAGTACTAGAGTTTTGGATTTCAAGCGCCGGATTCTATGCACTCAACGAAGATGGCTTGTTTTGGGGTGTGTACCATTTCCCAAAGGTACCTTACTTTGTACATCCACTGGTGTATCTGTTGGACCATCCCTTTGCCATTTTACAGGATCATGAGGACCATGCAATACTTGTCGATAGCCAGTACCTGTCCAATGGCCGTGAATTCTTGCGGTTGAATCAGACGGGTGGCTCGGTCGCACTGCAACTCGACCATGGTCCCGTCAGTCATATGGGTCACGCCCATATCCTGTGGGCACAGTCGTTTGGCGTGACAAGAGCCGGGTCAAAGAGTAGTGACTATGCATTGTGGCATCTTGGCGGTGACATATGTATTGTCGAGGTGTCGAGTGTCAATAACCTGGTAGGGTGTCTCGAGACGGGTGGGTTGGGAGGCAAGTACCTGACAGTGATCCCGCAAGGACTCGGATGGGCGGACTGGGGTTTCGCACTACTCGACGAGACAGGCAGTCTGGTGTGGGGTGTCATGGACCGATCGTCGCGACCCGCTGAAGAGACCACACTGCCCGGCTCATACTTTCAAGGTACCCAAACGATATCCTACTACTCGCACGGCGACCATGACAGTCACGAAGCACCACCTCTCTTTATCACCAACGGCTACCACTATCTCTATTTTAACTTGTCACGTGGTGTGGCTGGTTTTGGGATTGGTAACCCGTACGCGAGGTGGTTCAAGTCGATCAAGACATTCATAGAGGATCATGACATACACACCAATGAAAACTGCTCGTGGAGTGTGTCTGAGCATGGGTTTGACATGTCTCTTCCTGCCGACACGCCTCTATGGAGTATCCACTCGATTCAAGAACGTCGCACCAAGTATGTGTATATCCCACCACCTCCAACCGAGCTGCCGTCCCTCGTCAAGCGTGACCAAACTAAAGTCCGATCCGGTGGTTTTGTACTGATCGATGACAACGGGCTAGCTAGTGGTGGATGGTATGACATCAAGTCAATGAACTATACCAAGGGACTTGAAACTGGTAACTCTATCGGTAACCCATTCGTCATCCTTCGATTTGAAGATGGAAATCTTAAACTCTACGATCGACAAACTAACCAAGTAATATGGACCAACCCAACAACCGATGATCGGAGACTTCAAACAACGACAACAACAACAACAACAACAACACCAGTTGAAGGTCAAAAGTATATTTATCGATCCGGTCCCAATTGTGCTAGTAATACTAAAAATGCAAGAGCTAAAACCTTTTGTTTACAGCATTGTTTATTTATTCAAGACAATAACAAGAAGAAACAATGTCAAGAAGATTCATCATCATGGACATCTCATTGGGCTCCAGAGACACATGAGAATGTTATCTATATTGCATTGGCACCCAACTATCCAGAGATATTATTATTAGATTCACAAGGTGCCATTCAATGGTCATCAGGTACACATACATTTAATTTCTTTAAAGATTTAAATAAATAAAAAGTAAATAGTAAAAAGGAAGGAATGAACAATGATCATTGTCTTCTTGTACTACTCGTTGGCCTGTTGGTCACCGAAACGACAAAAATACTGGTACCCCAAAGACCGAATCCAAGGTCAAAAATTAATTAATTTTAACAAAAAACCCTGTGAATATGGTCATAAACGCTAAACCAAGAAAGATCTTTTAAAAATCGTTGTCACTTTAAGTTGATCAACTGCACCCTTTTACGACCCCCGTTAATCGATCTCAAGTTCCGTTCACTTTCTCCATCACCATCACCATCACACCAATAACAACAATAGTGTGTTTATTTATTTATATATATTTATATTTGTTAAAAGAGAGAGAGAGAGAGAAACAACACAATTGCAATCGAATCATTATCGATCAAACACCCAATCGAAAAAAATCATACAAACTCAAACACACACGACACACTGATTGTGTGATCAATCAATAGATAATGTCACGTTCAAATCACCATTATTTTTTATTATTATTATTATTAGTTGTTTGTTTAGGAACAAGAGTTAGTTTAGCAAGTGAAGCAATTTCTATAGAGGAAAAGGCTTCATGTAGTGATACGAATATTCTCAAGTTTACAACAGCTCTAACAGGTGTATGCTACAAAGTAGTCAACCTCAATGCATCGGCAATCGAATACTACTACGACTATGCGTATTCTGGAAATGTCGTTCGTCAAAGGACATTTAGTGACTCGGCTTGTGTCAATGGTGTGATTATGCCTGACACCTTTTTCAACAATTCCGGTGCTATCACTGGTTACGATGTCTTTCAATCCACGGTAAACACATGTACCGATGGTGTAACTGTCAAGGTTTTCCCTTCGACATCTGACTGGATCACATTCCCTAGAACTGGCTACTACTTTTACGAGATTAGTCCAATTGCGTCGTGTCCCAATTTCGATACAACCAACCGACAAACCTACATCTACCCAGGATCATGTGTACGATCTGATTTGATGGTAAAGAATAGCTTTTCAATCAACAATGCTGGCATTTCTGCAGGTGTTAATTGCTCAACCTTTTCCATGCCAATGACAAAGGTAGCATCCACTTGCTCAACCACTCATATTTCGCTCAAGATCACAACACCAGTCACCGATTTTAATCCAGTTGTTTCAATGTCCTATGCTCTGCCAGCTGGATCATTGTCATATCTTTCAGTCAGAGTGTCGTCGTCAATGTGGGATTTGATCAGTCCCAAGTACCAAGTTGCCCTTTTAGATGCCAACAATGTGACCTTTGGTTCATGTAGTTTTGACGTTATCCCAACCATACAACCATCATGTCTTGTTGCCTACACCACCAACATGTATCCAACTAGAATATGGGTTCGTACACTAGTAAGAGCGTTTGCAGCTAGTCCTGCCGAGATTGAAATGCCAGTATTATCAGTCACCGTTTTAAACGAGACTTTTACATCATCCAACTTTAGATTCCAAGTCACTTCATTACCAGCAGTATCAACTACCACCTATCTCTTTAATAACCAACAATTCACATGTCCAAACTTCCCATGTACAACACCAAATCTAAACCCAACTGCTTCAGGTGCACCTTTTAATTTAACAGTCTACAGCACGTTGAATGGTATCTTGTCCAAACCCTTTTACTTTATTTACAATCTTGCTCCAACCATTGTAATGAATAATATTTTGCCAGTCTCCATCTCGTCCAACTATCTCGCACTCAAGGCATCATTCAACGGTGGTAACAACTACACGGCCAGTCTCAAAGTATACTACCAAAACACGTCAATGCCAACCGAGCTACTTGCATGTGACCAACCCAATGGAGCACTAAACTATATTTGTAACTTTACAGTTAACCCTGCAACATATTATCGTGTTCGTATGGTCATCGATGATAACTTTAGTTCAAGTACATTTAGAAAATTATTTTTTTCTTTAAGTATGTTTTAAAAAAAAAAAAAAACAATCAATCAAAAATATATTAATTTTCTTTATCTATTTTTAGGTCCATCAACATATCTTGATGTAATTTCAAGTTCACCAAGTGATATTGTATTACAAGCACTTTATCCATTGACAGGAACTCTTCCACTCACTGTAACTTACTTGTTGGGTGGTCTGGCACAATGTACATTGGTTCTTTTTGGAGCTCAATGTAATATGTTTGCCTTGACATTGGCATCGTCATATAATATCCAAGTATCTTATCTTGGTGCGGGGGGTCTTTTACTTGGTAATTCTGACACTATCCCTGTCAGAACACAAGATTGGATAACACCAAATGTTACATTGTCATCGTACAATTCCATAACCCTTACCATTAGTTATGAATCGCTAAATATTCTCCCAGTCAACTATACAGTCTATGTTAATGATGTTGCTCAATGTGCTCAAACCTCTCCACTCGTTTCAATTGTAACATGTACATCTCAAGTACCCTATATAGGATTCCATTTGGTATCTCTTGGTTCTCAATCCAATAGATTCTCATTAAATACAACTCTTTCCTATTTTGCAAATTTTGTTCGTAAGTTAAAAGAATATCAAAAAAAAAATAACATAAAATAACAAATGTTACATTCGTTTCTAACTCTCTTTTCATTTTTTTTTATTTATAGCATCAATATCAGCCAATTGGTTTAAAGGATATACATTATTTACAATGACACCATCACAAAATTCACAATCATTATTAAAGTATGCATTGGCATTTGGAACACCAACTCAATTTGGAAATACCAATATATTTAATTTAACCACTACACTTGGACAAACATATAATTATTGTGGAGCAATCACTCAAATCAATGTTCCATCGGCCGTCTCTAAATCAATCTGTAATACATTCACACCAACCGCTCTCTTAGCATCACTTGTGATTTCAAGTTTGTCATCCAGCATTGCCATCCTTAGTTCTGCGTCAACTGGAGGTAGTCCATTCGACCCAACCAAATTCTACTTTTCGCTCAATGGTAGCCCTACATCTTGTTGGGGTGGTTCCAGCCCATCTTGTACCATCTCTAGTTTGACTGCCAATACATCCTACACTGTATTACTTTCAACCTATAATAATGATCAAACCACTACAAATTCAATTCAATTTGAAACATCTCGTATGTATAACATTAAAACATATAATAATAATAATAATAATAATAATAATAATAATAATTATTCAACATTCATTAATTTATTTATTAATTTATTTTAATTTTTAGCAAAATCATTCCAAGTTGTACCATCAATTCAAATTTATGCAACTGGGTTTTATGTAGATGCAGTTACAGTTCCACTACTTTCAACTCAATTAAACCCAACTGTTTTGTTGAATGGTACTGTAGTTTGTAGTATACTGCCATGTTCTATTAGAGGTCTAGTTGCTCAATCAGCCTATACTGTAAAGGTTATTGTTTACTCGGTAATTGATAATACCTACCAAGAATCGGTTGTACCTGTTACCACTGCACTACCATTAAAGGCATCGATTGGTGCCAATGAATACAACCCTACAACACAAACATTTAGAGTTAATGTATTGTCAGTGTCTCAGGGTAACCCTACATCGACCAAAACCTATCAATACGACTTTAATGGTGTAGGATGTGGAGGTGCTATGATATCTTGTGATATTCCAGCTACGCCATCACTCGTCATCGGTGGAACAGTAACAATATCGGATACATTTGATACTGTTGCCATTCAATTGATGGTATCAACGTACGTCGGGTTGACAGTACAATTAAAATATTTGGCACTTAGTAAAACCATTTATTTCAGTGCTGTACCTTCACAAGTTGTTAGTGAAGCCACGCCAGTATTTTCAATCACTCCAAGTGCCCCTGTACAAATATCAAATAATCCATCGTTTGATTATATGATCCCAACCACTCAAAGTACAAGTTATAATATTGTTGCCAAGTACACTTATCCACCATCGGCCCCCAACACCATTGTATTTGCAACAGACATGAAATCCATTACAACCTTTGGATCCATCTATTTGCCAACCATCAATCCAATCAAATTAGTTTCAATGACCGATCAATCAATGGTGGTTGAATACGGTGTGTTGGGTGGTGCACCAAGTACCACTACACTCTACAGTGTCAAATCAAACGGAGCTGATGTTTCAGCTTGTCAAAATACTCCTTCCACTCAATGTACAATCCCAATGATTGGTATTGGTTTCTATATCATCTCTATTCAAGCATCAAATGAAATCACTTTAAATTATGATAATACTCAATCTCCATTAAATAATATTCAATGTAAGGATGGAAATATTAAAAAAAAACAAACAAACAAATATTAATTAATCTTTTTTTAATATTTATTTTTAGTGACAACAACAATATCATATGTAACATCAACAAGTATACAATTAAAGTATACAAGTAATTATGTATTTTCACAATACCAAGCTTTGATTGGGTCATCAGTGTATGCACAATGTCAACTTGATGGAGTATGTGTTGTGAGTGGTCTAGTTAGAAATACCACATACAATAATATTGTGATTCAAGGTACGGACAGTACCACCTCTTATACTTTAAAGTCTGCTCCATTGACTGCCACCACTAGTTATCCATTTGAAATGACCAAGATATTTTTAATTGAATCTACACCAACCACAGCTACCATTGCCTATGGATTGGCTGATCGTGGTACACTACCAGTTATCTATACAATCCTTGTCAACGGTATCTTTATCCAAAATACAACACTCCCCATTACCACTCTCAATACTCTAGGTCAAGCTATCAATGTAATGGTTACTGCTACTTATTATGAAGATCAAGCATCATCTTCAAGAATCATTAACCCACCTCCTCGTATGTACAAAAGAATGAATATTTATTTTAATAATAATATTAATATTAATATTTATTTTGATTTAATTTTGTAGAAACAATTGATGGAATTAATTTAAATTTAATTAAAGTTGATATTACAAGTGTGACATTTAATTTTACAACCAATGTACCATTATATGATGTTCAATATACAGTTAAATTGAATGGTGTTGTCATGCCTGGTTGTTTGATTGGTAGTGTTTGTAGTGCCAGTGGATTAAAGGAAGCTAGTACCAATACTATATTGGTTAGTGGAACTTATAATAATGGCCAATGGGCTCCCATTAGACAAACTACCTTTACCACCTTTTCCAAACTCAAATCAGTATCAATTGTTAATAATATTACAACTGATACCATTAACAACTTTGTCATTGTAAATGTTGATTCGGTTGGAGGTGATCCTCAAAACACTCAATTCACCATTTACAATGGTCTCACCAAATTAGTGCCAGCTACCAGCTCTAGACAAATCTCAATTCCATTGGTTAAATTATACCCATGGTATCAACTTCGTGTCATTGCAAATTATTCAACTTCATCTGTTATTTCCCCATATTTAAATTATGTTGCTTTATCTTGTAAGTAATGAAAGAAACTAAATGAATAATAATAATAGACTATTAATTTATTAATTGATTTATTTATTTTTTACTTTTAGTTGAAATGACAACAACTGTAACATCAAATAGTGTACAAGTATCAGTTACACCATCATATTTATTAGATGTTGGGGTATGGACACCTTATATTTTTGTAGGTAATTTTGGATGTACTGGATTAAATTGTAATATTCCAAATTTAAATCCATCGACTGATTATTTGGCAACATTTACGGCAACACAATCACTTGGAAAGATATCACAGAGTCTGGGATTCAAGACTAATGATATATTCCAGATTGCTGCTATCAACTTGTTGGATTATTCCGTTGATTGGTTACAAGTTGGGTATCCTGCAACTGGAGGAAACACTCAGACACCATTAACCTATTCAGTACTTTTGAATGGTCAACCTAGAGCCGAATGTGGTTCTACTCAAAGTTTTTGTAATATTACTGGTTTGACACAGGGTATTGAATATACTGTCAAGATTACAGCTACTCGTGTAGCTCAAGAGGTTGTTACATTGTCTCGTATCATTACTCTTCCAAGTGGTGCTGATTTAACTATTAGTGTAACCTCGCTGACTACTTCAACTGCAACCATTGTATATCCATTACGTGGTGTATTGACAGAGTCAATTCCAATTACTTATAGTGCCACTTTGAATGGGTCTGCTTTGTCCTGTGTAGGTGACTCTTGTCAATTGACCTCTCTTGTTCCAGGTCAGACATACTCGTTTGGTGTGACTGCCAAGTATCTAAACGACAAGTTTATATCAAGTCAAACTGTATTTACAACATACCCAGCTATCAATGCTCCACAAATAAGTATTGTCCAGTTGACTACAACTGTCATTATTGTCAATATTACAGTCGCTGGAGGTGTCCCAACTTCTCAAACAATACAACAACTTTTGATTAATGGTATCAATCCAACCCAACAATGTACATCTGGGTTGTGTGTATTCAGCGGTCTTGTACCAGCCACAACATACATCTTTAAGGCAATCGCAACCAATGACGCTATCACCAAAGAGACGACTGTCGCAGTTACAACCTACCCCATCATTTCAATTGCCAATTTTGAACCATACCAACGTAATGCTACTGGTATCTATGTTGATCTGACAACCAACGGTGGTGTTCCAGGCCAAAGTATTTGGACTGTTACAGTTGACTCTACAGTCCTCTGTAGTAGCGCCAACTCTGGGTCACCCTCTGCATGCTACCTACCCATCACGAATCTATCAACCTACCAATTCCGTTTGGATCTATCTAATGACGGTACATCACTTAACCGCGAGGTGCTATTCCGCGCATACCCCATCCCCGACGGCGTCATTATTGCCAGTCTGACCAACACCACCCAACAAAGCATCGCCTTTTCCTGGTCGGCCAGTGTCAATGGAGGTGTTCCCCTCGCAACCTACTATGAAGCCCAACTCTCCTTCGACAACAAGACATGGGGTCCTGCCTGTGTCTCCTCGGTTACTTCTTGCACCGTCAACAAGTTGTTGGACAACACAGCCTACAATGTGCGTATCGCAGTGCGTAACAACCGATTCGATCCCATCATCTCACCTGCCATAGTCCTTGTCACACAGACTGAAGGTCCTGTCACGTGTTCTCTACCGTGTCTTAATGGTGGTAGCTGTCAGAGCGGCTACTGTCTCTGTCTCAAGGGGTTCGACGGTCCTCAATGCGAGTTTGGTGGCAACTCTACCACAGGTCAACCAAATACACCTGAAATGTCAAAGGTAGAGATCAACCCAAACAACACTGCTGTGTCATTGTTGAACAAGTATGTCACACTTTCATTCTCGATGCAATCGATTGCAGAGGTCGATCCAGAGGGAGTATTGATCGACGAGATTGACTTGACAACCACTCAATGGCAACTAGTACTAAACAACGAGACTACAGTCACTCATCCAACCACGCAAGAACAACTAACTGAACTATTATTTGGATATGTGTCTGCACCGGATGGATTGGTCTCTGTCAACTTTACACAATACATTCCACCAAAAGATTCATCGGCTGTATTGACAGCCGACTCTTATCCAGTAACATTTGCAGGTGAAACCATCAATGTTAAATTGGGATCACTAAAGTATAGTGTAGGAGTTAGAGGATGGCAATTTAACTCGACTGAAAACTCTCTATACCTATCAACATTGGTTGGTGATATTGGAAATGACACTCAAGTCACTTTTAATAATGGATCGGTCATGTCGACACTTGTGATGGTTGATTCAGTTGGTAACCAGGTATACGGACGTTTAATTAATCGTGTACTTGTTGATAACTTCCCAATGCGTGTATCTCATCTAGTCAAACAGTCCAACCAAGGTAGCGGTACTATTGTAACAACCATCATTCCATCGTTTATCGAATCATTCATCTATGACCCCGATATTTCAGTTCTGGTCTATGACAAGTCTGAAACCAAATCAGATCCAATCGACGAGAAGAGTTGGACTGCTGTCATCATCGGTGTTACAGTCGGTGTTGTTTGTGCAGCTCTCATAGCAGGTGCTGTTATCTTTTACTTAAAGAAAAACAAATACCAATTAAAATCGATTAAAAGAAAGTTTAAAAGATCAATCTCTTTAAAAGAATGGTCAAAACATAGATAGATAACTATACAAATAAATAAATAAATATAAACAAATAATATATTGTACAAATTATAAATAATATAGGGAACAAGACTTGTACCGACTTTTAAATTCAATAATAATATCTAAAATATGCCCAAAAACAGAGAGTTGGAAATTTTAAAAAATAATGAAAACCCTGGTCTCTTTCAAAGTCGACCCGAAAGAGACATTATCGAAAATCGCTTGGCCCCTAATTATCTATATATCTTTGTTGTGTTTGACACAGCTCAAAGCTTACACTGACACTATTTGGTGAAGAACAACTAAACTAATCAAGCGCAACTTATTAATAATACACCGAGCCGGGATAGATACAGAGATAAAGGTATGTAGTTACCCAGGTCTAGAATAGTCGGAGGAGGAACATCAACGAGTTAGAGTAGTTTAGGTTGTTTGACGGATAGAGAGAGATGAGATGGATGACAGGCTACGGGAATTGAAATCGCGTAGAGTAGTGGGTTGTTCGCACCTTTGAAATTGAATGAGAGGAGACAGAGAGAGTGTTTTTTTTTTGTTATTCATAATCATTAACAACATATTAATATTTATTTATTTATTTATTTATTTATTTATTTATTTGAACAAACAATATCATTTATTATCTATTATCTAGAGTCATTTCAATATCATAATATATTATTTATAAATATAAATTTAGGTTAGGTGAACAACACCCTTTTTGTTTACACATCTATTACATAACTACTCGTTCATTATCAACAACAACAACAACAACAACAAACAACAACAACAACAACCAATATATATATATATATACTATAGTATTATAAAGAGGAAGGGGAAGTCTATCTCTTTCTTTCTTTATTTCTTTCTTTGTAGTCGGAAATGAAATTTGGTAAACAATTAAGATACGAATGTGTATCGGAATGGAGAATTAAATATATATCATATGGTAAATTAAAAAAGTATCTTAGATATCTATATGTTAGACAACAGAAACAAGATCAACAACAGTTACAGTTACAACAAGACCATCATCAACAACAGAAACAACAACAAGATGGATCAACAACACCAAATCAACCAATTGTTGATGGTAGTCAATCTCCAGAGAATATAAAGTTTGATACACTTAGAGTATCACCACCAATGCCATCGACATTGGCACCAAATATAAAGCTTGATGGTGATTCAACAACCATCAACGCATCGGCAGATGATCATGAAGTATATGATGAAAAGAGTCGATTACTCGCCCCAGTTGTATCACCATCTGTTGGTTCATCATCATCCTATCCAATCTATCAATCACCCGCCGAAAAGGAACAACTGTTCATGTCAAAGATTAAAGAAGAAATTAAAAAGATTAATGAATTCTTTAGTTTAAAAGAAAAGGATATTATACTTCATTATAACAAACTTACTGAACATTGTGGAATGGTAAGATAAAAGAACAACAAAAACAAATAATACTTGAATATTAATATTAATATTTATTTCTTTTTCTTTTTCTTTTTCTATTTAGATATTAAAAGAAAAGAATCCAAGTCCAAAAGTATTAAAGAATATTCAAAAAGCATTTGCCGAATTATATAAAGGTTTGACAATGCTTGAAAACTACGTTACATTAAATTATATGGGTTTTTCAAAGATCCTTAAAAAGTTTGACAAGATGGCTGGAAAGAATGATAAAGAAAGAAATTTGGAAAATATTGAAAAGGAATTATTCTATCAATCAAAATCTTGGAGAAATATGAAAGAAGATGTTGAAGTAAATATAAATAGAATAATATATAATTATAATCATTTTTTTTTTAACCTTTTTTTATTTTTTTTATATTTTAGTTATTATATTGTAAAATATTTAAAATTGATAAATTGGCAACAGCAAGAATTAAATTAAGACCAACATCATTATCACAGACAACCAATTATCATATGTTGAAGCTTGGATTTGCCAATGGATTTAGTTTGGCAGCATTGGCATTTATCATTATTCTATTTGTTAGTCCACCGCCTGGAAACCCAGATTGGTCGAAATTTGTTAGTGTAGTACCCATTTTTAGAGCTGTTGCCGTTCCTATTTTGGCCGTTTGGCTTTGGGGTGCCAATGTATACGTTTGGGAGAAACAGCGTGTCAATCATATCCTTATTTTTGGTTTCGATCCCAGAACGTCGGTCGATCATCGTAGAATCTTCAAAACAGCCTCCTTTTTGACAAGTATATGGTTGATGGCTTTTCTTTTGTTTTGTGGAACCATTATGGGCAACTTTAACTTTCTCCAGATCCCCGCCGAAGTCTATCCCATCACATTGGTCACCTTCTTCCTCATTGTCGTATTTTTCCCATTCCGTTTCTTCCATCGCAAGTCTAGACTTTTGCTATTTGTCACTCTTGGCAATGTTATGATGACTCCATTTGGTTCAACTAAATTCCGTGCTCTCTATCTTGGTGATGTCCTAACTTCAATGGTTAAAACTATTTTCGATTGGGAATATACTGCTTGTTATATTTTTTCTGGTGATTGGGAAATTAATTGTAAATTATAGAAAATAGAAAAAAACAAAGAATATTTATTCATTTTTTTTTTTTTTTTTTAGCTGGAGGTAGATGTAATAGAGTAAATCAAATTGCTTTACCAATTATATCTGGATTACCATTATTATGGAGATTTATGCAATGTATTTTGCGTTATCGTGAAACTAAACAAAGAATTCATCTTGGTAATTGTTCAAAATATGCTGTTGGTTTTTCTGTCGTTTTATTCTCTGCTCTTAATGGAAATTATCTTAGTATGTCAAAAGAAGAATATTGAAATGTATAATTTGACAATTATTTACTAATTCTATTTATTTTTAGATTATCCAGAACCATGGACACCATCAAGAATATTATGGTGTATTTGTTTTATTTTAGCTACATTGTATATGTATGTTTGGGATGTACTAGTTGATTGGGGATTCATGTGGATGGGTAAACCTAGACCATTGCTCCGTCAATCACTCATGTACAAGCGATACTTGTGGGCATACTATTATGCCATCTTTAGCAATTTAATATTTCGTTTTGCTTGGACACTCTCTGTCACGCCACTCGAATTCAATATTGGCATCAACAGTGAGTTGTTTGTTACCATCTTGGCGACGGTGGAATTATTTAGACGTTTTACATGGAGTATCTTTAGAGTCGAGAATGAACATATCAGTAATTCACTACAATACCATGCATTTGATTTCAGTGAAGCACCTTGGAAAGATGAAATCAAAAATGGTACCAACAACGCAAACAACAATAATGCTCAAAACGCAAGTGGAAGTGGTAGTGGAAAGGGTAGTATTCTCGGAGGATCATTTGGTAATGCTGGTATGGCCGATGGTGAATTCCCCAATAGTTCGGCCAATTGGTACAATGCTGCATCACAATACTATTCAAAGAACAGTATGATTGATAGTAAATTTGATATTCGTAATTACCTTCCTTGGAATAGAAATAAGAAATCAAAAGATAACGAATAAAAATAATAAAAAAAATGGGAAATAGAAAGTATAGACAAATCTATTTCCTAAAATCCCCTTATTTATCTAAAAAATAGAATAAGAATAGATTTATATATATATTTATTACTAATAATAATTTATTCTCTTTAGTAATAATTTAACGTTGTTGTAAAAAAAAAAGAGATTATTATATTTAATTCTTTTTACCAGTTGCAGCCTTTTTTGCTACCTTTTTTGTTGGAGCTACTTCAACTTCTTCTTCCTCTTCATCGTCTTCATCTTCATCATCTTCATCGTCATATGACATATCATCATCATCACCAGCAGTTAAAGCTTGGAATGGATCTTGATAAGCCTTTACGATAGTTTCAAAAATATCCAATTCAGAGTTATCTTCAGATTCAATCCATAAAAGAATAAATGATTCTTCACTATCACTATCCTTTCTCTTTTTATCTGTTGATTTGTTTACTTTTTTTTCATTCTATAGATTAAAAGAAGATCTAAAAGTAAGTTATATGGGTCATAATAGTGTTTTCTATGCTATGTATTTATAGTTTCTGTTTACCTTGAATAAAACCTTTTCACCTGATAATTTTAATTCATCATTTGATTCATCAATGGTCAAGACCTTTTTAAGAGTCTTGTTTGAAAAGAGTTCGTTTGTCTTGAAGGTAAATACGATGGTCTTGGTGGTCAAGTTGTCAGAGTATGTAGTAGTAGCCTTTAAATCGACGAGTGCATCCAATACAGCTTGGTCCTTTGAAGAACCGATCAATTCGATCAAACCAGCAGTCAATACTTGTCTCCAGAAGCTCTCTACATTTGATTTGGCGATAATCTCGTCACGCTTGTTGAATTGATCTTGAAGCTTGGTGTTGTATTTCTTTTCAATCTCTATTTGTTTCTTTCTTGTCTCTTCTTGAACTAATTCAATATCTGCTTGAATAGCTTCAATACTTTTAATAACTTCTTCTGTTGACATTTTAAGATAGATAGATATTATTATTATAGTATATAATTAATATATATATTTATATTCTAATTAGTTTAATGAGTCTCGTTTTTCGTTGTCTCAGAGGAAGAATGAAGAAGTAAAATTAAGTGTGAAAATAAAACAAATGTCAAAACTCTATTCAGTAAATCGGTGTTGTGGATCGATCATTCAAATTCATTCTAATCAAAGAGATATATTTATAAATATAATATAATATCATATATGTATAATGTAGTAGTTGATATATAAACAATATATATATATATATACACACAAATACAGTACAAACACACGATGCAAGATACATCAGATGATCAATCATCATCTGATAGACATCATCATCAAAGTCTTCAACAACAAACATACTTTAGTGTTAGAATAGTAGATTTGGATTATTATCTTTATAAACCAGTTGAAAAATATGATGTTATTAAATCACCACTTGACAATTCGACCATTCAACAAGTACCCATTGTAAGAGTGTTTGGGTCAACACCTGCTGGTCAAAAATGTTGTCTTCATCTTCACAATCTATTTCCTTACTTTTTCATTCAATATAATGATGATTTACCTTTGGATAATGAACAAAGTAAGTAAAGAAAGAAAACAAAAATTAAAGAAATTATATCAAGTATAAAGTTTATTTATTTGTTTATTTTCTTTTAAAAGTAAATATATTTGTTAGAAAATTAGTTGCAAGTATAAATATTGCAATGGTTACAAATCAAAAACAATCAAATAATAACAATAACAATGTTCAACATATATTTAATATTAAATTGACAAAAGGTAGACCATTTTATGGTTATTATCCAGACAATAAAATATTTATTAAAATATTCTTGTAAGTAAAACAAATAAAAATCAAATATATATAATAAAATATTTACCAACTTGTTTGTTTCTATTTGTTTAGATATAATCCAGATAATTTAAACAAAATATCAAATTTATTAAGAAGTGGAAGTATAATGGGAAGAAAATTTGAAGTATTTGAAGCACATATACCATTTCTTTTACAAGTGTTTTTAGATTATAATTTGGCTGGAATGTCATTTATAGATTTTACACGTGTCCATTTTAGACATCCTCTGCCACAATCAAAACATACAACATGGGATGGTGGACAATTGGACCGTTCACAAGGTTTTGATCGATGTACATCCACCTCTCCTGATCATCAACTCATAGAATTTAGGAAATGGTTTAGTGATACTTGTCCAGACGACACTTTTCCAAATTGGTCTGCCATTAAAACTAGAAAGTCTACTTGTGAGTTGGAAGTTGATGGTTTAATTGGTGATACTACCAATATAAATTATAATAGTCAATCTCAGCAAGTAAAAGCGACTATGGCAGCGGCAGACAATCAGCAACAAACTGAAAAGGAAAAGAAATTGGTTCAATCTTTAAAGGTGATTTGGGATGATGAAGTAGGTCGACGTAAAGAAAGAGGTATGCCAACACAATTCACTCAGGCTGAAACACAAGAAAGGAAACCAATCGACCTTGGTTATTTTGCAAAACCATTGGCTTACAAACAAATCGATGAAATCATTCAAATTGAAAAATCAAGAAGAAAAGATAAAGGAGGAAAAAACAATGATAGAAATGAAAACGATAGAGTATTTGCAAGTTCACAACCAGAAGTTGACATTGAAACTTTGAAATCAATCAAAGATGATTTGGGTGGTTCTCATACATTGTCTCAAATGTATTATTCAATTCCATTGTCAAGCAATTCTGGTTCTCCTGATATTAAAGATCCTCATATTCATTTTAATCAAGAAATTAAAAACATTAATATTCAACAAAATCAACAACAAAATCAACCAAATCAACAAAATAATCAAGATATTGAAAATGACAATGACAACGATAGTGATGACAGTAGTAGTGATAGTGATGATGATCAAGTTAATATTCAAACACAAAATAATGATATTTTAAATGCTTCTCAATTTGTTGCAGACTTTTTTACACCTGTTGAATATTGGTCAGATGGAGGAGAAGGTGGATCTGTCAAATCTCATAGATCAAATTCACAACAACAACAAAAGCAACAAAATCAATCTATCAATATTAATATTCAAAATGATCAAAATGATAGTGATGATGATAATCAAATTTGGTCAGATGGAGAATCATCTGTTAAATCAATTCCTCAATTTGATGGTGGAAGAGATGAAAAGAAAAAGACTACCAATTCTGATTCTTTATCAAAAGGTTTTGCTCCCATTAATTTTGGACCTCAACATTTTTTCAATAGAAATAGTCAATTGACATTTCAACCTCCAACAACAACAACAACAACAACAACAACAACAAATCCATTTTCAATTCAACAACCAAAAAAAAGATCTCATTCAAGTAGTCATAATAGTAATAATAATAAGAGTACTAAACATTATGAAATTGAATATGAACCACCTCAAGATATTTATAAACCAACACAGAATACAACCATTTTAGATCAACCAAAATCAATATTAAAAAAGAATAATAATAATGATTTGACAAGAAAGAAAAAAAGAGTTAAATTTATGTTACCAAATGAAGAAGTAGCTGAATCCCAAATTGTATTTGAAACTCCTCATATTTATAATCATACAACCTCTACTACATCTACAACATCAACTAGTAGTAGTAGTAGGACAACATCAATTATAAATATATCACCAAATGAACAAAAATCTCCACCCAAACCAAATATTACAAATATTGTATCAAAAACACTCCCATTGGTATCTGAAATATCACCTCCTTCACCTTTAAAACCAAAATATTCTCCTCCAAAAAAACAATCTCAACAACAAAATAATTTAACACCAGATAGAGTTAAAATGGACCCTCCAACTAGTACTAGTATTTCTAGTACAAATACATTTAAGCAATCGAATTTTCCATTGGAAATGTGGTCACCAATTAAAGTTGATGATGATACGAAACCATTATTTTATCCAAGTAATATTTCTCCACCTACTGGATCCCCTCAAATTATTATCATTCATCCAGAAGAATCTCCTTTAAAAGGTGATAAAGTTGATCAGATAAAACAAGTGGAAAAACAAGAAATAGAAATTTCATTATCTCCTCCACCTCCTCCAATATTTGAAATTTTAAAAACAACAAAATCAAAAAAAGAAAAAGAAATAGAAGAAAAAGAAAAAGAAAAAGAAAAAGAAAAAGAAAAAGAAAAAGAAAAAGAAGTAGAAGTAGAAGAAGAACATTGTTTATCACCACCTCCACCAATGTATATTCCACCAATTGTAAATAGAAAAGAAGAGGAAAAAGAAAAAGAAAAAGAAAATGTTATATTTTTAGAAAGTCCATTCAACTATATTTCAGACAATAAGAGTGAAAAGGACGATCTTGATCTTCCTTCTGAAAATATATATAAATTGGTTATTGATGATAATAGTCAAGGAAGTGAAATTCTTTTTGAAGTTGAAAAGGAAAAAGAAAAAGAACTGTACAGCAGTCAAGTTGCTCATGTCATGGATCAACCACCAACAACAATTGGAATTGATTATTCACCAAATTTTTCATTTTCAAATGGTGGAAGTTCAATACATCAACAAGAAAAACAACAAATATTACAAGAGGATAAAATGTGTATCAATAATTTAGAACAATTTAAAATATTTAAAATTGATAAATTAGCACCAACAAACAAAGAGATTGAAATGGAATTGATAAATGGAAAGAAACCATTAAATATTTATCAAAGAGCCTATTATTCAAATCCAAAAGATCAAAATAGATTGGTATTGGATAAAACTATGGCATTTACATCAAAATTAACTCTTTCAAAGGGTATTGGTCATTGGAAAATGTTAACAAAAAACCCTCCTCAATCAACCATGGTTGAACCAAAAGTTAGAATATTGACACCAACCATTCCACCACCATGTCCTAAAAAATTATTACAAGATTTTAAATTGGAACAACAACAAAAACGATCTTCTTCTTCTACCTCTTCTTCATATCATTTACATCAAAAAACGAAAAAACGTCGACAGGGAAATATTTATTTAAGTAATGATTATTCACAAATATCACAAACAACACCAACACTTAGTTATTTAAAACAAATGTGTGGACAAGGAGAAGAAGCTGAAAAAACATTGAAATCCAATTTAAATCAATTCCTTACATTACTCAGTGTAGAGATTCATGTAAACACCAAAGGTACACTTAATCCAAATCCAGAGACGGATCCAGTTTTGGCCATTGCCTATGTTATTCGAGATGAAGGAGCATCTGAAGAACAAGGTGATGATTATAAAGATGTTACAGGACTACTTGTCATTGCTGCTAGTAGCAACACATCTACAATGGGATTGGGATGTCCAATAAGAGTATTTCAAGATGAAAGAGAATTATTAAAAGCATTTGTAGCATTGGTACGATCATTTGATGTTGATATTTTGGTTGGATTTGAAGTTCAATATGCATCGATTGGTTATCTCATTGAAAGAGCTCGTTGGATTGGAATATCACTCTGTGATGAGGTATCTCGTTTAATCTCACACATTCAAGGCAAAGAATCTTTAAACAAATCAAACAACTTTTTTGTTCGAGAACGTGATCGATTTGGATATGATCATTCAAGTGGTATTCAAATAGTTGGTCGTATTGTTTTGAATATGTGGAGATTACTACGTCATGAAATAACGCTAGACAATTATAGTTTTGAAAATGTTTGTTTTTATGCACTGCATCAAAGGTATCCTCATTATTCACATCAAGTATTGACAGATTGGTATGGAGATCCAAAGTCTATCGAAACAATTCCACCACCACTTAGATGGAAGACATTACGTCATACATTGGATAGAGCCATGGGATCACTCGATTTAATACAACATTTTGATATTATTGGACGTAGTTCTGAATTTGCACGTGTCTATGGTATTGACTTTTTCAGTGTTTTGTCACGTGGTTCACAGTATCGTGTAGAATCAATGTTGTTACGGTTGACCAAACCTGAAAACTATATTCTCTATTCACCGTCACGTGAACAAACGACCAATCAACCAATGCCAGAGTGTATCCCATTGGTCATGGATCCTGCCACACGTCTCTATGATTCACCGGTCGCAGTACTCGATTTCCAATCATTGTATCCATCTATTATGATTGGTCACAATTATTGTTATAGTACATGTCTTGGCAAGGTACAACCTACTTCTGACACTGACAATACCAAACGACTGGGATCTGGATCAATTAAAATACAAAATGGTCTGGTTGAAGCACTCCATGCGAACAATGCTATCAATGTATCACCCAATGGGGTAATGTTTGTAAAGTCTGATACTAGACGTGGTATCTTTCCAAAGTTATTGTCTGAAGTATTGGATACTCGTATCATGGTCAAAAAAGCAATGAAAAAACATAAAGACAATAAGCGTATCTACAAGATGCTAGATTCACGACAACTTGGTCTCAAACTCATGGCCAACGTTGCCTATGGATACACTAGTGCCACCTATTCAGGTAGAATGTCTTGTATTGAATTGGGAGATTCAATAGTTCAAACAGCACGAGAAACATTGGAATCTGCCATCAAAATTACAGAGACTGGTAAAGAGTTTAATGCATCGGTCGTCTATGGAGATACTGACAGTTTGTTTGTATTGATGCCCGGCCGAACAAGAGCCGATGCATTTGGAGTTGCTCAAAAGATTGCTGATCGTGTCACATCCATGTCACCAAAACCAGTCAAATTAATATTTGAAAAGATCTATCATCCATGTATACTAGTCAACAAGAAACGTTATGTTGGCTATAAATATGAAACACCATCACCACTAGAAGTACCAACATTTGATGCTAAAGGAATTGAAACTGTTAGAAGAGATTCTTGTAAAGTGGTTTCAAAAACATTGGAACGTAGTCTTAGAATATTATTTGAACAAAAGGATTTATCGGCAGTCAAAGAATATTTAATGAATCAAATTAAAAAGATTCTTCAAGATCGTGTCAGTCTGAGGGACTTTATCTTTGGAAAGGAAGTACGTATGGCCAATTATGTCAACGCTGAAAATGGAGGAGCTCTACCTGCTGCAGCTCATTTGGCAAGACGACTCATTGAAAAAGACCCACGTGCCGAACCAAGACATGGACAACGAGTCTCCTATGTAGTTGTCTATGGACTTCCGAACAGTCGACTTTGTGATTTGGTTGTATCGCCCATTGAATATTTAGAGAATCGTAAACTTCGTATCAATACTCTCTACTATATCACCAAACAAATCATCCCAGCACTTGACCGTATCTTTAAATTGGTTGGTGCAAATATCCCACTTTGGTTTAATCAACTTTCAAAATCTTTTCCATTTACTTTTAATCAAAAATTATTACAATTTTATCAAAACCAAAATAATAGTAATAATAATAATAATAATATGAATAATTTGGTTGCACAAAAAACAATTGATGAATTTTATAATATTATCAATTGTTTTATTTGTGGTAATAATTTGGATTCTCCTCCTATTCAACAGAAGAAAGGGATGATACCAGTATGTAATCAATGTAATCAAGATGGAGCTCAAACTAGCCATTTTGTCATGATGAATCGTTTGGCGAGTATAGAGAGTCAGAGGAATCAACTCTATGAAATATGTCACACTTGCTCGGGCGACAATCGGTTCTACTCGGACATTGAGTGTCAGAGTTTGGATTGTGATACCTTTTTTGAAAGAATGAAAATGTCAACACTTTATAATAATATTTTACTATGGTTTAATTCTAATCAACAACAACAGTATCAAGATGACCTGTAGATGTTTTAATGATCATCTAAATTGCTGAATCATTCAGATAAAAAGATACAGGAAAAAGGAAAATCATAATTAATATTAAATATTAAATAATATTAAATAATATTAAATAATAATAATAATTACAATACACTCTACCCTCACTATGACCCTCTTGTTTTATTGGAAAAAACTTTCCTTTTTTTTGCTTTCCAAAATAGGGAACGGTTTTTTTTATATTACAACGGTTGTCACAATAGAAGAAAAGCAATAGTATATTTTTGACAATATCTTTCAACCTTTTTCCTTTATTTTTTTTTTTTTCAGATGATAAAATTAATCATCTTTCAACTTTTTTCATTTAACATCAAATCCCCACTTCACACATATATACATATTTTCTCCCAAACACCCACTAAAAACACCAAACGGTTACCCCCTTTTTCTCACGCCTATACACTACCACTACTTTTAGCACTTTGGCATCTTTTTTTTTAAACTAACCATAGTAGTAGCAAGACTGTCTTTTTTATTTATTTATTCCACTAAAAACAAAACACATTTGTCTTTAAAGCTTTTTATTATTATATTATAATTTTCATATATAGTTTTTTTTTTTATTCTATTCATTTAATTATATAATTTTTTTATAATTATGAAATATGAACCAACAAATAGAGTCATTTTGGATAAAATCAAGGTATTTTTAAACAAAACCTTGAATCAAAATAATAATAATAATAATAATAATAATAATAATAATAGTAAAAAGAATGAAAATGATAGTAGTAACCTTGAATCATCAAACCATGGTGGTGGTATGATGATAACAAAGAAATATGATTGGAGCTTTACTGAAAAAGCATTGGCAAGGAGGTCTGCATCTGAAAACATCGATAAATATTCACATAATCAAGAACCCTATTCTTCACCAACTACCACTCTTTTCAATAATAATAGTAGTAATAATAACACTCCCTCTTTACTAGTATCATCCAATTCTTCATCAACCACCACCACTACTAGTACTGCCAATAGTCCATCAACAACATCAACACAATCTTCACCAACCTCTGCCTCTAATAATGACCATACTATTGATAATATGACAATTAAAAGTCAAAGTATATGTAGTAGTAGAAGTATAAGTGTATACTCTAGTTTTGGTAGTCTAATGTTTGAATCGTCGACAACAACAGCAACTAATGGTAATAAGGAAAAAAAATTAAAAAAGAGTCGGTCTGTTTGTGATGTTAAACCACAACAACAACAACAACAAGAAGAAACAATGGTCCAAAAGATTAAAACTGATGAAGAATATTATAAAGAATATCAAGATCAATATTATCAATATATAATATTAAAACAACAACAATTAAATCAAGCTAAATTATTAGAACAACAACAACAACAACAACAAATAGAACAACAACAACAACAACAATATAAATTAAATGAAGAATGGTTTAGAGATCCAGAAGATTGGGAAATTAATTTAAAATATTTATATAAATGGAAATGGAGAGAAGAAATGAAAATTCATTTTAAAAGATATAGAAAATTAAGGTCTACAATTAATCCTACTCTTTTTAATCAAGAACAAAAGGAAATCAATCAAGAAGAGGATGAAGAAATCCATTTTCCATTACCACATGACCCAGAATATTTGGATCAATTACTTGTCAATTTGGATCAAATCATTTTAGAAAATCAAGTATTGGAATCTTTATCGGATCATTTTGATATTGATTTTGATGACAATTATGAAACTTTAAATCAAATCGATCATATTTTAAATACTAGCAGTAATAGTTTATCTTTTGTAAATAATATCAATGTTTCTTATTTTAATGACATTGACAGCAATAATAATAATAATCAAAATTCACAAATTCAATTTGACATTAAAGATTTAATAGAATTACGCGAATCTTTAGATGATTCCTTAACATTGGATGTTCCATTTATTAAAAGATGGGATTCTAATATGCCAATACTTTCCGATTAAATGAAATAAATTTAAATTAAATTATTATAAAAACAAACAAACAAACAAAAAAAATTCAAAAAGTATATAAATAGCTACCACAGTTATTCTTTCTATTCTTTGACATGTAAATGAATCCATTCGATCCCAAAATGACATGAATATAATCAATAATACAAGTGAAAATAAAAAATGATTATTTATATTTATTTATTTTTTTTTGTTTTGTTTTTTTTTAAAAAGATTTAGATTGTTGGATAAGTAGCCATTGTAGCAATACCACAGTTATTCTTTCTATTCTTTGACATGTAAATGAATCCATTCGAACCCCAGTCTGACCCCCACGAGTTCTTTACAATGTAGTATTCATTGTTCTTGGTATCATCGTGGATAAAGGAGACCTTGTTTTCAAAGTTTGATTCTGGGTTACCCTTTCCAAAACCAACAGCCAAGACACCATGATCCAATTGAGAGGAAGAGCATTCAGGTGCGTAAAAGATACCAGACTTGTAGAATCTGAATGATCTTGGTGAGGCATCGATGGCAACAGAGACTGGACCAACATTACGAAGAACAGTTTCCAAGTGTTTTTCATTTCCAGCACGGATGTTTTGGTGGTCGCTAATAGAGGTGACAGCATTGGTAGAGTTAAACATACAAGCAGATGTATCAGTGGTGGTGTATGGGTAGGCTTCTTCAGATTCAAGACCTCCAGCATCAATAACATAGTCAAAGGCCAATGTCATTAACCCTCCATTACATCCGTTATTACCGTAACGCTTTGAACAATCAACAAGTTGTTGTTCAGATAATGAAATCATTTCACCAGTCTTGATTGCATGAGCTCCTTCAATTGCTCCAGTTCTAAAAAAATTAAAAAAAAAAAAGAATATGAATAAATGATCAAATTTGATTTAAAGAGTTTATACATACGAAGAGAATGACCAACAAGAACCACATTGACCTTGATTTTTAACGTGAGAGACAGCACCTTGTTTTCTCCAATCGACGTTGGGATTATCCTTGACGTTGCTAAAGACAGACTTGATGTGACCAAAATCTCTTTCGTCGGCATGATTGAGACCAACACGGAGAGCACCATTGACCTTGGTTCCGAGGTATAAACGTTGGTATTCCTTGTCGGTCAAATCGGCCAAGGTGTTCAACTCGAGCTTGTGATCGACCGACTTGTCATTCCATGTCTTGATGTAATCCATGTTCTTTTTGAAAATGTCAAAACGATTGAGGAATTCATGGGATTCATAGTTTTTCTCAAACTGACCAACCCATCCCTTGAATTCAGTGGTGTATTGTTCGTGGGAAAAGAGGGCTGTTGGTTTTGATCCCAAAGCTCCTCCTAAAAATGTTACACAAAATATTGCTAATAAAACAAAAATAAAAATTCTCATTGTTATAAAAAAATTTTAAATTGATAGAGTGAGTGAATTGATGTACAAAGATTAAATAGTAATAGTGATAATAAAAATTGATTGGGAATATAGAAATATTTATATATATACAAAAAAAAAATATAAAACTTTTATATTATTATTTAATATTTAAATATTTGAATTGTGAATAAGATGATATGTTTTAACAAATGAATTGTTAGATGTTTAAATAGTTGACTGTCATGTTGACGAGTAAAGGATTTTTAAAAGCTGGTATTACTCCCAGGAGTTTGAGTTGGTATGTGATGTTTTTTTTAATCTCTTCTGTCTCTGCCTGTACAACTCACTTGCTCCTGGAATAGTGGGTTTTAATCTGTTTGAATTGTTTTTTAAATTAATATTTTTAAAAATCATACTACAATGGTGAAATTAAAATTATCAACAACTTTTTTTGACCCAGTACTGTTATTACTGTATGATGATTTCAGGAAGAGAAAAGTTTTTAGAACTGTGTGTGATTAGGGCTCTTTCCTCTTGTAAAATTACTGTTTTGAAAAAATGTCGTTTTTTTTCAACGTAATTGCTGGTGCATGAATCGTAGTCCTGAATGCCAGGGGACAAGTTTGATGAAAAGAAAATCAACTAGTAGTTTAATTGATATTCTTTTTTTTTCGAGAGTATTGTGTGTTCTTTAGTTCATTGTTTAAAATTTTAATTTATTTAAATTTACTTTTTGATCTTACACTCTTCTGATCATCAAAAAAAGAAATAAAACAAAATATCATATCAATCTATCAATTTAATAAACATTGGAGGGTTTTATTGGGCAGTTTAGTGACGACTCGCCCATTTCCTAATTCATTCAAAGATAAAGAGAGAGAGAAAGATTTTTTTTTTGGGGTAAACTGATACATTTTTTAAGTTTAGTGTACGACCTCCCCCATTTCCTATATTCAACTCTAGAAGGCTTCATATCATTTACAAACAATACATGAAACAAATTTCTTGCACTCCCACACAAGGATTAATTTTTTTAATTTTATTTTTTCATGTACAGTAGAATATATAGATAGAATAGATAATTTGTTATTTAGCTAAATACAAAAGTTAACCAAACAAAGATGGGTGGTTGTCTCTACGAATCAACAAAAGCTCTTTGCATCCTCTCTCTGATGTCACATCAAGAAAGTGGTTTTCGAGGCTGTTGGGGGGTTTGATCGATCAATAGTTGGTTGAACCCAATCAATACACTAAATGATCATAGACGTATGTCATTTCGAAAGGGATTCAACCTATCTTTCTTTCCCCAACAACAACAACAAATAGAATGATGACAACATCAACAACAACAACAACAGTAGGTTGTACTAAGATAGCATCATCACCAAGTCAAAATGAATCATCATTCTTTATTGTTTTACTTTATTCTTTTGTTGTAGTAGTAGTAGAAATGGTAAGTTAAAATAGATATCTATAAAACCCAATAATCGATTTGATTATTTACCTTGTTATTATTATAGCCTAAAGTAAAAAAAGTAAAAGTAAAAAAAAACATTGGATTCATTAGTGATACCAAGAATACTCAGTTTAATGAAGTTCTTGGACTACTCCAAGAGACACCATTATCAATTAAAGAGTTGTTCCCTCAAAATCATTCACTCAACAATGTAATCATACTCACTTGTACACTATCAAACGATGGGTTATCTCACCTGCCCATAAATAATAATAATAAAAAGAAGAAGAAGAAGAATAATAATAATGATAATTCCAAAATTTTTAATGAAATGGAAAAAGAATACAATAACCAACAAAAAGACAATCAAGATATTGATCAAGATGATGATGATGATGAAGAAGGAGTAAAAATTGATAAGGAATCGATTATCAAAGAAATTCAAAGTGAAGAGGAAAAGATTGCAAAAACTAATTCCAAATCCAATTTCTATTTATCTCGTATGTTTTATAAAAAAATATTAATATTATTCCATTTCTTATTTGTTTATTAATATTTATTTTTTTTTATTTTTTTTTTTAGTTTCAATTATATTAAAAATTCCACAATTATCAACAAGATCAAAATTATTGGAATATGCTGACAATAGATATGGATTGTTTTTATTCTATAAAGACATTAAAATTCTTTTGGTCAAGGAAGAAGAATTCTCTCCAGAGTCATTCCTCTCTCTTGTCATTCAACAGATCAATTGGGTGATATCCATTTTTCAATTTGATATCCATTTTTACAATGCACCAAAACTCCCCATCGAGTCGATATTCAAATCATTTTATATTGGTTCTATCTATGGTCATTCAATACTGTCTCGGACCTGGCCCAACTGAAAAAACGAGCCAAGGAGTTTTTCAAAGATCCAATCCTTGTCAAATTTCCCCAAGAATCAATATTGATTTGGCTCAAAACGATTATCAAAAGTTCATATTCCTACAAACAAGCATCAAAGGTTCTTTATTTATCATACAATAAAATAAGACAATTGGCTGGATCTGAATCCTTATTTGTAGACTTTGGGCTATTGCTTCAACACTTTGGCAACCACAGTGCAAAATTTTTGTGGATGCAAGATTGCGGTGACACTTGCATCAACGATAAAAGTGGTATTTTTGCAATTGGAGTCCATATGGATGAAAAAAAGGCAAAACTTGACCACTTTTCCTTTTTCATTCAATGCCCATCAAAGAGATATAGAATCGTTAATATCTCATCCATCTTTAACGATCACTTTGACATTCCTCGACTTGGCGCATTTGATTGTCACAAATTGAAAACAAAATTTCCCCCTTGGTGAAAAATCTTCTCAAAACATATACAGAGTCGGCTCATCAACATTTTGAAACAGTGGAAACGGTATATGAGAAGAGAAATGAAAAAGATCCTCTTTTTGATTCATTCTTGTCTCGCCCAACGACTCAGTTTATTTGTTGGGCTCGTGAAAGTACAGATCGTCAAGTCCAACTTGGAAATGGTCTTTTATCACAATACGTTGCCAATTTAAACAACCTAAATTTGATCTATCAAGATCGTATCGATGGTTTGAAACTATCTGCCGAAACCAAAAAAAAATTAGAGGTTATTTTTGGTACTGAAGTAGTTTCTTCTTTTAATAATTCTCTATCAAATCGAAAGTATGAAAAAAGAAATAGAAAATTCAAACAAAAAGATTATCTTTTGTTGTTTCTTTTTATTTACCTTTTTTGTTTTTTTTTTTTAGACAAATGGAAATACTTTTAAAAGATTTAAAAATTGGAGCATTCTTGTCTGTTGCAGCATTTAATAGGTTAACACGAAACTGGTCAGAATATAAGGACATTTTGATACCTTTGTTTATCGAAAAAAAAATCAGGTTGGTCATTGCCGATCCAGATATGAAAGCGTTAAATATTTGCAACCCAATCATAATGGATTTTGGTAATCAAACTATATCATCTATTGGATCAACAGAATCGACAGCCACATGGAAACAAGTTTGTGAAGAATTGGCCAACAACTTTGATCGTTACTATGCTTCTTCTTACGAACATGGTGTTTATGGAAGTAGAGGCTCATCGTTGAATGCCCATGTCAAGCCACACGGTCCAGAACTCAATCTCAAGAGATGTTTAATCGAGGATATGTCTGCGTATATCCAGCCAGATGAATGGGACAAGACCAAGGTTGTTTTATTGGAATTGTCAAGAACATCTTTTCATGGCACCTTGTCCTCTAATGATGGAGACTCTGCAACATCCCAATCTCAAGCATTGAACATGTTAAACGCAAACATTCTCAATAGTCATTGTCAAAGTTTGCAACGTGTTGGAGTAATGGTTCACAAAACCAAAGTTCAAGTTGACACTGACACTTTGGAATCTATCAATAGTCCTCTGGTCAACAAAATTGTCGAACTTTTAAAGTCATTTGCCAAGGTCATTTGCCATGGTATTGCAATTGACAGATTGTTTAGAGATGCAAATGTTCTTTCTACCTTTTTCAAACATTTTGAAAAAAAGGTTTTAATTGTTTTATTATATCCACCAACTAGTTATTTTAAGACAATTAAATCAAACAAAAATCAATTAATTGGTAAGAAAAAAAAAATAGCAAATAATTGTAAATAATTAATTGTTAATTTAAATTATTATTATTTTAGAGAATTTATATTTAATGAATCAATTTGGTAGAGATGAAACCAATTTAATTGGAATGGAAGAATATTCAAATTCTTTACCACAAACTATTGCTGAATATTCGGAAATGGCATCAGACATGTTGCAAGATTTTGATTTGGAGAAAACAAAATCGTTTCCACTCTATTTTCCCACTCCGGTTACTCTGGAAAACCTCCCTCTTATTCTCACTGGTTGCCAAAAGAGTCAACAGTTTCGTCAATGTATGTCTGGAACTCAATATCTTGCTCATTTTCAATCATTAAAGCATACTCTTGGCGCAAACACCCAATCGCTTTTAAAACTTTCCGAGGTTGGTTATTCAAACTCACAATTTCAAAACGATCAAATCTATCAAAAGGTTTTGCGTGCTTCCTCTGCATCGGTCACTAGTCATGATGGTAAAGAAAATATCAATAGGAATTGTAAATCAAATTTTGTTGACAAAAATTTAAATAATATCAAGTATGTAAACAAAAAAAAAAAATTATAAAAATTAATTAAGTTTATATTAATATAATTTTAATTTTTTAGTGAATATAGAACCATTTTAAATCATTATTTGCAAGATGAATTTAAAAAAACTTTTACAACTGGACGTCGTGCAACCATCAGAATTCAACCCAACAACAAAACCAAATCATCAAAACGACCAATCATTATAGATATTGATAATGAAGATCTTAAGATCTTAACAATACACCATCATCAACAACAAAACAGCCAATAATTATAGATGTTGATAATCAAACAAATGATATTGCTTTGGATCAAGTAGATGATTCAAAAAGAATAGAATCACATGAAGTTTTGTGTAGCATCAAAAGAACAAAGATAGATGGTGTTTACATTCCACAAAAAGCTGTCGACGAATCTTTGGCAAAAGATTTACAACAAGGTTCCAATACCTACCAGCAAGAAGTGGATCAACTTTTTACAATCTTGAATCCCGCTGCAACCAATAATGACTTTAACTTGTCGTAACTCAACCACATTATCCTTTAAAAATGGAGTTGGATAATGATAATGCTAGCATGTTGATATCTACTACTTCCACCACCTCTACCAATAATATGGAGTTGGACAATGATAATGCTAGTATGTTGGCATTGACTACTTCCACCACCAACTCAAAAGAACCAAGTATCCCAATTGGTGACTCTCAACCTACATTATCCATTCAACCTACATTATCTATTCAACCTACATTACTCATTCCAAAACCCTCAACCATAGTTTTACCAAAGTTTTATCAAATAGTCCAAGTACGTCAGTATAAAACCAGTGACGTCAAGGACTTCAAAACCATTTTTGATCCACTTGGTATTCCATACAAAATAATGCTTGTCTATGACCCTCCAGGAAGCCAATTCACAAGGAGAACCAGCCTCGTTCTACTATTTGATAGTCTTGCAAACAGGGAATCTTTTGTCGCTACTGCTGACCCCAAAACAAAGAAATTATACAGTGTACACTGCTTGGATCCTCTAAAATCAATGTATTTCTACTCAAATTCGAATGGTCCAACTTTATATAGTGTTTTTAGTCAAAAGAATTTTCCAGGTTGTCAGTTACTTTATGCCACATTTGGTCTAAAAGAAGATGTCCTATGTTGTGTCCAATTCGATGGGGAGAAAGCTAGCATCGCCAAATCTGCCTGTTTTTCAAAAAAATCAGACATATCAAACAAGATTTCTGTCCTTCCTTTTTCCAAGGTCTGTGCTCAAGGCCCCTTTGGTTTTAGGGATATGAGTTTTTTAAAGGAAGTCCTTTCAGTAAATAGACAATAAATATGTTTGAATATTTCTTCAATTGAAAAAATATCCTTTGCATTTTTTCAAAAAAAAGGAAAGGAGAGGAAAGGAAAGGAGAGAGAGAGAGGAAAAAAAGGAGGGGAGAGAGGAAAAAAAGGAGAGGAGAGAGGAAAAAAAGGAGAGGAGAGAGGAAAAAAAAGGAGAGGAGAGAGGAAAAAAAGGAGAGGAGTGTAATATTGTGTATGGTGTATATAATATCTACTGCTAATAATGACAATGATGATAAACAAGATAACTAGATAACTGACAAGATACAATAAACTAGACTGAACAAGACTCTACACGATAGATATACAATTATAACTAGCTACACGAATTGGGGAAACAAGAATGATCCACCAAGCTCGTCGCGACTTCTATTTATTTGTGTTTTTCATATTTTATGTATTTTCGGAATGCAGGGTGAACCTTGTTCTCTGACACTCTCGCAGTGACACCAAAGGCATGCAGCGTACCACGCCTTCCTTCATTCCTTCTTATATTATTATCTACTTTAAAGTCCTTCCCCGAAGCTGGAGTATTGGCTAGCGAGGGAGAGTGAGCCTTGGCCGTGATGGATGGGGCAGGAGAAGGTGGTTTAGCAGTGGCGGAAGGAGAGACTGGTTTTTGGAGAATTCTCCGGAGCAGGATGGATGGTGGCAATGGTTTGGAAAGAACGGGGTTGGGTGTGGCGTCTGGAGCCTCGGTGATGACTGGAGATTGTGTAGTATTGAATACAGAGGGAACAAGGTTAACCGTGACGTTGGAGTCGGAAGAGTCGACGTGACCATTCGGTGTAGAGTTAAGGTTTAAAGTGGTGTCGTTTGAAAGTATGTCGGTTGTAGAGTCGTCGGTTGGACTCTTCTTGTTGGTGCTGTTGTGCATCGCATGCTCAGGGTTTAGCTGTTCAAACTCGTCGAGTATGTGTGTCGGTATTTGATCTCTAGTAGACCAGCGGTTGTTGTAGTTGTCGAGACCGGTCCACTTTACGAGATATTGTGGTTTGTTGTAATGCAACCTGAAATCGACAATGGCCTCTATGAGATGTTCCTCGATGAGACCAGAGGTAGGGATGGATACTTGATACGTGGTGTCGCTGAAACGGGATGAGTGGTGGAACGGTTTCAACAAAGAGGAATGGAAAACAGGGTGGATGGCCATAGTATCGGGCAACTCGAGCTTGTACGCTGACTTCTCATCGTTGTGGTTGGTTATGACACTGATAATCTTGAATGGACCTATCCACTTGTTGTACCATTTCCAACTGTGTCGACGCGAGTCGGCGGCAAGAGTGATATTCTTTCTGTTTAGTAGAACCATATCACCGACGTTGAGAGACTCTTGAACTTTACCACGGTCATGGTATTCCTTTTGGCTGGATTGGGCTTCGGCGAGACATTGAGTGGCATGTCTCCAAGACATGATACGGTTATCGATAAAGTCGTTGACGGCTGGTGTGTCAGAGTCGATGTCACTAGAAGAAAGTAAGCGAAGGGGGTTAATAAGCTCAAAACCATGAATGAGGTGGGCAGGGGAATGGTTGGAAGAGGAGTGGATGGTGGTATTGTATGTAAAAGCAAGAGTAGGTAACAATTCTACCCAATTGTCCATCTTGTAGTTGACGTGTGATCTCATCATTTCATTCGTCACCCGATTCATCCTCTCTGACTGCCCGTCAGTTTGAGGGTGAAAGGAGGACGAGAATGATAGTTTGGAACCAAGTAGTTTAAATAGAGCTTCCCAAAAGTTGGAAGTAAATTTAGCATCCCTGTCAGATACTATATTCAAAGGCAGACCATAGCGAAGATAGAATTGGTCGTAGAATAATACGGCGGTATCTTCTGCCGTTGCGTTGACGAAAGTAGGGATGTAGACTACGAATTTAGAGAACTTGTCAACAATTGTCAGTAATGCATTATGGCCGGTGCCTCTTGCTGGTGGGAGATCTACCATGAAGTCAAGTGTGACAGTGTGGAAAGGGCGATGTGGGATTGGCAGAGGGTGAAGTTTGCCCAACGCACCACTCGTCGGCGACTTGTTGCGCTGGCAAGACTGACAGGCAATCACGTACTCCTTGCAGTCCTCGTAGATACCACGCCAGTAAACCGACTGAGAGAGGTGCCAATAAGTCTTGTCGACGCCGAGGTGACCAGTATTGTGAGCCGCTTGAATGATATCTTTTCTCAGATCCGGGTCGTTTGGAATGCACAACCTGCGATGATCGTTACCTGTGAAATAAACTAATTTGTTTGTAGAAACATGAAAATGGAGACGGCTTTTGCCATTAATAATATCTGAATAAAATAAGTCTGATTTGTATCCTTTCTTGATACGATCGTTAAAGTGTGGATCAACTATCGGTGATGATATCGCCTCTTTGTAGTCGGGGCGACGCGAGAGAGCATCCGCCACAACATTGAGCTTACCAGGCTTATGCTTGAATGTATATCTAAACTCACCTATGAACCGGGCCCAACGACCAACCTTGTCATCGGTACCAACAGCGTCTTCAATTCGACTGATAGCAGTGTGATCAGAGAAAAGGATAAAGTCCTTGCCCACAAGGTAATGGCGCCACTTTTTGAATGAGTGGTATACCGCCAAAGCCTCCTTGTCACGCGTGGACATACCTCTCTCTGCTTTAGTCATTTTGCGCGATTCAAACGCTACAGGTCTACCATCTTGTTCGAGGACAGCACCGATCCCAAAGTCAGACGCATCAGTGGTGACGGTGAACGGGCCGTCCATATCTGGAATGAAGAGGGACGTGCACTCACAAAGCAACGACTTGATCTTGCCAAACGCGGCTGACAGCGAGTCGCTCCATGATAACGTCTTTTTCGTGGTGGCATCGTACAACGGGGCCGCGTGGTCGGCAAAGTGGTCGATAAAATTACGGTAGTAATTACACAACCCGAGGAAGCTTTGTAGTTCTGTGACGGTAGACGGTGTCGGCCAGTCCTTGACCGCGGCAAGTTTATCTGCAAGGGGACGGATGTACCCAGGAGTGATAAGGTGACCGAGGAACTCTACCTCCTTCACTAGAAACGATGACTTTGCTTTGTTGGCGAACAATTTGTTAGAACGTAGTCGGTCGAGAACTTGCTTGATGTGTTCGTAGTGGTCGTTTTCATTCTCTGAGAAGATAAGAATATCGTCGATATAAATAATTACAAAAGTGTCGAGAATGTCAGCGAATGCCGCGTTGATGGCACGAACAAAGGCGGACGGAGCATTACGTAGCCCGAAAGGAATGACAGTGTACTCGTAGTGACCAGACGGAGTACTAAATGCTGTTTTGTGGGTATGCTCATCCTTAATACGAATCTGATTGAAGCCGTCCTTTAGGTCGATCTTTGAAAAGATCTTGGCCTTTGCGATCTTCTCGATCAGTTGGTCGATTCTTGGTAACGGGAAACGGTCGGCCACCGTCTGCTTGTTTAGCGCGCGGAAATCCACGCACATACGGAGAGTGCCGTCCTTCTTTCGAACAAAGAGGACAGCCGAGTTGTACGGGCTCTTGCTCGGGGCGATCCGACCAGATGCGAGACCCTTCTCGACAGTGGTGAACATGACGTTATTCTCTTCCGATGAGAGGTGATTATTGCGGCGATAGACTGGCTTGGCACCATCCACCTCGACGATCTCCATGTCGTGCAAGCGGTGGTCAGCGAGGTAGTTTGGTAAAGCGTCTACCAAAACGTCTTGGTAGTCGGCGAGGAGTTTGGCGAACCGAGGGTTTGCCGACGAGACGCTGGCGACGTGGGCCAGGCCAGAGTTGGAAGAAGGGGAGGGATACAGTTTGACGATAAAGAATTCATCGACATCGTCGTCCACAAAGAGGCGTTGAATGGCCGAGACCGACAATTCGGGAATGACGGATTGGACGACGACATGAATGGGGGGTGGAACGGGTGGTGCGAGTGGCGACGAGGGGATGATAGGCGAGGTAACAGGTGGTGTGACAGACAAGACAATAGGCGGAATAACAGTTGAAACAATGGGTGGTGAAACAGGAGAAACAATAGATGGTGCAATAGGTGAAGCGGGTGGAGAGATAGAAGGAGTAACATGTATAGATGGTGCAACAGGTGAAACGGGTGGAGGGATATAAGGAGTAACATGTGCAGAGGGTGAAGTGGTGGTGTGAACAATAGGGTGGTCAAGTAAGGTAACCGATATAGGGCGAGATCCAGCCTGGGCGCAAGTGACAGGTGGCACCGGTACAGCGAGGGTGGCGACCGTGGCCGGGTCCTTGAAAGACAAAGTGCCAGCCGTCCAATCGATAGATGGATTGGTGGCCAGCAACCACGGCATGCCCAGTATAATCTTGTGTGGTGATTCCAAGATCAGAAAGGGCATGTTGACGCTACGTCCCATTACGCTAATGTCCAACGAGATGGAACCGTTGACATGGGTGTGGGAGCCATCAGCTAGCATGATGGGAATGAGTGACTTGGAATATGGAATGTTGTAGAGGCCTAAAATAGATGGGGAAATGACATTGACAGCTGCTCCGCTGTCAATGAGAGAGGGTGAATCAAATAATGAAAAGGATGTATCGACGTACATACATTTTATTGATCGAGAGATCGTCCCAACAAAGGGAGCAGGGGACGACACTAGTTTAAATTCGATGGGTTCTTTTTCTTTGACTTACGAGGGCAATCGATTGCAGTGTGCTTGTCAGACGAGCGGCAGAAGAAGCACAGTCGATGTGTCTTACAATAATCGTGGATGGCTGGAGTCATGGGGCCAGACAACGAGATGGCCGAGATGTCCATGGGAACGACCGTGGAAGGTGGGGCGACATTCTGACCGTAGTGGTGTTGGTCAGAGGCGATGCGGCAACAAACGGAGATGGTGTCGTCAAAGGTTTTTGGGCGGAACTCACCACCGAGCAAATTGAAAATAGACCTGACACCAGTCGAGAGACCATGGAGGTACCGGTCGATACGGTCGTCCTCCGACATGGATGGGCAGTTCGAAACTAGTTCTACAAACGTGCTAGTGTACTCTTGTATGCTGAGTTTATCTTGAGATAATTTCCATAGCTTGGCACGCGCCACATCGGCGGCGTTGACTGGGGAGAATCTGTTCTTGAGAGCCGACTTGAACGCATCCCAAGAATTTATGGATGCCTCGACTGAGATGAACCAAGACGAGGCAGGGCCTGTCAAGAAAGATCTGGCGAACGGGATCCTCTCGTCGTTCGGCGTTTTGTAATAGTTGAACTGGTTTTCGACGGCAGCGATCCATTGGCGCATGGAAGAGGCATCACCGTTGAACGGAGGAGGAGCACCTAATTTGAGACGCTTACCAGGAACAGGCGCTGGTGCTATAACCGGTGAAGGTGCTGAGGCTTGGGCAACGAGACGGTTAATAACAGCGTGTAGCTCATCGAACTTAGCTTGTTGTGTTGCACTCATGACCGACTGTAGTGCAACAAACTCCTTTTGGAGTGACTCTTTCTGTTCTGCTGAGAAACCTGACATGACAATGACAACAATAAACAACTATATATAAAAAGGAAACGATGATGTGATGAATGAACGAGCAATTGACCGATAGACAAAAGCTACCAATGTAATATTGTGTATGGTGTATATAATATCTACTGCTAATAATGACAATGATGATAAACAAGATAACTAGATAACTGACAAGATACAATAAACTAGACTGAACAAGACTCTACACGATAGATATACAATTATAACTAGCTACACGAATTGGGGAAACAAGAATGATCCACCAAGCTCGTCGCGACTTCTATTTATTTGTGTTTTTCATATTTTATGTATTTTCGGAATGCAGGGTGAACCTTGTTCTCTGACACTCTCGCAGTGACACCAAAGGCATGCAGCGTACCACGCCTTCCTTCATTCCTTCTTATAAGGAGAGAGGAAAGGAAAAAAATGGAAAAAATCTGCCTGAAGGGAGGATTGAACTCCCGACCTTAGGATTATGAGACCTACGCTCTGCCAGCTGAGCTATCCAAGCATTATGGATATGAGCCATTTTCAGAAATTCCCGCCTCGTTCGGCGCCCCTCAAAAAAAAAAATGCAGCGAGTGGGAAAAGCTTACCCAACCCTACGACGTCAGCAGAGAGGCTGTACCCAAGCCAGCAATGGAACCAGACAAAAGAGGAAGAGTACCTCTCAAACAAGTGTACCTCCAAAGGCTAACCATAGCCAACGAAAAGTGGAATGTGTACGACCCGACCCCAGGCCAAAAGATCTTAGCAACCGACGACAGAGTGTATCCAATGAATGCACTAGCTGCTCTCTCTACCATCGTACTACCAAAGGGTCGAGATCTGGTTTGGAAGTATGTAACCAAATGTCTCCCGCTCGTCAGGGGTGACCCAGTCGCTTCAATCTGTGTATCGTGTGGCAAAGATGAATCTTCCAAGCATTTGTTCTTTCAATGCAAGGAGACCACACTACCAGTAAAGTTACTGAAAGAGGTTACTGCTGCCAACAACATTACACCACCAGTTTGGGACATCACCCTCCTCAACCTCAAACAAACTCCAATGACTATAAACTTGGTCGCTGCAACACTAGAACGAATATGGTTCCGACGTAATGATCTACGTCACCAAAGAGATGAACCTTTCACTGAACAATACCTGCGAGCTAGATTGATAAGTGATATGCGACATATTATAAAAGTAAACTGGGACAAGACGTTAGAATTATGTAATCGATGGCACTTGGCTCTAATGAACCAAACCGATGAATCAGTAATACATACGATTACAGAACGAATACAAACTATCATCCTTCGATTCTCCTCCAACTACAACCATCCTACTGTCTACAAGATCGCACTACCTAGTCATTTGGAGAGGTACAAGACTCTGCGTACACTACATCTATAATCGATCACCTCAACCTCATTCTTCACATCCTCCTCAACACCTTCATCTTCTTCTATTCTCTCTTCATCTATCAATAATAATATTAATAATATAATAATTTACTAAATAATAATAACATAGAATAATTATATAACACAATATTACAGCCTATAGTGCTGAGAAAAAAAAAAAAAAAAAAAAAAAAAGCGATATCTTTAACCAATTTATCTTTAGAACAAGCAACAATCCAAAACAATCCAACATGCTTGACACTATACAATAAGATACATGATCAACGTCCATATAACATGTATCATAGACATGGACAACCCCCAGAACAAATAAACTTTAATTCTTCTCGAGATAATCTTTATTTCTTGCTGGTTGATCATGTATCTAACTATAGGATAGAACAGGAAATGAATTACTTTAAAAAAAGATCTTCTACTTTTTTAGTTTTAATATTTTGGTTCAATCATTAATAAATGTCAATCAAGACAATTTTAAAAAACTAATAACATTTATTAGAGAAATAGAATCTTTTTAGATTGATCTTTCTTGCCATCTACTTGAACCTCTATTCAAGAGATATTCACGACCAGCAAGATGAGGTACAACCTCGTACCTTACATTGGGTGCCTGAACTGGGAAAACATCATTACGGTAAATATGGCATTCTAAATACGATGTTTGACCATTTCTATAAACCAATCTTATTCCATAGACAATGAGTGATTGAAAAATGAAATAGGTTCCAGCATTCAAATTAATTGTCTTTCTGACAGGTGTTTTCTCTGGAATAACTCCACCATAATTAAACTTGTTTTTTACCTGGTTTGCATCATCACATCTTTTTTTAAAATAATATATTAGAAATGGATCATTTTCAGCAAATTAGAGGTGAAGGTTACCTTTGAAAGTCTTGGGCATCTGACCAACTGTAACCTGGATAATATCCTTTGAAATGAGTGACAGTGTGTTGACCCGGAGATTGGAGGGTTACGTTATCAATATAATGGTTGAGAACGGCAATTGGTTTCATATGAATTGTTCCATCTGGATGGTTAAGAGGACAAGAGACAAATCTAGAATCCTAAAAATTTAATGATTTTGTTAAAAAAAATGGTACATTTAATCAGTATTCAAGATACAAACAATCATTACAAATTGGTCAATTGGTGATATAACTTTGAGAGCATTATCAACACCAAGTTCTGATGAGACTACTGTGGTATTCTCCAAGTCAAATGGCTCCAAAAGTGGACGATTTGATTTATGATCTGGACCACAATATTTTGGTTCTTGAGGTGTATAGGTAGATAATGTTTTTATCATTTTTGGGTGAGTATGGACGTAAAATAAATGACCAAATGACAAAAAATTTTATTTATTTATACTACCAAAACCCAACCAATGATTGGGCAATTTACACTCTTTAAAACTTTTGGTCAAAATACTTTTTTCACAATGTGTGAATTTATGTTACAATTATAAAAAGATTGAATTTGGTGTGGGGGTGGACAAACTACAATCTTAAAAGTGGGTACAAAAATTTACACGTCAAAAGGGGTCGATGACCGCTACTGAGACCTGTTGCTGCTGTCTGAGATACCCTTCCTCGGAGAGGAAGGGTGGGTGCAAATACCTCAGTAGCGCTACACGTTCCCCATTTGTAGTGTATCAACACATATGTTTCCAAAACTTTCTTTATTTGGCAACAACATTCCCCAGGTGGAGTATGTTGATAACTAGATGAAATGTATAGATGATTGACAAAATAATCTGCTGGAAATGAATTTATTATTATTCATTTGTTCATAATAAAGTAAAAAATTTACGTTTTATTATTATCGCATTTTCGGTCTATGGGTAATTCAGTTGTAGTCTATCACAAAGCTGCATTTCTTTGTTTTGGATTAGTTTAATCGAATTAAATCACGTTTTCACCGTTGCTCTCCAAGAAACGTTCCATACGATCCATTTACCAAGGTCTGGGACCTCAAAGCTTTGAGCCCAAAAGGCATGGATGTTCGAAGGTTCCTCCACGGGGTAAAGAACAATCGAGCAATTAAACAAATAACTTTTTCCGTCTCTGCAACGAGTGGGAAAAGCTTAGCCAACCCAAGGACATCAGAGAGTCTTTTCCCTAATCATATTCTCCTTGAACGTGAATGACAATAAAGTTATCTTCAAATGTACTCATAGAGATTGAAGAACATGATGCAATAGCAATACGTCGTTTAAGTTTGTAATCTGATGGTGTTACATTGTAGATGGCACTATCCGTTATAAATATGATTCTCTCTTGCATCTTGTTTCGTTTGTTCACTTTGATGAGTACATCAGAGAATAGAATACGATTGTCACCATAACGAGATATTAGTTTGAGTATAGATACATTGTTAGAGAGCGATAAAAAGTCACCAAGAAACACTTTTGATATACTAGAGTTTCTACGTTTCTTTTTACCCATAAACTTGGCATCTCTCAAGAAATATTCGACGATTTTTTTTTTTATTTTTTTGTCGTCGAGGGAGGCCGGAATTTGGGAGTTTGGCCGATATCCATAATGCTTGGATAGCTCAGCTGGCAGAGCGTAGGTCTCATAATCCTAAGGTCGGGAGTTCAATCCTCCCTTCAGGCAGATTTTTTCCTTTCTTTTTTTTCCACTCTCTCTTCCTTTCTTTCCTTCCGGAAAGGAAAGTGAATGCAACATCAAAAACTCTTTTTTCATTTCTATTTAAAAAATTACATACATTTATTTCGATTTCCAATATTTCCAAACAAAATACAAAGCAAGCAATATCTCCAAGACAAAGTGGAGTTGCTGAGCCGGGTGAGTGATACTAGTAATAGTAACGGGTAAAAATATAGACAAACCATTGTTGCACATGTGAACGAGAATGGGGATGACCAATGTCTGGCTCTGGATGAAAAAGAGTGTAAAGAGAGTGCCAAAAATCATACCCAACCAAATTTGTAAATTAATGTAAAACATTGTCATGTCTGCATTGATTGCATTTACAATATGATACAATCCAAATAAAATATTTGATGTTAATACACAAAATTTTAAATTATTATTTCTACAAAATAAAAAAAGATTAGAAAAGATGTTTTCTTTTTTTTTTTTTCTTTTTTTTTTTTTCTTTACCTTCTTTTTAAACAATAAAAAATGATACCTCTAAATAATATTTCTTCAGAGACTGGAGCTACAAAGAGTGAAAGTGAAAGTTGAGCAAAGTCAATATTACCACTAGTCGAATCGATAACATTGTTGAGAGAAAACAATGATAAATCAAATGTATATTGTAAAAGTAGAAAAACAATAAATATTGACATTTGTAATATCATAAACCATTTTGCTCCATCAAATTTAATATTTAAAAGTTTAAATGAAAAAGGAGTAATACCAAACCTATAAAAATAAAAAGAGAAATGAAATGGTTAAATCAAAGATTTGATACTGTTTTTTAATAATATTTTTTCATACCATTTGGGTAAATCTTGAACATATTTAAATAGATATTTATAACGATAGAGGATATAAATAGTTTCACAAGTATATGATAGAGTTGTAAGGACATTGGTATTGGTCATGATTTGATGTGGTAATGATCCACGTGGTAGATATTGTGTAATCAATATCAATGTACTTTGAAATAGAATCAAAGTAGCTGTATATTCTATTATACAAATAACAGATTCTATAATCCCAACTGCTGATAACATTTTTGTTCCCAATACTGTTTGTTGCGATTGAACATCTTGAGAAGAAGGAGTAGTAGTTGTAGTAGTAGTAGTATCAGGAATAGTCTTATTCCTATTTGTAGTAGTATTATTATTTGTTGTTTGAGACATGTTGTTTTAAAAAAAAGAATAAAATAATATCACATCAAGATCACATTTTAGATTTGCTTGTTTTCGTTTTTTTTTAAAACATTTTTTTTTATTAATTATTTTTTTTTAATAATCTTGTTGGCCTGGCAGTAATGCAGATATCTTGTTGACCTGGTTACGTTGAGAGAATTCAGTCAAGAATGGAAACCAATTTGATGGTATGGGAGCATCCCAAATACCAATATATCTAATATTGGCAGCATTGATGAGATCAAATCGTTGAGTCAAGTCTTGATCAGACAATGGATTATTGTTTCCATCGACTGTCATGAGACCAATAGCCAACTTGTCCAGAGGGATAGAGTTTACAGCATATTGAAAGTTTTGTGTAAATTGTTCAATGTCACCTCCATAAGTAGACATTGTAAATAAATAGTCTACTGCAGTATTACCAAGCAGTGTATAGTTCCAAAATGGAGTATAAGTAGCAACGGCAACCGTCAATATCTTATCATTCAAATGTAAAGCATTGGCAAATTGATCAATAAAATTTGCATAATCAATTGCATCTTGTTCTGTTCCATCTCCACTACCTGGTTCAATATCAACATTAAATCCATTAAATCCTTCAAGGATTGATCTAATTAAATATTAATATATGATCATTTATATTCTAATCTGTTTTTTTTTTTTTTTTCTAATGTTCTATTTACATTTCAATTGCAGAAGAAATAAAAGGTTTTGGATTTAAAAATAAATCTCTTGCATATTCAATTACTTCTGGACGACCCCATGGACAACAAGTAGAGATCATTGGTAATGTTAAAAGACCGACATTATTGATATCACTTTGTACATTTGTAAAGTTATTTAATATCAATGTTGAATTTGGTCCAAGATTAAATCTTTCATATGCTACAGATGTTAATATTGAATGAATTGTTTCAATTTCCTTTAAAAATAAAATATTAATATAAATGTAAAGAGAAAAGAAAGAGTCTCAAACATACAGTTAGATCACTAGTTATATTTTCACTTGTTCTTTCTAGTCCCATCCATACTAGGACCCCATTTTGACCTACGATCGTAGTAGCATTTAAAACTAAAATACAACCAATTAAAACTATTATAATTGATTTAAACATGTTTAATTGTACTAATAGTAAAGCAGTAGCATTGAATAGTTGTCTTAAAACAGTAAAAATATCTTTTTAATTTTTGTTTTTTTTTTTTTATTCGTTTTAAAGCCGAAATTGACCCAGGGATTTTTGATGAAACCCGAATGGTCTTTGAGAACCAACCAAAAATTAGATATTTTCGAAACTCAAGGTTGTAAGGGATTCACAACGAGTTTTAAATCACTTCCTCTCATTGAAACAAATAACAAATAATGATGAACTTTTATTTATTATTTTGTATCATTTTAAATTTAGGTTTAATTTATTCACAACCAACAATATCTACTTCACCTGGTATGTACAATAGTCTATATTTATTTAACTTTTACTTTTTATTAACCTTTTTATATTTAGAAATATTAAATACATCAGGAGATAATATTTCAATTTTTTGGAAAGGAATAAATAATGCATCAATTAATGATATGATAGCAATTTATTATCCACCAAATTCAAATATTTTAATGCCAATTGGATTTATAATGTGTAGTGATTCAGTTAGTTGGAAAGAGGGTTATGGAAGTGTAGAGATACCATTGGTTAATGTTAGAGATACCTATGTATTTAGATTATGGATTCAAAATCAACAACCACAAATTCAACCAGTCCTTCAATATGATAATGCTACTCTATCATTGGTGGCTACTAGTAATAATGTTACTTTTCAAAATCCATTTGAACCAACCAAAGTCTATACATCGTTGACAAACTCGTCTAGTGAAATTAGAATCATGTGGATTTCTGGTACAAATGATCAACCATTTGTACAATATGGTCTTTCACCAAGTCAATTATACTATACATCTACTGGTACAAGTGTAACTTATACAATCGATCAAATGTGTGCTGCGCCAGCCAATGATCCAAACAATTGGAGAGATCCTGGTTACTTTCAAGATGTAGTCATTGATAACTTGACACCTTCAACAACTTATTATTATCGTGTTGGTAGTAAAAATAGTGGCATGTCTGTTCAAACCTATCAATTAGTTTCACCACCAAAAATTGGAACTGAAGCATATGTAGTAGCCTTTGGAGATTTGGGTGTTGAAACTGAATTTATTGCCAATTTTGATAATCAACCATCATCTATTGAAACTATTGCCAATATCAATACAATCATCAAAACACCTTTGGAACAAAGTCAGCTGTTTAAAAAATTGGGTCGTCCTCTATACCAAGATGGTTTAATGTCTGGATCTGATTTTAGAGAAAATGAAACAATGGTACCATGGGCAATTCATCATATTGGTGATATTAGTTATGCTAGAGGTGTAGCAGTAGTTTGGGATTATTTCCAAGACATGATGGAAGATGTAACGAGTTATGCATCTTATCAGGTGGCAGTTGGTAATCACGATTACGATTTCATTGGTCAACCATTTAAACCAAGTTGGTCAGATTATGGTGCCGATAGTGGTGGTGAATGTGGTATTCCCTATGCCACTAGATATCACATGCCAGGTGCTGAAAATCAAACCTATCGAAATGATTGGTATAGTTACAATTATGGTCCAATCCATTTCGTTGTCATGTCTTCTGAACACGATTTCCTCTTTGGTAGCCCACAATATGAATGGATTGTTCAAGATTTGCAATCTGTAGATCGTATGGTAACTCCTTGGATTGTATTCTCTGGTCATCGTCCAATGTATGCTTCTGAATTATTAGGTATCGCTGCTCCAATGTATGATAACCTTCGTGAAACTTATGAACCATTATTAATTAAATATAATGTTAATTTGGTTTTAACTGGTCATATTCATGCTTATGAAAGAATTGTAAATTTAAAAAAAGATAAAAATAATATATGTATATAATATTAATTATATCTTTTTTTCTTTTCAAATATATATAGTGTGGAATAAATAATTTTACATGTGCATCAAGTGATAATGATGCACCAGTACATGTATTGATTGGAATGGCAGGATGTAGTTGGTTAGGATTATGGACAGATAATCCATTTAAACCACTTGTTGGAGGTGTAGGTGAACAACCTCAACCAGAATGGTCAATCTTTAGAACTACCAACTATGGTTACACTAGATTCTATGCAAATCAAACTGATCTCTTATTTGAATATGTTGGTAATCATCGTAATCTTGTTCATGATTCTTTTTGGTTAAAAAATAATTATTACAATTAATTAAAAAGACTTAATAAATATTTTATTTGCTAGAGAGCTTTATGAGGAGGAACAATTAAATTTGCAACCAATAGACCAATTGCAAGACTTGTAGAGATCATAAACATACCACCAAAAAGAGCGATACCAGCTTCTATGTTTCCAGAGGACATTGAGAATAAGCCCTTTACACCCATTGACCCTGGCACCAAAAGAATGATACCTGAAAGAATCGGAACGACCGACTGCCCATTGGTAAAACGGGCATAGAGATTCGATACAATACAGATAAGACATGCACCAAAGAAACTGCCTACATCTGATCCGAAAATCTTGTTGCCCCAATTACCACCAATCACACCGAGAATAGATGTGAGCATGATGATCCAAATTTGACGTGGATGGACTTTCATTTGAATGGCAAATGAAACGGCGGCCAATGGTATGGCTAAAAACATACTCCATTCTGGGAAACTGGCTGGTGGCAACTCTGTACGTGTTGGTAAAAAGTTGGATGACAATCTTGTGCCCAATGCAATACCAAATGTCAATTGAAGTAGGCAAGAGAATGCCCCCATCAGACGTGCATTACCACTGACCAAATTTCTAGTACTAATCTCTGCAACTGCAATGGTCAGTGAGAGACCAGGAGCCAACGCTATAATACCACCTAGTACCACTAAAAAGATATGTACTGGGTAGATAAAGGAATTGAAAAATGTGGCAATGATTGACCCGCCAAATGCAGACAATGCCTCGAGCACTCTACCAATGGTTGGCCATCTACCAGCTGCCGCATAGAGTAATCCAACATAGAACCCAACAAGCGACATGGCACCAATCTCGACCCACCCAGCTTGAAAGAAAAAGGCAATGGCAAAACTTGACAACACAAAACTAGATACCATCACATACATATTGTAGAGTGGTGGAGAGTTTAGAATGTCGTGTAGTCGTACCAATGCTTCTTGACATTTGATACGACCGTAAATGACGTGGTCGGCCAATTCTTCGAGCTTGACAAGACGCTCCATATTATAGTCGGTCGATTGAATACGCAGTAAATGTGTGTATGGTGAAAGAATAGTGTGAGGCGACCCAAACGAGAAAAAGATACCAGTAGGTGTAGAGAAAAAGTTACCATCAATCCCAAACGTACCACTGATCAATGTCAATTCGTACTCTAATCGATGAACGGGTACACCAGACATGAGTAGCGCACGTCCAAGTTCCATCAGAAATGGTACCACATAGTTTTCAAGTTCAGCACTATCTACTTGATGCATTGGCAATTGATTAGATGGTGCCAAAATTTGATAGACACTCTTTTTAAATCTTTTCATCTTGTCTTTACGATGTTTCTTTTTAATCTTGTTACCAGTACTTGTCAATGATTTAGTTTCATTTACTGTTATATTAATTGAACTTGCTCCATCTAATATTGATGAATCTAAATTTTGATTATTATTATTATTATTTTGATTTTGATTATTATTATTGTTATTATTAAATTCCATCATTTCAACTTCATGTTGATCCAAATGTTGAGAAATCATAATTGGTGAAGTTAATTTAAATGGTGATGGTGATGGTATATTTGCACTTTGTGCAATTGATGATGGATATAAATGATCGGCATGTTGTTGATAATTAATGTTATTGTTGTTATTGGTAAAGGTTGTAGTTTGTTTTAGTGTAGATGGTGATAATGCTATAGATGTTGCCAAAGTTGGTAGATTTAATTGTGGTGATGGTGTTCCACCTACTACTGAAGAATTAGATGGATTTAAAAATAATGGTGATGTTGGATTAAATATATTTTGTTGATTTTGATTTTGATTATTTTGATTATTTTGATTATGTTGATTTTGTTGATTTTGTTGTAGATTTGGAGAAATAATTGGAATTTCTGAAATTTGTGATGGTACTGCTATTATATTATCGGTTGCTAGGTTTAGAGATGATGGAATACCCATACTCATACCCATATTAGAGACCATGGCAGCAGTTGGAGACATCACCGAAGATACATTCAATACGGTGCTCGATCCAAGTGCCATGGCTGCGCTACTTGGCAATTGATGGTTGATATCTCGCGACCTTGACAATGTAGACGTTGAGGTCAACAAGGTTGGCGCTGGAATCACCACCGATGGCATTTGAAGCATAGATGTTTGTTTGAGAATGTTGGTTGAAGAATTTAATGTAATTGGACTTGCAATTGCTATATTGGTTAAATTTGGTGATGCATTGGAGGTATTATTATTATTATTATTATTACTATTACTATATGCATGATCATTACTATTTTTTAATACATTTTTCCTAACTTCTTCCTTTATAATGTAATAATAATAATTTATCATATATATATATTATTATAGAAATGGTTGAAAATAATAAACAATTGGATGAAGTATAACATGGTCAAGGTGTTTGTTGCGGTTTGTGGTTGATTGACAAAGTTAGTAAGTATACATATATGCGTATTGTTTGTTGTGTGGATATATAAATAGAATGAAATACACATACCAATGGAGCTTTTATTTTATCCCAATAGTTATACATTGTTAATGTTGATGATACTGCTGGTATCAGACTTGTCAAGCAGGTTTGTATTTTTTTTGTTTCGGTTGTTTTGATTGCTACTGAGAGAGAGATGATAGTTAGAGAATCATTAATAGGCTGATTTGTAATCTATTAAATTCAAGTAATCCAATGGTGATTGATGAGAATATGATCAAGGTAATGGATGATGATCGATCATGTAGTGTGGTGTGGGAGTAAGGATGGATGGATTTGAGGATGATGAGGAGATGAGATGTATATTGTATCAATCAACTAATAGTATTTCCTTCTTTGATGTTTTATTTATTAAATTAATTAATAAATGTGTAAAGAAGAAGGAGGAAAGAAGTAAGAGTAGTAGTGATTGTTATGTTGAGAGAGAGTGAGAGAGTGTGCGATGATGATGAGAATAACAACACTCGCAGTGATGATAACACTTGTTTATGATGTGGTCTAGAGGAGGATGAGGAGAATAAAACATAGACAGAGTTATGTGTTTGTGTGTTTTGTTTGTTTTTGTTGTATGTCTTTACAATACATCTATCTGCAAGTACAAAAATGAATTGAAATAGGGAATGCGAATGTGGTACGACTCGTCGACTCTCTTCTCACTCACAACCAACAACAACACATTGTGTGTTTAAATACAAATACAACAACAACAAGATTATTATAATAAGATATCTCACACACCCCCATACTTTTTGTCGTCTTTTGGTTACTTGTTCATTCGTTTAATAATACGATAAGATAACATTCTCTCTTTTGTTATTTATATATATAAATAATCACCCCTATTTGTGAAGATGATATTATTTATATAACAGATAGATAGGTAGATAGGGTAGATAGTATAGGATAGGATATCTGTTATATTCAATCTTTTTTTTCAAAAGAGAGTATTTTCCTTTTAGATTTCTTGCTTTCTACCACTACCACTACTGTGACGACTAGTATTATTATTATTAATGATTATTATGAATATCAACCTTACCTTTTTAGATATTACACAAAGTTAACTATTACTATCTATATGTTCTTTGCTGCTCTTCTTCTTCTCCTCATTATCAATTATTAATTATTTACTGGTTGGGGGGAGGTGTAAAGTTGGGAAATGAAATGAAATTATAATATTATACTTTGCTTTGGAAAAGATGGTGATCCCGATCTCTTTCAATAAACACAGGAATAATAATAACCACAGCCGTGGTGGGCTACCCACAACACCGCGTTACAACCTCTCCTCTATTTAAGGAGGGTCTGACGACTTTAGCTTTGCAGCAAAGAATGAAAAAACGAAACCTCCACCCCTAACGTCATCTTGTGGAGGGCTTCTATGACTTGCATCTGTTGAAAAATTAATTTTCAAGATTGATGTCGAGGAGAGGGAACAAACATGGCCTCTACATAAATAACTAGTTATTATTATTTATTTATTTAAAGACAGATATAAAAAAAAAAGTAATGAATGACTCTTCCAAGCTTGAGAGAGAGACAAAGGGGTTTGCAAAAAGGAATAAACAAACTGAAACACAAGGCACAGCACTCGTAAAAATCATTTAATTTTTTATCTTCATAGCTACCAGTACATTGAATTTTATCATGACTCTTTCTTTCTTCTCTCTTTTACATTTAAACTTAACTTCACTTATCTATATCAATTTATCTCTCTCTCTCTTTCTCTTTCTCTATTAATTTATAATATATAATGGTAGAAGAATCATGTGCAGTGACAGTTTCCAACTTTCACTTAAACCTCAATCAAGAATATAAAAATTTGGTTGTAAATACTTTGACTTGGGCCTCTTCCCTGTCTACTCTTGACCTATCACATTCAAACTTTCAAATTGATCCACCAAACCCTGTTCCTAGACTTGCTATGGGTCATTGCTTTTTTACTGTCGATGATCCATTCATGGGTACTTCACTTACTAAAATATTCGCAAGTCGTGAAGTTGCATGTAATTTGGTAGGATTATTTAATAGATCTGAAATTACCCCTAGTATGACATATAGATATAGATAGATATAACTCTGAAACTACTAAAAAAAAAATTAATTTTTTAAAGTGTATAATATTGGATTTGAACATCAAATTTGTACACTGGAATTACCCAAAGTTTGTTTTCCAATATTCAATTCTACCGCTTTGGTACAAGCAATAAGATTAAAAAACCTTCAACTATTACAACAAACACATCAACTTGAACAACATCAACAACAATCACATCAACTTCAACAACAACTTCAACAACAACAACATCAACTCCAACAACTTCAATTCCAATTACAACAAATTCAACAAACCAAACAACAATTACAACAACAACATCAACAATCACAACAACAATTACAACAATTTCAAAATCAACAACAACAACAACAACAAACTTGAGCTTTCATAATATTAAATAATTTATTATTTCTTTCTATTTTTTTTCTATTTTCTTTTATAAACTAGGTAAATAAAATTTGTTTGGTTCAACAAATTTCTTTTTAATAATCATAGAGAGTGCAGGTTTTAAAATCATATCAACAGGTTTTAAAAAGAAACCAGTAGTATTGCATTTGAAAGATATCTTTGGTTCATCTTTAAAAGATATCCATAGAGGTGTAGCAGTACCATGTTCAAAACCAAGTGTAAGTACACCTTTGATTGATGGTTCAGAGAGAGTGGCTTCACCTGATATGAACCCTTTGAGTTCTACTCCAAGACGTACTTTGACATTTGGCACCAATTCGAGTGCAATCTGTGCCTCGAATTGGTTTTTAGGGAATATGGCCGACATTTGAATAATACTCTTATTGTCTTGAAATACATCAAACTCTTCGGGCAATTGAATCTCTTTGATGGTGATTTTGGCCGATTTTAATGCAGTGTTTTGAACACTATGCAAGATTGAATTGAGTGTAAAGACTAGCGAATTGATGGGAGAGCTGGCAATAACCGATGACTCTCGTTTGGCATTGGCGGCAGCACTAGCTGTTAAACTACTGCTATTCACCAAATTATAATTTGAAAATGATGTCAATTGATAAATAATCAACCCAACATTATCAATTACACTTGAAGATGACCAAGGTTGTTGTGGTTGATTTAATTCGATTCCACCCAATTTTGCAACTAGATCATTTAACTTTGGTTGATCATTTAGAATTTGTTGAATAAATAGTAATGCCTCTTGACAGTAGTAGTTGTTGGTTGTTTTGGGCATTTTAGCAATTGTCAAAAGTGTTGATAGATTCTTTTCCTTTTTAAACATGTCTCTTGTATGATTATCCATTGAATAGATTCGTTTGATAAAGAAAATAATTGAATGTTTGGAAAGATCATCTATTCTTGCATTGGTTAAAATCTTTAAATATTGTTTAATAATTCCAACTACTCCTTTAATAGTATCTTTTGATCCTTTACCAGGTTTATCACTACCACTACTACTATTACCACTACTACTACTACTACTATTTATACTATTATTCATAGAATTAATATTTGAATTTAATAGATTTGATCCAACAAAATTAACCAAAATCGATGGTAATGTTTTTGTAAATGATAAATATCTATTAATAATCATTAATGAATATTTAATCAATGATGGTTGATTTAATAATAAACTATATTTTAATATTAAATCTAATTGAATATAATGATAATATTTATCTAAATAAAAAAAAAAGGAAAAGAAAAAAGGAATTAATATATATGTTGATTTGTTTTTTTTTTTTTTTTTTTATATATTTTACCAAAATTAAAAGATAAATATTTAATAGTTTTTAAAATTTCAAAAATTAAAGATAGATCATGTTTAAATCGATTTAAACTTGAGTTTAAAAACCTAGACATTCTAATCAATTTGTTAATATCACCAAGAATGATTTGTTTTGAAGTAAATGACATTCCATAACCATAATATCTAAAACTTTGAACAATCAACATTAAATGATTTGATAATATTCCTTCAGATTCTCCAATATCCATTAATAAATCAAATAATTTTGGTGTATGTACTATATATATAAAATTAAAAAATAAATAAATATTGATTGATTGATTGATTGATTTCTTTTTTTTTTTTTTTCTTACAATATTTTAAACGATTTTTTAATTTTGATAAAAATAAAGTTAAAGTTTCCCAATTTTGAATATCTGGATGAGGATCTGGGGATGGTAGGTTTATATTGATCCAACTATCGGTAAGGATAAATCTAAATAGGTAATTTCCTCCAATCCAAGAACACCCATTATTGTAGAGTGAACAACAATTCATGTCTTCTCCAAGATCAATGGTTTCATAGACTGTCTGTCCACTTGAAGGTAAATAGACAGAGATATGATTTCTTTTAACTGCCCATACAAATCCATTAAATACATTAAAGTTGAGGATTGGATGCATACTCTCAAAACTACGTTTTCGTTTGAGTGTTGCTAAATCCCAAATAGTAACTATATTGGGTAAAGAGTTTGAAAAGATGACACTCATTGTAGAGTTTTCTTGTACTGAACATGACCATAGATTGTTACCGACCACTCCAATCGCTGTAATATCTTGGTACCCCACATCAGCCATCAGACATACTTTTCCATCCCACGGAGACCATAGAATCAACTCACCATGACTAGTGGCAATGACAATACGGTCATCAACAAGGAGAAGTTTTGTGAATTTTCTAGGTTCCTTTTGACGACGAACATTCTTTACATTGCTATTGATAGTGGTCTGTGGAAAGAGTGTTTGTGGTACATAAGAGAGTTGTGAGAGAAAAGAGTGAAGTGGAATGTCTCTTGAGACTTGTTGAACAGTGTCAAAGAGACATATAGAAGTTACATTGTCACTGTAACCACAATAAATCAACATGTTGGGTTGATTGGTTTCGATCATTTGATAGATGGGAATACGGGCAGTATGACAATAGACAAGCGTGAAATCACTCTTGTTCCAAGCACAAATCTTACAATCCAACGACGCTGAAAAGACATACTTTTGTGCTGGACTGTACAAGAGTGATGTGATGGCTTGTGAATGTGGTCGCCACTGACTACCCTTTTTCAAACGATCTCTTTCATCTGTAACTCGTGATGTTGTCCATGTCACTATATTTCCTTCTCGATCACCACTCCATATCTTGTTTTTCGTAATAGCTACCATCGTTGTAATATTTCCACCACCAAAATGTTTAATCTTGTCACTTATCGATGCCCCACTAATACTAATCATCTTTCCATTTCTATCAGTTCCATTTGATAATCCACTAATTGAAATAGTTGCTGGACTAGGACCAGCCACACTATCACTTCTATTTTTTGAAGATACAACTACAAAATCATCATCGTCTCCTGCTATTGGACTAGTCATTGATCTTGTTTGTCTTGATATTGGTGTAGTTGATGATGATGAGGAAGAAGAAGTCGAGGTTGAAACAGATGATGATGATGATATTTGAGATGAAGATGTCAAAGTTGGAGATGATGGATTGGATGATGCAGGTGATGAAGTTCTATTTGGAAGAGTTGGTAATTGTTTAGTGATCGGTGCAGTGGTAGGCAATGAATGTGATTTTGATGATGTACTTGTTGCAACAAGAGGTGGAAGAGAAGAGTTGTTGGATGATGCCTCAAAAGCAGCAACCTCTTGATTAATGGTTGGATCACGAATATTAATGACACAAGTTGATAGATTGGTAATCCAATAGTTCATTTCAACCTCTGATGATGAATAGAGATGATATACTCTTTCTTTAGTATGTAATGCAAATGACCACATTGTTGATGAGGAGGATGAAGAGGATGAAGAGGATGATGATTGTTTGGTAGAACCATCTTTGTTTAACAATCCTATTTGTTGAACTGCATCAACACCCTCCATCTTTATAGTTCCTTGAGGAATGGCAGTCGATATATTTGTCTGACCAACATCGGTTTTATAGTATCGGAGTTGCTTGTTTATGAGAATGAACCACCGTTTCTTCCATACCGGTGCTCTTCCCATGAATGTCTTTGCACCCTTTTTATACATGTAACCTTGTGCTAGTTGTTGATATTCATCTTTACTAATCTCAATGACATTACTATTATTGTTCATTGTAACAACAAAAAGCAAGAGATATACAATAAATATATAAATACAAATATAAATACAAACAAATAAATAATAGATAAATAATAGATAAATAGATAAATAGATAAAAATACAATGAATGAATGAAAGATATAAAATCAGATTTGAAACCCTTTTGAGTTTGAGCAGACAAGAAAAGACAGACACTTTACTTTTTTTTATTTTTCTTCTCCGAAATAGGATGTCCCATCAAATAACTCAACTTGTAAAGCTGAAAGATATTTCCATCACTGATGGTTATGGATATTTATTTCATTGTTACCTCGATGTTAAAAGAGAATATTATATATACATAGTGTAGTGATGGTCGATTGAATGAATGATCATTCTTTTAAACAGTGCGCACTGTAGTGATGGTTTGGGTGATTGATGGTGGTAGAAAAAAGAGAGTGTGTGGAGGGTGGTGTGAGGTATACTAACTAGCTAACGGTTACCTCTTGGTAGAGTTAAAAAAATAGTGTTGATCCCTTCTTCTTCTTCCTCTTCCTCTTTGTGTTTTAAAGTGATGATGCAAGAAATATGAAGAGAGAATTCATTATTATTATTATTATTATCATATCTCAACCATCATCATCATCACCAAGTATTGTTAATATTATCATATCCTATCTAATTAGATAACAACTATTATTCCATCGTCCAAAGTCATTCCAGAGAAAGAACAAAAAGCCATCCTCCCTCTCGCGAACAAGAAGAGCTGAGGAAGATATTTTTTTTTATTTTTTTTTATTTTTTTTTTTTGATTAGATACTACAAAACCCACCTTAACTTTCAACTGATCACAAAACTACCACACCTCAAACTATATAAAAAGACTATACTACCTATTATTATTCTGAGAGAGCAAGAAGAAGAAGAAGTTAGGTTAAATATTTTCTTTTTTTAAATTTTTTTTTAAATTTTTGTTTTAGTTCATCCGACAGAAGAAGAGACAAGATTGTCAGTTAGTTAAGTTACACATATTATACTACTAGTATATCCATCATCAAAGATATATATATATATAAATATATTTATATATTAAAGTAACTAGAAGAAGGATGGACGGTGGATATAATCATCAACAACAACAACAACTTCAACAACAACAACATCAACAACAGCAACAACAACAACAACATGAAATGGAGTATCAACAACAACTTCAACAACAGCAGCAACAACAACAACAACAACCAATTGGCATGCCAGTTTTGATACCAAATACATTATCAAATTCATACAGTGCATTCAACTCTATTGACGATGCAAGTACTAAAAAGAGAAAGGTAAAGAATGAAGATGGTACCTATACTGAGATCTCGGGTTTATCACCAGGAAACTTGCAACAATCAGGTTCCTCATTCTTGCTCGACACCTTTCAACAACAGATTCAACAACAACAAATGTCATTCCAATTCCAACAAGGTGCTCAAGGCAACAACAACAACAACAATAATAACAACAACCCACCTTCATCTCCACAATCATCTGGTACATTTATTACAAATCAACAACAACCAATTATAATGGAACCTATTCAACATCAACAACAACAACCTATGCAACAACAACCAGGAGGAGGATATCAAATGACAGGTATACCAGTTATATCGGTTACAGGTGCAATGGGATCAGCTGGAAATCAGACGACGATTACTAGTGCCAATTTACTTGGCAACTTGTCACCTAGAGGGACACAGGGATCGTTACAGTCTTCACCCAACCATTCACCATGCCATTCGCCATTGTTACCATCGAGTGATGGTGCCTATTTGACACTCAACTCTGAGAATGAAAGTAGCGATCCGCTGTCGCCACTCACTTCGTTTGGTGACCGTGACCCTCCCTTTCACTGGACACAGTACCAACAAGAGACGTGGTACAAGACACTCAACACCAACGGCGAGGAGATGCCTACCCCACAACTACAAATCATCGCATCCAAGGGATTCTCCTACATCAACAGCAGCTGGGTCTACTGTCGTCGTAACCACTTCCAGCTCGACATTACTGCCAGCTACCCCAAGCCACCTCAGACATTTGACATGTTTGGTAATATCAGCGGCGGCGGTGCCGCTGCACCCGGTCAACCCGAGCAGGCACCTTCGTACCTCATCATCAACGGTCAAAAGACACCCATCAACGGCTTGACACTCACCATCAAGGGTATCAAGAACCGTCCCGAGTTGACTCAACCAGAACTCGAGGTGGAATTGTTCCAAACAAACTCAAAGCGTGAAAAGCAGGGTGAGCACACTCCCAAGGCAGTTGCTATCCAATTCGGCTCGCTCGTGTCGATCCAGCGTTTGCACTTTAGAAAGGCGACGCAAAACAATGCACGTCGTAACGGTCAACCCAACCCACACCAAGAGTACAACCAGTTGGTCGTGTCGTTGTGGGGTCGTTGTATGGCACAAGAGTACTGTATCGTGTCGTACGTGTCACCCGCATTGATTGTGCGTACCGCCATCAACTCGCCATCCGTGTCACCAGCTGCCACCGATCTCCCATTGTCGCCTGCACACGACCCCAACTACCCCTCCTCTCCCCTCCCCTTTGGCGATATCACCACACTACGTATCCACTCGCCTGCTCACTCTCCACGTCTCTCACTCAATGTCTCTGGCAATAATCTTACTCCACTTGGTTCAACCACCTCTACCACCAATACTAACCAATTATTGAGCGCAAACAACAATCATAACAACAACAATAATCAGAATCAAAATAATATTACTAGTTTATTGGGAGCACCAAATCTCAATACAATGAAATTTGGATCGTGTGAGTGGACAAAGGGAGAGTCTGATCGTTCCATTATCTATCATGGAAAAGTTGGTGTCAATGTTGATAATCCCACCTTTGCTCTTTCTGTAAATGGTACAATCTATGCATCCGAAGGTGTCTATCATCCATCTGATCTTAGAATCAAATATGATCTTCACCAAGTAGACACTAGAACCAATCTTAGAAATGTAAATAGTATGAAAATTTATGATTATAAACTTCATCCAGAATGGGTTTATATGAATGGTATGGATCCATATGAAAATCAAGATAGAGGTATTATTGCTCAAGAATTAAAGGTATGGAAAAAGGAAAAGAAAAAAAAAACAAACAAAAAGTAAAGAGTATCCTTTTTTATTCATTCTTTTTTTTTTTTTATCTAAAATAGGAAATATTACCAGAATCAGTAAAAACAATTGGAAATAGAGTCATTAATGGTCGAGAGATTGATAATTTATTGGTTATTAAAAATAATGCTTTAATGTATGAAAATATTGGCGCAACTCAAGAATTATCAAAACAAATTGATCAATTAAAAGAAGAATTGATCATTTGTAAACAAGTTATTAATTCTCTTGAACAAAAAAGTAAATAGGAAAAAAAAAAAAACAAAATAAGGAAAAAAAAGAAAAAAATATTAATCTCTATTTTCTCTTTTTATTTTGTAGAAACTAAAAAGTGTACATTATTAACCATTATTTTAACTTTGGTGGTTGTATTTTTAATGGTATATGTATTATTTGGCGCTAATTTTGGAAATCATCATTCATCCTCTAAAGGATCAAATCATCATGATCATGGTTATGATGAATCAACAGCTCAATATATTAATCCTTATCAAGCCCCTCCTCGTCATCATAGTAATCATAAAAGAAAAGAAGATTAAAAAAAAAAGAAAAAAAAAAAGAAATAATAATAATTAGGAAAAAAGTAGAATCAATATTATCAATACTACTATTATTATTATTACTTTTTAGGGAAAAAAAAAAGAAAAAAATTTATTTATTCCTTTCAATAAAAGTTTAAAATTTAAAATCTATATAACCCTCTCTCTCTTCTCTCTTGTCATCAATTATCTATAGATCATTATCATCATCACATCAATCTCATCATTGGTTTTAGTACAAAGAAGAAAAAAGTCAAAATTGCTTTTACCTGAGAAATTCCCAAATTATCCATCTATTCCCACATGGATTTTATACAAAAGGACGGTCAATGATGTTATTGCCAAAATATTCAAATTATTATTAATCAATAATTTTTAAAATAATAATATACCCTAACTGTAAATTATATCATTAACTCAAAGGTATGTTCATGATCCTGTCTGCCTCCTTCTTGACTCTACACAATTTTTTTTTTTTTTTTCTCAAATTTTTTGAAAACAACGATGATCCCTCACCCTCTCTCACTCTCTCTCACTGCGATGCACTGATTAATCTACTTTACTTTACTTTTAAACCCTTTTTACTTTAACTCTTTTCTTTTTTAGTAAAATAGATAGATGTCAGAGCCAGTAAAAGAACAACAAGCTGTAGCACCTGCCCAACCAGCAGCAGCTGCACAAGCTAAACAATCACAACCAAAAAAGGAAAAAGCACCAAAGAAGGAAAAGGTACCATTAGTATTGGCTAACCCCGAATACTTGCAAGAACGTATCAAGGTATGGGAAGGTCTCAAGGCCAAGCACTTGGAGGAGCTTGCAAAGTTGCCCGAGGTGCCCATCTCGATCACTTTACCAGACGGCAAGGTCGTCCCCGGTTTCAAGGGTAAGACTACCCCATACGATGTCGCAAAGTCGATCAGCCGTGGTTTGGCCGACTCTATCGTGTCGTCGATTGTCAACGATCAAGTACACGATATCTCACGTCCCCTCGAAGGTGACTGCAACCTCAGTCTTTGCAAGTTTGACAGTGAGGCTGGTAAAAAGACCTTTTGGCACTCGTCTGCCCACGTCCTCGGTCAAGCCTTGGAACTTGTCTATGGTGGACAACTCTGTATTGGTCCAGCCACTCAAGACGGTTTCTACTATGATATGGCTACTGGCGACAAGCTCGTCTCGTCCGAAGACTATGAAATCATTCAAGAAGTAGTCAACAAGATCGTTGCCGAAAAGCAGCCATTCGAGCGTTTGGCCGTACCACGTGACCTCGCTCTCGAGATGTTCAAGTACAACAAATACAAGACTGAAATCATCTCCAAGATCCCCGCCGAAGACACTGTCTCTCTCTACCGTTGCGGTACCTTGGTCGATCTCTGTCGTGGTCCACATCTCCCCAACACCTCATACATCAAGGCATTCAAGGTTGTCAAAAACTCGTCTGCCTACTGGCTCGGCAAGGCTGAAAACGATCCATTGCAACGAGTCTATGGTATCGCCTTCCCAGACAAGAAGCAAATGGAAGAATACAACAAGTTTATGGAAGAAGCTGCCAAACGTGACCACAGAAACGTCGGCAAGGCTCAAGAACTCTTCTTCTTCCATCCATACTCTCCAGGTTGTACCTTTTTCTTACCACATGGTACTAGAATCTATAACAAATTGGTTGAATTTATTAGAGTAAGTAAAGGAAAAAAAAAAAGATTTATATATATATATATTTGATACTTATTATTATTTTTTTCTATAGTTTGAATATCATAGAAGAGGATTTAGTGAAGTTATTACTCCAACTATGTTTTCTCAATCACTTTGGGAACAAAGTGGTCATTGGGCCAAATACTCTGAGAATATGTTCCCAGTCAAGTGTGACAATTCAAACTATTCAATGAAGCCAATGAACTGTCCAGGACATTGTTTGATGTTTGCCAGTCGTTCACGTTCGTATCGTGAGTTGCCAATTCGTTTCGCCGACTTTGGTGTACTCCATCGTAACGAGATGGCCGGTGCTTTGACTGGTTTGACCCGTGTCAGAAAGTTCCAACAAGACGATGCCCACATTTTCTGTACCCTCGCCCAAACCGAAACCGAGATCAAGTCGTGCTTGGAGTTTATGCAACACGTCTATGGTATCTTTGGATTCGAGTTTTCTTTGGAATTGTCCACCCGTCCCGAGAACCGTCTCGGCTCTGATGAGATGTGGGACAAGGCTGAAAAATCTTTGGAAGTCGCTCTCACCAACTTTGGCAAGCCATGGAAGTTGAACCCTGGAGATGGTGCCTTTTACGGACCCAAGATCGACATTCATATCACCGATGTCTTGAAGCGTTCGCATCAATGTGCCACCATCCAATTGGACTTCCAGTTGCCAATCCGTTTCGAGCTCGAGTACATGACCGACAAGGCCGAGGATTTGCAACGTCCAGTCATCATCCATCGTGCTATCCTCGGTTCCGTCGAGCGTATGATGGCCATCTTGATCGAACACACCGGTGGCAAATGGCCATTCTGGGTGTCCCCACGTCAAGCCATCATCGTGCCAGTCTCCCAACAATTCAACGAATACGCCGACCAATTGCAAAAGAAGATCGTCGATGCCGGTTTCTACTGCGATGTCGATGGCTCTGACAAGACCCTCCCCAAGAAGGTCCGTGAAGCTCAATTGGCCCAATACAACTACATCCTCGTTGTTGGTCAAAAGGAAAAGGACGAAAACACCGTCGGTGTCAGAACCCGTGACAACGTCGTTCGTGATGCTATCTCCTTGGATGCTCTACTTGCTGAATTTGATCAAAATAATAAGGATTTCAAATAAAAGAAAAAAAGAAAAAGTTCTCTCAATTTATTTAAAGTCTCCAAAAAAGTAAGGGAAATATTTCATATACTTTTTTTTATCCAATATATAATAATTATATATTCTGCCCTAGATCGAGAAAATACACATATTTTAATGTTTTCGGGTCGATCACTTTTTTTTGTTTTTTTTTAAATATTCAACGTTTCGATTCCTTGAATGAGGCGACACATCGAGATTTGTTTCCTCAACAGGTTTAAATATCTATTTATAAACACACAACAAAACATACAAACGTTTGTATCATCAAGAAGAAAAAGAAGAAAAATTATTGAGGAGAACTCCAAAGATTCAATGTATCACGTTTAAAACAGACAGACTTTTTAATACTTTGGTGAGTGTACATTAATGTGTCTTGACCTCTACTTTGATAGTCTATAAACTAACAACTATGTTGACTTGAGTCGATCAAATAAATGAGGATGGGAGAAGGAGTTGGATGGTTGTTGGGGTGATTCGAATCAAGGCTCAAGAGTCCAGTGGAATCGAATTATTTTTATTATTAGGCGCGGATTTTTAGCCACTGTTATCAAAAAATTTTGATCAACGTTTTTTTCTATTGATCAGGTGTCACCATTTTGTTTCAACCACCATCTAGTTTTTAAGTATATATATATACCTATCTATCTCTTATCTGTCTATATAAAATATTGGATTGATTGATTGATCAGATTGTATCATCACTGACTTGTAATATTATAGAACAACAGCATTGCTTCAAAATAGTATTAGCATTGCAACAACAACAACAACAACAACAACATTATATCATCTATATACCGTAGTTAGTCGTCGACAACTAAAAAGGCCCCAACAACACAAACTATAGGATATTCTCAATACCATATATATATACAACAACACATATAAATAATATATAAATAATTTATTTGTAAGTAGAAAGAAAAACTCGAGAGAGTGAGTCTCTCGGACATAAAAATTACTACTTCTATGCTATGCTATGTGATTGATTGAATTGATCACCAACCGACACTAATCCAACAATAGACCAACAACAACTATAATAATAAGTAATAATAAGTAATAATAAGTTAGTAATAGTAGAATACCAACACACACACACACACACACACACACACACACACACACACACACACTAGTCAGTTATATAAAGTAATAATAATAGTAGTAGTGGTATAATATCAGTCTTTGTTAGTCGTTCTTTCGTTCGTTATAGTTATATTCTATATTCTTTTTAAAAACAAGTAAGATGGTCACCGCCATTCGTATTTCCCACATTCATCCATTCATTCATTCCAATCCCCCACAACCCATCCAAACGAAAACAAGAGGGGATGGTATTGGCCCATGCCATGCAAAGTATTTTTTTGATAAGTGTTTTGTTTTTTTTTTTTTTTTTTGTGATTGTAACAATTGCAATGAATGGATGGATGGGTAAATAAATCACCTCGATCGCGTGGTTGAGTTGGAGATGAGATGAACGTATCATCAATATCATTCCTTCCTCCTCCTCCAAACAACCACAACAACAAGACATTCAATGCATCAACCATCATCATCTTGAAGAGATTTTCATCTCCAACACGGTCGATAACTTTGTAGAGTTATATTTGCTTTGTGTCTGTGTGTTTTTTGTGTTCTCTCTCTCTCTCTCTCTCTCTCTCTTTCCCATCCTATCCTATCCTATCCTGTTCTTTAATTATTTGTCTAAAACACCCTGTTTTTCTGTACTTTTATTCTCTCAAACACTCCACTCGACCATTTTTTTTATTTGTTGGAAACACTGCTACCTACCGTTAATCAACTCCATTTGTGGAATACAATATAATATATATTTATGCTATTTACAGTTTGTTGGATTATGGTATGTTTCTTTCTCTCTCTCACTCTCACTCACTCATGATGTTCATGAATATATTCATATTCATTGCAATCATATGACGATTTTAGAATAACGTCCTCCAACAGAGAAAAGTTGGTTAGTGTGTTGATGGTGATGGCAGACTCTCAGTCAGTGTGTGTGTGAATAAATTAGGAAAGGAAGAGGAATGAATACAGTTATAAATGGAATCAAATAGACAACAAGAGTGATAAGATAAGGGATTTTAATTTTAGGTCGAAAATAATAATAATAATGTTGTAATATATATATTTTAGATAAAGGTATAATAATATAATATATAATTTATCTATCTATCTAATCTCTTGATGTTCCTTTTCCTTCCATCAATCCTTCCTAATCCAGTCCTGTCCAGTCCATTTTTATTTCCAATGGAAATATTTGGTTGGTTGGTTGGTTGTATGTGGGGTGGATTGAATTGGATTGGTTTGAACACAACAATAAATAACCTCCCTCCTCCTTTTTTGTCATCCAAGTGATCATCACCGTCATCAAAGTTGTTTTAATACATATATATACACAGATATCTGTTCACAGTTCAAAGTGATAAATTCAACTCAATTGTAGGTGGTGCAAAAATAACAACAACAAGCAGTAGCAACAACAACAACAACAACAACAGAAACAGTAGTAGCAACAACGAGTGGAATCAATATCATCACATCCACCATACCTTTTCCTGCTTCACCTTTATACAGCACAAACAACGCCTACCCATCCAGTTAGCTAACAGTGTAGAGAGAGACATGGGTAACCAACTTATTGGTTGGCTGATATGGGTGGCACAGGCATTCACAACCCCCACACTCGCTCACTCACTACTCTCCTTCATATCAGGTGGAGGATGATGTAGTAGCAGCAGTTTAAATTTCAAGGTTTAAGCTTGTTTTAAACACTACCACCACCACCACCACCACCACCATTTCACCCACCATCACCAAACCACCCACACAATCCACCCACTGACACCATCCACACACTCTCTCAACTCATTACTCACTCAAATGTGGCGAATGCAAAGGGGATGGATAAGCTTATCGTGTCTCTCATCAGGATGGTTGATATCGATTGATGAATAATAGTTCCGATCATCTTGACCACTGTCTCCACCGCCCAGACACCACATGAGTGTCTCTGTTGTGTGATGGATATCTATTCTTATCATTTTCATCAATCATTAATTTGTGTATCTAGATATCGCATGACACTCTTCTCTTTTGTTTTGTTTTGTTTGTTTGTTGCTGTTTATAACCAGTAGTAAAACTCTTGCTCTTCTTTCCTTTTTTTTTTTTTTTTAATAATATATCACTATTATCAATCACTTCCAACACACACACACAAATAGTGTTGCCATCAATCAATCATATTTATATTATCCAGTCCAGTTGTGTCACTGTAGCAGTAGCATCAATTGATCAACTGTCGTACAACAACAACAACCAAAAGAAAGAGAAATCAATTATAGTGCAATCAATCAATCATAATCAATCAAACTAAAAACACATAGATAGATAGATAGATAGATAGATAGATAGATAGTAGTAGTAGTAGCCAAACCAGTAGTACTGATCAATCATATTTATTTATTTATTTAATTTATTTATTTAAATCCAATTTTAAATTATTTTAATCATATATATTATAATATATTAGGGTTTTTTTTAATTGTATCATAAACAGAAGAAGAATAAGAAAAAAAAAAAGAGACTCTTCTCTTTGTCAAATTTGTAGAATTACTTTTTCATCATAATAATAATAATAATAATAACAACGCACAGCCATATAAACAACTCAACAACAAGAAGAAGAACGCATAACTTAATTTAGAAAACAAAACACAAAAAAACAATGGAACCAACAACCACCAAAGTATTTGGAGTTGATTTGGAACAACTGGTCACTGCGCAAAATGTAGATAGTGGACAACCATCGAGACCGATTTCCCAGGTTGTAGTTGATGCAGTCGAATGGTTGGATGGCAAAAACACACTGTCCGAGGAAGGATTGTTCAGAATTCCAGGACACGGACCTACCATCCAAGAATTAAAGAAACAATATAACGAAGGAAAAGGTGATCTCTCAAAGATTGCTCCAACTGATATGCATACAGTAGCAGGTTTATTAAAACTATATCTACGTGAACTTCCAGAACCTTTATTAATTTGGAGATATTATTCAACTTTTATTAAAGTAATCAGTATGTTAGGAAAACAAAACAAAAAAGAAAAAGAAAAAGATGGTTGATTGATTTTTCTAATTTCCTTTTTTTATTTTCTTTTTTAATCTTTTCCTTTCTAGAGAATAGCGATAAATTACAAAGAATGTTACATTTAAGAATGTTAATTTATGGATTACCAAAAGTAAATAGAGATTTGGTTTTATACTTGATGACATTTTTAAACAAGGTATCATCTTTTTCGTCATCCAACAAGATGACATCGGCAAACCTTGCCATGGTTTTTGCTCCAAACCTTTTACGTCACCAAAAAGAAAGTTTAAATCAAATCATGGAAGATTCAAATCATGTTACAAATATTTTAAAACATTTAATTGAAGAAATTGCTTATATTTCAAAGGTAATTAGAAATAGAAATAGAAATAGAAAAAGAAATAGAAATAGAAAGAGAAATAAGATTATTAATTTATTTTTATTTATATCTTCTAGTCGACACATTATTTATCAACATCAGTAGGAGATGTACCAATGGCATTAATACCAGCAAATCCAATTCCAGTAGATGATTTAGGAAATGTATTATATGCAAGAGCACTCTACCCATATCAAACCACAGGACAATGGCATTTACCATTTAAAAAAGAGGATCAGATCACATTGTTGGATATAAAGACAGAGGAAGGATGGATGAAGGGAGAGTTGAATGGACGCGTTGGATACTTCCCAGCCTCTTATGTAGAAATTGTCGCCGCTCCACCACCCACCGAACCACTGACACTCATCCCCATCCCAGATATCGACCAAACCATCATCACACCCGATGTCACCATCACGACTACCACTACCACCACCACACACCAAACAACTACGACAACGACAACGACTACAACTACCATCCAAAAAAATAACGGCGCAGAGTCTGCAGCCGACGAGACTACCTCTGCCCCAGTGCCAATTGCATCGGTGGCCAAGAAAAACTCTAGTGGATTGTTAAAACCACAACCACCACCAAGAACGGCTGGCAGTCCTATTCTCGCTACATCGACCTCGGGCGAGGCAGTTCCATCACCGTCAACCGTCGCTATCAACAAGTTGAATGGATCGTCGTCGTCACTTGTAAACTCACCAGACATTACAAAGATCATGTCGACCAAGTTGTCAGTGTCTTCATCTATTCCACCACCCAGTCTGTCTGCCCCACCCACTTTGGTTGCTCCACCCACCACCGCCGCCGCCGTACTCCAGCAGCAAAATGTATTGACACAAAGCTCGCCATCACTCAACTTGAGTAGTTCGACGCAGACGACCGCATCCAATTCGTCGCGTTCACTGTCACAGAGCTCGTCGCCAGACCTCCATAAAATCATGTCGACCACACCCAAGCTGTCATTTTCCTCCAACCTCCCACCCTCTCTCACGCTTCCCCCATTCTTGCCCTCCAAGAACCTCGCCTCGCTCGGCTCGTCGGTCAGCAGCGCCTCCTCTTCACCCTTGGGTACGCCTCCAGGCAGCGGCGTGTTAAACTCGTCAAAGTCCAATTCATTCCTCGAGTTTGCCCTCTCGTCGACCCCACCACCACCCCTTTCTCTGCCACCCATGGACCTGCCACCTCCACCCGTCACCACACCCGTCAAGTCGCCCTCGAGCATCGACCTCGCCAATCTGCCACCCCCACCCTTTTCACCATGTTCACCCGAACCCAACCCACTCAAACAAAACAACGAGATGGCTCCACCCCTCACCGACGACTTTCCACCTCCACCACCCCTCGTCTTTAGCCAGACTTCATCTGCCACCACAACCGAGGACGATCACAACCCACCAACCTATGAAGACGAAGATGATGACTCTTCCAGCGAGTCCAACTCTTTTCTTGGTACACCAGCTGCCCCAGCAAGTATCCCATCGCCTCCACCCCCACCACCCAAGCGATTGGACCGTTCATTGTCCTACAGCTTCAAGCGTCAAGAAAAGATGGCCGACGAGGCCAAGAAGCGTAAAGAGAGAGCCGAGGAGATGTTGAGCACCGAGCGTACCTATGTCAAGCAGTTGACATGCATCCTCGAGCTCTTTATCGAGCCCGTCAAAAAGAACCACAAGTTTGCTCTGCCCGAGGAGCTCCTCAACACATTCAGTTGTCTCGAGGTTATCCTCAATGCTCATCGTGCCAACATTCTCAAGGCTCTCGAGGAGCGTATGACCTGTTGGGACGCCAAGCCATTGATGGGCGACATCTTTTGCAACAACACCTCGTTTATCAAGCTCTACAAGCATTACGTCAACAACTATGACCGTTCGATCACATCGCTCAAGCAATGCAAGGAAAAGACACCCGAGTTTAAGGCGTTTGTCGCCACGCTCGACTATACCGAGAAGTTTTCCGGTCTAAACGTCGAGTCGTTCCTCATTCTGCCCGTCCAACGTATCCCACGTTATGTATTATTACTCCAAGACTTGCTCAAATATACCAGCAACGACCATCCAGACTTTGACCAGTTGTGCGAGGCACTTGGCACCATCAAGGATTTTGCCGAAACCATCAACTACAAAAAGTCAGAGGAAGACAACAACTCGAGGATCCAACAAGTGCAAGACTCGATCAAGAACTTGCCAGCCCACGCATTGGAGCGTCGTAAAAAGTTGCTCTCGGAAGGTCCCATTTTGCTGAAAAAGGAAAAGTACTATGTGTTTTTGTTCAATGACGCACTCATCCTTACCAAGCCCGGCAAGGACAAGAAAAAGTTCAAGAGCCTCGTCAACCTCCAGACCGCCTCGATCAACATCACCGACGAGGTCAATGTCATCAAGCTCATCTCGCAAGAGGGTACATTTAAATTCACGCCCGACAATGCCAAGGACCGCGAGCACTGGACCAAGGCTTTCAAGGAAGCCATCGAGACGGCCCGCCAAGAATTGTTGCACTCTGCCTTTGGCGAGAGCCCACTCTCCAACGAAGGTAGCAAGGGATTCAACCGTATCCAAGACGAAAAGAACGCACAAAAGAAGCAAAAGCTCGTCGAGGAGCTATGCAACACCGAGCAAGAGTACATCAACTCGTTGACGTACATCCAAAACGTCTTTTTATCGCCCATTAGAAAGTCGTTGGACACGCAAAACCCGTTGGTATCCTATTCCGAAGGTTTGGATATCTGTAGTAATTTCGAAACCCTTCTCGGCTGCCACATCACCTTTTACGACATTATCAAGGAGCGTCTCGTCCAATGGGAGGACAAGCCATTTGTATCGGACCTCTTTATTGAAAAGGGCGGTTTCCTCAAGCTCTACAACTACTATGTACAACACCATTACTCTTCACTCCAGACCATCGAATCCTGTATCGAGAAATATCCACTTTTTGCCATTCACCTTCGTAATATCGAATCCAACGAAAAGGTTGAGCTCAAACATCTACTCGCCGAGCCACTCCGTCGTATTCCACGTTACTATTTAATCCTCCAAGAAATCCTTCAATACACTCGTCCCAAGCAAGACGACCACGAGAACCTCCAAAAGGTTGTCACCAACCTCAAGGATCAAAACGATAAATTCAACGCCACCTCTATCCTCGCGCTCTCTTCTAGTGGCGACACCCCTCGTAGTCCCCACAAGTCAAAGACTATACGTGTCAAACCACCAAAAGGTCTCAACAAAGATTCAAAATTAAATACTAGTGGTTTCTTTTCAGTTTAACAAAACAATAATATAATAGAATATAATATAATATAAACCAACAAACAAAACACTATACGAGAGAAAATAAAACTTTAATTTATATTTATAATGTACAAAAACAATAACTATAGTTTTAACTAAAACTTTAAAGGATAAGTTTATTTGATGAGAGTAATAATATAGTGTGTCAATAGTACTAATATTTAACACCAGTTGTTGCCACCGCCAATATTAATATCAATATCAATATCGATATCAATATTATTGCCACGACCACCACAACATCCTCTACGAGCAATCTTTGATTCACCAGTTGTTGTAACATTGGAATAGTTTGATCCTTGGATTGACGAGTTTTGGATGTTTTTGCCAGCACCTGGGGTAAGTTGAGAAAGATTCTCTAAAAGAAAAGAAGATTGAAATGATATTGTTAGAATATGAAAAATGATTATGATTATTTTTAACATACTGTATAACATTTTGGATTTGATAGTAATTGTTGTAAATGGTAAAGAAAGAGTTAATTAATTTAATTTAATTTGATGAATTTATTACTATTGCAATACTCAATATTTATAGTTAATAAATTCAATATTTCCTTTAAAAAAACTATTAAAAAATCCAAACATTTTAGATTATTCCTATTTTAGAATTGGGGTTCATAGTCATCAAATGAAATATAGGATTTTTGATTGATTTTTACAATCTTTTTACACAATTCTAAACTATAAATAACTTGTTCATTCTAGTTTAAATATATTCAAAACAAATTCAAATATTCAACCAACTATTAAAACATTTGTACTATTCAAATTCCACTTTACCAAATCAAATCTAAAATGATCTTTAGTATGTAACATTGGAATAAAGGTATTTGGATTCTAAATTACTTACTAATGATTTCTCGTAATCCTATTTGATTCTTTTTCTTTAGAAAACCTATCAAAATTATCACCAATTTCCAATCATGGATCCAATCAAAATGTGACCATCCAAAGTTATTCAGATGTATCAAGTGATTCTGTCGGTTCCATTGCTTGTAGACGTCGTCGTGGATGTTGTGGTGGCGGAAACAACATTGATATCGATATTGATATCGATATTTGTATTGACAATGGTTTTGGTGGTCGTGGTGCTCGTAATGGATGGTGGTAAATACTAAATACCAACCTATCGGTCATGAATAATTTAGATTTTAAACTATCATTATTCTCTCCTTCCTTTTAAAACATCTAAACTTTATTTAAAACCATTAAGATTAGATGGTTCCAATTTCTTATTTATTTATTTTATTTGATTATGACGATGAGGATCTAAAAAAGGATGTCTTATAGCTTCAGAAGCAGTAATTCTTTTAAATGGACAAGGTTCAAGACAAAGTTCTAAAAGCTGGAAAGCTTCTTCAGGCATTCTTTCTTTGGTTTGACCTGATTCATTTCTTAGACGTTTAGCTAGATCTGTCCAACTCTGTCCACGAATATTCTCTGATACAAATATTTCCTTGTCCAATGTATTTGCCAAATCAATAATCTTTTGTGTTCCAATGATTGAAATGATCTCGGCCAATGATGTCAAATCGTCTGGTGAAACAAAAAATGGATAACGACCAGACAATACACACATCATGATCACTCCAACAGACCATATATCAATTGCAGTTGTTTGTTTGTTGTATTTGAGTAATACTTCTGGTGCTCTAAACCCTCTTGTTCCTGCTCTTGGTGCTTGTTTTGATATATCATTTTGTTGTTGTTGTTGTTGTTGTTGTTGCTGTGATAACATTAATGGTGAACAATTATTTTGATTATTTCTTTGAATATTACTTGCTACTGTTGTTGTAACATTTTTATCTTTTGTTTTCTTTAATTTCTTTAAATCTTTATAAATTGGTTGTTGTAGTATTTCTTGTGGCATCTAAATAAAAATAAAAAGAAAATAGATTAATATACTTTTTAATTTCTTTTTTGTTTTCTTTTTTTGTTTACCTCTTGAGCTAAACCAAAATCAATCAACATGAAACCATTTAATTTTTGATTATAAAGGAAATTGGTAGGTTTAACATCACGATGACAAATTTGATGATAATGGACATGTTTGAGAGCTGAAAAGATTGCAATGAGGTAGTTTCTAAATTCGTTTGGAGTGAGTTTAAAAAAGTAATCTTTAAACGAATCGTGTTCAAAATAGGGAAGTATAAGAGTAACTTGATCCATATGTCTAATGATACCAAGTAGTTGACTAATATAACGATCTTCTCCAACCTTCATCAATGTTTTGATTTCATTTAGTATTCGCGTTGGTGAAGATGTTGGAGAGACTCTTTTGAGTGCCACCAAGCGTCCTCGGTGTTCACCCTTTAGACACACAGATTTAAATACTCCACTAAACGTTCCTTGTCCAACTTTATCGAGTATCTTGAAATTGCCTTGTAATTCTGGAAAATCTTTTTCATTAAATTCTGGATTGACAGGTGATGTTTCCAAAGCCTTCAAATCATAATTGGATAATATTGCTTTTGGAACTGTTGTCTTTTCATACATTTTAAATGATGGTGTAATTTCTTGTTGTTGTTGAATTTGTTGTTGTTGCTGTTGTTGTAAATATAAGAATTGTTGAATTTGTTGTTGTTGTTCTTGATTTGGTCTCTTTTTTTGATTCATAAATTGATGACCATTATTATTATTAATATTTTGATGATTATTATTATGGTTAGTATTAATTTTCTTATTATTATTATTATTTAATGGCTCGATAGATATTGTATCCATCAGAGGTTGACTATTCATTTGATTGTACACATATACATTTTGTTGTGGAGATGTTATTTGTTCTATATATTGGGATTGTTGTGATGGAGGAGATTGTTGTTGTTGTTGATAAGATGACTGTGGCATTTGTTGCTGGATTGGTGTAGAAGAAGGTGTTGGATAGCTACTAATATTTACAAAAGGTATTGGTGGTTTTGGGGAATATGGTTGTTGTTGTTGTTGCTGAGGAGGTGGGACATGAATCTGTTGTTGTTGCTGTGGTTGTTGTCGAGATTGCTTTAAATGCATCGATTTTGAATATGGTGATGATATATAATGAAGAGATGATGGTTCGGGTGATGTAGGTACCATTCCATAACTTCCACTTGTATTATTGATCGATGGGAGATGAAACTTTACATGATGATCGCTAAAATGAATAGGCGATGCATTAAGATTAATAGATGATCTAGGCTCCATGATTTGTTGTTGTTGCTGTTGGTAAACATCGGTTGAAGAGAAATGTCCACTACTTGAAGGAAGATTAGATGAGAACAAATACCGGTGGTTTGTACCGTTCGAAGTGTTGTTTGGCGATGACAATGGAGGTAGAGTAATTGATCGACTACCAGGACTATAGGTAGTTGGTGATATTGGAGACACCTTTTGCATAGTTTGAGAGGTTGGAGATAGCGATGAATAGTTATTCGGTTGGTGTGACATTAGAGTCGGTAATACTTGTAGACTTGGTAAAGTAGATGGATATTGTTGTTGTTGTTGGTTAAGATGACCACTACCACCATGATGGTTAGACAATGTCTGTGGACTAGGTTGAAGTGGAGGAGGAGGAGATGGATGATGTCGAATATAACTTATTTGTTGTTGTGGTGTATGGTTTGTTGAAGATGATATATTATTATTAACATTGTTATTTATATGTGTTGGTGGTGTTAGGTTGTTGTTGTTGTTGTGTTGTAAATGATGAAGAGAAGGTGATATCACATTATTATTATCATGTTGTTGTATATGTGTATGATGATGATGAGGTTGTTGCTGTTGATGTATTATTTGATGGTGGTGAGGTTGTTGTTGCTGCTGTTGCCCATAAGAAGTAATATTTATATTCGGGTGCTGAGGTTGTGGTTGTTGCTGTTGTGGTTGATGGTGATGATGCTGTTGCTGCTTTGAATCATTTTGGTAATATCTATTGTTATTATTCATTCAATATATAAATAATCAATCTAATTACACACATATACTATATAAACAAATAACCAACTTAAATAAAAAATGAAAATAATTTAACCAAACCAACTCAAGTTTTACCAACCAAACTTTTCTTTTTCCAACTCATTATCATATTTTATACTATATCATAGACCCATTCTTACGTCATGTCTTAAGATGGGATAGATATTCAACTGGCTTTCTCCCCTAATCTAGATTAATATTATTCAGATTGTTTTTTTTAAAATTTTGTTAATCTTTTTTGGGAGATTACATGATTGATGGTTTGCAAGCTTTAAGAGTTTAATAGCTTGATTAGGTAGTGTGATGTATCGATATTGCATACAGAGAATTACCAAGGTTCATTCAAACAATTGTTCTATATTCAACCGATACCATCTTTATTCAACTGCAACCAACAATAAGATGGAGAATGGTAACCAACAACAACAACAACAACCTTTTAAAATAGCGGTTGGTCAAATTAAGAGTAAGACAACTATAGTGTACAACTATATATTTAATATCTTTATTAATAGTTTTCGAATATTTATAGGTGTAAATAATAAAGATATAAACTTTAGCAAATGTCAAGAGTTTGCTGAGGAGTCTGTTAAACAAGGTGCCTTTATGTTGTGTTTACCAGAGTGTTTTGCATTCATGTCTGGTGGAGGTAATCCAAGAGAATCAATTGAAAATGCAGAACCTCTTGATGGACCAACTATCAATCGTTATCGTCAATTGGCACGTGACAATAGATTATGGTTATCACTTGGTGGGTTTCATGAAAAAGTAGGATCACAACAACCAACTACTACTGAATCAACAACATCTTCTTCATCGTCAGATACATCAATGATTTATAATAGTCATTTAATTATTGATGATAATGGAGATATTAAATCAATTTATCACAAGATGCATTTATTCGATGTCAATATACCATCAAAGAATGTACACTTTAATGAAAGTAAAGCAGTGGTACCTGGAAAAGAGATTATGGTGTGTGACAGTCCTGGTGGTCGATTGGGATTGAGTGTATGTTACGATGTTAGATTCCCTCAACTCTATATCAAACTACGTAGTATGGGTAGTCAGATTCTATTGGTGCCAGCTGCATTTATGCAAAAGACTGGTGAGGCACATTGGCATACCCTACTCAAATCAAGGGCCATTGAAAATCAATGTTATGTAGTGGCAGCTGCTCAAACAGGTCAACATTATGCCTCAAGAACAAGTTATGGACATTCACTTGTAGTAGACCCATGGGGAACTGTTTTGGTTGATATGGAGGATAAAGAAGGTGTTGGAATTGCAACCATTGACCATAATCTATTAAATCAAGTTCGTGAAAATATGCCTTGTTTTACTCATATTAAAAGTGATTATTAATTAATAAGAGTAAGAGGAGTATATTTTATTTATTATTTATTTATTTAGTTTGCTGTTGTTGTTGTTGTACTTTATCCAATAATAAATTAATGTTGGCAGGTTCTAATGCCGACTTTGTATAAAACATAATGATACCTTTATCCAATACAATGGGAACTGATCCAAATTTATAGATTTGATTACCTGAATCTGTCGACATGTTGGATGGAATGAATAGTAATCCCAACTCCTTTGCCAATTGTTCTAATGAATCTCTAAGTAATCCATCTGAATGATTTTGGTTAATTTGATTTTTTAATTGTTCAATCATTGATGAACCAACATTTTTGTTATTATTATTATTATTATTATTATTTTGTTTCTGTTGTTGTTTGTTATTATTATTATTTATAATAGTGGGTAAAATATTAATATTTGTTTTTGGTTTAATTTCTTTTTTATCCAAGTATTGTTCGATTAAATCTAGGATGATATTAAAGTAATATTTGATTTGATTCTGATCCATAATATTTGATTTAAATTGTTGTCTCCAATATTGATAAAAGTTTAATAATTGACTAGGTGTTATATTTGTTGTATTTGTTGGTTGAAGTGATTTACAAAAAGATTCAATAAATATTGGGAAGAAATGTTTTGATAGGAAATGAATCATGTTTTGTGGTGACCATAGTTGATACCATTCTTCAAAATATTCAATGATTGGATAGATATTTTCATTGTCTTCCAACTTCGTCGTCGAGGTTACCAAAACTTGGTCGTATTGGAATGCTGCAAATGCTTTTGAGAACTTTGGTGTGATGGATCGATTCAACAAAGAGTCCATTGAATTTCCTTCAAACACACCTTTCCAAGGTGAGAGAAGGGCAAGCGCAGATTGATCGGCAACATCCCATCCACCCAATACACTGATCAATGTTTGTCGGATTTGTGGATACAGTGATTCCAAGTCAGTCTTTATGAATGGGATCCAAGGGTGAAGCCATTGATCGATTGGAATCGGGTCGGTTAATGGATTCCATTGCATCACCTCATTCTTGATACGTGGGAATATCGATTGTTCTAGAATATTGTCCAATATAACCTCTGGCAGTGCTGCTGTCCAATGTCCGATGAGCGACACTACAACCGACGTGTTTTCCTTGACTCTCCATCTTGTTCGAATAAAAGTCTTGATCACTGGCAACACCAAATCTCTAATCAATATAAAGTAAATATCACTTCCTTGATTCATCATTATTTTTTGTCTTGTATCATTTTCATCATCATCGTAACCATTATTATCATCATCACCATGAATTGATAATGATGTCTTGTCAAATATTGATCTCCATCTCATCATTTCATCAACCAAATAATTTTGATCTTTTTCAATATTCCATAATTCTATTTTTTTAATCAACTATAAATAGATAGATAGAGTAGTTAGTATAAAATAATCTTTATAATATTATTATTTTTTTCTACTTACCAAAGGTCTAAGGAAATCTTTTTCAAGATTATATAATTTTAATTTAATATATTCTTTTTTATAGGTTGTTTGAAATTCTATAAATTGTTTGAATAGTGTTGAAAGAGTTAATTTACCATCGTCCAATTGACGTTGAAGATTGACTAGAATCTCTTTAAGTGTTTCTATTTTTTTTCTATGTGCATTTTCCGAATCAATGACCAAACGTAGTTTACTGACACTGTTGGTCAATGATTCTATTCGGTTGTTTTCAAATTTCATCTTGTTGTTTATATTTTGTCTATCTATACCCTTCATTCTAATCAACAGACCAATATTATATTTTAATTGTGACATTGGTCCAAGTTGATCATCCAAACTAATGTTTGCCATTGAATGTATATCTTTTTTTGATTGTTTGTCAGTTGTTCTAACCATTGTTGTTGGTCCTGTCATATCAACGATTACTTGTGGTATATATGATGTTGATGATGATCCTTTTCCTCCGTCTTCTCCTCCTTTAGCTTTACCAATATGTTCTTGAATATCATATTTAGCTTTTGTCTTTGTTTGATCTGACTTTTTCCAACCAGTTGCTTTAACTTGCTCCTCTTCACTATCTTCATCACTATCGTCTTCATCTTCATCATCTTGTTGTTCTTGTTCTTTTTGTTGTAATTGTTTATCTGTTTTGAATGATGAAGATAGACCAGCACCTTGTGGTCTAGAGTATGCTTTGATGGGTTCGGCTATACCAGTACCGTCTCCTCTCAAGTCACCCGTTCCTTTATACCCAAGTTTCTCCAACAACTTTCTACCAATACCAGTAACTTTAACATCTTGCATATCTTTTGGTCTTTCATCTCTTTGTTGTTGTTGTTGTTGATATTTGTTGTTATTTCTATTCTTTCCCATCATTGAATCAAACTTGTCTCTATCTCTTTCCTCTTTATTCTTTTTAACATTTGATCCATTCCTTTTTTTCTTTGTTTTCTTTGTTGTTGTTGTTGTTGATGTTGTCGACGAAGAACCATCTACTTGATCATCGGTTGATCTCATTGCAGTATTTGGATCGTATATACCGCTTGGTACGAATCTAGTCGATGATGACTTGTAAGGATTATAGATTGGCTTTTGAGCATTATAGTTTGCAGCTGATGATTGTTTTCCACCACCACCACCATCATCATCTGCATTATCCATCTTCTTATCACCATCTTCATCATAGTCATCATAGTCATTACCAAATACACCATAGATATTGTCATCTTTTGTTTGCTTTCTTTGATATCTTCTCTTGTTGTCTCCTCCTATCTTTCCATTCTTGTCATAGTATCCGTGACCACCACCACTACCATCGTCATCATCGTCATCACTATTATAATCGTTGAATGACATTTATTTATATATACATATATATATCTAACTATACATATATAACTTTAAATGTAATTAAAAAATCTTTATCTTCACTTTTTAGCTTTGTTCATGAATTTTCATCAATAATATTAATTAATTATAATGTATTTGGTTTGCTTGATTGATGATAATGTTATAATATATAGTATATATAATAGATAGATAGTAATAGGTTTATTTATTCCTTTTGAGGTGGTTTTTGACTAATGTGATTACAAGATTTACAAGTACGAAGAGATTCTTCACCATAGAAACGAAGGATGATTGGTGTCAATTCCTTGCCAAGATTCAAATCTTGAACGTTGAAAGACTCTTCATAGAGAACTAGTTTGCAATTATCACAGTACCAACGTAACTTATCAATCGATTGAGCATCACGCTTCTTTTCAATAACCAATCCAACAGTATCAGAGTATCTTTGTGGTGAGTGTGGAGTGTTGCCTGGTAGGAGGAACATATCTCCTTCTCTAATATTTACATCTTCAAACTCTCCCTTTGTATTTACAATCTTTAATACCATATCTCCTTTAAATTGATAAAAGAATTCCTATAATAATAACAATAATAATAAGAATCATATAACAATAATCAGATCAATCATCTTTCACCATTCATATTCAAAATGTCTTGCTTGTTTCAGTACATACATCAGTTTGATTGATGTGATAGTCAGATCTTTGATTTGGACCTCCAACAATCATAACAACAAATGTAGAGTTTGGATCTTCATATACCAACTTTGCACCTACAGGTGGCTTTAACAAATGTTTATTCTCATCTATCCACTATTAAATATAAACAAAAGATTGTCAATTTCATCATATTCTCTATCTATCTATCAATCAAATATATAACAAGTACCTTTTGAAGATTGAATGGTGGTAACATAATTATATGTATGTATGTATATATGTGTAGTATTTAATTTAGAATGAAACTAATACTAATAATAACATCAATGTTCATTTTGGTTTGCAAGTTTGAAAAATCATTTTGTAATGTTGTAAAACGAAAGTTCAGATGTTGAAGATCAGATCCAAGAGATCAATTGGTTTAACCAAGATATTTTATTTGTATGTTATAAATTGATTGATTGATTGATTGATTGATTTTTATTTATTTATATTTATACTATTATTTAATAGTCCATAGCATATTTTAATAACTTGTTAAAGTTTGGAACACCGAGACCTGTAACTGGATCCCAACCTTCTTTGCAATGATAACCTTCTTGACAACATCCATTTTGGTTTTCACCAGTTTGAATATCTTTGAAAGCGTCGGGGTGGTCTTTGGCGATTTTATAGAGAAGTGGATTGATAAAACCAACTGGAGGTTTGTTGGCATTGAATCTTTCTTCATTGATGAGTGATATGAGACCGGCGACAATGGGAGTGGATGCACTGGTACCTCCGATGATGATGAATCTACGGTTGTGTACAATGACTAGATGTTCAGAGTAACAGCTGACGTCTGGGTATCCACGACCGAGCAGATTGGATTGATGGTATGGATAGGACCCGTTGATTTGGTCAAAATAGTTTTGAACGTGGTCCAATTGGTAGGGTGGTGAGCTAAAGTAGTTGGAGAACCCTCCACCTGAGATTTGGTCACCGTCCATGTCATAGACACCCTTGTAGACGACACCGCCGACAGAGAGGACGTAGGGTGAGGATGTTGGCCAGTTGGGGACATAGGTCTTGCACGCCTTGTCACATCCAGTGCCGCTGTCGCCTGATGCAAAGAGCATGGTTCGACCCATCGCAGCATACTTTTGGAATTCAACATCGACACGTTTGGTGTAGGCTGGATCGATGGTATTCTCATCATCACCGTACGAGATGGAGTGTACCCAAGGTAGATCCTTCATGTCGGCCATATCAATGAGCCAGTCGAGGAATGGCTCCTGACCTTCATGTCGACCGGGTAGACTTACAATCCAAGTGTTGATGTTGGGTGCGACAGCAGTGATGTACTGGATGTCGAGTGCAGTCTCCATACCCGGGTTGTCTTCGACGTTGGGTCCGACAATGTTGCTGACGTCTTGTTTGGGCATACCGAAACGGCGTTGGAAGATGTCAAAGTCTGAAGGACTGTAATACTCCTCGAGGAACTGGGCAATGGCCTGTCCATTCATTTTGGATCTGGTAGTTGGTGCATTAGACATGTTTAGACTGTCATAGATGACCTGTGGGGTGACATGTGGGAACAAGTACTTGTTGCTTCCCTTGGTAGCATCGGTGTTTTTTTGTTTGGGTACGGTTGGCAAATGGTTCACTCCACCGATAAAGTCAATCTTGTCGACTAGGTGAGATGGTACCGAGTAGGGATCGGTTGAACGATAAAACGACACGTCGGTAGCAATCTTTGATTGGAATTTCGAGTATCTTACAGCAAGCAATTCCTCCGCCTTGGACACTGGTACAGTAGCACGGATAAAATCACCAGTCTTCATAACCTTGGCGTTAATCACAGAGTTTTCACCTAGCCAACCCATAATAGCATCTAAATTCTCTGGATTTGGTTTAACAATATCTTTAACTTCATCAAATTTCAAGTATTGTCCATACTTTGCACTATCTGGATTACTAACATCTTCAACAATTTGTTCTAAAAAAATATAAATTAATATTAGTATAAAAATAAACTAAATAGATAATTCAAAATAGATATCTATATTCTTTTAAATCTACATACTGAGATGATCTAAATTTTCTTGTCTTACACCAAAAGTTAAATCAACCAATTCATCTACCTTGTTTTCAATATTCTTCTTTTTCCATAGTTTTGAATCTACTTGAACTGGTTTTGAATGTTCTACATATTTTCTAGCTGGAATTCTTGCAGGACCATAAGGAGAAATCTCATCATCTTTATGAGTCACCTTCTTTTCCAAAGTATCTGCAAATATTCCACTAATAATGATTAATATTACTAAAATTATTATATGTTTTTCCATCCTTTAAATATATAAATGTAATATTTGATAAATAAAAAGAATGAAAGCTTTATCTTTTTGTTCTGTCTGTCAACCTTCCTTTTACTTTTTGTTAAACAAATTTAATCAAATTTGATTGCTGAAACTTTAAAGAAGAAGTCATATGAGAGTGGTAATTTTGAATGGTATCATATTCATTCATTGTCAATTCTCTCTTTCTCTCACTATTCATTGTTGTGGAATAGCCATAGCCAACAACAATGATGAAGGACTGAGATTTAATAAAATATATTGGAGTGAGGTGATGTGAGGAGTGTGTGGTAGGATCATCATCATTATAAGTAGGGGGTGCCTTGTTTTTCAACAATAAACACCAGTATTGTTGTGATCATCATCAATCAACACCCACCATTTTTCTTTCATTTTGCTGAATTTTAAACAATTTGATGTTGTAGTTGTTTGGAAGATCTTATCTTATCTATCTTGTGTTGGTTTATTATTACTATTATTATTATTATTAAATATTAATTATTATTAACCTTATTGAAATTTAATATAATCCAAGTGATCTTTTAAGATTTTCTTGTTTCCATAATTTTTGAGAATAAAATGTTTCCTTGTCCATTGAGAATGCAGATACAAAGTCTTCTTCGGTTAGATAACTTTCTAATTTACTATTGTCGAGAGCACGGGGCGGATTATTACGTAATTCATCGAGTGTATAGGTACGATTGAGGTCAGCCAAATAGTCCTTAACTTTACAATACGATTGGGTGATCATCTTTCTTTGGTCCAAAGGTAATTTAGATTTACTCCAATCCCAATTATGGAAATAGGTTGTGAATTCGAATGGTTCCAATTGACTATTGACCAAGTATACAATATCTTGGCTTCTACTACCATTGAACTTGGCATATTCCAATACGGTAGACATTGATTCTTTTCTTTCGTCTTGCGTTGATCTTGAACCAATCCACAAATAGATACAATGACCTACATCCAAAATCATAACATCTTCAACATCCAAATCTTCTTGATCCCATTCTCTAATATTATCAACCGTGAAAATACCAGATGAAAATGAACATTGAAACATAATTGGTTCTTTTTCTAATCGTATATTATTATATAATAATTCTGTTTCTTCTTGTTCATTTGATAAAATATCATTCCAAAATCTTTTTGGTTCTTGATTTTCATTACAAATAATCATTTCAATTGATTCAAATCTATCTTCTTCTTCTCCTTCTTCTTCTTCGCGACCAAACCCAATTAATTTAAATAATAATGGATGTAATCTAATATCATAATTCCAATTTGATCCTTTCCAAATTCCATAAACATTTGAATTTCTTTTGATTATAAATAAATCATTTGAATTTAAATATTTTGGATTCTATAAAAAAAAAAGAAAATGAATTAATTAATTCTTTTTTATTCTTTTTTTTTCTTTTCTTTTTTCTTTTTGACTTACAATATCATATAATTCAATACATCTAATTTGATTTTGTTGTTGATTATTATTACAATATTTAATTTGGTACATTGAATCTTTTGATTCTAGAGAATCAAGATTCTTGTGAACAATGATGCACCCATTGAATAGACTGAGCAAGTGAATTGGTTCTTTACCTTGAACGACACGAATTTGTATTGCACTACCACCAATACTATCATCTAGATCTACGGTTAACAAAGCTGACGACCCCTTTTCATTGATGGTACTCTTTTTACCTTGCCAAAAGTAGATGACGTACATGTCTCTGTTTCGTTGTTGGTATTTGTAGAGGATGACATATGACTCTGTTGCAAAAAAGTGTCCGTACAATTCCTTGGGTACTTGTTCTTTGGTGTGATCCTTGACTCTCCACACTTGAATAGTTCCAGAGCCGTCGTCGATAGGTCTGGCAATAGATGGTGGTAGTGGCGCAGACTGGTACATTTTATCGACTTTGAATGGTTCTTTGGTCTTTGCTTCAGCAACTCTACCTTTGGGAACTGGTGCCATTTGGATGGGCAACGAACCACCCCAACCAGCAAACTTTTCTTTAAACAATTCAGTCTCTGCATCTTCGACCACTCTGCCTAGTTGTACCCATGCAGGACGTCCTTTACGTGCTTCTTTTATCTGTTTACCAAATTCCATTGCTTGTTTTCTTAGTGGTTCTTTGGCAGTCTTTCCAATCCAAACATACATTTCACTTGCACTATCAACTACATAGCAATAGTTGGTATCCATCATATCTCGAGTCACACGTTTTGCTTCTGTCTTGATCTCTTTACACTCGACATTCTTGGTTGTTTCAGATTCTTTGATTTCATAAAGAATATCTCTCATTTTTGATGTATTGTTTCGTTCAGTCTCTGTTTCATCTGGAATAGATTGAGGTTTTCCACCAAGTAGTTGCCAAAATGCATCCTCAAACTGTTTGTTTGGTTGTTTAGCATCGACAACAAATCCAGTTGGTCTACCACCTCGCTCTTTGTTTTTGATTCTAGTGGCTAGATCTAGTGCCATAGCTTGCTGTATTTTGTTTGAATTGGCTCCACGATATTCATAGATACGATCACCTGCATCCAAAATATAACAACATGATCCTCTTATAACCTTTGGATTGGTTTCCACCAATCTTCCAACAATCGACTTCTTTCCAGAGAATCTAATCAACTTTATCGAATCTGCAGATTGAGTGCTATTTAATTTCTTCATCTTCCATTCAATCGTACCATCCTCTTTAAATGGTGCATCCTTTGATAATGAAGCCAACAATCCAAATCCACTAACATCATTGTTTCGTTTAGCTTTTGATGGACTAGACGTTGTTGTATTTGATTTGGTCGATAAATTCTTTACTGGATTTACAGTTGGTTTCTTTCTACCTGCTGGACCTTGAGGTTTTGATCCTTTTGCATTATTTAATAAATTATTATTGGTTGTAAATGAATCTAATTTTGATATTGTTGGTGATGTTGTTGTTGTTGTAGTAGTAGTAGTAGTTTTTGTTGGAGTAGTTGTTGATTTTGTTGGAATAGTAGTTGTCTTTGTCGAGACTGCTGCTAGTTTAGAAGTTGTTACAGTTGTTGGTTTTGTTGTTACAGTTGTTTTTGTAATTGGTTTAGCAGTTGTTGTAGCTGTTGGTTTTTTAATTCCAGTCGTAGTAGGTTTTGATACAATTGCAGGCGGTTTCTTTGCTATTGAAGTTACAGGTTTAACAATAGTTGGAATCTTGGCAGCTGCTGCTGGTTTGGCCGCTGTTGCTGCTGGTTTGGATATTGTTTTTGTTGTAGTCGTTGAAGTAGTTGGTTTAGGTACAGTAGAAGTTTTTGTTGTTGTTGTGGTGGTAGTTGGCTTTGGTACAGTAGAAGAAGTTGATTTAATTCCTAGACTTGGTTTTGAAATGGTTGGAGTTGGTTTTACGGCAACAGTAGCTGCTGCTGGCTTGGTTACCACAGTAGATGGTGGTTTGGCTACAACTGTTGTTGACTTTGCAGCAGTGGCAGCAGGTTTGGATACAGATGCAATTGGTTTTGTTAATTTGGTTGCAATAGGTTTGGGTAAACCTGCTGTAGTGGTTGAAGGTTTGGTAACAGTAGTTGGTGTTGGTTTTACAGTAGTTGGTTTGGAAATAGATGGTGTTGTAGTGGTAGTAGTAGCAACAGGTTTCTTGATCAATGAAGTTGGGGATTTTATAGTGGTGGAGGATAAAGTGGTGGAAGTTGGTTTCTTTAAAGATGACAATGTCTTTGTAGTTGTAGTGGTTGTTGTGGTTGTGGTAGTTGTCTTTATAGTCTTTGTTGATTTGGATGATGTTGATGGCGCAGGGGATGAAACGGATGATGGGATAGCCTCATCATTTGGTTCACTCACAGCGGTTGTTGATCCATCACTTGCAGGAACACCCTCTTCATCACCATCATGTCGACGCTCCGATATCTCTACCGTTGTCAATACAATTGGCTCAGACTTTACAACTTGAACCTCTACCACTGTACGTTCCTCTTCTCCACTGCCACTACTAGTATCATCTACAACATTATGGTTTGAAATGGATGAATCTTCAACTTGATCACTTGGTGTAGTTGTAGTAGTAGTCCCTACAGGTGTTACCAAAGGTGACGATGTCTTTGATGTAGCTGGTTTCTTTAGTCCACTAGATATTGGTTTGGGTTTACTAACTCCAGCAGTTGGTTTGGCAGCTACCTTTGCCGCTGGTTTACTTGTTGTTGTTGTTGTTGTTGTAGATGGTTTAGTTAATGAAGAAGGTCTTGTTAAAGATGATGATGTAGAGGATGACGATGTTGATGATTTTACAGGTGCCTTAAGTCTACTACTAGATGACATCTTCTTCTTTCTTCTTCTTGTCTTTGTTTGGGGTTAGTATATAAATATAATAAATAAGGTAACTAATACATTCAATAAATAAATAAATAAAAGAGTAATAATACAATTGCAAAGATATTTTAAATAATGATTAAATTTTCATGAGCCAGATGTGATGATTGCTCAGAGTTTGTGAAATTAAATTTATTATGTTTCAAGTCCAGATGTTGTAGAGAGAGATATAGAGATATACATATATATATATATAGAGGGTCGAATGGATATAGTAGGAGACTTGGACAGCGTTGATGATGCAAAACAGTTGTTATTGCAACTGATTGCACGTGATCATCAACTCGATGGAGAACTAAAACAATATATTCAACTCAAAGATGATCTCGAGCAACAAATGGAATCATTTGATCAGGAAATACCGTATGTTGTTATTGTTGTTGTTGTTGTTGTTAGAGAGTATATAGTATATATATGTAGAGATGTATTAACATGATATCTATCTATCTATGTTGCTGCTAGTGATTATTTACAAATATTGTTGGGAAAGTCTACTTTGTTGACATCTACAATTAGCAGTACATGTTCGTTGGCAGAGACACTGTCAAGCAAGGTAAAGTCATTGGATAATGTACGTGCACGTCTTAAAGAAACATTGAACAAGGTGGATGATATCATTGACCTCAAAAACTGTATTGAAGGTGTACAACACAGTCTGCAAGTGGAGGACTTTGAGAGTGCAGCCAATCACATCAACAGATACCTTTCGATTGACAAGAGCGTGTTGGAGAGTAACGCAGTCACCATGTTGACCGAAGCAGAACGAAAGTTGAGAGAGATGATCGCCGTCCGATACGACGCTGCATCACGTGCCAACGATCACGACGCAGTACTGCGATTCTGTAGACTATACGTACCACTGAATAGTTCGAAAGAGGGTGTCGAGAGATACTGCCAATTCCTCAACGTCGATCATTTCAGAGTACTCGATAATAATGTTTTAACAAAATACCAACAATATGTAAATGGAACTGTTAAAAACAACCACAACCATCACAACAACAAACTACTACCATTACATCAGTAGTTGCATTAACAAAGATATATCAACATTTTTCAAATGTGATTGAAGATAATTTAGAGGTGATTCAACATGAGTTTGGGTTGGCGTATTGTCCCCAATTCCTATTGATTCTTACTCAACAATGCGATTACTTTACCTCCAAGATATTTTCTGTCTTTTCAAACGATCAATTTCCAGTTTCAAAGATTGTTTCAGAGGTTTCCAATATATCATCTCAATCACCTTCCTCCAATTCAACAACTACCAACAACAATCGATTAGATCCAAGACAATTTGCACAACTATTGGACGAAATTGCATATATGAGCAAAGCAACTAAATATTATGATAGATATCTATTAAACAAAGAAAAGGAAATTAAAAGAGATATTAAATTGGAATTGGAAAATATCAATAATAATCAATACAACATCAACAACATTAACAATCCTGAAACTAATAATAATAATAATCAAAATCAACCAAACAATAATAATAATAATAACAATAATAATAATAATAATACTAATAATGAACAATATAGAAAATTAGTACAAGAGATTAATTTACAAACTACAATGTACTCTAATACAACAAAACAAAAGATGAATGAATTACTTGGCAACTATCTATTGGTCGAAGAATATTTCATGGTTGAATCGACCACTAAAGCAGTCCAATTGGATGAAACAAGTGATGACAGTCTGACAAGTAGCATGGTAGACTATATATTCTTTATTCTTCAAAAATCACTTCAACGTGCCATAGATTCTCACCATATTCAAACTTTAAATGTCATTTCAAATAGATTAATTAGAATATTAATTCAAAATCAAGATGTATGTAGAAAGTAAATAGAAGGATATGTATGATTATTTATTAACATTTTCTATTTCTATTTAGACATTACAAAAAATGTTTAGAGAACATATTATTAAAGTGAGTCAAAGTAAACAAGTTAATAATATGGATTACAAGGAATCAATGATTGCATTGAATAATATAGAAACGAGTGGAGAATATATATTAAAATTGAAAAAAGAGATGGAAGTACGATGTGACAAGGTATTCCCGGTAAAAGTGAGTGGAAATGAGGAAAGGGATCAAGTGGCACTCCAATCCAACGAATTTGCATCATGTGCCAAATCCTATTCAAGATTGTTGCAGGGAGAGATTGAACAAATGTTTAAGAGTATACAACCACGTCTCAAAAATGTACTGTTCCTCTTTACCGACATCAACTATGAAATTGGACAAGAACAATATGACAATAACGACGTCAACGATCCATTTGTCTATCAGTTTAATATTGAAATCAATCAATTCCTCGCACCCTTTCAACAATACCTTTCACCTACCAACTATGATACAATCCTTCATCACACAGTTGCTTTTATCTTGAAAAAGATTGAAGCCTCTATCATTGCAAACTCTAAAAAATTCACTTTACTCGGATCACTTCAATTTGGTAAAGATATGCGTGCCATTTCATCACTGTTTGCCAAGATGTCCCAATCAACTGTTCGTGACAAGTTTTCAAAGATCAACCAAATTGTTTCCTTTTTAACATTGGACAAGTTGTCCGATGTTAAAGAGTTCTGGACAGAGAATAGTTCAATCGCATCTTGGAAACTATCACCAACTGAAGTTAAAAAGATTCTACAATCTCGTGTTGATTTTAATCTTGACCAAATTAATAAATTAAAATTCTAAACATATAGAACAAATAAATAACAAATGTTTGTTTGTTTGTTTGTTTGTTTGTTTGTTTGTTTGTTTGTAACAATTCCATCAACTTTTTGACATATATATTGTATTGGTTAACTTTTTTGTTGAGACTTTTCTTTTTCTTGTTGTTGTTGTTGAGGTTTGAATATTTTAGCTTGTAAATGAGCAGCCTTTAAAACATTCTTGAGTAACATGGCAACTGTAAGTGGACCGACACCACCTGGTACAGGTGTGTATGCCATCGCCTTTTTGTAAGCTTCTGGGTCGATATCTCCAACCATACGAACTCCACTCTTTTTACTTTCATCCTTTACATAACTAATACCAACATCAATCAGAACAGCTCCTTCTTTAATATCGTCTTTTTTAATTAATCCTCCTTGTCCAGTTGCACTCTAAACAAAAATAAAATGATTAATATAAATTATCCATTTATCCTTTTTTTTTTTGCACTCTTACAATAATTAAATCGGCAGCTTTTAAAGCTGGTTTAGTATTTTTAGAATATCTATGAATTAAGGAAACAGTAGCACCACCTTGAATCGATTGATTTGAAAGATTCTTTTGAGATAACAAGGTTGCAATGGTTCTACCGACCAGATTGGAGCGTCCGAGCACCACGACATTGCTTCCTTCTACTTTGAAGCCATATTGTCGTAATAATTCGAGGATACCATCTGGAGTACATGGAACAAACATTGATTTCTTGCCCATAAAGATTTGAGCAAGATTGAGAGGGTTGAGACCATCGACGTCTTTGAGTGGTGAGATTGCTTGAATGAGTGACTGTGAATCGAGTTGTTCGGGCAATGGTAATTGAAGGATGATACCAGACACTGACGTATCCTGTGAATGATATTGAATACGCTTGATGATTTGGTCTTGTTGTACCGTACTCGAAAATCGATCCAATGTAAATTTAAAGCCAACTCTTTCACATGCTTCTCTCTTTTTTCTAACATAACTATCTATTTGTGGGTTATCTCCAATATAGATAACTACCAAATGAGGAATAACTCCTTTATCTTTAATCGATTTTGATTCTCTTTCAATTGATTCAAGCTTTTAAAAAAAAGTAATGAACCGATTAATAATTGTAATGTATAAAGTATGTTTGTTGCTTTTATAAAACACTTACAATACTATCAGACATTTTCTTACCATCCAATTTGATAGGCCATCTTGATTTAGCCTTTGAAAAGATATCATGAATTGAATAGTTTGTATTGTTTGCTGTAACATTGGTAGATGTAGGTGTAGTCGCAGTCGCAGTCGCAGTTGTTGTTGTTGGTGGCTTTTGTGTAGATGATGATGATGACGATGTAGAATATGAAAAGTGGTGTCCGCTACCAATAGTAGGAGTAGGAGGAGGACACATACAACTATATTTAGAATTACCTGTGCAGATGCTGCTGAAAGATGATCTATTGGTTGTAGTTGTGGTCATCGATAACCACGATGATACAATCGACCTTTTCAACAAATGTTGACTACTTGTTGAGAGTGTGAAAGATATCATATCTTATCTTATCTGTCTGTTTGTTTGTTTGTATATTTATGTATTGTCGGGGTTCTTTAAAGAGTAAACGAGTAATAAATAAAGGTGTGTAAACCCTCTAGATACTTATTAAATAAAAAGCTTATCTGCATGCATTCATTCATTCATTCATTCAAGACAAAAAAAGAAATATTTTTTATTTTTATATATTTATTTTCAAAAAAGGGAAATTATGGTCTAAACTAGAGTTGTTTTGAAAAACTTTCAATTCTAATTGTTTTATCATATATATTTTATTATTAAGCTATTAAACAACAGTTATTATTGGAATTATCAGAAATTCAGAATACCTATGTCCTTTATCAAAATCAAACCAAAAAGATCTTTTATTAACCATCTACATTTTATTTTTGGGTTTTTCTTAACACAATTTTGGTCAACCTTTAGGTCTTGATATCATTAGATGGATGGACATCAAATAACAATTATATTCCCTCAAGACAAAGTCCTTTCGAATGGATTTTAAGTACTTTTCTTGCCAGTTAAACTTGGGAACGAAATACCACCAGCGTCTCTACCAACTTTACTTTTAGATATGGATCTGTAGGCGTTTTGATTTTGTCCATTTCTTTCCTCTCTATTTCGATGTATGATTGGACAAGATCAAAACGCCTATCGATCGATGTTGGTATTAAAATGTCAATCTTTTTGGGTAGAAGTATGTTTGTTTCCAAATCAAAATAAATAAATAAGTTAATTAAATAAATAACATGCATATCTTTGGTCGAATCAAAAATTAATTTTTGATTATTATTATTTTATTTATTGATCAATTTATTGTTCATGAGGGTTGGGTTGTTAATTTAAATTAATTTGTGTAAATTTCAAACAAAAAAATCTTGGCACTTTGATTCAAATAAATTAGATTATTATTTAGCTAAAGAGAGAGAGAGATAAAAAAATAGATAGATAAAGAGATAAAGATGTCAAAGTTACCCACTGCAAGTCGTTTCAAGTATACAAATGGTACACCCAATCAACCAGCAGACACAATTTTCGGGTGTAGTGTTGGGACAACATCACAAGACTCTAATGTATTGCAAGCCAATCATTCATTCATTGCTTTCCCAGCGTACGTATGAATATAGATACAAATAGTATTGTGTTGCTAACAACCTATTTATCTATCTATCTGTCTCATATAGTAAGGTATCAGGGTCAGTTTGTGTAATACCATTAAATTCAAAGGGAACAATTTCAGATGAATCTCCCTTACTATTGCATGATGATCAAGTCAATGAAATTGCATTCTCACCATTTAGAGATGAGAATGTTGTTGTTACAGCCTGTCAAGATGGTACTGCTCGTGTTTGGAATATTCCAACTGACGGTTTAGATGGTTCAACCAGCAATCCAACCGCATCATTGGTTGGTAGTGGAAAGAGATTATTGTCGGCTGGTTGGCACCCACTTGCCAAGAATGTGGTGACTACTGTTGGTATTGACGAGGTTCGTGTCTGGGATGCTCTTAGTGGAACATCTTTGTTTACATTGCCAACCGTTCACAAGGGTCTAGTGACATCGTTGTCTTGGAGTGATGGCGGTGACCGTATCATCACCTCTTGCAAGGACAAGATGTTACGTATCTTTGACCCACGTAGCAACACTATGATTGCTCAAGTACAAGACTGTGAAGGTGTCAAGAGTGCAAAGTCGTTGTGGGTTGGCAGAACACCACTCATCTCTACCTATGGGTTCACCAAATCAATGGATCGTGAGATTGGTATCTGGGATTCCCGTGCCATGAATACACGTATCCAAACCACCAAACTAGACATTTCACCAGCATCCCCAATGCCATTTATCGATAATGACACCAATGTCGTCTACCTCGGTGGCAAGGGTGAAGCTAGTATCAAGATTATTGAAATCAACCAATCCAATGCCCAACCATGTCAAGTATTGGGCGAATGGAAGCATAATGTACCAGCAGCCGGTATGGCCATTCTCCCCAAATACCTCTGCGATGTCATGAAGGTTGAAGTCGCCAAGATCCTCAAACTATCACCAACTGGTCAAATCATCCCCATCCGTTTCGAAATACCTCGTGTCAATACCCAATTCTTCCAAGACGAGTTGTATCCAGATAGTTGGGACGGTGTATCCACCATGGATGCATTATCATGGGCTGAAGGTACCAATCAACCTGGTAACCTTAAATCTTTAAATCCATCTGCTTAAAAAAACAAAAACAAAACAAAAACAAAGAATTGTACAAATAAATAAATAAATAACAAATAATAATAATATTAATATATGTATAAATATTTATTATATATATATATATATATATAAATATAAATTGGAAGTAACAATAATAGTAATAAATAATGTATTATTTAAAGTTTGAAAAAAAAGTAAAATGAAAGAAGTGGAGGGTTCAACGCGTTTTTAGTTTGTATTTTTTAAACATTTTAAAGATAGATTAGATTATTTATATTAATATATAGATAAAGAGAGATAGAGAAAGAGAGAGAGATGGATAGCACAAGTAAAGGTGGATGTTGTTCATCTATGAATTGTTGTGGACCTGAATGTAATTGTCTTGCAAAGCAACAACATACTCAGCTGACAATGCAAATGCAGAGTAAACCAAAGGATAAGGATTTGGATGGCACAGATGATAGCGTGACAGTGTCAAAGGATCATCATTCATCATCATCATCAAAGAAGAAACATGCTAGAGGTAGAAACGAGACGAAAAAGTCAGATGAAGAGGATGACGAGGACGACGATGCAGAGGAAGAGGACGACGTCGATTATAATTATGCCTATCATTCAGATAATGACTTGGGTGGAGGAGGAAAGATGGACACTACAAAAGATGATGCTCCATCTTCTGCATCTTCTTTAAAGAAAGAAAAGGATAGTAATAGTAGTAATAATGGAAATAGTAGTACTGGTAGTACTGCTAGCAATGGTAATAATATAATAAATACTACGAGTGGTAGTAGTAATGGATCAGCAACAAGTTTGGCAAATGGAGGTGGATACACTTCATCGGCACTGTTACCTACTCGTGTATGTTGTTCAAATTGTTGCAAGGAGAGTCGTTCAAATGGACGATCGTGTCTGTGTCAGGTGCCAAGCAACCAACGTAAAGGCAAGCTGGGAGAGAATGGATGTGTCACGTGCAACTGCAACGGGTGTCATCCTGCCGACACTACAGGCGATGGACAGCTGCCACTCGATACTAGCACAGACGATGCTGCGTCAGAGACGAATAGCACGAGTGCTGCCAGCCAGACACCCCTCCCCAAATCAAATGCTTCGACTGCCACGCCAACAACAACTGGCGCCAACGCATCGTCGACCGGTGCAGTGTCGGCTGGAGCTGGTACAGGAGCTGCTGACGCCATCCCACTCAAGAATGGGTGTTGTCGTCCGTGTATGAAAGCGTTCTCAGAGACTGGCAAAGCATGTCTATGCCAGGTTCCCTCGTCAGTACGTGTTGGAACATTGCCAGACGGTGGATGCAAGATCTGTAAATGCAAGGGTTGTCATCCCGATGAATTGAGCGGTCGTCGTCCCAACAATGGTTATAAAATGCATGGCGCTCCACACCACCACGGTCATCACCACCTTCCTCCCCACCATGGTCATCACCATGGACACCATTACCCGCCTCCACCAGGCGGTCTCTATGACGACCGTCATATGCCACCTCCCATGTACATGCCATACCCTCCTCCACACCAACCAGTCTACTCGCGTGGAGGTGGTGGTGGTGGATCTGGGGGCTCCTCATCCTCACACCACCGCGGTGGTGGTGGCGGCGGTGGCGGTGCAGGCCGTCCCGAGGGACTCTTGCCATACCCAGCATCAGAATACGAACATTCCCTCTCGGCACCACCATACATGGGATTGGCACCACTCCACCCATGGGAGGAATACGACCGATACATCCAAGCTGACCCGTACCCACCCTCCTCTTCGTCGTCTGAAAGACGTGGAAGAGAACATCGTCGTTCATCATCTTCATCCTCTTCTTCATCATCCTCTTCATTATCTAGTTCACGTGATAGAACTCCCTATGACCGTAGACCACCTCCCCAATCTGGTTACGATCGTTATTCATATGGATCAGGTGGCGGCGGTGGCGGTGGCGGTGGTGGCAGCGGCGGAGGAAACAGTGGATACGATCGTAAACCATCTCCTTCACGTGGTCATCACCATTATCCAAGTGGTGGTAGCGGTGGTGGTGTTTATGATCGTGATCGTCCAGCACCACGTGATAGATATTATAGTCGTAGTCCAAAAAGAGAAGATTATTAAATCAATCAAATATAGAATCAAATCAAAAAAAAAAACAAAGAAACTTAATTAGTCCAACCCTTCAATCAATTCAATTAAATCAAATTAAATCAACCAAATCAACCAAATCAATCATGTTTTGGATTATAAAAGTAATTAAACCATCATCAACCCTACTTCTTCACTTCCTTCTTCCCTTCATCCCCTTCCAATTTCTTCTCATTTGCTTCCTTCCTTCCCTCCTTCCTTCTTCACCCTCTTCCATCATCTTCTTCTTTTGAATATTTATATCTTCTCTTCTTTCTTCAATTCAACAAAATAATATTTGATCGATTTTTTTTTGGAAACTATTTTTTTTTTTAAATTCTTCTTTTCCAGTTCCTTCCTTCCTTCCTTTTTAATTTTCCACCTCCACAACCACCTTCCTATTAAATTCTTCGTTCAACTTGCCTTCTCTCCCTCCAACTCTTCTCTTCCTCTTCTTTTTGTAATACTAACTGATTATTTATTTCTTTTTTTATTTACTTTTAGATTAATGAACAAAATATTCATTTTTGTAAAAGTCAAATCCCCTCAACCAAACCAATCGACGAAACAAATCAAATTAAATCAAATACATTTTTCGGCAACGACTCTCCTCCCTAGTAATAAATTATTTAGTAATTGTAGATAATATATATATAATAATTCTTTAGAATCCAAAAGAATACCATTCCAAAAGTATTATTATTTTTATTTTATTTTATTTATTTTCAATTTTTCAATAATCGATTTCTCGAGAATCGTCGTCAACCTCATGAACTACAAAGTCATTTATTTTAATAATAACATATTAATCAAGTTTTATAAATACATATAAAAATGACAGATATAACAGAAAACGATGATTCTGTTAGTACAACTACAACAACCAAACCAACAGCAATGTTTAAAAGACCAAACAAAAATAGAAACAATATGATGAGAAGAAAGGAAACAGATGATGAAGATGAACAGAAAAGTAATAACAATGAAAATGAACAAGTAGAGGATGAATCATCATCATTGGAATCTGAAAAGAAGAAATTAAAACCAACCAAAGTAGTTAATCAATATACAACAGCAACTGAAAAGAAGGCTGATTTCTCATACAACACATCTGGATCTGCGAAAGCAATGATGACAGAGGCTGATCAAACATCAACCATTGTAGAAAGAGATGATGAAAAGGATAACCCTTCACAGTTGAATAATAACGATGGTATATATAGAGGAATGAAAGCATATACAAACTTTGTACAGAAAAAAGAAGATTTATCATATAAAGGTGCTGGTGTCAAGTATGTACTTTAATATAAATAGTAAATGTGTATAGTTTTATTTATTGATTAACTAATATATATCTATTTATTCTATTTTTTTAGAGCTGGACCAATAAAACAATTAAATACAAATTATAAAGGATCATGTAGATTTGATTATCAACCAAGTGTTTGCAAAGATTACAAGGATACTGGACAATGTAGTTTTGGTGATGCTTGTATTTATTTACATGATAGATCAGATTACAAACAAGGATGGCAAATTGACAAGGACTATGAAGAAGAACAGAGAAAAGGAAAACGTGGATTTATTGATCCAAAAGACGAGAAAAAGAGAGACTTTAAAGCCAATGGAAATGGTTCAGATGCCATCGATGAAGAAGATCTTCCATTTGCATGTTTTATTTGCAAGAAACCATTTGACAATCCAGTAATGACAAAATGTAAACATTTCTTTTGTGAGTCTTGTGCTCTGGATCACAATGCAAAGAGTAAAAAATGTTTTGTTTGTAAGCAACCTACCAATGGTTCATTCCTTCAACCAAAGAGAATTATTGATAAATTAATGGAAAAATCAAAAATGATGGAACAACAAAAACAACAAGAAGAAGTATCTGAATCCTAGTATAGGATAAGGAACCTGGAATAACGTAATAAATTCTTAAATTTGATCGATCGATTCATTTTTACCGTTACGGTATTGTTATATACCATCTATATTTTATTATTATTATTATTATTAATTATTAAAAAAAGTACATGTCTATTTTCTATATATGTTTAATAGCTTGAGCAGAACCTACTGCTCGCAACATTGCATTCCCTGAGTCAATACCAAACTTATTCTAAAAAGTAAAAGAAATAAATTGTTAAATCATCAATGAAATGATTATTTGTGTCTCTATATATATATGTACATACTTGAAAGAATCTTGCCAAAGGATAACCAAGTTGAGTCATCCAGTGTTGAGGTTCAGAGAAACTCATTATTTCATAAAAGACTTCACCTTCTGGGTTGGCAGCTGTTCGACGCCATTCAACTACAAATCTTTCTTCTCCACGCTCCAAATGTTGTGATAGTGTACCGTATGCAAATCCATAGCGAACAACATCGTCATCTTCTTCGGGACCGTCAATGATATAGACGATTCGACAAAATGACAACACCCAAAATCCCAATTGCTTTGATAGAATGCCAACGGTCGATCCTACTGCCACAGGAACATCGTTGAAACAGAAATTAACCCAATCAATATCGAATGGTTTCCAAGTCTTGAGTGCTTGTACTGCCTTTTCAAAGCATTCTCTTCCATTGCCCAATTTGATCCTAGTTTGATCTATATCGAATTGATTGTACTTGGAGTCATGTTGATACTCTTCTTTAGTTTCGTACTCTTTGGTTCCATGTACCGGTGAATATGAAAATGCTTCCTCTGTTCTCTCTTGCAAATATTCTCTTATCGTATTATCTGATGGCCTTCTAACACACAACATGATTTGATTCTATCTATACTAGTATCTATCTATCGAAACAATTTAAATCTATTTACTTTTTATATCTATGAGTTGATTATATATTTTACACTACATATGATGATGATGATGTACTTTGTTACATATAAGTGTGTTGGTGGTATGACACTAATATTATGAATGAAAGCCTGAAATTTGGTGATGATTCACTTTTAATTTAATTTTTCAAAAATGATTTAATAAATTATATAAACAATAAAAAGAATTAAAAAAAAGAGAGATAATAGTATTATAAATTTAAAAGGAAACCTGGAAAAATGTATTAATATTTATTTTATATTAATATTGATTGGGAAAAGAAAAAGATTGTTGTTGTTTTGTTTGGGAAAAAGATAATGTTTAAGAGCAGCATATGTTGCTTGCTTGCTTGGAGGGTTGGAAAAATTGCCTAGTAGTAGGAGTCTAGATATCAAGATTGATGTTCGCGTTCAATAAACCAGATGTTTGAGCATGGAGAGAGAGGAGACCACCACCACCACCGTTGCCACCACCACCCAAGAGACCACCCAATAGACCACCAACAAGACCACCTCCACCATTGTTACCACCGCATGGGTCATAACAAGAAGCCGAAGAATTGGAACCAAGGAGTGCGCTACCCTTTAAAGCAGATAGGGTTTGTTTGTTGATTGGAGATACGGTTCCAGCAACATTCATTGAGGCAAGAGCATGCATAAGAGTCATTTTTTGAAAAAGGTTTGGTTTTTGTTAGTTTTAGATTACTAAAAAGATATTTATAGAATTGGTTGGTTGGTTGGTTGGTTTGATGATTTGATCTATTTGAAATCATCTTGTATTTATACTAGATGGTTTGTGTATAATACTAGAGGATGAAGTAGAGCAAAAAAAAAAATGGTCATCCATTATTGGAATTAATTAGTAAATATTGTTGGTAGTAGACAGGAGCCATATATGTGTGAGTTTTGGGCCCATTGCAATACTAGTAAAGTATACATTATTCTAGTTGTTGTCGTATGGTGTGGAGTATATATATGTTGGTGATGAAATTATTAAAACCAAATTTCAATAATTAATATCAATATATCAATATATATATCTATTAGCATGTAGTGGGGGGGGATAATTAAATTACATCACACACCCGACAATTGTCGTATCCGTATTGTCATCATTGTTTCGACAGAATAAACAACAACGTTGATGATCTCAAGTATTGTTGTTGAATACATCAATGAAAGAATGGTGTCATGATATTTAGAGTAGCGCGTCGTTTTACCATTACCAATAACCCATTGTTGAAATGGGGGTGGTGTGGGATGGGTGTATAAATCATTGTTTTATAATAAAAGGGATATCTATAAAACAGTAATTAGTAAATAGAATTGAAAATTGATTTACTTTTATCAATGCAAACTTACAAGTTTTACTATTATGGATTGGGATGGGACAACCACACTGGTGTTGGGAAATGTTATTTTTAGATTAATAGTATTTGTAAATCAAACATACTGGCTACGCTCTCTCTAACTCTATATACTGTTGGTCTATGGACCTATTAATAATAATAATAATAACAGTGACGACTGGTATACATGTAATTTTTAGAAATATATACAAAATATTATTAATATTTTTAATTTTAATTTTGTTAAGGGTACAAGTATTATCCAATCAAGTTGAATGAATAACACTTTTAATATCTAATAATAGATACTATTATTATTACTGTTACTATTAAGATGGAGGGAGGGAAGGAAGGATGTTGATATATATATATTTAATTCTGGAAATTACTTATTTCCATAATTATGTTGTGTGATGGAGGTGATGGAGGAGGAGGAGGAGGATGAGGGAAAAAATATGATTTACTATGATTATTATTGATAAGGTCTATTATAATGTTCACCCAATAGAGGTGGACTACCTTGCAAATATTTCTGGCTTTCATGGGTACTCATAATATAGAGTAGACAACTAAGTGGTAGTACCTCCAAAATGACATAATATACTACATCTTTCCACCAATAATTTAATGGATAAAAGGTTGTTACAATAACCAATACACCACGTAAAACAAAACATACAATGGCTGAAACGATAATGATGGCAAATACCTGTCTTGTTTTCAAATCAGATGATGGTTCTGGTGCTGTACCTTTTTTAATAATTATAAAAAATCTAAAAACAAATAAATAAATAAATAAATAATTAGTAAACATTGGTTGTGGTCTGTTTTGGTTTTGGTTTATAACATACACGACAAAAATAAAAATAGGAGTTGATAAATAGATGATTGCATCAAAAAGTTGGAGTGCAGATTCCATGGTGGTGGTTGGCTCGTTGACCGATACATTGCTTTCCGAGGTATCTAGGGAAAAGTCCAATACAATGAAAACAAGTACCACCACATACATGATTATATTGAAAATAAGTATTCCTCTCTTGTAAAGATCAACCTTGGATCCCTTTTGTGAACTTTTTCTTTCATTTATAATTAATCTAAATAAATAAATTAATTAATTAATATTTTTTCTTTCAATTGATTGATTGATTGGACTGATTTGTTTTGACTTACCCTAAAATAAGAGATATAGTATATGCAGTGATAAAAAGAAATGATGGTAAAACACTAAATACATTTAATATTTTACCACCAAGATGTATAACGTCATTTAATTCCAATATATACAATAAAAAGCTAACTGCTCTTAATAATCCACCCAATACAACCAATAACATAAATCCAATTGCATATTTTTCCCCTAAATAAAATAAATAATAAATATTTAATTAATTATTATTCCATGTATGATATGTTTTGTTGTTTTAATGTATATACTTACAAACATGTTTAATCCTATACCCTATCAAAGCACCAAATGAAAATACAAAATATAATGCTGATAGGAATATATGTGATTGAGAATAATCATCCATTTGATTGAATAAAAATAATAATCAGATTGTTGACCAAATAATCTGGAAATTGCGAATTTGATTTTAAATAATCAATAATGAGGTCTCTATTTTTAAACTTGGACAATTGAAAATGGTCTAGTATTATGTAATATAGATAGTGGTAAGAATATTGGTCTTTGTTGAATTTGAAGTTGTTGTTGTTGTTGTTGTTGTTGTTGGGAATTTGTAATAATCTGATGTTGTTGATGTTGTTGGTTGACTCGATGATTATGATTATGATTATTGATCAAGATATAGATGGCAACTAGAAATTTGGTTATAATGAATAATAGAAAGAATCGGTTAATCATCAGTCTTTGGTACTATTACTATCGATATCTATTAACAATAGTTTAGAGAGAGAGAGATAAAAATAAAATAAATAAAACAACAATATATAATAATAAAAAGAGATAATGATCCAACCAACTATAAAGGGGACTGTATCGATAAAAAAAAAGAGTAAAATAGAGAGTTTTAATATAATAAATGTGAATTTGACAGTGTATGTGCAAACAAACAAACAAAAACAAACAAATTATAATATTTATGTGATTATAATATATTATACCTGTGTGTATGTATATGATTGATGTACTGTACCCCCTTTACTTGTCTCTCTCTTTAAATTATATTATTATTTGTCCATGTAGTAGTAGTGTGTGGTTGTTGTTCATGGAGGGTGGGTGGTGATAGAAGAACATTGCAAACGGTTCAGTGAGGGGTGTGGTTTGAGTGAATGAACGAACAGTGTGAGGGTAAGTTTTTGTTGCGTTTGCTCAGATTCATATGATGGATACAATTGTCGCAGCTGAGACTTGAAACTCTAAGAATCTCTTGATTGAACCAAACTTACTTTTCAATTGATTATTTATAGGATGATTATTGTTGCTTTGTTAAACAAATAGACAGTTTTTGTGTTGTGGTTGTGTCCTATCCAATCAATCCAATCGAATTCTGATCAGTAATAATGTCAATCTTATTTATTCAATAAATAACTAAAATGATTGGTTGTGTGTATGTCTGTGTGTGGCTTGCTATTAATGTGTTGAAATTTCCTTCTTCTCTTTGTTTGTTTATGAGGGTTGAATCTGACTGATCTCGAGGTAGTCTAAAACTAAAAATATATACAACAGTAGTTTACTAAACAATGCAATGCAATTACTCTTTACGCAACATTGACCTGCAAATTGCATCAAAAAAAAAAAAAAAAAAAAAAAAAGAAAAAGAAAAAGAAAAAACAAAAAAAACCTTTGATCAGAGTAAAAAAAAAGTAGTTCAAAACAAGCCGAACATAAATAAACAGAGGAACCAATTCAATTTCACCAATGGTATAAATCAGGTACCCAGGCCGAAAGGAGGAGGAAGGTCTTGTGTTTTCAAAAAAAAACAAAAACGGAGATACTTTGTGGATGATGATTAATGATGGGTGGGATCGTTCACGTCGGAACATCGATGAAATTTAATTAATAATTTTTTAATCGGTTGTTTGTTGTGGCATTGGGAACCACCTCTTCTGTCATGTCGAGCTGTGAGTTGATCATCATCATCATCATCATCATTGCATTATTCAAATAGTTTAGTTGTCGAGAATGAGATTAATCATTAAAAAAGATAAGAATCAAGCAGGAGAATACATTGCAAAGTATTTAAAGGATAGAATCAAAGGATTTGTACCAACACCTACTAGACCATACTTGGTGTTGGGACTACCAACTGGATCATCTCCGCTACCAATCTACAAGCTATTGGTTGAATATCACAAAGCTGGCGAGCTTTCATTCAAGCATGTAGCTACCTTTAACATGGACGAATACCTTGGTTTGGACAAGAAACATCCATTCTCTTATCACTACTTTATGCACGAGAATTTGTTCAATCACATTGATATCGATCATCGCAACGTACATATCCTCAATGGTATGGCTTCAGATGCCACGGTTGAATGTGAAAACTATGAAAAGACAATCGAGTCGTATGGCGGTATCGACATCTTTCTCGGTGGTATGGGTGTCGACGGACACATTGCCTTTAACGAGCCAGGTTCCTCTCTTGCCTCTCGTACCCGTCTCAAGAGTTTAACTCGTGAAACTATCCTTGTCAATAGTCGTTTCTTTGACAATGTCTCTCAAGTACCAACTCAAGCATTGACTGTTGGTGTTGGTACAATCCTTGATGCTCGTGAAGTCATCTTAATTGTTACTGGTCATTCAAAGGTATAAATATAAATATATATATATAGATAGATATAGATATAAAGATGATACTTGTACTCATTCATCATTCCTTTAATTTATTTAGGCAATGGCATTATATAAAACAATTGAAGAAGGTGTAAGTCATATGTGGACAGCATCAGCATTACAAATGCACAAGAGAGCAATGATCATTTGTGATGAAGAAGCTATCGATGAATTGAAAATAAAGACAGTAAGATATTTTAATGATGTAGAGAATCATAATGGTTTCTAAATCTAAAAATAATTAAATAATTAAATAATAATAAATCTTTTAAAAGATTGATGTAAAGTATAATAACAATAAGTATTTATTATATTTATGTATATGTATGTATGGTTTATGTGTCTCAGAATCGCCTTTATTCTTCAAACATAATTATTACTTTAATTTCTCTGTAGATAGAAAACAAAAGAAGAATGTTCATCATTGAATTCAACCGAAGGAGGATCTAATGATTAGTTCCTTTCGACAGTGATAATTACAATGGATTCCTTAAGTTCTTGTGTATTGCAGATCTACGTATATATGTTAATAATATGTGATTAAGAAAAGGTTTTCATCATTGACAAACAGTAACAATAAACATAAAAGTAAATACTATGTATGACACCGTTGATCCCCCCCTGCTTACATTCCAAAGATAATGACTGAGAATAGGAGGAAATATGCTAGCATATACCGAAACGAGGCTCAATCCCAGACTCTTAACCATATCTTTAAAGACGAAAGGGGGTTTCTTGCTGGTCATACATATATACCTAAATGACTTGCTATTATTATAAATAGTTTCAATGTACTGCACTCCCTAGGAGTCAAGTAAGATCAGCTCCTTTGAAAACCGTACTTTGATACTATTTTGAATAGCGCATGTTTAATCTTACGCCCACTGTTATTAATATCAGTACAAAAAAAAAAATAAAAAAATAAAATAAATAATGATATTTTTATTTATTTGATGATCTTTGTAAGTTGGTCTTTACAAAAGTTGTAATATCTTATCACATGAATGATAATATCTATATCAATATATGAATCAATCGTTAATATAAAGGATCACCTTTCGTTTTTCCCAGGCCACATCGTATGGAATGTTGATTCTGAAGGCTTTTTTGTTTAAGATCACTCCGCGAGACCCCGAAAAGCAAGGTCACCGTTTCAAAAAGTTTCGCTTTTGCACAAGTGCCATTCGCTGTTTTGAAGGACTGGAGATCAACTATAAAAGAGTCGTTTCCACATCATCATTTAAATCATCATCATTTGATTAATCATAAATACAAATAATAATAATAATTTGAACAAATTATATTATTCAACAATAACAACAACGTAATAATAATAATATCTCATCAACTACGCGATAAAACAACAAAGTATATTTTAATTAAACAACAACAACAACAACAATCACAAACATGTCAACATTTAGAATTTATCATCCATACCCAAATGTTATTCCATATGAATTAACACCAATCATGTCGACAGAGGACTACAAACAATTCAAGTCACTATACAATGTATACAATAGAAAACAAGTTAAACGTAATTTCATAGCTGCTGCCGTATTCTTTGTGATCATGTTGGCTTGCATCGGTCTCATTGTAAAGGGTTGTATACCAATCGATGGACAGGAAAATGAATATGCAAAGATTTATATCATGGGTTCAATTGGTATTCTGGTAGTAGATTCTTCTTTATTTTTAGCTGCACTTCTTGTTATTGGTAGAAAGGTATATATATAAAACAAACATTAGTATACAACAATTATTTAATATAATATTAATATTAATTTTTTTTTTTTACTGTAGGTTCGAAATGCACTTACCTGTAGACTCAATGGACATTTTGCACAAAGAGGTCTTACATTTAATATTGTTGCAAGACTTGGTCATAAAGACCACCATACTTCACAACAATTTGTTGAGATTACCACTTCTACTGCCATCGTAGCTCCACCTCCCTTTGTCATTCCAATGCCACTTCAACAACAACAACAACCACCAGTACAATATTTCCAAGGTCAACCACAACAACAATATATGCAATACCAACAACCAATGTACAATCCAAATTATCAACAACAACAACAACAACAACAACCACCAGTACAATATTATAACAACAACAATGTTCCAGTTCAACAAACTGCAGGTAAAATAAGTACAAAGGGAATGCCTGAAGAGTCTGATAAAACTCCTCTTGTAAATACTAAAAAATAATCGACCAACCATATAATAATAATAATAAGATAATACCCCTTTAATACAAAGTAGATAACAAAAGTATTAATTAATGAATTAATTGTAAATAGAAAATAAACCAAGACTAGGGTCTTTTGAATTTATTAAATAATATCAACTTTTTAGATAGATTTGATTCTCGAAAATGTTAAGGTTGTTTGACCTCTAGTACTAGGATTACCAATTTTAGATGTAGAGTAATCAATTTTAAAACAAGTGGTCGACATGTCAAGTATGGGTGGGTTGATGCTGGATCGATACATAAACCTTTGAATATGATGATGACCAACCTTTGAAAGTTCCATCAATAAAATGTAAATATAGCTACACGATTCGAATTGATTATTAATGTATTTAAATGTTTGAACTGATGGATTGAGTTGAAGACAGTGTGTTGTATTACAGGTTGAGGTTGTTATCTTTTTGATTCTATTTGGTAGTTTTATCAAGTCACTACACTCTACTTCACAAGATAGATGTAGTCTGTCTAGATTTGGAAATTGATCTAGAATATCGAATTGTTTGGAATTGATTGAGATGGATCTGACAGATTGTTTGACATCATCGGGGACACCACGATAGCTTGGACAATAGAGTTTGGTGATTGGTTTGCCTTTTAATGCACGGTTCATACTATGAATGATATCATAGGTCTCATAGGGAGTACTTCTACGAATATCCAATTTGGTCAAGAACTTGAGCCCATCAATAGCATGGCGTCGAACCGAATCATCGTACAAATCGAATAAAAGAGATTTGATGTTGGGTAGATTTTGAGTTAAGCTAATCAATCTTTTAACCGAGAATTGTACTTTTGTGATTGCCAACCTTTCATTTTCATTTAGTTGGCTATAATCACTACTGTTACCAACATGGATCGAGTTGACCGAATGATTTAATATACAATATTCATTATTGATTTGGTTGAGATGCTGATCGAGTTGTTCTCTCGTCTGGTTGACCATATGATTAAAGTGATTTAATTTGATATGATTGAATAAATCTTTTGAAATGAGTGATAGTTGTAATCTTGATCGATTGACATGTACTCCATTCAATCCAAGTGGAGGGTATGGTGTTGTGGTTGAAAAATGAACGGCACATTGATTCTTGATTGCCAGGAATGATTCAATAAATGATTCATCATCCAATATTGACATTCCTTTTTCAATTGATCTATCCAATATCGATTTATCATAAATACAAGTACAACGATCTCTTAAATTCCAAACCATAGATATAATATTATAAATAATATAGTTTGGTAATTTTATACTATTATTATTACAGTTATTATTATTATTATTATTATTATTATTATTATTTATAATATTATCAGTTGATATTAAAGAGGAGGGATGATGATGGCTATTATTATCAATATTATTATTATTATTATCTATTAATTTAAATTGTAATTTGTAATATGATGTATTTGAAATGGTTGATCCAAGATATTCATATCCCAATTCTTTAAATTTGATGATTCTATTCTCTAAAATACTTGTTGGTGAATCAATGATTATTCTTTTGATATTATTATTATTCTTTTGGATTGTTATTAATGACTGCCTTTCCTCCAAATCAAGATTTGAATTATTTTTATCATTTGATATATTTTTGAATCTGACGGTATCGATGAGTGGATAGTTGATTAATGAATCGAATGTACCTGGTACGAGTATGGTGAACGTCACTTTTCTGACACTATCTGGTATTGATAGTCCAAGGTGCCCTTTGGTATAAACGATGTGTTTGAGATTAGGAAAGTCCTCTTGTTGTTTGATATCATAGTACGGTGATGACACAACTCGAAGGTTTTGTTTGACTTGTACATCTAACAAATTCCAATCAAAGCGGTCTGGAAGAAGTAGCTTGGTGATACGGGTTCCTGGTTTGAGGAGGAATGTTGGCAAGTGTTGGAATATATATGGACCAATAGAGGCACATAAAAGGTTGACAGAGGTGAGGTTGTTAAAGTTTTTAAACAATGCTGTGATTGTATTGTTGTTGATATCACCGTAATGAGATATACTCTTGAGTTTTGGTAGAGATTCGGCTACATTGGTCAGACTATTGGCCTTTGGGAGGTACCACCCTCCGCCAGATCCTACTCTCTGAAAGTGAATCTTTTCAACATCACACAACAAATCTTTTGAAGAGATTCTAAAGAATGTGTTGAATTTGGTAGCCGATGATGATGGGAGGATCGAGAGAGTAGTTGCTTTCTTGATGATGCAATGACGATCGTTAATATGATTCCACACTTTGTCGGTTGGTTTCAATGTTATATCGGTGAATAACGTAGTCGACACGTAAGAGAATACTCTCTTGGAGACCATTGCCAATGATCTCTTCCATAGCTTGCTATCATCCTTGCAATCATCGAATATTGGTGGTTTGTGTCCCATGTCGACTTTGAATAGGTGCATTTGACACAAGATCCCAACATTGGGTACAAGTTTCTTGATGTGCGAATCAACTTGAATACACATAAACACTGACAGATCTTGTTCGAGTGGTCGACGGTCGGGATATGAATAGTAACGAGGTTGGTTTCCGCGCGAAAACATTGGAATCAATCGTTGTTGCTCCACAGCATCTCTATAGTCACTCGAGCCGATACAAGTACATATATCGATAGTGTCAAATGCCACCTTTAATATTCTAGCAATGATGATCCATGGCAAGCAATACTCTAACGCACCTTGATTGTAATCTGTGATTTTCTCTATTACTTGTTCATCTTCCTTTCTTTGCTTATCATGTTTGAGTAGCTTTTTAATTATCAATGTCTTTGTCTCTTTGTTGGTAGTTTGTACACCATTCTTGTTACACAACTCTAATAGATCTTTTTTATATAATCTATTCAGTCCTTGTGTTGTATATTCAATCTCCTCTTCCTCTTCCTCTCCATCATTACTATTATTATTATTACTATCTCTATCTTTTCTTTTCATTGTATATACGCATATATACATAAATTATAATGCTCTTTAGAATTACATGTTCATTTGAATGAATGAGAGAGAAATGATCATTTCTCTGTGAACTTCAACAACGTAGGTTTTTTTTTTTTTCAATAATTATTTTTTTTTTATACTCTTGTCTTTCTACATTTAGAGATTGTTGATTATGATGTTATATGATTCTCGAAAATGTTATAGTGAATTGGTATAGAGCAATCAATTTAGCGTAAGTGTCTGAGTATGGGTTCTTGGTGGAATGATACATAAATATTTGGATATGACCCATCGTTGAAGTTCAATCAATAAAATATAATTTTTGCTACATTTGGACACTGATTTAGAATATCTACGGAATTGTAAAAATAAATAAATAAATTATAATTTATTCATTTTTCAGCTCTTGAGAATGACAAGGTGAATTGGTTGTACATTTGAAATGAACTGTACATATGAGTTGTGCTGTATCTGGGAGTGGCCCCAGTTATTCTAGATGTAGAGTAATCGATTTCGAAGCATGTATCTGACATGTCTAGTATGGGTGGGTTGATAGTTCCCGATCGATACATAAATCTTTGAATATGACCAACATCTGAAAGTTCCATCAATAAAATATAAATATAGCTGTGGGAGCACAGATCAATGTATTTGAATGTTTGAACTGATGGATTGAGTTGAAGAGATTGTGTTGTATAATAGGTTGATGTTGTTATCTTTTTGATTCTATTTGGTAACTTTATCTGGTTTCCCTTTTTACAAGTGAGATGTAATCTGTTGACATTTGGACATTGATTTAGAATTTTCAATTGTTTGGAATTGATTGAGATGGATATGAGTGATTGTTTGACATCATCTGTGATATTGATATAATGTGAACAATAGAGTTTGGTGATTGCTTTGCCTTTTAATGTACTGCCGAGACTACGAAGGGTATCAATGTCGGTTAGATGGCGTATATCCAATTTTGTCAAGAACTTGAATCCATCAATAGCACCAAGTAACTTTGGTCTTGTGTCAGCATCAATATCGCCATCCAAAAGGACAAGAGATTTGATATTGGATAATTTTTGAATGAAATCAATCGATCTTTTAATCGAGCATTCTATCTTTGTGATTGCCAATCTTTCTTTTTCATTTAATTGTTGTTGGATATCATCGGTGCCGTTGTTGTTGTTGCCGATGTTGTCGTTTATGTCGACGTAGTTGTTATAGGTGTATTCGTCTTTGGGAACAAGTATCGAATTGATGTTTTCTAATATACAATAATCATTGTTAGTTTTACTGCAATGACGATTTAATATATGTATGGGGATAAATAAATGATTAAAATGATTTAATTTGATAAGATTGAATATATCTTTTGAAATGAGTGATAGTTGTAATCTTGATCTGTTGACATCAATGCCATTGAATCCAAGTGGCGAATAGGTTATTTTCGTTGAAAAATGAACTGAACATTGATTCTTGATTGATTCAAAATATTCCAAAAATCCTTCTTTATCCAATATTTTTGTGGTACAGCGATTCCAAACATCCAATATTCGTGTTATATAAATACAAGTACAACGATCTCTTAAATTCCAAACCATTGATATAATCTGTCGAATAATATTATTTGGTAATTGTTGACTATTATTATTATTATTATTATTATTATTATTATTATTATTATTATTATTATTATTATTATTATTATTATTATTACTAGTATTATCATTATCAATACCATTTTTAATATTATTATTATCAATATTATTATTATTTTCAATATTATTATTCTCTATTAATTTAAATTGTAATTTGTAATGTGATGTATTTGAATGAGTTGATCCAAGATATTCATAACCCAATTCTTTAAATCTAATGACATTACTCTCTAAAATAGCTGTTTGTGAATCAATGATGATTCTTTTGATACTCTTTTGGTTGATAGATGATTGAATTTTATCCAAACCGATTACCAATTCAGGAGTTTGATATGGTAGCGGTTTTTTGAATCTGACAATATGAACTTGTGGAGCTTGCTCAACCAACAAATCTAATAAACCTTTTTTATGTGCAGAGAAGGTAACTTTTACGACAGTGGCAGGCACAAACAACCCCAAATCCCTTATAGATACACCATAAACAATGTGGTTGAGATTGGGAAAGTCCTCTTGTTTGATATTTAGATTGAGGTCTGGTGATGATATGGCTCGAAGGTTTTGTTTGACTTGTGCATCCAATGAATCCCAATCAAAATGTTCTGGAAGAATGATCTTGGTGATACGAGTACCTGGTTTGAGCAATGTTGATATTGGTTGAAAATACTCTGGACCTTTATAACCAAGGGTGCAAGCACTGAAAAGGTTGATGGATGTGAGGTTGCGGAATTTGGTGAATAATATTGGTATTGAAAAATCTTGGACAGGGCCAAAATGATTTATACTCTTGATAGTGGGCATATGAGTGACAAATATGTCCAGATTAATATAGTGTAACCCTTGGAGGTGAATCTTGTCGACCACCTTTAACCTCTCTTTGAACGGTGAGTCACTGGTTAGGAATTTGTCAAAACTTGAGCAATAATAAACTCTGAGTGTCTTGACGGCGTGATAACCGTATTTGAAAGGCTTGATAGGGAGATCTCCATCGTCCAGCTTTAAATCGGTGAATAGGTTGGTTAGCACGTACGAGTATACTCTCTTGGAGACAACTACCAAAGATCTCTTCCATCGACTGCTACAGTCGGTCCATCTGGTGCTTCCATCCTTATCGAAATTGAATTTTGGTTGGTGTCCCTTATCGACGGAGAATCTGTGAATAGGACACATGTCATCTCTATCAAGTTCATGTTTCGTGACCAACAAATGTGCCTGCGTAAACCGAAACACATACAGATTTTGTTCACATTCCTTCTTGTCAGGATATGAATAGTGACGAGTTTTTATCGCTGCTGCTGGTGCCAATCGTTGTTGCTCCACAGCATCTCTATAGTCATGTGAATGTACACAAGTACAGATATCACAAGTGTCAAATGCCTCCTTTAGTATTCTAGCAATGATGAACCACGGCAAGCAGTACTCCAACACTCCTTGATTGTAATCTTTCTGTACCTTTAGTTGTTGTGTATACTTTTCCTCTTCGCATTCCATTATTATTAAATAGCAACTACAAAGATTAAAAAAAAAGAGGAATAAACTCAAAGATCATATGTATCACTCGAGAGGTGGCCAAATGCCTCGTCATCTCTGTCTATAAATATCTTTTTTTTCTTTTTAGACAAAGATTACGATCGACCCCTCATACCTCGCAGATTTTGAGTTTTTTTTTTTTTATTTCCTTAATACTTTAAATAAAGATTGTAAAGTATCAATGAACAAGTAAATCAAGTAAGATGAACTTATAATACTCGGAGTGGTCTATGTTAATGTTTAATGGTTGGGGAGAAATTCTTTAAATGTCGAAGATATTCGTCTCACAAAATTTTGTAGGGTGGTTTTGAAAGATGCATATCTTTATATGGGATAGATGTATCAAACAAACAAAACTGAACAATGTATCATATACTACAGTTGAAGGACTATATTTTTTCTAGGATAGATTTTTAAACTTGAAATAAAAGAGATATTAATGATATTTAAAAGTACAAAAAATTTGAGATAGAGAAAAGGCGATTTCAGGGTAAGATTATTTGAGACCCAAATATATCTAAAGCATTAAAGATTGGTTATATTATTTTTTATTTACATTTATACATCAAGAAAGGTTGGTTTTAGTGAAAAATATGGTGTGGAGAAGGTTTTTACAATTTGGTGTGAGATTTTACGCGGCAGCTTATAAATGGTATGCTTTACTTGGGTAAACGATATTCTTTGACTAAAGACGTAGCAAGTGTTCTAATGAACTCCCTGTGATCCAGGTGACTCTCTACATTATGAATATACATAATATATGCATTTGTGACAGCATACATAAGAAGTCCAAGGAATTGGCTTTGGTCAGTGGACGAGTGTGGATGGTTGTGCCAAAAGTAGGTAGCCAACTGGTTGAATTGATCGAGCGCTCTCTTGGTATCATCATAGCGATTAAGTATAAGACTTCTACCTACTGACGTTACCCTGGTTTTGGACGACTTCATCTTAAAAGAATTTGTCGCTAATCTCATCACCTTGTTTCTGTGATAGCCAGCGGCGATAGTGGCACCCTTGAAAGCAAATCTTGACTTCCATTGGGGCAGCCCAACAATGATTCCTACTTTCCATACTTCCGATGGGAGTCTATCTGCTTTAATACAAAGCGTTCCATACATTCCATTTCTTTCCAAGTAACTTATTTGGTTTAGTGTGGAGAACTTGCTGTCAGCTGTTATATGATAGTCCTTTTTGGTGTCTAGTTTAACAGATTCAACTAGTTTTTGAAAACTTGTCTCTCCATTGTATTCCTTGCTTGGTATCATAGCTAACAAGTACCTTGTCTTGGTATCTGAAAGGGTGTTGTACTCTATGGCCCACTTCTCTGGTTTGTCTTTGTTAAAACTGAGTAGATCTTTATCTCTAGGCTTTGCTTTGATCCTTGATTCGTCGACTGTGAGAAAAGTACCAGGGTCTATGTGTCTTTTGAAGTTGGCTTGAAGCATATTAACAAATATGTCGATGGGGATGTAGATGTTGGGGTGAATAAGCTCCCATCTGGACTTGGGAAGAGATTCTCCCTTGAATGGGTAATTGTATGACCATGTTCCAGTAGTAAACAGTTCTGTGTTATTATCTATTCCAAGGGTTATAGATGTAAACACCAAAGCAAAGTAATTGTATACTTCAAATACGTTAAGCTTTGGTTTATCTTGACAAAATGCATCTGTACGGTTGCTGAAAAGCACAATTTCCTTGACAATGCTCTTTGTAATCATGCTCCTGAAATAATCGAGAGGTTCAGATGATGTTGGAACACGCTTCCACCTATGTCGATGTATATTCATCCTCTCTTCAAATATAGGGTCTTTTATTCCTTCCCGACCTACAGCTCTAAGTTTAGGAGCTAGATCTTCAAACCTGTTGACTAAAGTTAGTGATTTTTATAAGATGAAAATGTTACTATCATGCTTACTCTATAAATTCTTCTCCTCTTGGTACCTTAGTATGCTTGATTGGCTGTCCATCTGTACCATCTACTTGTTGTTGAATTGGTTTTCTCTTATTCGGCATTGTATAGATAAAAAGCTGAGTAATAATAAGTAAAAAAATCTATACAAAACTTTGTGTATGTGAATTTGTATTTAAATTTTAAACTAAGTTTTTTTTGGCGGGTTTGCAAGTAGTTACTTTCAGCTTATTATCGTACAACAAGGTTTTTATTTTATTTTGATAGAAATATACCAATCGATGGATCTATTTGTCTAGTGATACACAAAGAAAGTTTTAATAAAAAAAAATAAAATATGACCTATTTTTATCTCTCATAACGATCACCGATCTAAGTCTCGTTTTTAGGTATATTTCACCATTTCTCGAAAAAAGAATATTCCTACATTTGTAGAATCATAATCCTTTTGTTCCCTTCTTCCAGCACCTAATCTATTTAAAATAACATTGATGTAAAAAAACCTAGTATACTATTTTTTATGAAATAAAATACTATCACAATTTCTTTTGATTTGAACAAATATTTTACGCTCAACCAAGTTTAATCTGAGCACTATCATGTAAAGTAATCAGATTTGGTATATACTTGTTCCTTTCCTACATTTTATTAATTTAATTAAAAAATATTAAAGTAAAAATCGAAAATTGTGCGAGGTCTGGGGAGTCGACTCGAGGAAAACCCAATCAAATTTCAAAAGAAATACAAAACCTTAAAATTTTCATCAGTTCTTGTACAAAGGTGATTTAGTTTATAATTATTTGATCCTTGAAAATGTTATAGCGAATTGGCTTTGATGTCCCAATCGATCATATTGATCAGAGATAAGTTTAGATGTAGAGTAATCAATTTTAAAGCAAGTGGCTGACGTGTCTAGTACGGTGGGGTGATAGTGGATTGATAAATAAATCTTTGAATATGAACCATCTTTGAAAGTTCCATCAATAAACCATAAATATTACTACAATGTTTTCTATCATGATGAGAATATGGTTGGTCAATATATTTGAATATTTGAACTGATGGATTGAATTGGAGACAGTGTGTTGTATTATAGGTTGAGGTTGTTATCTTTTTGATTCTATTTGGTAGTTTTATCAAGTCACTACCAGAGTACGAGTGAAAAGAGAGATGCAATCTGTCTTATATGTACTATACATGTATTGTGTACAATACAATATATGTATTTAGAACATCCAAATCATTGGAATTGATTGAGATGGATCTGAGAGATTGTTTGACATCATCAGAGATTGCCCAATAAATCATATCTCCATAGAGTTTGGTGATTGGTTTTCCTTTTAATGCTTCAATCACTCCACAAAGGGCCTGATGGGATTTAATGTGGCGTATATCCAATTTTGTCAAGAACTGGAGCCCACTGATACCATCAAGGTCAATATCTTGATTATATGTAGATCTTTGATAGTGAAAAAATACTAGAGATTTGATATTGGGTAGATATTTGATACAAGATGTCGATTGGTCAGTAGGACACTGTACCTTGGTGATTGCTAGTCTTTGATTTTCATCTATTTGGCTGTGTACGGCCCCATGGGTATGAACACGAATCGAGTTGATATTATCCAAGAGAAAATATTCATTATTGGATTCAATTTGATTGCGATGATCATTGAATATATCTCTGGGGATAAATAAATGATTAAAATGATTTAATTTGATATAGTTGAATATTTCCTTTGAAATGAGTGATAGTTGTAATCTTGATCGATTGACATGTACTCCATTCAATCCAAGTGGAGGGTATGGTGTTGTGGTTGAAAAATGAACAGCGCATTGATTCTTGATAGAATGGAATGATTCCATCAATCCTTCATCATCCAATATTGACATTCCTTTTTCTTTCCATTTATCCAATATATGTATATCATAAATACAAGTACAACGAGCTCTTAAATTCCAAACCATAGATATAATCTTTCTAATAATATTATTTGGTAATTGTTGACTATTATTATTATTATTATTATTGTTTTTTTCAGTTTGTATTAAAGAGGAGGAATGAAGATGATTACCTTCTATTAATTTGAATTGTAATTTGTAATTTGATGTATTTGAAATAGTTGATCCTAGATATTCATATCCCAATTCTTTAAATTTGATGACATTTACGTCTAAAATGTTGATTGGCGAATCAATTATGATTCGTTTGATATTGTTTTTAATGGTGATCATTGATGAGTGTATTTTATCCAAATCGATCTTGTTCAATTCTGGAATGTAGGAATAATATGATATGTTTTTGAATCTGACAGCGTGAACTTGTGGAGCTTGCTCAACTAATAAATCTATTAAACCTTTTTTATGTGCAGTGAAGGTAACTTTTACGACAGTGGCAGGCACAAACAACCCCAAATCACTCACTGATGCACCATAAACAATGTGGTTGAGATTGGGAAAGTCCTCTTGTTTGATATTTAGATTGAGGTCTGGTGATGATATGGCTCTAAGATTTTGTTTGACTTGTGCATCCAATGAATCCCAATCAAAGTATTTTGGAAGAATGATCTTGGTGATACGAGTACCTGGTTTGATGAGTGTCGGCAAGATTTGAAACATATCTGGACCAGCATTACAATAGACACATAAAAGGTTGATGGATGTGAGGTTGTCAAAATTGGTAAACAGTGATACCAATGAATCGGTGTCGAGATCATTGTATAGAGAAATAGTTTTGACCTTGGGGAAGTGAATGGCCAACCTGTCCAGATTAATTAATGTCACTTCTATTAATCTTGATCTCCCTAGTAGGTGAATCTTTTCAACATGATAAACGATATTTTTGAAAGGGTCACTATCCAAGAAAGCAACAAACACATTGCCAAAATGGACTGTGAGTTTCTTGATGATGATGTGATGACGGTCTTTGATATAATCACTTTTTTGATCACTTCTTCCCAACGTTAGATCGGTGATTAGAGAAAAGAGGGTAGTTGACACGTAAGAATATACTCTCTTGGAGACAAATCCTAATGATCTCTTCCATTGCTTGTTATCATTTGTCCATATCATTTCATCCTTATTGAAATTGAATTTTGGTCGGTGTCCCCTATCGACTACGAATCTGTGAATAGGACACATTTCCTCTCTACCGAGTGCATGTATCCTTACAAGAGCTTCAGTTTGAAGATACCCAAACGGTGACAGATCTTGTTTACACTTTTTCTTGTAGGGGTATGAATAGTAACGAGGTCGGTTCTGACTTTCAAAGTGAGGAACTGATTGTTTTTTGTGAAAGGCATCTCTAAACTGACTTGAATAGACACAAGTACAGATATCGATAGTATTGAATGCCTCCTTTAGTATTCTAGCAATGATGATCCATGGCAAGCAATACTCTAATGTACCCTGATTGTAATCTTTTAGTGTCTCCATAACTTTGTTCTCGATATCGATTGACAATCAGATCCTTTGGCAGTATAATGTTGTTCTTTTGTGTATACAATATTTCCTATTATCTTCAAGAGTGGGAAGTGAAATGACTGTTAGCATTCCCCAAAGTTTGACAAAATTGTTTTATTTAAAAAATTAATTAAATTTATTTGTTTACAAAGAAAGGTCAATCAATGATTACAAAATGTTAATTAATACTACAATACAGATAATTATATTTATTACATAAAGAAATATGATTATTATCTTGAGATTGGATTAATTTAAATTGTAATTTGTTAAATGATGTATTTGAAATGGTTGATCCTAGATATTCGTAACCCAATTCTTTAAATCTGATGACATTACTTTCTAAAATGTTTACCGATGAATCAATGATGATTCGTTTGATAGTATTTCGTATTGGCATTGATGATTGTATAATCTCTAAATCCAGTCTATCATACTGAGCAACATATTTATAATTGGATATGTTTTTGAATCTGACAGTTTGGATATGTGAATTGTCAGCCAATGAAGCTATTAAACCTTGTTTATGTGTCGTGAATGTAACCTTTCTGGCACTCTGAGGCACTGATATACCAGCCTGTTTGATAAGAAATGTACGAATATAAACAATATGTCTTAGAGATGAAAAGTCTTGATTGAAATCTGGATACATTGAAGATACTACTTGAAGGTTTTGTTTGACTCCTTTATCCAATAAATCCCAATCAAAATGTTCTGGAAGAATGATCTTGGTGATACGAGTACCTGGTTTGAGGAGGAGGAGTGTTGGTATTTGATGCAAAAAATCTGAACTACTGTAAGAGGTACACAAAAGGTTGATGGAGGTGAGGTTGATGAACCGAGTGAAAAATGTTGTGATTGTATTGATGTTGGTGTCACTGTAATGTACAATACTCTTGAGGTTGGGTAGAGCATTGGTCAACTCGTCCAGATTATCTGTCCTTGTGAGTGATGTCCCTTTGTAATGTAGCTTTTCTACACCACACAATAGATCTATTGTGGACGAGTCACTACTACTACTATAGTGATTAAATAAATCCTTTAACTTTGTAAAAGATTTACCGGGAAGGATGGTAAGAGTAGTGACCTTTTTGATAATACAATGATCATCTTTAATGTGATTCCACCATTCTTTTAATTGATCGTCATCGAATGGCTCTAACACTATATTGGTGAATAGAGTGGTCGACACATACAAGAATACTCTCTTGGAGACAAGTCCCAATGATCTCTTCCATCGCTTACTTTTGTCTTTGCATAGAGTCGATTTGACTATACCCTTGTAGACACAAGTACATATATCGATAGTTTCACAAGCCTCCTTTAATATTCTAGCAATGATGAACCACGGCAAGCAGTACTCCAACACACCTTGACTGTAATCTTTCAACAAAATGTTATTATGCTGCATGTTGTTGTGGGTATTCATCATGATTGCTGTTTCTATTATTTAACAACAACAAACAATAAGATAACATTTACTATTACTATATTATTATTATTATTATTATTATTATTATTTTTTGATAATCACATTTCGAAAATGGCATTATTTTTTTCAAAGTCAATCTTTTCATTGCAATGTTTAGCTTATAATAATAATAATAAGAATAATATCTTTAAAAGAAAAGTTAATATATATGGAGAAGAGGAAGAATATACATATGGGCAGTTGAGCATATTCTATGAAAATAAACTAATAGAATTGTGCAACAAACTTGGTGTGCTTACAACAAACGAGACAATGCATCAGATGATAGAAAAGATACTAGATCAAGACTTTCCAAGTCTCCGACACATCCACATCAAGCTTTACGCTGGAGAACAGAATTGGAGAGAATTGGTAGTACCCGAAAGTGTCAAAAAGCTTACATTCATCTCCACCAGATGTATCTCCATTTACTCGTAATCCTCACGTTCGAGCCGTCAGATTCAACAATACAACAGAGAATAATTTTAATACATTACAGTTTCGATTAACCAATCTCAACATCATCACCATTGACCAAAAATCAGATGCTTTAGATATTCAAGTAAATAGATTTAAAGAAATAGGATACGAATATATTGGATCAACATTTAGAAACAACTTTCAAAAATTATCTTTTAAAAAATCAATCCTAGAAATTAATGATGATAATAATAATAATAATAATAGTAGTAGTAGTTGTAATAATATTGATTAATAGTGAAAATATTGGTAATAATAATATTAGTAATAGTAGTAGTTGTAATAATATTGATTATAATAATAGTAATAGTACAAATCTAAAATTACCAAATTCTATTATTTATAATATTATATCTATGGTTTGGAATTTAAGAGATCGTTGTACATGTATTTATGATACAAATGTATTAGAGAGAAATCAATTGATGATTTGGAATGATGAATCATTTATTGAATCATTCCATGCAATCAAGAATCAATGTTCAGTTCATTTTTCAACAACAACAACACCGTATACTCCACTTGGATTGAATGGAATACATGTCAATCGATCAAGATTACAACTATCACTCATTTCAAAGGATATATTCGATTATATCAAATTAAATCACTTTAATCATTTATTTATATCTCGAGTTGGTCAAGAAGTGTATACCCAAAAACCAGCTGATACTTGCATGTTAAAGAATAACATTAGATCAATCTCTTCAGCCCGTTTCAGTATTGAACATAGAAGTGCAGTGACGTTGTTTACAAGGGAACAGAGATTGGCAATCACCAAGATAAATTGTTTGGTCCCGACCCACAGCTCACTCCAGTCACTCATTTCCTTTTCCAACCTCACCTCTCTCCTCCTCAGAGATGCATTCGACTACCCACCAACGACATTTATTGCTAGACTCGAACTTGACCAAACTGGATATTCGTAGTGTTCAAACAGGTCACACAACTCCTGAACAGAATCAACTTGCCAAGGTACTAAAAGGAAAACCAATCACCAAACTCTACTACCACCAGAGTATGACAAGTTCATACCTCGAACTTTCAGATGACGTTAAACAATCACTCCGATGCATTTTAATCGACCCCAAACAATCTAATATTCTCGATCATTTTCCAAATGTCACTCATCTTCAACTTCATCCAGAACACTCTGCAGAGTATAAAGAAGAATTCAAGTTTCCAGACAGAATCAAAAAGATAACATGCTCCAACTTTGAAAGTGCAAGACAACTTGTCAAACTCAACACTTGTCTTGACACTTTTAAATATTATCGCAAGGATGGATACGATATCCTTCTTTTCCTAAATGAACTTTCAAAAGATTTTAGTCTTTCACACCTCAAAACATTTATTTATCAATCCAACTCTACCATTCCTCTAATAGACATGCCAACTACCAATTTTCAACTAATCCACTCGAGATCTAAAATCATTGGAAATGTTGATCAAAAAATTCACTTATTATTTTCAAGAAGAGAGGAATAAACTAATATTAATAAATAAAAATTACATCCTCATTGTTAACAATAGTTATTTAAAAAAGAAAGAAACTAAACTAAACTATTTAATTTTTTTTTTTCTATTTTAATGTTTACAAATTATATCTTATATTTGATAACTTTTATTACAAACGTTGTTTGTTGGTAGAACAAAATAAAGTATTTTGGAAGGAGAAAGAAGGATAGTTTTTTTTTTTTTTTGTTTTTTAATCATTGGCAACGACTGGAGCAGATGTTGATTCACCACTACCAGTACCTGCAGTGGCACCGCCAAGAGTAGGAGAGGCAGGGGCAGCAGCATTACCACCAAGATTCTTGTGTCCGATGATACCTCCGAGTGCAAGGGCGGCCAAATTGATGGCTTCGAGAATGACAATACCGGCACCAACCTTTTTGAGGAAATCATAGTCTTCCCAAATCTTGAGACTGAGGTATTGTTGAGGGAATTCGATACCCATAAGATCCAAGGCGTAGCAGAGACAGTTGTACTCGTCGGTCCAAACCTTGTCCATCAACTCGATCAAACGTCTATTGAATTCTTCTGGTTTAGGCTTGTGAAGGAAACGGAACTTGAGCCACATCTTGTGATCCATGGTTGGGTTCTTGACAAAGGCAAGTTCATATGATGTATTTGCAATGATTTCAACATTGGATTCTGGATAAGAGTGGTAGTACTTTCCATTGTGCAATACTGTAAAATGAATATAGTCTACAGTCTTGAAGAGTACCAAGTAGTATTCATCTTGAACTGGGACTGCCTCTGCACTGTGAGGTTCGAATATCTCCAAGAATTTTTCAATAAATGGTGCTCCGTGTTGAATGATTAATGACATATTGTAATATAATTATATATTTAGGTAAATAAGGTAAGTGTAGTGTGTAAGTGTATATGTATATGTACAAAGAAAATAAAGAGAATAATGATGAAAGAGAATGAAAATGATGATCAGCTGAGCAAGGAGCTCAATTTAAAAACAGATTCTTCTTCTGAAATCAGGTCCTTTGCGTGACACAGACTTTTCAGAGACAAAGAGAAGAAGATTGGGTGATCGATCGTTGAATGAGTACAAAGAGAGGTGTAAAATTAGATGAGACCGATGCAAAAAAAAACCCTACCAGGAGGTCAAAGCAGTAGGTGGGTTTTTTCAAAATGACTCAACACGTGTTCCACATCTTTGCATCTTTGACCACAAGATTTTAACGGGCGTCCGAATGCACAAACGGGTAACCCTCGCCGTTTGGGCGACAACCTAACCCCAATCTACTCCACCGCGTACCCAATAGATTATAAAGATGATGATACTCTGATATACCTTTGTTTGCTTTAAAAAAATAATTGTTATATATTATTATATGCCGATTCTATGTATAAGATTTATTTCATTGTTGTAAAGAAGAAGGTTTTAAGGTTCTACTGCAACTACTACTTGATTTTCGGGACAAACAAGATTTTCCATTTCTACGACTACTTGTTGATTTTTTGATCCTCCTCCTCCTAATTGTGATGATGTTGTTTTTGGTGATTTATTATCTTCACTTGATGAAGATGTTGGTGTTGCTGATCTTTTTGATTTCTTGCTTGTTTGTGAAGATGTAGAGGTGTTGTTGCTGATGTTGGCACTTCTTGGATGTACTGCAAGAATGATTACAGACACTTGGCCAATCTCGATGGCAAACGCTATGAATTCATCCAAAAATGTTGCACCAAAGGTTTCGTCAAACAAAAATACATTGACGACGGTCTTTATCATGATGAGGACGACCATAATTGCCAGCCATCGGACTAGGTATGTGATTCTGATGATAGAGGCGGAAAATTCCTGCTTTTTGGCCTCGTGTGGACCAAAGTTGGACTTGGCCAGCTCGGATCGTAGGGCTTTAGTCAGATGGTAGCCGTGGTAGGAAAACAATCCACCGGCAAAAAAGACAAAAGCCATCAGCACCACATAATAGGCAAAGTCGGTGGTTTCCTGGTGTTCCCAGTCGGCGACGAGCGCAATGCAAATGGACACCATCGCGACGGTTAGTAGCGACACTGCGATTTTGAGACATCGATTGACGATGATCTTTGCACGGGGATTGATCGAATAGAGGTCGCCACTCACAGTACCATAAAAGAGGTAAAAGGTAAGGATCCAAAAATACCCAATCTCGAACCAACTGATAAAGATGCACCAGGTGCCAATAATGAGTAAAATGTAGTAGGTGGCAACCAGACGATCGTGTGTCTGGGCGATCTCTTCGTAGTGGATAGTGTCGATGATGGATACGATCGATGCCACACAACGTGTGAAAACAAAGTTTAAAATAAATATGTAGATGATGGGTATGGTGTGGTCTCGAGTCGTCTGGTAAGAGTCTGTCGTGTAACTCTGTCTGTTTCTCTTTTTATAGATCTTTCTCAACACTTTGTAGAGTAGTATCGATATGAAAACCGTGTACAAAAAATATACTATGATTCTACCCACTGCAAAAGTGAGATAGATGCCTTTAAAATAACTCTCTGAGCTATAAAAATGAATAGGTTCTAAAACTACCATAATAGATCTATCTTCCTCTTCTCCTTCTAACTAATAATATATATATATTGTGTGTGTGTGTGTGTGCCTCTTTGTTGTTGTTGTTGTTGTTGTTGTTGTATCTGCCTGTTGAACAACGTTTTTTGTTGTTGTTAATAAATAAAAGTATAGTACAAAAGAAGAAAAGAAAAGAAAAAAACGATTGTTTTAATAAATTAATAGATAGATAGATAGTATTACAGTTGTGGTAATGTGGTTATATATTATTGTGTTTAAACACTAAAGATGGAGGGAGAGAGAAAGAGAGGGAGAGAAAAAGGAAAGCAAGGACAACAATTATAATAACATCAACAACTATTGTAACTATCGATCATGCGTCAATCATGATCGACCCCAACACCTAACATCTATTGAGGTGAGATCGAAACAAAACGCTTGATATTAATTGTCCTGCCCCAAAGCATGCAGCATCTGGCCTAAAATTGGTTGTTAGGTTAGCTACGCCTTCTGTGATACGACAATCGAAACACACTATCTCTGAATTGAACCACGAACCTCCACACCTTTTTTTTTTTTTGGCCAAAGGGCGCATCCAAAGCCCAGAAAAGGAAACAGAAAAAAAGATCTTTTTTTCAGCAACCCAAGGGTTTTCTTTGAAGAGAGGCGAAGATTATTTCTTGATTTATTTACGACTACGATGGAAAGGGGATTACACCTAGTTCTTTAGTTTGAATATGGTAGTGATCTACATTGAAATCAGTGAAATCAATGATTGGACAGTCCCTATAATTGGTAAATAGATGGTGGATATTAAGAGGATCCATTGTCAATTCATTGTTGATTTTGATTGGTGTCATATTGAATTGGTCTCGCTCTGGTCCATTATAATGTCGAGTGTATTGCTTGATGATTCTATCTAGTGTATCGGTGACTCGATGTCTTTGGGAAAATAGAAAATTGGTACTTTGTGAGATCATCTTGGACACATAAAAAGAGCTGGTTGTCACAGGTAGAAATGATTGCCAAATCATTTCAAAGTCTTGATCATTTTCAATCTCGAAAAATGTATCCAGAATAAGAAACACTTTCTTTTCACTCATTTCCTCCTCGTTATGAGAGGTGCTAAATAATTGTCCAATGTCTGTTGCCAATTGAATTTGATGGTGTTGTATTGATGTTTGAAAAATCAAGTCTCCAAATTCCTGGACCCAATCTTTCAGCAACTCTATAGAATTGTCCAACGTTTTCTTACACAATTCAGTCAAAAAAACTTGAATGATTTGTAAGAGGCGGAGTGACCGTATGCCGTCTTGATAGAGCATGTTAAAACGGGATAATGTTTCTCCCAACTCCTTGATGTGCTTGAAATGTGGATGTTTTAAAGATGAAAGTAACACCCGTGGTGGTATTCTTCCAATCGACAGACGATCGATTAATAATTGAACAGTCTCTGGTGAGATGGGTGTTTGATTTCTTGTAGTGTCATGGACCTCCTCATTTAGTTCAAATTGGACAGTGTGACCTCTGTTGAAAAGAGATAATAGTGGACCATAAAATAGGTTATTGTCTTGAGAAAGAGTAAAGGTTTGGGATTGATCACCCGAGAAGAGGTCCAACAACATTTCAGTGATGACAGTGTTGTCTACTCTAAGAGACAAAGAGACTAGATTCATGTCAATTTCTCCGTGGTGTTGTTGTAAATTTAGGATAAACCTTAGTGTTTCAGGTTGATTTGATAGGATGATAGATTCAACCAATTGATTCAAATCAGCCATTTGACATTGACATTCAACCAATCGTTTGACAAGATCCAATGACACGATTGATGGATTTATTTTTCCATATTTTAATAGTGATGTTACGCCTTGTTTGGCGGCAATTGTCATTAAATAATTGGTACATTCCAATTGTCCTCTAAATAATGAGGTCTGGAGATGTGTATTGTTAAAAAGATAATTGAATTCCTCCGCGTCATACATGTATGATAGAAAATCTAAATTTCCATATCGAGTTGCCTCGGTTGATACTAGAGGTGACGATAGTTTGAATTCTATTAATTCAAGTGTACTCTTGTTTGCATATCTTTCAATGTAACCAACAACACGAGATTGTTGAAACATTTTTATAAATCCTTCACGTCCTACGTCATAACTATCTATTATCCATCTGATAATCTCTTGATTATTTAAGCATTCCAATGCATCCAAAAATAAAACTAATCTTAAATCTTGACCAAAGAGTAATAGTTCTGATACCATATCAAATATTATATCATATTTTGATTGATTATTTGTTATGGTTGTATGATGTTGTTGTTTTTGTTGATTATTTAATTTGTTGATTAAATCGGCGAATGATCCCCATTGACCATAGAAACCAATATTACTGATATCATCCAGATAATCTCGACAAATACGATCAAACATCTCCACATCGCCATTCATGACCACATGTCTTGTAAGTTGACCAATAAAGATAAAGTGATCAGTTTCATTATCCCTACTATCAGGTAAATGATAGTTGTACCGAATTAAAAGTCTACACAAACCTATCGGTACCGGGTGGGCAAAGACGTTTCCAAACACAATCGATCTTAGTGTTGACTTTTCAATGCCTCCAAACCTTTTAAACAAATATTCCAATGCAACATATCCGTCGTATTCAAATATAGTATTCAATATCTGTTTGAATGTTTCACTCTTTATAAAATTAGAGTTAGAATAGTTTTAAAGTCATTCCAAGAGGTATTACTTACTTTATAAATGGACTCCTCTTTTTCATTCAGAGAGGATGATGATGATAACAGACTCGATTGATAGACACTATCAAAGTGTTTAATGAATAGATCGGTTCTATTTAAAATGATACATTGACATAGAGTCACTATCTGATGTGATTTGAGTACTAGTACGTAACGGTTCCTCGAATCACTATCAATGATTTGTTGATGTATGATCTCTACATGTTTGAATATCTTTGTTCTAACATAACGATTGTGTAATAAACCTTTAAAAAGATTATCGATATTCATAATAATCTATATCTTGTTAGTGAGTGAGAACAAGCACAAGACAGCGGTGGGGACACCTCTCACACAAACGAGTTGAGTGTTTGAAGTATCACCAACCTCAAGTACACTTGTGGTGGATAATAAAAATAGTAAAAAAATAAACTAAAAATATCTTTCTTGGTTTGTACTCTCTTTGTATATTTGATTTATTCTTTTTGGTTCAACCATTTTGTATACAATGAATAAAAGAAAAGATAAAGATGGAGAGGAAAGATCATGATGATGATGATGAAAAGAAGAATAAAGTGTATTTTACAAAAGAAGAAGAGTTGAATCAGTTATTAAAAAATGATTTGTTAGAGTTGTGCAACAAACTTGGTGTGCGGGCTACAAGTAAAGAGACAAAGGATCTGATGATCAAAAAGATACTCAACCATGAAAAGAAAAGAAAAGAGAAACAACATAGCGATGATGATAATAACACTTTGAAAGATTATAATCAAGGTGTGTTGGAGTACTCGTTGCCGTGGATCATCATTGCTAGAATACTATCAGAGGCAGGCAAGACTATTGGTATCTGTACTTGTGTCAACTCACATAAACTTAAAGATACCGTTCTCCAACTAGAAAAGTTTGGTCATAATCCATCTATGAGTACAGCCACATTGGCACCGACACCAAATAAACATTGTCAACAGTTAAAGCAACTGGGTTTGTTTGAGGAGTAAGAGAGGCATCTGCTCCAAAACCAATATTTGGTAATTCTGACCAAACAAATCTAACCAATAATGTTTCATTCAACATAATATCCTTATCCAATGATAAAATGGATTCATATAATTCGTTGAATGGAATGGTTACATTTAAATTAACTGCTGTATTGGCCGCAAAGCCTGAAGATAAATAGTCTGGTTCAGTAAATGCTCTATCACATGAAGTGCCATCATATCTTGGATTCATATTTACCAAAGTGTTACAAGAATAACAAGGAATATAAGATTGATTTGCTGTATTTACTGCAGAGTTGAAAGTGTTGAGTGTATTATTTAATTTTTTGTTGATCTTGGTCACCATTTTAGAATGTAAATGAAAGTTGGTATTCCATTAAATATGTACCACCTCTTGTAAATACCTGTATCTGTCTAAAGAATGGAATAAAATCAGTAAATACAAATCCAAACTTTCCATTGGTTGCTGGTAATGTAAATGTAAATTGAAACCATGACCTACTTAGATTAAATGCTTTGGTTGGTGGTATTTCAAATATAGTGTCATTTCCTCCTTGATAAACTGTTGTTTGAGTTGCACCAGCTTGAGGATATACTCCAGTGTATTCATATTGTGGTCCTGATCCAACCATTTATCGATAATCAAATTGATTTGAAATTGCTTGTGGAAAAGACTCTTTTTCTTTAACCAATATTATATATTCTCTTACCAATTGTGAGATGTCATTATGTTTGAATAAAATCAATGTCAGATTGATATTTACACCATTTAAATTTACTTCATTTCCATCTTGATCTGTCAAATAAATGGTAAAGCTTGTCTTTGTGTTTGATACCAATTGTTTACTATATGATTCAACATCATAGTTTTGCCAATGTATATTTGAAAAATCTGCATTACCAGCTGCAGAATAAACCTCTTGTAATATATCATCATCTCCATTACTACATAAATCCGAATGAATAAACAATACATTGTCAGATTGTAAGTTGATTACATTGGTTGATTCCAAAATATTATTCTTGAATGTATTTTTTGAATCTTTATTAAAACATAAATGACGAAATAATTGATTAGTAAAAGAAAAGATTGGTTGAATATCTCTTGTTGATGCACACGTAAATATATATTTTCCAGTATTTGGTTGTTGTGATGTCGGCCAATTGATTGCATATTTCACATTGTTTGGTGACAATGCATTCAATTGCTTTTCCAATGTATCTTGTAATGATTTTCTTGAATAATTACCAACAGGAATAGAAATAATAGTTGATTGATCATCTTCTATCAATTCAAAAGTATTTAATCCTCTTCCAACTGTATAAAATGATTTTGGTATTGTCGCTTGTAATAATGCTACTCTGTCAAATCTGTCTTGAGGATATATATAATATAATATTATATTTAAATTTAGAATTAGTACCACTGATTCTATTGTGTGAATTTTATATAGAATATCTTTTTATGTGTAATCAACATACTTTTATATATATAATTAGTAAAACATTATTATAAAATTATTAAAATTTACTATTACTCTAATAAAAGTGATTTGCTGTAGCTATTTTGTCTCTAAATAAAGTAGTGTAAAGTATTATAAAAGTAGTGTAAAAATAGTAATATAATAAATTACTCTATATATATATATAATAAAGAGAATGGACCAAGATATAAAAAAAGATAAAAGATCAATTACATCTGCTCTAAATCTACAAAAAGCACGTGATGCTAGAAAAAATCAATTTGTGATCTATGATAGTGATTCTGATTCTGATAATGGTTCTGATAATGATAATACAAAGAAAAGAATAAACAACAAAGCTACTGTTCAAAAGAAAAGAATGAATAAAAAAATGGAATCTCTCATCGAAATGTTTATTAATAAATTATTAATACTTGTCAGCAACAAAAAAATAATTTAATTGTAAATGATGAAGTTGTAGAGAAAGAGATAAAACAACAACCTATAAATAGTATTAAAGAATCAGATATTATAAAGAATAAAATGATTATGAAGTTTTAAATATAATTATATTGTATAATAATACAAGATGATGATTGGAGAAGCAAAAACAGAGACCATTAAGATTAAACCAAGATAAGAGGAAGACGATACATACAGCATGGTATACATTAGATCAAAAAATAATGATAAAAAGTTGATTAGAAAGTTGATTAGAGAAGCATTAGAGGATGAGAAGAAACAACAACAGAAACTTTCTAAAGAAAGCAGTCCCTGTATTGGCTTGGTCTAATCCAAATGAAGTTACCATGATCAAATCAATACAGGATGCCAACTTTAGAGATTCTGTACTAAAGAATCAACAAGAATTGGATAAAGAAACAAAGAAAAAGATTATTGATCTAACAAAAGATGATATTCAAGTAAAACAAGAGATACCAATAGTAAAAAAAGAAAATGATAGATTCGATCAATTGGAAAAGAGGTTGTCAATGTTGTTTGGAGCAAAGGAAGAGAAATTAAAGAGAAGACAAGAAAAAGATGATAGATCAATGGAAATACTTTACAACAACAAGTAGGATTCAAAAGTTGACAGAAAAGAGAATACAAGAATTGGAAGGCAAGTATGAAAATACAAGACAAATAGATGAACAATTACAATCAATTATAGATATGAACAATGAAATGAAAGAAAAGAATCTTTTGGAATTGTTCTTTCCAATTCAAGCAAATCAAGTAAATCAAGCAAATCAAACAGAACAGCAACAACAAATAATGGTTGATCAAATTTTACCAAATGATTTAATAGAAATGGTCCCAAGAAACAATCTAACAGCTACAAATGATTTTGTAAAAGAGTATTTAAATTCAACAATAACCTCTACTAAACTATCTACAAATTTAGGAAATGAATTAAAAGACATGGTAAAGAATCAAAGAATTAGTGTCATTGATTTAATTGTATCATTTGCTCAAGATTTGAAAAAAAAACAAAAGATTGGTAGTGGAAGATCAAACAAAGGTCTTTATGATAGCGAAATTGAAAGAATAATGAAACCATATCATAGAAAGGGATTTGAAAGAGTAATAGCAAGTGATCAATTAAATTTATTGGAACCAAAAGACAAGATGTCATTTATTATGAATTTGGATCCACACAACAAACCAGGAAGTCATTGGGTTGCAGTATACATTGATGCAGATAAAGATAAATCAGTAGAGCATTATGATTCATTTGGCCAAGAACCAACAGATGACTTTATGAAACAATTAAAAGATTTAATTGATGAAATCAATTCAGATTATTATTTAAAATTCAAAGTAAATAAAAATCATTGATCAAGCATCAAATAGTACAACATGTGGATATCATGCAATTAAATTTTAATAAAATTGGGAATTTATTAATAGAAAAAACAATGGTTCTTCTGAGTCCAAAATCTAATTGATGCACATGGCTGATGTGGTTGATGTGGTTGATGTGATTGATGTGGTTGATGCGGTTGATAAAGAAGTGTTTGTGAGAGGACCTTGAACCATAAGGTAACTAGTGGGGCCACTACACAGCTTTTCGTACAATGGGAAACCTAACAGAAGTTTTAATCCATCGTCATTCAGAATAACCAGATCGATATTATCTGGGACATGAGGAAGTGGAGATTCGTCGCTTTGTTTTCTCTTTTTTTTGCTGGGATTACTTTGTTCTTTTGATGCATCTTCTTTTTTACCAGCAAGAAGTTTTTTTGGAAAGGGTGTTGATGGAGAAATAAACGTTGCAATTTCCTTGGAATCAAATATTATTTCTTTACCTTTAAAGGATTTGATATCTTTTGTTCTGTTAATTGCAACAATCACACACGTCAATTTAAAGTCAGTCAAGCCAACAGGAACAGCTTTGATGAGCTCTTCACAAAGATCTTGAATTCCGAATGCATCATGTTGATTCAAATGCTTGACAACAAAAGAAATGCCTAAAGTCCATATAATATTATTTAATTAGTCATTCATGAATTAAAATGAGAACGTATCCATTAATTACCTTTTGTTTGAGACAATTTGATATAAAAATCAGAAGATTCGGACTTTGAGCCACATTTATACAATGTATTCTCTTTGGCCTGTCCCCAAACATCTTTAAATGAATTTGTGTGGACCATAATTCCCTTGTCTCCTT